GAGCGTTTATTTAAACTAAAAACTTAGACAGTTTAAAGTGTCATGAGCTAAATTTGGGAGACTTTTTGGCTGTTTTCAAATATTTTAAGGGCAAATGATTTTTTATTTTTAGCTTTAGTGCTTGATTTGTTGTTTGATTTTTTAATTTTTTCCCCCTAAATTTTTGCTGCCTAAACAATATTTTTCAGCATGGCCCACACTTATGTGACACATTTGCCGGGCCAAATGTCGGCCAGAAGCTCGCGAACTACCTACATTTACGAGGCGCATTTGGACGACCCGGAATCCAATGGACTCGGCAATTCCTTCTCCGATTACCCCGAAGATTCCCTCGAAAGACAATCCCATTCCACACAGAAGGTAGGCATGTGTAATATAATATTGAAATATTTGTTAAACAGAAAACGTTGGAAAACCCGTCAATGTTGTCATCGTTAAATTATATCAAGGCTTGTTTTTTCAAGATTTCAAAATTTCTTTTAAAACATCGCACTTTTGACCTATTGTACGGTAATCGTTGTATGATTTTGGAAGAAAGGGGAATGGTGGGAATATGAGCTCACGTTTTGTTTTTAAAACCTTTGCACACACATGTCCCAATTTTCAGGTGACCCGAGTAACAAAGGTGACCACCACTCGATCAATAAAACAGATCCCAGTGGATCCCTCGGACATTTATTTTGACAACGAAGGAAATCCCCGGAGTAATGGCTATGACGGAACACTTGTTGAGAGCGATGAAGGAGTTGGCATCGATCTCAGCCGAGCTTCAATTACGGAAACCAGCGAAGAAACGAGTGAGCGATCAAAATCCCCGCCCAAGGCGAGCTTGTCGCCTGAAAAGCCGTCCAAAAAGAAGTCCACACCGGGCCCACCGCCTCGGCCAGATGTGGTGGTGACGCTGGAGAAAGATCTCTTACTTTCATGGCAACCTCCGTCGGATCAGGGAGAAGCGGGAGATGTGATTGGGTATTTGGTGGAGTTCCGAAGGGAGGAAAGTGAGCCCTGGGAGCCCGCACATGATGAACTTTTGGTCGATACCGATTGTCGAGGTTAGTTTGAGGAGTTTAAAGTTTATTTTTGGGAAGAAAAGGGCGAAATGCATACTGCAAAATACTGTTAACGACCAGATAATGTCGATTAACGTTTTCAAGATCGTCTTAAATTTTTAGAGACGACACAAGCGTAAATGTCGTTGAAGAAATTTAATTTCGGCATACTCATTTATGCTGAATGAACCCCCCTTTAACGTACATTATATATAACGTGAATTTCTTAGTCGTTGAGTATTTTAAAATCTTTGACTGCTGTTTTGACTTTCTTAACCATGCTAAGGAAACGTATATCCTCACACCTTTCCATGCCAGCTCTGTGGCCCATAAATCTTTGATTTCTCACCTATTCCCCTTCCTTCTTCCCCATCTTCTAAGAATTCCTTCATAGAATCTCCTCTACTCACCCCTAAACCCCCCTTAGCTCCACTTTACATTCATCTCCCCCACACTTCTCCGTCTCGGCCATTACGAACCTGACTCACTTAACCTTTCCGACCTAAACTGCCTCTGATTTGCATAAATCACCTTCTCCGTTTTGTTTCCGCAAATCGCCCCTTTTACCTGAGGCGCTCTGACTAAAAAACGCGCCCAATTCTTATACTACGCCGAATAGGAGGCTGGTCATTCAAGCCGCTTCATCATTCGCCTGACATCCGAAACCCCCGAGGGCCCTGGGCTCTGTGTTTTTGTATTAATTGTACGATGCGTGTTCTGACCGTATCCGGTGGGAGGCACAACAAAATATTTATTTTATATACGGTGGAGTCCGTAGATGGAGCTTTGTTTTGAATAGGTTTTTGGATAAAAATAGAAAACTACTGTTTTTTGTAAAAGAAGAGCTAAAATTTTTAGGAATTTATTTGCGGTTTAAATAAAATTTCACATGATATCGAAAATCTAACCAAAACACCTCGAAAATCACATTTTTTTATAAGACGCACTAGGCTTTGAAAAATAATCTTCTTTATAACTTCTTCAACGTAGGGTATTACTGTATTTTCCAAATTTTTATTGATGTTTTCAACAAACAAAAGGTCTTCTTTTTAATTTAGTGACCCCTGTCCATCAACTTGTCCCCTTCCTCTCTCAATTTCCTTATTTCACGTCTAAAATGTCCTACTTTTCCTTAAAATTCAATTTACAACCTTCCGTGTTTCATTTCCCAAAACACGACTCTTCCTCCGCATCAATGTACATGAACTAAAAAAATTGAAACCACACAGTTCGCTCAATTATTAATGTATTTATTTTTGGAGATTGAAGAGGGCGACGAAACCAGATTTAATACTGCTCGAGGGGATTATTGGAGGGGAATTCTTTAATAAAAACGAATTTTCTGCTTTCTTCCGTTGTCCTTTTTTACCTGAGGGTATGTTTGGTTAAGCCTAGGTCAAATTGCGTAAGACATTTTGAAAGTTGACCATTATGTACAGTGTAATATAAAATTTGAAAATTCTTTCACGGACTTGGCTTCTAAGAAAACAACCTGCTGTAATTTACTATGTACATCGTTTGGTTAAATTTTTATAATGTCTCATTTGTTCGGGTATAAATGAATTTCAAGTTTTCTGACGCTTTTCTCAAAAATTCGTCATTTTCACCTAACAGATTGTTGAAAATTGTATTTTTATAGGTCACATTACTTTATATTGACTCCATTTCCCAAACAAGGGCAAAGTCGATCCCATTTTTCAAAGTCATTTGTTTTTATCGAAAATTTATAAATTTTTGAGAACATTGTTTGTTTCCCGCAAAAAATAAAGCCTGGATGTGTCACAAACGAGCTGTTTCGGCGTTCTTTGGATACGCTCACCAATCCTGCTGATATTTTTGAGCGTTTATTTTTGGAGGGGATAAGACGGGTTTTATACTGTTTTAAACAATAATAATGCTTTTTCGAATTATTTTTGAATTTTTTCGAATGTTTACAGTTCACATTTTCCGCTCAAAAAACACTAAGTTTGCCTCGATATTTAACCTTACGCTCTGCTCCTGAATTTACAAGCATCTTGGCATTTTTTCACAAATTTATTCTTTTACTCATCAAATTTTAAAATTCTGATTTTTTTACATTTCCTTAAAACTGTCTCTAAGAATAATAAAAACATACTTAATGCTAACTTCACCGTTCATTACAGCCCATTATCCCTATTAAAACCTTTTCTATCCACTTCTTTTTCTACTTTTACCTTCTCTTTCAAAAAGCGCTCAAAAATCATTTTTTTCAAAAAACTCCCACATAAGTAATTTTCGCAGGTGAAAGGACCACTTTCTGCTCGCAAACTTTTTTGTATTTTGGATTTTCTCGGATCAGCGGACTTTCAAAAAAGCCTTGAACAAATATTATTTTATAAAACATTTTTTTTTTCTGCGTTCGAATTTCTGTTTATTCCACCGAATCCTGTAGTTCTGGAATGTGTTGACGTTCCTTTGGATGTTTTTTAATTAAAAATACAATTTCTAGAGGTAGTAAAAATGTTGGACATTCTTAACTTTGTGTGTTTTTACTCTCTATTTTTTTCAAACTAAAATTTTTTTGGAAAAATTAGAAAGCTTTCAGATTTTGATTTTAAAAAAATTCTAAGACTCATGCGGGATTTTAGCTTGTGCTTTGCAAGAGCCATCGACGTTTTCTTTTTAGGTCAAAAAAGCAAAATAATCAGCACTTTTTTGAGATAAAAATACTGATTTGAAAGCAAATGTTGTAATATTTCTACGTAAAAAATTAATTTCTTGATAATTGCAGAATTATAAATGGTTTTTGTCTGTTCATTGAATGTGGTGCATAGCATGAACAGAATTTTTTTTTGCAGAAATTTATTTTAATTTCCTTTTTTTAATTCATTTTTTCTTTATTTGGACCTCTTAAACTTGTTTACACCAATTTTTCTGTTTTCCTTGCCTTATTAGTACTTCGGCGCCCTTCCTTGTCCCGTACAACAAAAAACAGATGCACACGGAATGGGAAGGGGGATTTATTCTTGTGTTGTCCGGAGATTTAATTTCCGTTCTCTCGTCTCAACTTTCGCTGTTTTTGCGACGAGGGAATCCACTGGATATCATCTGGACCCGTGGCTAATTTACGGCGATTTTTTCGATTTTTTACGAAGAATATTTTTCCATTGTAATGATTACAAGATTCAACGCGTCCCTCTGAAAAGAATTGAATATTCGAATTTTCATCTCCTAAAAATCCCGATGTGTTCTCCCAATACCGGCCCTTTCATGCCTAATGACCCATCCCTAATCACAATATTAGCGAGCTAATTCCGTTAGAAAGTTGTGACCTTTCCTGCGGTCCCCATTTTAGGACAAAGAAGAGCGCTAAAAGCTCCCCGCAAAAGTGGCATTCCTCTTTTCTTCCCGCTGATAGTTTTTCCCGCGCGCTTAATGGAACGTGAGAAGAAAATCTTTCAACTAATTTGCGGACAAAAGAGCGAGCAAATGGTTGAAGTTTCGGTCCAAGTTTGCTGGGGTTGGGGTGTCAGAGTGTTTAATTACGGTAAAGAAAACTTTTTTCTCTGACCGTTTATCTTCAGTTTTGATAGTCTCTGTCCGCGAAAATTGGCTGTCCCTGCAAAGGAAGGGTACGTCGAGTTTCTGGGCAATTTTTGTTTGTAGATAAATATTTGAATCGTATTTTATAGTCTATTTTTCGTTGTACATCAATATCTCTCCTTTTCTAAATATTTATGCCATATCAAAAATTTATTATGTATTCATTTTTCGCTTTTTCCACACCCATAAAACTCCTTCATTATTTTGTTTTCCCCTCCATCCCACTAAAATTCCCGTTTTGGCCGTCGAAAAAACCTCGTAAACATTTGAACACACTCTTCTTACAACTACTTTTGCCAAACCTCTTCAAGACCCAAGAAAAACATTTTTGGACCGCGGAATTAATTGTAAACTCAATTGTAAAGTAAATTCTCTGCAGTTATTTGAATGTCATCCCTCTACTATCCGACGTCATTATTTCGGCCGCCATCTCCAGAACCAGTGCCTCCGTACGAACCGCCTCAGGGCTGGTATGGAGAGGAGTCGGATTATGCCGAAGTTGTGATCACAAACAGGTCCGATGGAAGATACGCGGAGATCCCCGAGTATAGAGGAACCAAGCATTACGAGAAGCCGTTCTGTAAGAAAGTTTAGGGCTGGAAAAGTCAAAATTTCCCTGCAAAAAGTTAAGAAAAAGGATTTTTTAAAATAACTCAATTATCTAGATCTTATAATCTCCATAATTCCGAAAATCTCCCTTTGAATCTCTCAAGATTCTTTTTTTCCTGCGGAGGCAAGGTGGTCAGCGGAACGTTTCTCCCCTTCTTTATAACCTTCTTCCTTTTATAACATTATTCTTCCCACTTGGTAGGGAATAAATTCATAAATGGGGGTTTCTTCGCCCAAAACGAGGGCGAATTACTCTTGAAAAAAGGTGTTACAAAGCGGGGTTTTGAGGGATTCGCCTTCCGAGACTTTTCTTTGATCAGAAAGTTTTGAGAAAAAAGGCGGATTTCATTGAAAATATGACTTTTCAAGGGTAGTTTTTTCAAATTTTAAAGGAAGATGGGCTAATCACCCCTTAGGCAAACAGATTTAAAAGCTGATTTTATTCGTTTTTAAGAGGGATTTTTTCCTTTCAAAGGGGAAATTTGAATAAAAATGGGATTTATTTTATTTTTTGATGATTTTTGATGTCAAATATTAGGGTGAAAAAGTAAAAATATTCACTTGCTTTCGATACTAAATTTGCATAACAATACCGCCAAAAGTCTTTCCGAAGCAATAAAACTTTAGAAACCCCCGAAAGATAATGATCTTGTTTGAAAAAAGCCTTGAGATTACGATCAAAAACACATAAATACCTTTCTTAGAGGTTCCGAACTGTCCGAAAGCCGAAGGGAATCTTTGGAATTGCTAGAGTCAAAGACTGGGCTTTCCGCATTTTTAGTAGATTTTAGTTTTTTAATAATGATTTTTGTGTTTACTTACGTTGAAAAATTGCTGAAGGTCCTAAAATACGACTTAGAAGGCGGTATGACAATTATTGTAACTTTTTTTATTTTTTTATATTATCCATGACCTCGTAAACCGAACATTTTCTTTTCCAAAAAGCGCTCTTTTTCGGTTTACGACCTGAAGACGGGAATTTGCATAACGGATATTCCCCTTTTCGAATATTTTTACAACCTTTTCGCGCGTCGCAAAGAGGTTTACCCACCGGTTTCGACCTTGATTTTACCCTTGGCCAAACTTCCGCTCGAGTTTTGCGGGGAGATTTTTAGAGCGAAAACTTCAAATTTTTATTCGGAAGGGAATTTTTAAAGAGGGTTTGGGCTGATTAATTAGAGATGATTTGGTTGTAATGACTGAAAATTGATCGATTTTTGTTTTGATATTCGATTTTTGCAATAAAAAATTTATTTTTTTTTATTGTAGACGGTTCTAAATCTTATTTCAAGATTTATTTTTGATAATTCAGGCTTATTTTACAATATATTTCCATACTTTTGGCACAATTCCAATCCAATTCTTTTGACTAAAATGGGAGTTTCTGAACAAAATTCACATCTTTTTCCTTTTTTTGACAATTTCATCCCTTTTTTCAAGCCAAACTCAATTTTATTTTAATTTTATTTAATGAAAAACTAGAGGAAAATAAGAACTTCTTCAAAAAACTTTCATTTTGAGGAAGATTTCTCGGCGCCGGAAGGCAAATCCCCGATGGCCATTTCCGTGTTTGATGAAAAAAAAAGTTGCAGTGTGCATTTCAAAAAAACGTTGGACATTGGTTTTTATAAAAACGAGTGGTTGGAGAGCTAAATTTTGTTTCAGTAATTTTGAATTTTCGGAAAATTTGAATATTTTTTTTTTGAATTTTTGACAATTTGAATACATATTTTTGTTATGAAAAGTTATACAGAAACTAAGTTTTCGGTGACATTTGACATTAGAATATTCAAATTTTCGAAAATTAAGGTTTTAATAATTTCAAATTTAAAAATTAAAGCTTTAAGAGATTTTAAAAACGAAATATTAAATTTTTCCAAACGTAATTTGCTTTTTTCAGTCTCGAAACTCGAAGATCTGGACTATCAATTCAGGGTCACAGCCGCAAATCCAGCTGGATTTGGCCCACCATCACAGAGTTCACTGCCGGCTTCTACTTTGATTCAGACAAGGTCAACGATCCCTGCACAGAGTAAGAAGAAGTTGGTTTTTAATAAAAACGCCTAAGGCGTTACTTTCATATTTTTTTGACAAAATCTCATTTTTAGCACTCCTTCTTCCACGAATAGTCTTAGTTGATCAAGACCGTGTTATTCTCGAGTGGGATCGACCACTATCGTCTTCTCCCTACAGTAAGATTGTTGGTTTTACAGTCGAATATCGCCCTTCTGGAGTCAGTTCTTGGATTCAGGCGAACGATTATCCAGTCGACACAAACCGCTACGAAGGTAAGTAATTTTGGGAATTTTTGATGACACAAAGCAAGAGGAACTTTTTCTTTGGCATGAATTTTTAGGGTAGCCTTTACTGAAATTTGGTTTTGATAATGTTTTTGATCGATTCTCGTCAAAAAATCCAATTTTTCAGTGCTTGGTCTGCGTCCCCTCGGAGAATATGAATTTCGCGTTGTAACTCGCTATGACGATGGCAGCAAGATCCCCAGTCCCTCCACTGGCGTGATCCGCCTCGAGCCCCAGCAACAAGTAATCACCGGCCAAATCGACCGTTCATTGCCGACGCCTGGTCGTCCCGAGGTTCAAGAATCGGACCGAACTTGGGTCCGACTTCATTGGAATCCCCCTGAGGGCATTGATCGACTGCCCCTCCTGGTCTACATCGTGGAAGTGAAGGACGTTGCGGACTCGGAGTGGTTCGTTGTGGGCCCGGAACCCATCCCCACCAACGAATTCATCGCCGATAATCTTCAGCCGGACGCTGGTTACGAGTTCCGAGTTAGTGCAATGCTGGCCGATGGAACACAGTCCGTGCCGGGCCCAGTTTCGGAGATTATTCGACTAGGCCAAATGCATCCCCATTATGCGGAGGTGGACGGATTTGGGCCAAGGAATGGGCATGCCAGAGTGCCTGAAAGACCCGCACCACCAGAATATTTGGATTTCGATGGAGGAAACAGCGTCACCTTGTGCTGGCTGCCGGCGAAAAGCACTTTGCCGGTTTTGGTAAGTGATAAATTCAAAGGATAATAAGAGTCATTAGGGATAAACAAGTGATCGCTGCACCCGTGTTTAACAAGTATACTGATCTTTTTTTAATTTTTGATGACTTTTCGAACTTCCGTATCACAAAACGCTCTCATGTTGCAGCTGTGGCTCTGCAGTTTTCCGAAAGTTTTTAAAATTGGGATCAAAAGCAGAAACTTCAAGAAAAACTATCTAGTATCAAATTCTTCCTTCCAAAAATCAAAGTTTAGGCTTTCAAGAGCAATTAATAGATCCTAATACTAATATCAGAATCTGTCCTTTGAATTTTCCCATAAAAACAACTCAAATCGCCTCCTAATTGCCCAGAAAATAGCCGGATGATCCTCGAGAGTCGAACGCCATTTGATGGAATGCTGTTTTTATGACATAAAAATTCGCTTAAACTCCCATTAACGCCATTTTATGAGCGATCATCGCTCAAACCGGCGAAAGGTGTGGCCATTTCGAACAGTTGACCGGGAGGGAAGGTCCAGTTACAAGTACTTGAACAAGGTTTTGCGGGTGATTTCAAGGCGAGCAGGGGTTTGTAAATTGATGTTTGAGGAGGGTACCGTCTTAAGAGGAGATAGGAATTTGCGATTTTTAGGGGGAAAGTCAAGAAAAAATAAGAAAATTAGCTTCTTTTTACGTTTTAAAACCACAATTACCTTCACTTAAAATACCATACTTTCCCTATTTTTCCCTAGTACCTTATTTTTTTAGGGATACGACGTTGAATTCCGTGATATCATGCAAGATTCTGCATGGTACAAAGTCACGGATGCCTTGATCAGATCTTGCAAGACCACAGTCGGCTATCTTATCCATGGTCATCAATATCAATTCCGAGTCTTGGCAAAGAATGCTCATGGATTTTCGGAGCCGTCAGATCCGTCTCCGCTGATCACTATTGGATCCTTAACAAGTAAATTTTTTGTACAAATACTTTTTTTTTTATTTTTATAATCTTTGACGGCCAATCTTTTTTATATTTAAATCGGAAATTTGAGCCGGAGGCTATGAATAATCACTGAAAAAAGGAGCTGTAATAGATATGATAGAATGGAAGTTTTGGAAGAACTATGCCTTATTCGAGATTTTTTGACGGAAATTTTTTTCTTTCACGGGAAATTTGCGTTTAAAAAGTGCTGTTTATGGCCGAAGAATCTCAGATTTTGACTTTTTGATGATTATTTGGACTAAAATTTTTTGGCTTCATTCTGCAAGAAAAAGGCGTGTTCGATTTTTGGTGGAATCTTTTTAAAAAAGCGCATTTTTACCTTAAAAATCTAATATTTTGATGACTTTTCGCTGGCTAAATTATCATATCATTAAGATTAAGAAACTCCTGAAAATTGTCTTTTATCCTACGAATTCTTCGTTTATATTTCTAAAAGATTATAATCGTCAACGTCTTTCTTGTTTTTCCTCTAAAATCCACGAACTTCCCCTCCGAATCCACAGAATTATGCAATTTCCCATCGCAATCGAGGGCAAACGCTCGGATGCATCCGGAATTATATTGTCTTATAATTATTTTGCACTCAAGGCGATGTTTTTTATTTTTCCTTGTAGTAATTTTGGTTGCTTTATATGGCGATTTCAGAGGACACCAAATATTTGGAGGCGGAGCGGCACGGAGCCATTTCTTTGCTCCAGGACGAGATGATTAGAGAGAGTCCCCCCTTGCCCGACCGCGACGACTCTCCCCCACCCATGTATCGACAACCAAACAGTTCAAGTTGTAGGTTTTTGGGGAGAGAATTAAATTTTTTAATTCCAAAAATTGAAAACTTTTTTTTATATTTGACGAAAAGTTCCTAAATTGGCCACAAATGAGGGGCTAAAAGTTAACCCCCAAAAAAGGAGAAAATCCACAAATTTAATTTTTTTCATAAAATCGTCAAAATACTTTCAGTGCAATGGCGAGATCCCACGCTCAAAGAAGTAATCGAATACCTCAAAAGCAATGACGAAGAGGTTGTGAAAGACGCCTCAGGCTATTTGCAGCATCTCACATACCACAACGACCTCATCAAAGAGGACACTCGGCAGTATGGTGAGATTTCTTACATCTGTTGTCTAGTATCATATAATTTTTCTCCAAACATTGCTTTTATCCTCAACTTTTAGGTGGGATTCCCTTATTAATCAAACTTTTGCAACACCCCAACTCCGAGATTGTCCGAAATTGCTGCGGATCGTTGAAAAATTTATGCCATGGAAAGGAGAATGATGTCAATAAGAAAGCAATAAATGCGGATGGCGGAATAAAAGCCCTGGGGCAGGTGCTCAAAACTACCTCAAGTGTTCATGTCCGGGAAGAAGCAACTGGCGCGTTGTGGAATATTTCGTCCTGCGATGTGAGATTTTTGATTTTTTTATTTTTTTCGCGCACAGGGGATACTTTGTATTTTAAACCGCACTGTGCCGATTTGTCTGCGCCGTGCAAACAATTTTAAAAATTTACGAAGAAAAAAATGTGCACAGTGCAGAACTTTTTTTTATTTTTAGTCCGCATTATGCAGATTTTTCGAAAAATTTGCACCGTGAAAAATTTCCACCTACTCCGGCCGGGCCGGGCCGGGCCGGGCCGAGAAAATTTGAAGGGGGCCGGGGCCGGGCCGACCTCTTCCGGCCCCCGGGCCGGGCCGCGATTTTCGGCCCGGCCCGGCCCCCCAGCCATGTCTAGTTGGACGGTGCATTTTTTGACTTGAGATTGCACTGTGCGATAAATTTTTTATTTGTTTAACCAAAAAGGGTCACTTTTAATGCATAGATTCAAAAAAATTTCTTGCACAGTGAAAATTTTTACCGATACTAAAATAATTCTTTCAGGACCTAAAAGAGCCTGTTTTCCACCAAGTCGCCGACCTCGTTGTCTCCAACGTTGTTGTCCCCAGCTCCGGCGTTCAACATAATCAAGCGCCCGAGCATGGGAAGCACGGAACTGCGGGAGTCTTCCGAAATGGCACCGGGATCCTTCGAAATGTCTCCGCCGCCTCCGCCGAGATTCGAAAATTGCTGCGAGTAGTGCCAGGACTCATCGAAGCCCTTCTATTCTTCCTTAAAGCCGCGTTGGATCGACAACAAGTGGACAATCAGGCGGTGGAAAATGTGGTTTCCTTGTTGAGGAATTTGAGTTATCGAGTGCAAGAAGTGGTCGATCCAAAGTACGATCCCAGATTACAGACACCCAGAAGTGGAAGGGAACGGAGTAAAAGTGCGCCACATATGAGCCCTAAGGCCAAGAAGAAGGGGTTGTTCAAGAAAGGGAAGAAAGACGAGGTGCAGAATGGAAAGGTTACTGTAAGTGTACATTTCGTGATTTTCACAGGCATTTTTTCGACAATAAATGCGCAAAAAAAAGGTGTCGAATTTACGTAGTTTCATGAAATAATCACCTCAATTCCTTCTTTTTTTAGGGCCCACCCCTTCTATGGCATCCAGACACCGTCGAGCTCTACCTCCGGCTTCTCCAAGAAGCCTCTCGTCCAGAAGTCCTTGAAGCCAGTGCTGCTGCCATTCAGAATCTCGCTGCCTGCGCGTTCGAAGGCTCTGTTCAAACCCGTCAAACCGTCCGAACTCTGAAAGGCCTGCCAATTCTGGTCGAACTCCTCAAACTTCATGACGACAAAGTGGTTTGCGCAGTAATGACAGCACTGCGAAATCTCTGCATTGATCCGAAAAACCTCGAATTAGTTGTCAAATATGGAATGCGAGATTTGTTGGGCAAGTTGCCCGCGCCCGGGCAGGAAACTCGGAATTCGGAGACCTCGGACAGCACGATCGGAGCGGTCCTCGGAATCCTCTGGGAAGCGGCCAGATCGAGTGTGGAGTTGACCAAGGCAATCCACGAGAATGGAGGGAGCGATCGCCTCAGGGCTTTGGCCAAAAGCTATCCATTGTATGGCAAGAGAGTCTGCAAATATGCAACACAAGTGCTCTTTTTGATGTGGCAACATCGCGAACTCCAAGACGGATTCCGTCGAGCTGGCCTCAAGGAGGGAGACTTCTATGCCGGCACAATTCATCGACGTGGAAGGTCGGCAGCCCCCTCAAGTGATGTGGCAACACTTCGAAGACCGATTTCATCGCAAGGAAATGAACGCCCGGCGCATTTGAAGAGCGAAACGGCCGATGAAACTATGGATAGTGGAAGATATGGATATGAGACGCTAACACCGACCGGTCGAAGGGCATCCTCGGCCAGATATGCGGATTACTCACCAATGAGTCCGAGTGAAAATCGATCAATGAGCGCAAGACCCGATCCTGGACTTTATGCGGTAGGTTTGCGAATTGTAAGATGATTCATTGGTGTGATTGCAAAGTTCGGGCTAAAATCTCCTTATAAATAAGTGTTGTTGCGCGAGAGAAATAGATCCCAAACTGCATACAATAAACTCTAATATCCCCTTATTTCAGCCAGGAGAGCCCCTCTACGCCGCTGTCCACAAGAAACAGATCGACTCAGCGCGTCGTGGATCCATCGGTGGTGACAGCTGGGTGTAAATTTCCTCCTCTACTGCCTCAACCTTGGTCTACACAATTAAAGTTTAGTATTGTTATTTATCTCCCCCATTGTCTTTCGCAGCTCTCATGTTCTCTAAATTATCGAATATATTCTTCATGGGTTCATGTTCGACTTCAGGAATGCCATTTCTCTCTTTTTCCTTCCTCAAAACAACCGTTGTTGTCTATAAAATGAATGCTTTTACGTAATTCGATGCAATTTATCAAATCCGAATGTGCAAATATTGAATAAAGTTTATGACATTGGATAGAAACCGGGTTGATTGTGGAATTTATCTTCGTAGGAGAGATAGCCTTGAAATTTCGCACACCGGTTCCAAAGTAGCCCAAAAATCGCTCGATCAAAGTTTTCTCTGCACTTGGCTATCCAAATCTTCAGCGAAAATTTGTGCGACAAAAGTATTTGACAATCAATTGCAAAGGATGCATTTTTCCCAAAGATTGAGAAACTCCAAGCCACAGTGAATGTTCCTCCGGTCGGGCGGATCAATTATGGGACCTCTATCTCTGCGAAACGTACTCTAAAACACTAAAGCTACCTTTCTCAACAATTTTACTCGTCCATAAAAAAGAGTGCCTTCAAACCTATTGTCCCATTTCTAAAATGTGTCAAAAAAGGCTGTTTCTACCTGTTATGGTTTCTCTTGTATGCGCTGGACTAGGTATTCAAAACCTCCAGACAGAGATCACCGATGAAATGATTGATTATTATACTAACCGTCCTATTCATTGCAATTGCACTCAACGATATAGCGATCTCACCTATGGATTTTCATACATTCCATGTATTTCTGGGGTCTGCACGATGCCTCCAAATGGGTGTAAGAGAAATTTTAGAGCTTTTCTGGCCCTGGTTTTACCTTACGATACAATTTTTAGCCTGTGAAACACTTCAAATTTATGGAACTGGTTATGGCGCTCGTTGTTCTCATCAGAAAATCGACGGGGATTCCTGTGAAATTGTAATTACAACCATCGGAGTGGCAAATAAATGCTCCTGCGACGACGAGGATTACTGTAATTCAAAGTTTGCGACGACCAAGCCTAATGTCACCGAAGCCGATTACGTGGAAGATAGTGAAACTGTAGCCCCTCCAATTTCCGATGAAGATCTTGCTTCTTCATTTTTCAGCGACGGAGACGGCGAGGCCGGAGAAAAAGATATGTTTCATGAAGATGTCATCAAAATGTATATGGATAAGGAAAAAGTGTGGAAGGAAATTCAGGATGAAAAGGATGGTGTTGCAAAATGGGATGCAGTGGTAACGATAGTAACGGGTCTTGTGGGTGTGATGATTGTAGCGTGTTTAGTTGGTCTAGTTGGCTATACTTGCTACCGGAGTTGTGGAGAGAAAAAGAGAAGGGAACGTGGAAATGATCAAAGGGAAGCAGTCAGGATGGAGGAGATGAGATTAAAAGAATGCAAGGAGAGAAATCGACGGCCAAATAAAGATGCCCAAATAAATTCTACGGCCTCTGAAATACATGGATCTGCTTCAAACACAACCTCCGACGAGATCCATACTGCCCTAATAAACAACGACAAGAATAAAACTTGTACAAAGAAGGAAAGGGTCACCATAACTATTGAACCGAGCCCATCAATAGAAAAAAATCAATCGGTTGCAGTCCCTTCAGACCCTTCCCACCTTCCCAGCTCGTTACAACCTCCCTCGTCCCCTTCCAGCATCACCAAAAATTGTTCTCAACGACAATTCGGCATTCCCTGGGTTCCTCAAAAACCCTCCAAGCCTGATAAGAAAGTGTGTTACAATACTTCCTCAAAAGACGCTAAAATTGAAGGATGAATGACAATACTCAATGTGCAGCCAGCACTTATCACAACCCAGTAGTCATGAGATTTATTACCGCTGAATAAAAATCTAGTTACAAAAATATCTGTTATTTTATTTTAAAGATTCTATTTAGAGAAGTGCTTAGGGCCGTAGTTAGCCTCTTCGCCGGGAACAAAGACATCGAGTTTTAGAGGAGCACCTGAAATTAATAATCAAAATAAATAATAAGGCAGCACCAGTCACTTTGCTCGCAAAAACAGACGAGACAATATCAAATCAAGCCCAGGAGCACTATGACATTTCAAAGGGAATTTCCGTACGGCCCACCCTGTATCCACATAATATTATTCAAAAATATCGAAAATCATCATGTATAAGGTAATTTATTTATAGCTACATTTATAAATTTTGATATGTGTATTCCAAACAAAGAAGTCTTCTACTTCTTCTGAAGAGTGTCAGGCTTGTATGACGCTTCTCCACCAGGGACAAAAAAGTCCGGCAACAATGGAGCACCTAGAAACCTCGCATTAGCAAAAAAGCACCCTTTTCCAACATCTTTGCCCCTCACAACATTACCTCTACTTCGTCAAACAACACTTCAAACCCTTACCTTTCACAGCCGCATATTGTTCCAGATCCGTGATGCCTTCTTTCTGCAAAATTTCTTCATCGATCACAAAATTTCCAGTGAATTCGCGCGAATTTTTGGACAAAACAGCATAGGCAGCGTCAGCAACGATGTCCGTAGTCCTGGTTCCACTCGCATCTCCGCCTCCACTTAGCATGGCCATAGCTGCGGTCCAGATCGCAGTTTTTGGCCAGAGGGCGTTCACGGCAATTCCGTCGGGGCGAAATTCTTCGTGCATTCCGAGAACACACATCGACATTCCGTATTTGGCAATGGTGTAGGCTGAAAAGATAGGGGTCATACCCTGATAAAGCACAAACAGTGCAACAACATCTCTCACCCGTATATCACACTTACCAACATGATGTTGAAACCAGACCTTATTCATGAGAAGAGGTGGGGAAAGAGTCAAGATATGGGGGTTCTCGGCTTTCTTCAGATGAGGAATGCACTTTTGAGACCTATAAAACACAATAAAGACGGTGATTCTCATCTTAGGATATAACATTTTATTTACAACATACGAAATTAGACTTACAAAAGGAAAGTTCCCCGAGCATTCACTTGATTCATCAGGTCATATCGCTTCATGGGGGTTTGTACAGTACCGGTCACGGATATGGCACTAGCATTGTTGATGCAAATGTCAATTCCACCGAATTTCTTGACAGTTTCTTCAACTGCTTTCTGAACACTTTCTTCGCTTCTAATGTCGCAAATGCAAGGTAATCCTTTTCCACCGGCCTAAAGGAAAGATTATGGGATTCCACAACTTATTATACACGGAAATGCGATCGACTTACCTTTTCAATTTCCTCCACAGCGGTATAGATAGTTCCTGGAAGTTTTGGATGAGGAGTCGTGGTTTTCGCCAAGATAGCAACATTAGCTCCATCCTTAGCCAATTTAATAGCAATAGCCTGGCCGATTCCTCTCGATCCACCCGAAATTACCACCGTTTTCCCCGCGAATTTACTAAAATTGCATTGACTATAATTTAAGCTTTTCTTACCCGGTATTGATCATTATCCGTTGATTATGTTATTCCAATGGCAAGAAGAAGACAAAATCCGAACCTGGAACGAATTTGTCAACAAATAAGAGTTGTTGCAACGCGTTATAACGGTAAAGGGTCTCAAAACAACTGGCAACAACAATAAAAACCCTTTTGATTTCCCGACCCAACCGATCCTTTGGGTTTGCGATAAACATTCCGCCGAAAAACGTGAAAACAGACTCTTTTTATCAATGCACTTTTTTCAGTGTTTTATGTTCGGAAAGTGGAGAAAAATGGTCATTACATAAACCTTGAGTGGTCTATGGTAAAGTAATGAAAACTCAAGGGAACTCAACGTGTGAGACAGAAAGCACACCCAAACTGTTTCTGAATCACAAAAAATTTGCCCTTTATTCATCACTGATCAGTGATCACCACGTTTTTCAAGATTTTTTTTTTATTTGTTGCCAAAACTTCCTTTTTATTGTGAAAAAGGTTTCGCGGCTCGCGCCCACAATTTTTGCAGTCTGTGAAACACTTGCGCCCAAAATGCTCACAAAAATAGGTAAAAATTCCTTATTCTGGCCACAACTTATGACTTTGCGGAAACTTGTCAGAATTAGCCCAAATTTAGCGTGCAGGCTCATTTCATCGTTGTCAGTGCCCGGACAGTGGAACTTTTTCCCAGGAATAATTGTAAGAAAGATTTTTTCAGCGTTATAGCGCAAATTGTATAACGTGCCTTCACATTAGAATTGTCTTTTCGTAAGGTACTTAATTTAGCTAATTTTAGATCATATCCGAAACCATCTGTTAAGATGGAGCAACCAAACGACATAATTATCCACAACTTCACAACCATTGTTCGAGCTCACGCCACTCACGGAGACCAGGCCATAGTGAAGTTTTGTAAGGAGAAAGGAATTTTGGGAAAAGTGCCCCAATGTCCAAATTGTTCCAGCCCGCTGTTGGAGAGAACGGATTCTTCAGCGCCCGATGGGCTCAAGTGGAGATGCCGAGGGATGATTCAAACTGAAGCAAGAACGAAAAAATGTCAATTTTCACGCTCATATCGGAAGGACACATTCCTTGCCCGAGCCCATTTACCAGCATGGAAGGTGCTGGGCTTCATCGACTTATGGTTAAAGAAGGTTCAACTTAACGCCATTGCCGATCTCCTTGATATTGGTAGTTCGGAAACGATGTCAGATTGGAGCTCTTACTGTAGGGAGGTGATGTTTGACGCTGCCGTCTTAAATGCTGAACCCCTTGGCGGTCCTGGCAAGACTGTGCACATAGACGAAAGCAAATTCGGGACGCGTAAATATCGTAGAGGACATCGGGTCGAAAGTAAATGGGTTTTTGGAGGAGTGGAAGAGGAATCAGGCCGTTCCTTTATGATTCCTGTGAAGCACAGAAGTAAGGCTTATCTTCTTCCGATATTACAACACTTTGTTCTGCCGGGGACTACTGTTATATCGGATTGTTGGAAGGCTTATGACTGTCTCAAGGATGAAGGGTTTAGGCACTATTCCGCTAGCCATTCAATTCGTTTCAAAGCCCCAGACTCCGGTGTCCAAAAAAATACCTATAAGTGCCTTTGGCGGTACGCTAAAGAGACCACCGGCTCTCACAATACGAAGGGGGAATTCCTACCCGGTTCTCTGGCCAAACATTTCTTTTTGAAGTCGTGCCGGATCAGGGAAGTGAACCCTTTCTTAGAGTTTTGCACCTTGGTTGCGTCTCTTTACAATGGTATTAATGAAGCCTCTCCCTCCCCACGGTGTAAAGCCTTCAACGACCTCAATTCCGTCTTGGATTCTTTGGAAACGAACGGCGAAATGAAAGAGGAAGTGGAATAAATTCGATTGTTAAGACAGAGATTTTTACTAAATAAACGTTGTTGTCTAAATGCTACAAGTCGGAGGTCTTTTACTTTTTTAGCTGCTCGCTGGAGCTACGTTTCAGCTTGCTTTCGAGCTGCGCGCTACATTTTCAGCTAACTTTTAGTTAGCGCAAACAGATTTTCCATTTATTCAATATTGGCATCCCGCCTTTTGCCATTTCGTCTCGAAAAATATTTTGCAAAAAAAATTTGAGCAAGAAGTTGATACTTGTTCCCCTGGTGAACCTGTCAGGAATCGTAAATGGGCTACATCGACAATCTGCAGAGTCCTCGGCTTCCCAGTGACCCATCCACATCGAGAGGTGCAGATACCAACAACTGCTCCTTTAGCGAAAAGTTGGCGAAATACAAGGTTCTGTCGCTTCATCAATCAGTTAGACTGTACGATGTGGACTTTGGCAACAAATCTTTCAGAATTCACACTGATATTCAGATTCTACCGATGCAGACCAAAATCAAGGATATTGTCATGCATATAGGTGAATGTAAGTCAAATGACTTGTTTCGTTTTTGTCTTTAGTTACGATTATCGCCGTAGGAGTTAGAGATGGGTGAAACGAATGTCTTAGCTCGCTTTCAACGATAGTGTTTACTTCCAGACTGCTTTCTTCCCAATGAACAAGGAGACAATCACTTTGGAACAGTAACCTTAGATGGAGTCCCTTGCAAATACCGTCGGAAGCGGTTGGATTTCAAATTAGATAATCACATCAATTCTATGAACCTAACATCTCTCAAGAAATCGTCTTCTGATGCTTTAGCTAAATTTGAAGGCGAGTTATTCATCGAAGTTCCACATGATGTACAACATAAAATGCAAGAGCGAAAAGTCATAGTGTTGTCCATTGATTGTCTTGTCAAATGTCCTGCCTATGTGAGTTCATAGGTTATTTGTTTATTAAATTTTAGGGTATTTACTTTGCAAATGGAGGAAAACGGGGAGACGGAGCTCATGTCTATACCTACAGGTCTGGATTGATGTCTAGTACAAAGGATTGGCTGCCTTGTTTCGACGCACCTGATCAGCTAAACTTATGGCGGCTTCAGTTTGATGTCCCGTTCAAATGGACAGCATTATCTAGTGGAGAACTTGTGGTATGACGGAATTGATGTTAAAACAGTTTGTTCCAGGAAGTGGAAGCGCTGTCAGATGAGTCTCTTAAGACGTACGTCTATGTTCTTGGGACCCCAACTCCTGCTTCAAACATTGGCTGGGCAATTGGCGACTTTGAAGACACAATACAGCCGGAGATGCCGGATGTAAGCAACGAAAATATAAAAATTTTGGTTTACACTTTATGTTTCTGTCTGAATGTCATTGTTTGGTCCAAAACTGTCGTTTTAGGTATCTAGCTACAGTCCGCCAGGTGTCCAGTCACTTGTCAAGCACACCTTAGCCACTTTACCTCGGGTCTTTACCTTCATTGAAGAGACTCTTTCTTGTCGATTTCCGTATGCCTCTTATAAGATGGTATTCGTCGATCAACCTCCAGAAGAATCTCAATCATATGCTGGGATAACAATGTTCAATATCAACTTGTTGTATCATAAGAAAATTTTGGATACAGTTCAATCTGTCCGGCAAGTCGTCGGATTAGCGGTGGCCTCTCAATTCTTTGGATGTTTTGTGAATGCACGGTGCTTAGAAGATCTCTGGGTGGTCAAAAGCTTAGCCATGTAAGTTCATCAATATGTGGTTGGTTTGATTTTACGTTGAGGCTACGTAGATATTAGTATTTTACCGGTTGTGTTTTGTTTTAAACCTTGCCTTGTACAGGGTCTTTCAAGAAATGTGCAGGAAAGTAGGAGGCTATAACTTTCGGCGGAGGCGGCGCAGAGAGTTCGTTTTTGGAATATGTATTTTTCAGTGACATTATTTTTTGCCTACGAAATAACAAGCTTTTCGAGTGCAAACTGAGGTCGCTACGACCTTCTGAAGTAAAGGCATCTCTACCCCGAAAACCAGGGTTTTTCGGTTGAAAATGATCGAGAAATGTCGGGGTTTTTGGGGGGTTTCGATAGAGCTGACGTTGAAAACAGGGAAGGGAATTGCCAACACGTTGAAAATTAAGAAAATATTCGGCTGCTCTTCATTCTGACACTTTGGCTAGCCAGTTTTTGTTAGCAGTTTAAAAGTTTGGTTGTCATTCCTGTCCTTTGACGCCCATTACACCCTTTGACTAGTTTTTATAAGACTTCACAGCCATTCTGGTTCCTTGGCTAGCCGATTCCAGGTTCCTCAAATCCCTAAATGATGTCACGCTTCTCCGCGGAAGATACCGAAAAATAAACTCGAAATCTGCCCCAAGTTGAGGCTAGCCGAATATTTGCTAAATTTCCAACGTGTTGGCAACATCCTTCCCTTTTTTCAACGTCAACTCTATCGGAACCCCTGAAAAAATCCGACATTTCTTGGTGATTTTCGACCGAAAAACTCTGAAATTTCTCGATCATTTTCAACCGAAAAACCCTGGTTTTCGGGGTAGAGATGCCTTTACTTCAGAAGGTCGTAGCGACCTCAGTTTGCACTCTAAAAGCTTGTTATTTCGTAGGCAAAAAATAATGTCACTGAAAAATACATATTCCAAAAACGAACTCTCTGCGCCGCCTCCGCCGAAAGTTATAGCCTCCTACTTTCCTGCACATTTCTTGAAAGACCCTGTATATTACACTTGATTATTTTTAAGTCGTTGTCGAATTATCTTGTTTTCCTTGACTAATTTGAACAGCATGCCTTATTTTACATGTTCTCACTTTTTTCCCTGCATCCTAATTATTCCGAGATTTATGGCCTTACTTTAGGCATCTAACAGCTCTTTATGTGGAGAAAACCTTTGGCTCATCAGAATATCACTATTTGGTCAACAAGTTAATGGAGCAAATATGCGACTATGAGACAAGTTTCGGCCCGATTATACTACAGCCGAAATCCCCACAGCAACAGAACCATCTCTACTTTAACCCGAGCTATCCAGAAACCTGCTCTCCTCATTATGCTGAAGCTAGATATAAGAAAGGACAATTTGTAATGAGATGTTTGCAACTGAAATTAGGAAAAGAACATTTTTTAAAGGTGAGGAGAAGACATTTTGAGGCTTGTAGTAGGTGATTATGTAGTGGGCTGAAATCAGTTGAATGTAATTTACGGGGCTAAAAAATATGTTTTTTACATTCCTATGCTTTAGGTGCTAAATCGAATGCTCGTCGTTGCCAACCAATTCAGTCAAAATTTGGATAAACCTGCCGAATGGTCCCATATGATCGTATCTTGCGAGTCCTTCTTCAGAACTGTTATTTCAGTAACAGGAAGAGAGTTATCATACTTCATGGATCTTTTTGTCTACAATGGTGGACATGCTAATTTCGATGTGAATTTCCAGCATAATCGAAAAAGAAATATTGTGGAATTGGAGCTAAAGCAGGATGTGCGGAGTGGAAGCAAGGGCAAAATCGAATATGTTGGGCCATTGACCATTTCAATTCAGGTAAAAATACAATAGACGTAATGTTTCATAAAAATTTTGTTTTAGGAATTGGATGGATGTTTCACACACACAGTCCAGATCGATGCCAACACTTCCAAACATGATTTGCAGTGTCACTCGAAGGGAAGAAGACAAAAACGAAAGAAAGTTCCTTTATCGACTGGAGAGGAGTTGGATATAGATCTGAGCGCTCTGGATGCGGACTCTCCAGTTATGTGGATACGCATTGACCCTCAAATAGAACTTCCGAGAACTTTAAAAGTAAGCTTGGTTAAAATTTTTATTGATTTTGTTTGAGAAATTTGTGAACGGAGAAAAATTTTCTTGCTCTGGGCAAAAGGCTTCTGTTTTAGATAGCTCAACCTCAGAATCAATGGGAATACATGTTGCGTTATGAACGTTGCGTCATCGCCCAAACTATGGCCATCGAAGCTCTGCAGCACTTCCCTCTTCAAAACACCCATAATGTCCTGGTCGAAGCAATAAACAACCCAAAGTTTTTCCATCGAGTTAGGTCAAGAGCCGCGTTATGTCTTACAGAAGTGTCAAATCGACTTCCGGATGGTCTAATCAGTGGAAAGCCGGCATTGATCGACTTTTTTGAAAAGAATTTTGGGTGCTCGGCCAATCCTTCGATACCAGCTCTTCATAACTTTGTTGCTACCAGCAGTAATCTTCAGAGATACATTCTGATGTCGGTAAGTCGGATCTGCAGTGCCTTTAAGGCGATCTTGGATTTTTTTGAGTGGGTTTTGGCCAAAATTTAAGTTATACATCTCAAAAGAAAATATTTTAGTCTCTGCCTCCGGCTATTGGTCGAATGCGAAGGGAACTGAAGCATTGTCCTCGAGAGATCACCCGCTTCTTGTTAGGCCTGCTGCAGTTCAATGACAACTCGATTAATCGGTACTCCGACGACCATTATCGCTCCGCCCTGATTGGAGGCCTGACTTCGTCGATCACTCAAGCCGAAAGAAGCCTTGGAGAAGCGGGAAGACCAGAGGCATTGAACGAAGATATTGATGAAATGATCATGGAGATTACGAGAGCGCTGAATATGGATCAACTAGAGCCGAGTTATCATAAAGTTGTGAGCCAGGCTTGTTTGAAGTGCATTTTGGCGGTAAGTCATGGGCCGTGTTGCATCGTAGAAGGGTTTTTATGGGTATAAGTTTAGAAATTAGAGATAAGATTTTAGGGATCGCGTCAGCGTGATATAACTCATTAATTTTCAGTTACAACGCTTCAATCACCTTCCACTTGACCCAGAAGTTTTTTGGACTTTTGCCGAAAGTAAATCAGTCTTCAATGGAGTAAGTTACCACATTTAAAAAGTTAACCTTGCATTTAGCTAAGAAAGACCGCTCTGATGTGCCTCTGTAGCATGATCCGTAGAACTCATAACCCGCAGCTGATGCCGACTATCAACAAATTGTTCGATCTCTTGGTGAAAGATGAAAGCCCATTTATCCGTCATGGTTTAGCGACTCTGATACTTCCTAAAACGCCATTTGCATACAGTGCGGAGTAAGTTTAAGGGATTGGGACTCTTTTATGTTGTGGAGGTGCTATTGGGATTGATGGATTTTTGGTTGAGTAAGATGTATTTGTGGGAAGTTAGGGTAATGTAATTGATGATTGGGTTGAGAAATAGATTAAGAATGTTTGAAATGACTTCCTTGAGTTGTTTAATAAAATATGTTTTTACTTGGTTTCGCTTTTAGTGTCATCAACAACCTCTCTTACTTTTCAAACACCAAGGATATGGCCACAAAATTGTGGAAGTTAGCCACCGATATGACGCTGGTAAGCACCAAAGATTTAATTTTGATTTTATAATTTTAGGAACCAAAAATTCGCGTGCAATTGGTCGATATCTACTACATGATGTATTTGATATACACTCCTCTTGTGTTGCGACCAAAGCATGAAATTGAAGATTTGCAAAGAAGGCAACATGAAGAAATGAAAATGGGCGGCGGGCCGAGTTTGATTACATAGGAGGAAGTTGATAATTGGATGTGTTAACGACGATGAGACGGGTTTTTTAGTTTACTTGTTGGATATATTGTTGTTGAACCTTAATTTATTTGCATTTCTTACGAATAATTGATAAATACCTCGATTTTTTTGAATTTTTGGATGTTTTAAGGCGATTGATGGTTGATAGCCGGAAAATATTTGACCATAATATCGTCTATGATATACGGGGACACTTTTTATGTCCATTTTAATAATTAGGACTTAATTATACAAGTTATTTTACCATCTTTGGCAATTTTTCAAAACTATTTTTAGTAAAAACTGCTCAAAATAAATTTGAGCGGACCTCAAAATGACGGACGAGGTGTTTGAGGACCCGCAGAAGACCATGGACGATTTGAATCAGCGTTTACAACAGCTTCCCCTATCAGATCCGAGACGTCAAAGACGCCCTTCAGACGATCTTATACCCGATCCCAATGTGTTAGAAGAACTGGAGCAACATGCTAAAGCCATCTCATCTAATTTGGATATGACTTTGAGGGATTTGAGGGGTACATAATTCATTTTTTCAAAATGTTTTGTGGGTTTATATCAAGTATAATACAATTCTTTTCAGGTCTGCTCCGAGGAGTTAGTGATTTATCTGTAGAATCGATTCAGGTATTCAATCAAGTGATTTGTGGAACCTGTGACTCTGTGGATTCTGTGATCAGGTCGATTTATACGGTAGGGAGACATTTTATACGACAGAAGTTTTAGATGGTCGCAAAAACTGAAGAATTGAATACGACTATGCTCACGGTGCAGAAATTGGCAAAGCAAATGTAAGTTGGGATAGTGAGATTGGTTTGGAATTTATTTTATGCGAAAATTGCTGTATTTTAGGCAAAAATTTGTTGTTCATGATGACGTTTTAATTTTTTTGGACTCTTAGAATAATATAGATGTTTCAGAAGCGAAATCAAAGCCCTTGTTGACCAATTTGAAGCTCAATTTATCGAAGCTCAGGCCTCATGATCTCACTGACCTCAATCTTTCAACCGTTTCTATTAATGCTGCACTTGCTTTTCTTATTTTGTTAGTTTTGATAGCGAAATCTCTAACCAGCCCCATGTAAATTTGTTAAATAAATTATTTCTATCTTGAAAATCCTATACGGTTTTATTTTACTTGTGAAATTGTCGATTTACATACATTTCAATGGATTTTTTTCTATTAATCAGGATTATTTTCTGTTTATTTGGGGAAAAAAAATGTTTTGTTACACCCCAAATTATTTGCAATGTAATTTACCGAGGCGTAGGAGAAGGTCAAGTACCTTCAGTAAAAGAATTCGCCTTGGTCTTTTCTGATCTTTTTTCGCATGGAAAATCCCTTGCGCTTTCCCATTTTTTACTTGACCCACCACGGTCTTTTATTTTCATGCAGCATTGGTTTTAAACGGTCATTTATGGAAAGTTTTTAGTAGAAGCGAAAAAAATGTCTGACAAAAGAAGAATTCAATTGCAAATTGGTTAAACAAAGGACATAATTTTAATTGGGTTTAAATTGTGTGCTTTTTTAACCTAAAAATTTAGAATTTTCGCATTTTTTAGTGATTTTTGATCAAAAAATTACCAATTTTGCAAAATTATTTTTCCGAATTAAAAAATTCCTGCAATCTTTTTCCATACAGAAGTACTACAATCGAGCCTGCATTTTTGTTTACGCCTTTCATCCTAGAAACAGGCTCAGAACCCGAATCTAAACTACAGACTATTTCTTAACATCCAGAGTCGTCCCCAGCTATATATAGCCTGAATTTCTATTGGCCATTTTGGACATCTACGTCCATTTTTCTGCTGTGACTCACTTTTAAAAAATTTTTTTTTGACTTCCAGATTTTCGAAATTTCCAATTTTCTTTTCGTTTTTTCTAAGCAATTGGGATTCCCCACGTCATAGCGCGAGGATATTTAAACGCGGATATGTTCATGAGTCAGCAGTTTGTTCAAGTTGTGAAGTCCAGAGAAGTTACAGTAACCTTTAATACTTTTGTCGATTTTTGAGGATTTTTTTGTTTTTATTTTCAGAAATTTTTGATGATTTTGTTTTTTGACGGGGTACTCAAATGCCATTTGGAAGAGAGTAAAAATTAGTTTTGATTAGGAACACGTTCGTTTTAACCAAGAATTAAAAGTTTTTGTTGATTTTTTTAATGTTCCAAATTCTGATTGTTATATATTTTTGGTAATTTCATTTTTTATTGCCATATTGTTTTTTATCTTTGGAACTTGAAAATGCCTTTTTTGACTGGCAATTTATATTATCCATAGCAAAATTTATGTTCTTCCAGATGTCTGACGACGAATACAATGAGGGCTATGATGAAGGCGCTCCAGAAGAATACAACGACGGTTACGATCAAGGATACGATCAAGATGAGAGCGGTTATGATCAACAAGGGTATTACGAGCAAGATGAGCCTGAAGAAGAATATGGAGAGGTAGAGAAGAATGAGGCCTATGAAGAACCGGCAAGTGAGAATTATGAGGAGCAAGAAGAGCCGGAGGGTTATCAGCAGCCAGCAGAGGAGGAGGAATATCATCAAGGATCGAATTATGCCGAAGTTGAGGAACCTCAAGACGCTGGAAGTGGAGTCCAATTAGGTGGATTTGTGAAGGACGCGATGGACGGATTTGGAGGCGGATCCATTCATGATGTCGTAGATACGATTCAAAACATTGCTGGAGGCAGTGGAGGTAATATTTCGAACATTTTTCGTTTAATTTTAGATTTTAATCACGTTTGGAACATGAATCAAATGTTAAAATTGTTAAATTTTGATGGTGGCGCAATTTTATGCCAAAAGGATGCATAAAACTGCATTGCAAAGTGTCTCCCGTTTCGGAGGCTTCGTGAAATTGTCTAAGTACTCTGAGTCATTCGAATTTTACCTCATGACGTCTTTTGTAAAAGCAAATGATGTTCAATTTTGGCATTAGTCATCACTAAATCGAGCAAAGCTTCCGAAACCTTCCATCTTCTTGGAAGTTTTTGTAGCGGGCCTAAAATTAGGGCTCCTGTTGGACTGCTGACAATGGGAAGGTTTGAAAAAGGTGATTTTTTATCTGAAAAAAGGGTCAGTGGTTTCCCAGGGAGATTTTAATATTTATAAATTTAAAAATTTTATCTCTTAAGATACGGTAATTTTTAGGTTTGTCCAACATCATGGCCAGTGGCGGACTGGAGACCATTGCTGCCGGCCTCATCGCTACTGCTGCCCATAAATTCTTTGGGATAAATCCGGATACTGGAAGAATAATTGGAGCGATTGCCGGAAATGTCATCTTCCAATTGGGGGGAAAACACAACAGTTTGAGTGATATTGGCAAGATCGTCTTGGACAATATTGTTAGCGGGAAATATAAAAGAAAGGTAAAATTTGAAAATTTTTAGTCATCATTTTTTGTGATCAAAGCAAATTTTTACTAAATTGTAATTGATGTATCAAGATGAATATAAAGAGGTAAATGGTTTAGGTTGATCCGTTCATCTCTCCAACTCCCGGAGTCCAGAGCTTCAACCTCGACTTCAACACTGAACGTCAGCGATGTCTGGATGAACGAAGGCTTTTTGAGGACCCCGAATTCCCAGCTGCTGATTCCAGCTTGTACTTCAGCAAACGCCCGAAAATGGAAATCGAATGGAAACGTCCTGCAGTGAGTTTTCTATTTCCGTGGAACAAATTTTTTTAGTGGACGTTTCGGAGAAAGATTTTTTTAATGTCTCAAAATTAACAAAAATATTTTTAGGAGATCGTAAGCGATCCTCAGCTGATTGTCGGTGGCGAATCTCGCTTCGATGTGAAGCAAGGCGCCTTAGGCGATTGTTGGCTTCTCGCCGCCACGGCCAATCTGACTCTCCGTGAAGAATTATTTTATCGTGTAGTCCCTCCAGACCAAAGTTTCACGGAGAATTACGCCGGAATCTTCCATTTCCAGTTCTGGAGATACGGGAAGTGGGTGGATGTTGTGGTAGATGACAGGCTGCCAACTCATAATGGGGAATTGGTGTATATGCACTCGGATGAGCATAATGAATTCTGGAGTGCACTTCTGGAGAAAGCTTATGCTAAGTAAGTGATCGTTTTGAAGGTTATGTTTTAATCGGATATTTTTATTGACGAAGTTTTGCTTTTTGTCATGGATAATGTAAAAATTTCAGACTCTACGGTTCTTATGAGGCCCTGAAGGGTGGATTTACGGCTGATGCCCTCGAGGACTTCACTGGAGGTCTTATTGAAGACTATGACATAAAAGAATTGCCGAAGGAACATCTCTTGGCCTTGATGGTTAGAGGCTTCCAGATGGGGTCTCTTTTTGGATGTAGCATTGATGTAAGTGCCATTTGACAAATAGATCTTTCTTCTGACATCGACCAAAACATTTGTCTTTGCAGGCCGATCCAGAAGTCACTGAAGCTCGTTGCGACAACGGCCTGGTCCGAGGCCACGCCTACAGTATCACTGCCCTTCAAACCGTCTCAGGCCCTCGAGGCATGACTCCAATTTTAAGAGTACGAAATCCCTGGGGCAATGACACCGAATGGAACGGCGCCTGGGCGGATGGAGCCCAAGAATGGGACTATGTGAGCTACGAGGACAAGCACAAGATGCAAGTGGTATTCAAAGCAGATGGAGAGTTTTGGTAAGTTACAGTAGTCCAAAATACTTTCTGGGGCCAAAATATACTCTCCGAACGGGTGAAGACGTGAATTTTTAATTGCAGGATGAGCTTTGATGACTTCGTCAGAAATTTCGAGAAGTTAGAGGTTTGTAACTTGGGTCCAGGTGTGATGAATGAAATCGCCGAGATGACTGGGGTTGCACAGGTCCCAGAGTCCGCGTGGACTGAATTCCAAGCCGACGGGCAATGGCTGGATTCCCAAGGAACCGCTGGAGGATGCCAGAATAATTGTAAGTCTGGGATTTTAAAATTATGAATTTTATGAGATTTTTATTGAAAAAAAAATTAATTAATTTTTTAAATGTAAAATTTCTATTGCTTTGTATCTCACAATTTCTTATAGTGTACATGTATTTTGTGCATCTATTTTCAGCCACCTACGCCAATAACCCTCAATATGGCGCTAAAATTACAATTGGAGATAATTCAGTGGAACAAGACGGAAAGGCCACAGTTATTGTCGCTCTACTCCAGAAATACCGCCGAGAACTGCGTGTGGCTGGACTTGATAATTTAGCCATTGGTTTCGCCGTCTACGAACTTCCTAGACCAACAAGACAAGGCCCGGATTACCTCGACCATGCCCATAAAGTGGCCAAGAATCCAGTGTTCATAAACAGTCGTGAAGTCACTGCCAGATTCAGAGTAACGCCAGGAGAATATCTAATCATCCCGTGCACCTTCAAACCTCACGAGGATGCGGAATTTTTGTTGAGGATCTACACGAGCGGAAAGGTTGAAGCTGGGTACGTTTTTGGTTCAACATAATAGACAGATTTTGATCTTCCAAGATTTCGATAACCAATGAGACAGGAAATAGAATTGATAATATTCATTACATATAACCGTTTCTCTATATTATCCATGACCTCTTTTCAGGTACTTGAGTTAAATCGATACCCCCGATCCTTCAGCCAGTTCACCACTGTCACCAACTCCGCTCTCGACTCCACCTCCTTCAACCCAACGTCGAAAGTGTATTTTGCATCTTCTAAGCAGTTATGCGGCTCGAACTCATCATCCTTGTAGACTCTACATCTGACCATCGCCTTTCCCAATCCCAAAGCGGCCAAAAACTTGAGTTGCGATGCTTCGTCCATTAATTTATACTGTGATATACCTTCATCATATACCTAAAAGCACAATACTGGTCCAGTAAATCCTATGACTTACATTTACGTCGGCTATTTGATCCATCTGAGGGCTCCAATGATCCATTATGTATAAGATACTTTTGACATCGAATGAAGTGAAGACAGGGCAGATTAGACGAGTTGAGACATTTCTTTCCTTCCAAGAGGACATTCTAAAAGAAATTGTCTTACATGTGAAAGCTTTGGGGTATTACACATATTATTATTATCGCATGGACAATATAAAGACGATTAAAATCTTCTATATTTTGAATGGGAAGAATTTATTCAGCTGCGATGTTCAATGAAGACAGTAGGAGACCGCAAACATCTCAAACCCACAGTTTCCCTCTTCAAATAAAGAGAACGGAAGGTGTACTTGACATTAACAATAGCGTAACAGAAGAATGAGAAGACCTTCCCATGAAAAAAACTAAATTCCAAAAACGGGAAAACTCAGAAATGGCTTACCGGCTACTCTTAAATTTCCGGGTCGGCTGGATATCGTTCTTCTTTCGTCTATACAGCGCTCCTTTCGAAATGATTCATCTTATCTGGTTCCCTCCAAAGGAACACCGTTTTTATTGGCGATAAACAAACCGCTGCAAGGAGAAGGAACTGTCATTACTCTTGCGGATGAACCGATAAACATCAATAGCAGTGTGATTGACGGTGTTTTGAGATATCAAGAGAACCTTTTCATAACAGTGCAAATTTGTCAAGGATAATATCGAAGAAGTATTCAAACTCTATAAACAAGTGCATTCAGCTGACTGGGCATGTCGAAATAGAGAGAATCCACCATTCTTATTCAATTTCTCTACTCCTCTAATCTTTTCATATAAAAATTTCAGTTGAAATTATACCATCCATCCCGATCTGATGTCAAACTTCGACTCTAATAGTGAATCAGCGTTTTCAAACTCAGTTTCGCAACAAACTTTCTCTGCCGACGTTCACAGAAGGATCAGCAAACATTTTCTAGATTTTTCCAAGATTTTTTTATTTCCTGAATTGACACGGTATGCCACAGAATTTGTGGGCCCCGAAACGACTTACACAGTATGGTGCGTAAAAGGCGGTGCAAAATCCAGACGCAAAACGCGCGGTTCAGTTGAGGTTCGAGCATTCACAGTGCTGGTTTTGTCAGCGTCTACCATAATTTCGTCATTTCTGGCATTGCGCGCCATTTTTTTTGTTTCTAGCTTTTTTTTGACGTTTTTGGCTTTTTTGTGCCTAAATCTTCTAATTTCATCCTCTTTTTTATTTTTGTACGTGTTTCCCGTTATTATCATTGAATTTTCAAAAAATATAGGGGTTTGGGATTTTTGATGCGGTGTAATATGATGTCGAAACCAGGCTTTTTGCAATCTTGTGGATAATCTTTGATGGTTTTAACGTGTGGGTCTTCCGAAGATTATTTCGTAATTTTTTCTGGGCAAATTACGAAAATCTACGTTTTTTGTGCTCGTTTAGGTTACTTTTTGGTGAAAGCAAGGTTTTGGTCGCATTTTTTTGTTTGCAGTTCATAGGGGTGTTGCATGGCGAATATTTTCGCGGAATGGTCTTCTCGGCATTTTACCACGCGTTTTCCCGCCAATTTTTGCGTCAGTGGGGTCATGGATAATATTTCTGATTTTAGGTTTGTACCTTATCTTCAGTCATGGGCGACGAAATTCCCACCTTCAAGCTGGTCTTGGTCGGCGATGGTGGTACCGGTAAAACCACTTTTGTAAAACGTCACTTGACTGGAGAGTTCGAGAAGAAGTACATTGGTAAGGTTTATATTATTTTGGTTTTGAGTTTTAGGGTCTTCAGTACTTTGATAGCAATAAGAGATTGTGGATCTGTGCAATTTCTGAAATATTTTAAATAACCAGTCGTATGCCTTCTGGGTAATATAATTTCTTCATTTCCAGCTACCTTGGGAGTCGAAGTGCATCCCCTCACTTTCCACACAACTCGTGGTCAAATCAGATTCAACGTGTGGGATACAGCCGGTCAAGAGAAATTTGGCGGGCTTCGTGATGGATACTACATTCAGGGAAACTGCGCCATCATCATGTTTGATGTAACAGCCCGTGTAACCTACAAGAACGTCCCCAACTGGCACAGAGACTTGGTCCGTGTCTGCGAGAATATTCCCATGGTATTGGTTGGAAACAAAGTTGACGTGAAGGACAGGAAAGTCAAAGCCAAGAGCATCACCTTCCACCGAAAGAAGAACTTACAGGTATGGTAGAAAGTCTTGATTTTTTTGGCGCGGTGGAACTATTGTTTTCCGTTCCGTAAGCTTGAACACAATTTTTGAGAGGTTGCCATATTAGCTTTGATCCTTTTAGTACTACGACATCTCCGCAAAGTCCAACTACAACTTCGAGAAGCCCTTCCTGTACCTAGCCCGAAAGTTGGTTGGAGATCCAAACCTCGAATTCGTCGCTATGCCCGCCCTGGCCCCACCAGAGATCCAGATGGACCCAGCGATGGTGAAACAGTACGAGAAGGAGGTGGAAGACGCTGCCAACGCCGAGCTCCCCGATGACGACGACGATCTGTAAAGGAGTTCACCAATCTCCACGGGTCAAGTCCACCATATTCACAATGATCTGTAGATCCATTTTGTTGTTACAATAATCCGTTTCCCATCTTTGACCCGCAACTTGAATGTTCTCTTCTTTGTTCTCCATCTAATTAATACACTTCTGACCCTCAAATCTTTGTATTGAGATCATATTCCATCAGTTCCCCCCACTACAGCACCTTCCTGGTGCTTTCAGTACCTTTTCCCAACCTAATTGTTTGTTATATACAATAACTCTTTCGGAAAACCAACCCCTCTTGCTTTTTTCATCAATTCACTGTTGGAATAAAAAATAATACTAGAGAGAGGATCGCGGTTATATCATGTCTCCTCTCTTCAGGCCTTTCCTGCCGTCGAAATGGCCTTCTGTAAAATTTTAGTTGATTTTCAAGTGGATAAACCATTTACAGGCATTAGGTGTATTGGTACTCGTGTGCGGAGGTTTATATATGGTGATTTATGCGGCGAGTGGAGTTCTTGTGTGATTGCGGAAGGTTTATTGCCTGATACTTGAATTTGCGGTTTTTTGGGCAATTTGGAAAATTTCCCTTGCAGAATGACGGTCTTATTTGATCAGGAGGTCCGAATTCAACATCACAATAATCAGATTGGTCCGTCTACCTCGATTCTAACACAAAAAGTTCATCGTATACGTGTAGAGACTGTTGAGGGGCAACGAGAAACGGTAAATCTAGAATTTTGCAAAATATATCGCCTGGAAAAGTCAATGAAAGCATACTTTATGGTAACTTTAGATGCTTACAATCGAGCTTTCTGATCCGAACGATGATTCCTTCCTATGTAAACGCCGAATCACCGCCGTCGACTTTTCGCAGATGAAAACAGAGCAGGGTCTTGATAAACATCTTAAATTTGATGGATTCGGATCGGTTATAGTCGATTTACTAAACGAAGCTTTGGATCGGGAAGTCGTTCTAGAAATCGCGCATTGTTCGGTCGATAATGACACAAGGTATTGTCGGTTGGACTTTGTTAGAAAGGTAAGACTTCTAAATTAATTTTTTGAATGTCTTTGGAGAATTTTTTGTAAGATCCCATCACTAAAACACAAGGGTTTCTATCTTCTACTAGAGACCAGTCTCTCATAACACAGCATTACAGGTTTCCTGCCGTCGGGTAACCGATCTTGCCGTCAAATTGCCAATTGTAACGGGTACTGAACTAATTGAACATCTCTTATCGAACAATCGGATACTAAAAGTAAGTAAGAGCTTGACTAACTTTTCAATCCAAATTTTAGGATAAACAAAGGCGATTGGACCAACTTGTGTTTACTTTGGAAAATGAAAGGGACGATATGAAGAAACAATTAGAGAGCGAAGCAGAACGGTCATCACAACTGCAGGAAAATGTTGACGAACTGCAGGCAAAGACCAGCGATCTTGAACATGAAGTGACAATACTCAGAACTGATGTTGAAGTAGGAGAATGTTTCTTAGATGGACTTTTTGAAATTTTTCATTGGGACATTAATGGCACCGCTCTTAGGTCATTGACCTTCTGGTTTTTAAAATTTGGTTCTATAAAATTTATCTTGTTTTAGATGGCTCAGGGCGAGCGAGATCGAAGTAATGCCGCATTGGACGAGCAGAGCGAAGAAATGTTGGACTTAAAGGCCGAGTTAGAGAGTTTGGAAGATGAGGTAAGTAGTATTCATTCATTATAAGTGTATTTTTCCTCGATATTACTTATTGAAGACTAGAATGTCACAAACGTGTTTTGAGTAATATAAGATAACGATCGCTATGAGGAAAAGAGTTTATTTTACAGATTGATCGATTACAAAGTAGACTCAGACATTTAGAGCCGCTTGTCCAAGAGAATAAGGATCTGAAAGCGGAGATTAAAGAGGCCAGAAGGATGATAAAACAATTTCATGAGATTGTAGGTTCTTAATTGGTTTTATAATCATTCGTATAGACTTGAGGTTTATCTGTACTCGATTTAGAACAAAGAGAATACAGCTCGGCTGGAACGACGGATCGTTGAGAACGGGACCTTAATCAAAACCAATTCAGATCAAGAAAAGGAGATTCAATTTCTGAAGAAACAAATCAAAGATCTCAACGAAGAAAATGACGAACTCAGGATTCGCGCTCGGCAAGCTGAAGCTGCCTTGGGGCTAGAAGATAGACCAACGAAAATTTTGGCTAATAATATGGCCAAGGAGAACATCGCCAAGGAAGTTGCAAAGGGTGTGGATGTGGCTGCGGCATTCAAACCACTGCCTGCTTTTAAAGCGATTTTACATGTACGATTGTTTGCAGGTGTTTAGATTTTTTAAGCGTTTTCGAATTATTTTAGATCATCAGATTTTTTCAGTTTTTTGTAATTTTTCTCAAATTTTCAGTCAGACTCTCCTAAACCAACAAAGCTCGGGCAAATTGCTCGAAACTCCGCGACTCTCCGACATAAAAAACCTTCAGATGGAACGACAAAAAATAGATGACATTAATTTTTCATTCCATAGCTATCTCGCCGAATCTCGCTGAGTCAACTAAAATATCGTCCTTCTCTATCCCCTCGATAGGTATAGTATTTTTTACTGTACTCGTTATACGAGGATTATGTTGTTTTGTAAATAAAATCGCATTGACTTCACTCCCCGACCGTATTCTTGCTGATTCTTAACGGTTTTCCCCAACCGGACTTTGTTTCCTCTGCAATTTGCATATTTTATTATTGGTTGTTTTTTATTTGGGTCTTACGGGAGTGATAATATATAATTGTTGTAGAAAACAGGGTTTTAAAGGGGTTTGATCTTATTGAGACTGGAGCTCAGCCTAAATAATAGCGTATTACTTTTGATGACAAAAAATAAAACATCTTGTCGTGGTGAAAGTGGCAGTAGAAGCAAGGTAAAGGGTTTCGGTTATGGGACACTCCCACTCAAAGACCAAACAGATTTGGCTTTTCGTGTTTTGCGTGCAAATTCCGAGGCGTTGTGCGATTTTCTCCCCAAAAATAAAAGGAAAGAGTTTGGAAATTGAAAAGAAATGACCCGATGAATAATAATTTTATCGGGCTATGTATCTTTTTTGTTCCCATTATTTAAGTTGGGACCTTTTTACAGCATTATGCTACTTTTTGACCCAGGTTTGTGAATTTTATAGGCTGAAGTTTGAAAATCCCGATTTTGGAACCCTTCAAATATTTTTTAACCATTTTTTCGAAATTCAGAATCATTCTTCAGACGTAGTTTAGCAAGGATCCGATTTGTATTATTTGATACTGTTAAGCAACGTTTTCAATGAATTTTAAACCCTACAATACAACTTTTGTTTCCTGAAACTGTCTTTCGCCCTCATTTTTTGGCTGCTTTCTTTGTGCTTTTGCATGTTTTCCCCTACAAAGTGTGTCTACAGAATTTTTAAGTCGAGAATACTGTTAAATAATTGGTTGGAACGTGGTCAAGCCAACATTTCCTTTATTCTTTTGAACTTTTCTACCCGTTCTTCCGGTCTTTTGTCTTTATTTTTTGCATTTTTTTGATTTTTGGCCCGAAATTGATAGATTTTGTAGTAAGTTTTCTTTGCAAAGGAAATTGGCTTAATTCGAATTTGTTTTGAGTACAAATTGATACCGTATTTTAGAATTTTTCCGATGACTTTTTTGTTCTGCCAAATAATTGTTTCTGACTTAGGCATGGCTCCGGGCCGGGCTTTGCAAAAATTTCCGGCCCGGGCCGGGCTGACTAATTTCTCGGCCCGTCTCCGGGCTTCGATTTTTAGGCCCGGCCCGGGCCGGCCCGGTTTTTTTGAAATCTGAGTTTTGCCCGGAAAAAAGGAAAAAATAAGCTTTTTCGACAGAATTTTTCATTTTTTCGAACACACTGCTGATAGCGAACGTAAAGTGACCTTATGTACCTAGGTTTTGCTAAATTTTTCTTTACATTTTTCGAAAATTTGTCATAATTTTCCTTTCATTTCCCGCTTTCTTTCTTTCCAACCTAGTATAAAAATTTTCCGGGCCGAACCGGGCCGGGCTTTTCATATTTTCGAAGCCCGGGCCCGGGCCGGGCTGGCCCGGTTTGCAGCCATGCTTATTTCTGACTTCCAGACCAAACATGGGTCAACCTCTCTCCAAACAGGATTTCTCCTGGTCGTACACCGACGAGCCGCATGCCACCCGGAGGAAGGAGATCCTGGAGAAATATCCTCAGGTCAAGGAGTATTTCGGGATTGATGCTTCTTTCAAATACGTGGTCGTTGCAATGGTGCTCTTACAGATCATGTTGGCATATCTTTTACAAGGTAAGTGGGGATCCGAAGATGATCTTGAAGGGGTTTTGGGATCAGATGATGTTATTATTTTAGACGCAAGTTGGGTGCTGATTTTCTTGCAAGCTTACTTTGTCAGTGGCACTATAAATCATTCGTTGACCTTGGCAGTGCATGAGATTTCACATAATCAAGGGTTCGGTCACAAATATCCATTCAAAGTAAGTTTTGGGTTAAATTGTTATTGAAAGCAAATCTAAACTTTTGGCGTATTTGGGATATGGTTTAAGTGAACTTTGCGATAAATGCAATATTTATTGCAGAACCGTGTCCTCGGAATGATCGCCAACCTCCCGATGGGCGTCCCAATGTCAATATCCTTCAAAAAGTATCATCTTGAACATCATCGTCATCTAGGAGAAGATGTCATCGACACGGATGTGCCAACCGAATTCGAGACTCGGTTCTTCAATTCGATGACGGGGAAAGTGATTTGGCTTATACTACAACCGGTCTTTTATGCATTTCGGCCATTCGCAGTATACCAGAAAGCGATTACCGACGCCGAAGTCGTAAATGCGGTTGTTCAAATTGCTTTCGACGCCGCGATTTTCTATTTCTTTGGTGTGAAATCCTTTGTGTACTTGTTTGTTGGATTCATCTTAGGATTGGGTATTCATCCATTGGCTGGACACTTCATCAGCGATCATTATGTTTTCAAGGAGGGACAGGAGACTTATAGGTATGTAATGTGGAAATTTGGCAGAAAGGCACTCGAATACGATTACTCGGTCTTTTTTCAGTTACTACGGCCCAGTGAACCACGTCACATTCAACGTTGGTCACCATGTTGAACATCACGACTTTCCATTCGTCTGCGGCCGAAACCTGGGGGAAATCAGAAAGATTGCCCCCGAATATTATGAGAACCTCCAGATCCACACGTCTTGGATTCGAATCTTCTATGACTTTGTCATCGACCCAGAGATGAGTCTTCGCTCCAGAATCAAAAGGAAAATGGCCCCGATTACGGAGAGACATTTCTATGGAGTTGGATCGTACAGCTCATCCAAGGTCTATGAGGCGATCCAAAATCTGGTATCTACGGTTTTCCAGAAGACCAAAACTCAATAAGAAGTTCTACTTAGAATTTGATTTTTATTTTCTTTTATGACAGATATAATATATTTTTTCCACGTTGAAGGTATTACGATTTTTTTCTAGACTAATATAATATATATGTATCTTGGCTGGCAAGAATTTGGCCGAGGTGTTTCAAAAATCCCAATATTAAAACAAACTTTATTTGAAACATGGAATAAATAGGGCCACTGGCCGCGAAAAATACTTGCATAAAGTGGTTTTTGTCGAGAGAAAAAGTCTTCCACTGCCTGATTTTGCATATGAACAATGAGATCTCGGCCGAAGGAGACGAATGCTTTCAGATTCCCGTTCGCATTGCGTAGAAAAGCTGAAAAAAAAGTTTTTAAAATCGGTAGATCCCGCGCGGCGCGTGCTTAAAACAGAGTGCCAATGGTGATCGATGATTTGTTTCGACTTCTTACCCTTCTAAAGAACTTGTTGGTCCGCCCATGGCCTGCTTTTGGTTTGCCCTGAGGCACTTCACCGGACGATCTTTTGGTCGTGGGTTCAGCGTCTTCCAATAACATGAGGGCTTGTTGCAATTTCTGTCGATATAACGCTTCTTCATATGCGGGCATATACCGAGCTTCCGGGTACTCGTATTGCGAGGAAGGACCTAAACAATTGAAAAATCTTTAGCTGGTTTAATGAAACCTCGTCCAAAAAATTTTATATTGGGATTTGGGGGCCAACATATTGAACAGGAATTATCCTGACAACAGCAACTTATTGTTTTTTGGCCTGCAAAAGCAACGTTTCCCTAATTTAAGCTACCGTAACCCTAATCGACCCCAATGACGCTTACCATCAATGACTGCCCAGCTCCAAACCAATGGCATCAACATTGCCAGTGTCACACCCAACGTCGTCGACCGCATTTTTTGCCTCTGGAATGGTCAGGTTTGATTTGTCCTCAAGGCTTATCGTCATAATTAAATAAAAAGCGGAAATGTGACATCGAAAAAATATAAATGAAAGGTTAATTGCATTAAAATTTGGAGAAAGGAGGCCAGATTTATGATACGTAGGCTCTCATTTCCAAATAGCCAAAGTGACCTTTTTCAAATAGCTGAAGTGACGACTACATCGTGCGTTTTATACCTAATTGTACGTAGTCGGCTCTGCATAGGCTACAAGGTTACTACCATAAACAATGCAAAAAATCTCCCAAATATTTATTTCCCAATCTCATAATTTCTTCCGTCTTATATGCACCGTAATTTGATCGGTATTTGCTCATAAACAAAATACAAAACCCCAAGAAATGGATGAATAACAAGAACAACACGCGACGGATCAGTAATCACTCCCCGTAATTGCAGGCCACCTAAATTATAACAAAATTATGTGGGAAAAATTCAGACTTTTGTGAGGAAACTTGGCTTGAGGTAATTATTAAGCAAAAAAAGATATTCTAACGAATGTTTGATGAGGACAATGAACGTCAGCGGAACTATTCGACCGGTAAATCCTTTGAGAAATTCGAAAAGAGACGAAGAAAGGGGGGACAATGACGACATGGGAAACACTGTGAGGTAAAAAAAGCGAACCTGTGATAACAAGGAGACTTTGTGCTGACTCTATGCAAATTCTTCAAGGGTCTTCCAGTTTATTTAAATAAGGGCATTGCAAAAATAGCAAAAAAATCAAAAAATCTCGTTTCTTGAGCAGCCTTAGTGACACCAAATTTACTTCTAAAATCCTCCTTTCTTTTCGTACATCGTGCATGACCCTATCTCTAACTGACTGCAAAATAATCAAAAAATTATCAGAGTTTGAAAACACTCCGGTCAATGAACTTCTCCCAGACTTCCGCTATAGTTGCGTATCTACTATAAAAGTTTATTGTACCCCCTCGAAAAACACGAGTCTTCGCAATAGACCTGTCGCTTGCACTGTTCTCATAAATCCGTTATTTGCAAAGGAAACACGAATGCATTGGACAGAAGGCACTAATTTGACTATTCAAATAAGAGGGGTTCCGGGTAAATTCAAATTTTTTTCGACCATGATGCTCACACACGCGTTTCGGCCACATCGAATTTTGGTCTTGCAACGTGCAGAGCCCAACAGAGGATAAAACTTGTTTTGAACGGCACAATCGAAAGAATTATTCGCACCTCGAAAACATTTTGCCAATTTTGGGCAGTGCAGAAGAAAAAGATTGCTATGCCCGAAACGCGTGGCCGAGCATCATGACAAGAAATCTGAATTTGTCTGGAATCCCTATTAAATCTATGTATATAAAATAGTGCATGGTAACATGGTTATAACGACTCTTATTGGCAAGAGTACCAAGCAATCTGTTTGAGGGCATAAAAATTAAAAAAACGGTTAAATGACGCTATTGCAATCAAAATAACTTCACTCATCTTTTCAATCACAAAGTTGTCGTTGCAAGGGGAAGTATGTGCCCCTAAAAAAGTGATTTTCTCCGTGACTGCTCTCCGTGTTTTGCGTGCTCTCCGGGCAGCAGAGATTGCCGAATATCTCAGTTGTCCCTGCAAAGTGCGGGATACATTTTCAGGTATTGATGTGTGGCATGCGCTGAGTTAGTGGAAAGTTAAAGAAAATCTGAGGATCACACTTGGGGTGCTTTCCTTGTTAGTAAAAAAGACGATTTTTTTGTATTCATGCACACAGTATACCACTCCTTTTCGTGCAGTTTCTCTGAATCATACTTTTTATCTTACAAACAGTCTAATAATAATTAATTATACAAAAGTATCCGAAAACAATTATACGAAACTACCAATTTTACTCACATCAGTAAACCTCTGCAATATCATGATAATTAGCAAAAAAACAGGTGGTAGAAACGAGAAGACACTTGTAAAACGAGAAATACACAACAGGACTGATGTTCTCTGCAAAAAATTTGGCAATTCAAACTTACCACTTCTGATCGCTCGATGAAGCTCAAAAGTTATGAAAAGCACCCAAATTCGTTAAAAGAGATGATCCAGAAAGCCGGTCTAGGAAGTTGCATAAGTACATATTAGAAGTGGAATGTTTTTGTTTGAAGTCAGTAGACCATCCCCCGATGACCAAAAAACTTCCACGTAAATATTATATATAGATATCAGTCAAAAGAGGAATGGGAAATAAAGTTTCCTTCATGCAATTCTGTGAACATAAAACGTAAGTGCTCAAAGCTCTGAAACATCGAAAAGTTCCTCAGGAGCCAAGTACTCAGAATCCCTCAAATTAAAAACTTTTTCGAACGACAGTCCGAGAATAGAGAGAAGTTTTAAATAAGGAAACTACCCGGAATTGGTATCATTCCGCTTGTAATCATAACTTCACGGTTCGCTGAATACGAAGAACGCCAAAGCGAGACGTCTCGATCTATTCAGTTTGCGGGAGGGGGAGGAATAGAGGACTGAGTGCAAGATCATTGCTATAAAAGGAAAAGCGTAGGGTTTTCGTGAATTATGGGGACTAGCAGCCAGGATTCGTTGATAAAGTACAGGGTGGTTCAGCCAAAGCTTCCATCCGTATTTCAAGTATTTCTCCGCCAATAATCCACCAATTTCTATAAAATTTGTATCAAATTAAAGCTGAGGTACCCCATTTTTTATCCACCAAATATGACAGGCCTAAGTTCACGGAGACTCCCGTGCTGACTTTTCATTCCAAATTTTGGAGCCCGAAATCGGTGAAACTTAGAAAATTTTTGCAATGATTTTCAATTTAGTTTGTCGGACTCAAAAAAGTTTTTCGATTTCCGGCAAAAAAAGTCGCCAAATTCGATAAAAATTTTTTTATAAAGTAAGGTTCACAGAAGTTTATATTTGGTGGGCAAAAAATGGGGTGCCTTAGCTTCAATTTGATATAAATTTTATAGAAATTGATGCATTATTAGAAATACTTGAAATACTGATGGAAGCTTCGGCTGAACCACCCTGTATTATTCATAAAGTTCACTGCTTCAAAATTGTGTAAACGGGTCAGAGCAAGCCTCAAGTCATAACTTCTTTAGTGAACCAGCGACAAAGCAAGCAGTTTACAAAAATCCGATAAAGACAAGAAAACAACAAACGCCAGCCAAATATGTGTCATAAAGTATGACTCTGGCACAGAGAGGAAGCAGAAATCGGGCGGATGTTAATCCAAAAAATTAAATTTTGTGTAACAGACGATTTCTGAAGTCCATTGTAGTAATTTTGTTTTTTGGATTATAAAATTGTCATTTTCTATTAATACCTCTGATCTTCGGATCGATTGCAGGAATTTGGGAGAACGGCGCCATCAATTTTAAAGCGGCTTTTCCCGTTCTTCTTGATCAGCGACTCTTTGAGTGAATTGTCAAAACAGGGATGGCGTTCGGATAACGCAAAGCGCTAACAATTGGATTGTCTGGTTGTGTCTGTAACGTAGCACTGTAACCAGCATTCACAAAAAGTAAAATGTAAAAAAATCGAAATATTTTTTATTAAAATTTATTATATTAAATCAACAGTAAATTAATTAAATTCCCTGTCCGAATATCCCAAGATCACAATAACAATTACCAACAACTTTTTTTTACATTTAGCGACAAGAATTCCCCATTTACAGTCCATTACCCGTGTGCTCACTGTATACATAAAATTTGCTATTACTATCCAAAGTCACCGAATATTCTCCTGGAGCTCTTGAATACCCGTAGGGCACATTGTTTCCATACCCGTAGTAGTTTCCGTAGTTGTAGCTGGGGTAGTTGTAGTAGTTATTATAGTAGTTGTTATAGGCCGAATAATCGTATTTGGTATAAGGTTGCTGATACTGTGGCTGATAAGTTTGGTAGGTTTGTTGAGGTGCTGTAGGATAGTAGTAGGTTCTAGGAACAAGTGGAATGGTTGGACGTGCTACAATACGTGGAGCGGCTAAAATTAAGGGATTTGACCAACCAATGGACAAGAAATTTGTGAACGGTAAGAGAGACTTCCATTTGGGTTTTGCTATGCTTTTTGTCAGCGAAATATACAAGAAAACAATACAATAATTGGCCCTACATACCTGGCTGGTAGTACCCGTATTTCGGTCCATAACTTCCATATTTATAATTTGGATAATGATATCCATACTTGAGACTACTATTAACCTTTGGGGAATAGTAATTTCGATGTGCCAGAACCGATGGTAGAATCAGGAGCCAGCAGAGGATGTGATCGGCTCTCGACGACATTCTCAGCGCAAGTGAACGGCGTTCCAAGAGCTCGCTTTCCGGAGACGCGCCAAGGCTCCGCCTCAGGGCGCAATCCATAAAAAACAAGAAAACGCGCGCGCCGTTCGCAGCGCCGATTAATTAGAGCGGACAGAATGCTGATCGACGGAAGTTCATCGACAAATCGGATTAATTTTACGACATCGTGGAAGCAAGCAGGTCGAGAAATGTTAAAATGACGCTATTTACATAACTTTCATTCGACTACAAAACTAATCATCCATGTCGCCTGCGCAAACAGTCAGGATTAGAGTTCAAAAACTATGACGTAGGGCTTCTGGAGGAAACAGAGTGGAAAAAGATTACGAGCTATGAGGTAACTGGAGATTGTTACAAAAGGGATTGTAAACAAAAGTGGAACGCCCAAAAAAACAGCTGGTTTATGGAGCAAGTGCGGCAAATTCTGTGCTTCACAAAAAATAGATGCAGGTTGAGAGCTGATTGGGTGCAAGATTTTCAGCAAAGACTTGGAAATGAAGGCACGAAGTGCAACAAATTAATAGAAAAATATGATTTCTGACCGTGAAGGGCCCCTTCTGGATGAGGAATCTGAAAGGCCGAGTTGGCTACTGGATTTGCGCCGTAGAATTTAGAAACAGGGCAAGTGATGACTGTTAATAAATATTTATTGCTGCTTACTCTGAAAAAGTTTCTTTGTGCCGAAAGAAAGTGCAGGTCATTTCTTTGCTGAAAGTTTTGGTCGGCTTTTCCTGTCCACCTATCCCGTTGCGGGCACAAAGGGCTCTCCGCCTGGGCAGTAGCTGTTCATCGTAATGGATTTCAAGTTCCTACTGTCAATGTTAGATCAATCCAAAACGGGGCAAAATTGGACCACTTCAAGATATCGTTGGAAACGGAAGGGATCAGCATGGATTCGACATACCCCTATACACTGTTGGGCGCTTCAGGATGGAATGGATCGACGATGCTGGCAAGAATCATAGCCTCCGATGGAGCGATCTTACCCTGACCAGACAATGGAAACCATTATGATTCACTCCATGATTTTTTGCATGTGATTAGTGTAAATAAATTGAAATTGAATTGAAGTTTTGGCCACGAAGGAGGTTAATGGGGATTCTACATATTTTGATGAAAATTTTAATCAACCTTTCGATTTCAATAAAGTGTCAATTGTTGAAGAAACTAAAATATAATTACTGCTTTTGGGTACAACCAGAATCCGTTTGCAACCAGCGCCCCTCACCTAAATACAAGTTAATAAAAACTTTTTTGTTAAATGAGGATTTAACGTGTTAAACCATTCCCGATGTAGATCTGTCCAAAGTGGTGAAAATTTTACTCTAGCTCGTTACAAAAATTCTATGTTGTGCTGGTGTCAAGGTATTATATTTAGACAGCCAATCAGCTACATTAACATTTTTTAAAAGTATTTCTTACGTGTGAGCTCGGTAGATATACATATGTAATGTTACTATGCCCGGATTTGGTGACCGATTTTCTTTTTCCCCCAGGGCATGAATGCGGTGTTTGGGTCTTTAATGTAATCCTGAGACTTCTATTCATTCTCTAAACAAAAAGAAATTGCCGCTGACATGATCTCATATAGTTTGCCGATGAGACTTCGCCGGGTGCACATTAACCGGAAGACCGATCTTTCCAAATGGATTTTTAGCGGCAAAAAACGGGTTTCATTGGATGGGCCGGATAATTTGAGAAGCCACGGCACCTGTAGTGCATGCCCGAGACGGATCAAACGCCAGATGTATGGCGGATATGTGATGGTCCTAAGGGCATCCGTTGTAATGGCAAACTCAAGATTTAGGTGAAGAAACCCATTACAAAACACGTTAAATTTAAAAATTTTACATTGCTCGAAGTAAATGCAAGCCTCATGATTACATTAAAGATGGGACGCCGAGGGGGTCAAAATTTTTCCTACGATTTTTGAGGTGATTTTTGAAAATTGGGCCTGGATTGCCACTATATTTTTTGTGTTGCTAATTGTAAGCTATTTTTTTAGTTGCCAGTAAGCTATCAAGTTCGCATTAAAAATTAAAATTATGATTTTTCTACCGTGATTTACTTACGGTAATATTCCACAAAGGTCGGGTTTTACTCGACTTTGGATCATGATTGATCTTTTTGGGGGATAACCAATCCTGGGTCACAATTTCCGAGGCTCTTAACATTACATCTTTCAGCTGTCATCTATGCCCCGCTGTGTATCCGCTGGAGTTACACTGCTACAACCATCTCTATTGGGTCCACGGAGCAGTGGAATTTATGATGTATGCCACAGAGCAGGCCCGTCGTGCATTCAGACAGCAGAACCGGCGTCAATAAGTTTTGTGAAATACGGTTTGACCACTACCAGATGTCGTCTTTCTGTCGTTGTAACTAACAACAATTTTTTCATTTTCATTTATTTTCTTACATTTGACACGAATAAATACCTCACACATCACTGTGTCTACTTAAAAAGCTCCGTTTATTAAATACACTGTTCTCGAAATTTATACATTTTGGAGAAATGTATTGGATATAATACACTAATAATCATTTTGTTCATTTTTTATGTTATACATAATTTAGTTTATTTAGCTTCAAAAGATCTTAATTTCTTGCCAACATCTCAGTAAATGTCCCTGTTTCGAAAACTTGAACCCGGAGAAGTGTTGAAGGTAGACTTCCTTTGGAATCCCTCATGGGATATTTGTTTGGTGTGTCCAAACTTTTTCGACCTTTGCTCTATCTCTGCAGATTTCAGGGCTTTCTTTGTAACATTTATGTTTTTTCATTGTGTAAGAAGAAGCTGTCATGAACTACAACTTTTATTTGTGCTTCAAAAAAAAAGATTACAATAGACGAAACGTCCAACCGGCTGAGTACAATCAACTCAGCCGGCTTTGGGAGTACATATAAGTATAATGGAAGGCAAAGTTCTCTGACGCGTTGACAATTGGTGCCGAGAGCGGGGAAAAGTCGAACTTTGCTCCGGTGAAATGTTTAGTCGTGGCTTCTCACGTTTGGTTCCTTTTAGACCCGCTCTGAATCATTTTAGCGTCTGCCAACACAAGGAAGAGTTGGAGTTGAAGAACAAAGAAGAGGACTGAAATTTTGAGTTTATAAAAACTACGATTATTGAAAAAAGTACAAAACGCGAAAAAATGGACTCACCAGTTTTATGACATCTTTTATCCGTAACGTTAGGTACGAAGTCCTTTATGGGGCTTTTGGATTCTGCACAGCTCACGAAACCAACCACTTCGAATATACGCTGACTTAATGGGGCTTCTTCTACGAGTGATTGGACAGAGTGACTGTCCAAAGTTTCCTTATGATTGTGCTCAATCTTCACGTGTTTTTTCTTTCGCTTTGGTACGAAACTTGGTCTCTTTCTCAAGGAAAACTCCACCCGGCGAGTCAATGTTCTGGCATGGGCTTGTCGACACTGAAAATTATCTTCTTTAACAACCAAGTCATCCACCTCTAATCCCCCAAAAATAACCTCAATTGAAATCCTTCTTCGCCTTAGTGTTCGCCGTTCTGTTCGAGCAGCCCGGAAAGGCCGTTTTAAGCGAGCTACAGTCGCCCTGACGCTCAAATTAAAAAAATGACAAAGCTTGGCTTTAGGGAATCAAAGTTGTAGAAAGATATAAGAATGAATGGAAAGTTTGCAAATCCTTAAAATTAAAAGTCTTGCCTTGTAGCACCGGCTCTTCTTGAACTGACAATTGTGCCGTCGTTTCAACGCCTCTGACGCCCGATGGAACATTTTGCAGCGGAAACACCATTGTCTCTTCAGCGAGGCATCCGGAATACAGTGAAAACTCTTCATTCTAGAATCGGACAACACTTTGTAATAACCTTCCCCAAAGAAATGCATGGCCTATATTACTCCCATAACCTGTCATTTGTAAACCGCCAATTATTTTCGTTTTTACACTCACATTGTTTGAGTACTGTTACACGTGCAGTACATGAGTGAGAGCTAATCCACTCAGATGGCACATATAAAAACGTGTAAAGCAACTTGCCTTGTTGAAAAAGCACCCTCCCAAGCACAATATTTTATTATCGATAACTTACAGATTCTCCGTTTGGTCAAAGAACACAAGAAAATTAATGATTTCAAATCTGAGATTTAGTATTTACGTTTTTTTGTCTTTTTTTACGTTGTACCTACAATTTACAGCGAAAAAACAGCTTTGTAGAGCTGTTTTTTCCACTTTCTCTCTGTAGGCGGATAATTTGGGGACAACAAAAAGCTGGAAATGGGCTTATAAAAAAGGAGGAGGACTGTAATTCAGCAAAAAGCAGAAAGACAAAAACAACTACTGGTCTTTCGCCGAGGCAGAAAATAAATTTAATATCAACCAGATGATTACAATCTTTAAAAAGAAAAAATAACATGACAGAATAATGAACACAAATACATGTCATATATTTATCACTGAAAATTTAGGTATATTTATTTAGTAGAATAAGAGGCCAAGATAACTCCGGGGGGAGGTCGGCAAAACAGAGTACATATGTAGCTGCAATCTAAATACATATTATACCAACTGTCAAGCTAGCCGATGAGCAACTTCTTCGATAGTGAGGTTGTGTACATCTTTAAACTTGGATTTATAGGTTGTGTCTCGATGCTCTTTGATGAGATCCAGAACCGGAATAGAAACTATTCGTATTTTGAAAATCCATGTTCACAAAATAGAATCTTTTGTAGCTTATCCATACCATTATCATGTAGAGATGACATCGACACAGCCAATCCATCATTGCTAGCTTGATCTCTTTGTATATCAATTATTCCTCTAAAATAGAGTTGAACCAACAAGAGAGGCTGAGTAATCACACCCCCAAATTTTTTAACGTAATTAAACTACAGTTTGCACAATAAAAGGAATCGTTGTCAAAAGATTCTAGGCCTGCACCTAGATCATTTATCATTGGGCTTCCGTAATACGACCACCTTTTCATAAGGCGTTCACTTTTATCGCCGTGGAACGTGCTGTAAAACTTTTGTGGAGCCGTATAATAGATTGCAGCTGTGATCTTTTATGCCGTATAGATATAAGATAAAAGATGTAATATTTTCACCCCAGGAAATAATAGTATCCTCCAGATACCAAAATTCTCATGAAGTTCTTTCGGAAAAACAGACACATCCCAGCCACTAAATTAATTGTCAACTGCTCTCACTGTAGCAATCGGGTCTACAGTATGTTCAATTCTCTTCTAAGAGTACCATAAAACATCTCTTTTTTGCATTCTCAAACCGCAATCAATCCTTAGCAACTCTGTCTTACATCAATTCACAGCTGTTAAATGTATTCGTGGCTCAATTTGACAAAGATTCTGTGAAACAAGGCATTAGTAAAATATTTTTTCGGATCATGCGGCGGCTTCTCCCTGCTCTGACATTCATTATAACTGTATGTGTGTGTAGCGGAATCAAGGAGGCGCTGCCGGAAGAAGGGTTGCCAACTGTGAGTTAGCTATGAACCAATGAGATGTAAGATCTTCAGGATAAACTGATCGAATATTGGGGATATCCGGTGGAAAAACACTTTGTCAAAACTGAGGATGGCTACATCATCGAGATTCACAGGATCCCGCATGGAAAACGTAAGTCGGTAACTCCTATTCACCCATAATGCAACAACGCGTTTTCCAGATGACAAATCAATAAAGAAGGACCGACCCGCCATCCTCTTACTCCATGGCCTTCTGGAGTCAAGTGCTTCGTACGTTTTCAATCTTCCTCATCAATCGCCTGGTAAAATCACAAAAAAATATCACAATTGTCTTAGGATTCGTGTTTGCTGACAATGGCTTTGATGTTTGGATTGGGAATGTCAGAGGCAATACCTATGGAAAGAACCATACAAGTTTGTCCGCCAAAGATGCCGAATTTTGGCAATTCAGGTAATGCTTCTCAAGCCCATAGCTTATCCAAAGAAATTTTTTTCATTAATTCATGGGGGTTTTGAATTTTTCAGTTGGCCAGATCTTGCCCACAAAGACCTTCCGGCCATGTTTGACAAAGTCACAGAAATTACTGGACAAGAACAGATCTATTACGTGGCCCACAGCCAAGCCAATCTCATTCTCTTCGCCCAGTTGTCGGAATACCCAGAATTCGCTAAAAGAATTAGAAGACACTTTGCTTTGGCCCCTGTTTACACAGTCAAACACATCAAGGGTCTTCTTCAAATCCTAGCAAGAATCCTCTACCCAAATATTAAGGTGAGTCTCCTAGAAAACAGCATTGAAAACATCCTCTTTCAGTTGGCGAAAAGACTTCTCGGAGATAATGAATTCATGCCCAACAGCGTCTTCATGAAGAAATTTGCCCGTTACATTTGTAACACAAAAGCTGGGCAAAATTTGATTTGCAATTCAGCGATTGGGCTGATTGCTGGGCCCAATTCTAATCAACTGAATCGCACCCGGATCTCTGTTTACGCTAGTCACTCCTCGGCCGGGACTTCGACACAAAACTTTCTACACTGGATGCAAACTGTTTACCGAGGAGTAATGGAAAGATATGACTACAGAGATACCAATACGAATGTCAAATATTACAAACAGGTAGGCCATCAAAACGTGTATTCAAAAATGAGAATTGATGCTTTGCTAATCGATTTTTTTTCTTTTGCAGGAAACTCCTCCGAGCTATGACGTTGCAAGGATTAGTGGACTGAAGATGCACATCTTCTCAAGCAAACAAGATTGGCTTGCTGATCCAACTGATATGGAAAATTTGGTTAACACTTTCCAGAAAGAAGTCATTCAGGTAAAAAACTGTCTATATCGTATCCATATGTATATCCATATCATCCACATTCAATTTTTATTTTCAGTCCCACAAAATATTCGATGATTACTCTCACCTGGATTTTCTTTGGGGAGTGAATATTACGCAAGATATCACTATGCCAATAATCAGTCTAATCGAACGGCTTGACGGCGTGAAATTAAAATGAAGACTAATAACATTTTGAAAGTGACATCTATGTTACATGCAATGTAAAACTGACCTTTTTGCATGTGTTAGAAAACCTATGCAACGCATAAAAGTGACTTTCGGCTTACTGCTTAGATGTTATAAAAACAGAAACTAATCCTTAAGATTAGTAAACTCGTCGAGACTTCATAAACTTCAAATATTTAAGTGTGACTTTATGTCACGAGATTGCACCGTGCATTTGAAACCGCGGCCTTGTCTGTTCTTTCAATGAGCACCCTTCTCCGGACAGGATTCTTTTATTTCCTTTTTGTACATTTGTTTTTCAATTTACATCACGGTTTCAGTGGCCGGCCTGTCCCCAACATACGGTATGTTGATTTATTGATGTGTTTAGATCAAAATTTAATCGGAATGCATGTAGACTATTATTTTTCCTTTAATTTTGGAGTCGAAAAAGTTCCTGCAAGTGTGTGCTGGTTAGCCTGATAAAAACACAAGCCAGACAAAGACCTACAAAACAGAATTTATAATCCAAATTCAAAAATTGATGGTAAGGGGATAAAGGTATTTTCATCTTCGTCTCCAGGTTGAGATCACAGAACTTTATGGCCAAGCTGGAGTTTTCGAATAAAAAAATCCTAATGTAAAAAGATTTTTTAAAAACGGGTAATCACACCTCGAAATGACTTTAATTAAGCTACATTTTTATACAAGAGTCGAAACCATGTCATTGATCCCAGCACCATGTTATTTACTTTGTTTGCAAACTATGACCTTTGCTTTATAACTAGAATACAGTACGTACGTGACAAACTGCCCTAGTTCCGTGTAAACACCCACTCCTCCTTCAATTTATTGGCAGAGATAACCTTTTTCCTCAAAAAATTCCTTTCTGGAAAAACAATCGTATCTTTCCAGCTTCCAAATTGTAATTCATCCAATTTTCAAATCAATTTCCTGCTAAAAATATAAAAAATTTTCACGTTTTTGCTCCCCGCAAACTTTTATCAATTTCTAGCCACGCTGCTTTACAACTATTTAAGGCTATTAAATGTATTTGTGGCTCCATTTGATAAAGTTTCTGTGCAACAGGGCATTAGCAAGACATTTTTTCGGATCATGCGGTGCCTTCTCCCTGCTCTGACATTCATTGTAACTGTATGTGTGTGTAGCGGAATCAAGGAGGCGCTGCCGGAAGAAGGGTTGCCAACTGTGAGTTACCCATGAACCAATGAAATGATGAGTTCTGCAGGATAAACTAATTGAATATTGGGGATATCCGGTGGAAAAACACTTTGTCAAAACTGAGGATGGCTACATCATCGAGATTCACAGGATCCCGCACGGAAAACGTAAGTCGAAAACTCCTATTCACCCGTAATGCAACAACGCGTTTTCCAGATGACAAATCAATAAAGAAGGACCGACCCGCCATCCTCTTACTCCATGGCCTTCTGGAGTCAAGTGCTTCGTATGTTTTCAATCTTCCTCATCAATCGCCTGGTAAGATCACAAAAAAATATCACAATTGTCTTAGGATTCGTGTTTGCTGACAATGGCTTTGATGTTTGGATTGGGAATGTCAGAGGCAATACCTATGGAAAGAACCATACAAGTTTGTCCGTAAAGGATGCCAAATTTTGGCAATTCAGGTAATGCTTTCAAATCCATAGCAAAAAATAAAGGATATCAATAAGACATAAGCTTTCAGTTGGCCGGAACATGCTCACAAAGACCTGCCAGCCATGTTTGACAAGATCACAGAGGTCACCGGCCAAGAGCAAATCTATTATGTGGGCCACAGCCAAGCCAACCTTATTCTTTTCGCTCATTTGTCAGTACATCCTGAATTTGCGAACAGAATTAGAAGGCACTTTGCTCTGGCTCCAGTGTACACAGTCAAGCATATCAAAGGCCTTCTTCAAGTGATGGCGAGGACGGTCTATCCAAACTTCAAAGTAAGATTTGCTAAAAACTATGAAGAGCTGACATTTATAGCTGGCCAAGAGACTCCTCGGGGATCATGAATTCATGCCGAACAACGCTGTCATGAAGAAATTCTCTCGTTACGTGTGTAACACCAAAGTTGGACAAAACTGGATCTGCAACTCCTTAATTGGACTGGTTGACGGACCCAATTCCAACCAACTGAATCTCACTCGAATCTCCGTTTACACTAGTCACTCCTCTGCTGGCACTTCAACGCAAAACTTTTTACATTGGCTGCAAACTGTTTACCGAGGGGTAATGGAAAGATATGACTACAGAGATATCAATACGAATGTAAAATATTATAATCAGGTAGGTCATCAAAAATTGTATTTAAAAATGGAAACTTTTCTTATCAAATTTCTGTTTTAAGAGAAGTCCGCCAAGTTATGACATTACAAGGATTAGTGGACTGAAGATGCACATCTTCTCAAGCAAACAAGATTGGCTTGCTGATCCAACTGATATGGAAAATTTGGTTAAAACTTTCCAGAAAGATGTGATTCAGGTAAAAAATATTCCCATATTTTATTCATAAATATATCTACATTATGGCTAAATTTTTTTACAGTCTCATACAACATTCGACCATTACGCCCACTTGGATTTCGTATGGGGAGTGAACATCACCCAAGACATAACGATGCCAATAATCAACTTGATCGAACGATTGGATGGTGTGAAATTAAAGTAATTGATGTAAAAAATAAAGATGATGTACAAATATAATACCCTATCTACTCAACTTCTAATCCAGGTACCAAATAATTGGATTATTGTAAAAAAATTTTTAAACTGAACCACCAATCAAGTTTATAAATATTTAGAAGACAGCCGTTCCTTTTCAACTATACATGTACGAAATGTCCGTCATGTAAATAATTATGCCAATTTATAACTTTAATAATGGGAACTCCAAACAGTAATTCATATCAGTAGGAAGTTTGTGTACGCATTCCCTTACCCACCAAATTGATACGGAAATGAAATCCCAACTTTTCCATCAAAGTTTAGGGTAACACAGTATTCTCGAAGGAATGGTGAGCCTATCCGCCAATCCACTTGAAGATTGTAGTAGTTTTGGAAAGCTAGCACACATTCTCCTTGCTTGTTCCGTTTGTCCTTGTAAATGAGTTGCTTGGATGATACTGGATATTCTTTCTGCTCGAAGGTGAGCATAAGGCTAAACTCTGCGTTGCAATCAATGTAATAGACATCTTGGAAATGATCGTATGAAGCTCGAATGGTCTCGGCGAGTCCATAAAGTGCGCTTCTGGGTCCACCAATATATGGATAAGACATGTCTAGCTCTACCTGAAATGGGGATTAATTTATTCACGATTACTCACCGTCCAATCTCTTGAACTAATTACATTATCAATCCGAACCCTCTTTAGCATTATCTTCCAGTCATTCCCCAAAGCAGGCAAGTATTCAGATATGAACCCGCAATGATTACTATCCATACCGCCAAAAGTAATCATCCCAGTTGGCTCGGTATTTCCAACCTTTCCGCTGCCATCTAGCCATAAAGTAATCATCGGCTCGTCAAGTATCCCTTGCCTGATTGCTTGGCCAATCGGACTTTCTAACCCGTCATATTCGATTGCAGATTCCCTTGACAGACCAAAGACACCATCGTATAAAACGTCCTTGTAGCCATCGGGAAAGCTAGTAGCAAGGCCAATCGTTGTCTGAGAGAAATTAAGCGCGTCGCCGAGCCTTAAACTGTCGATAGCTAGTTTTCCAGAGGCTTTGCCGTCAACATATCGGATCTTCCACTCCCGATCATCTGCATAATGAAGTTCTAGATGTGATCACGTTTATCTCACCTTGGAGATACGTTTTGGAAATTTCTTTATTGTATTTGGAACGCTTATCGCACACTGGGATTAGAATGCCATCCCTCGCTGCATTTGTTGGCAAAATTGCAATGCTTTGATTCGAATTGCTTCCAATCTTCTTCTTCTCACAGCAGTGCGCTTTACACAGCGATTTGCAAAGAAATTCTAAACTCTTTCGGTAGATTACATAACAAAAGTTAGCGGATTTTAACTTACTCAAACTACATCTAGCGGTACATTCACATTCAATGTCCGGCACCCAAACATTCCCCAAATTAATATCAAATGCAACATGAAAGAATTGTGGAGGATCCCCAATCGATACTCGGCCTAAATGACTATTTATATTTTGATAAATGACCCATCTTACCAATATAATCATGGTCTGGCACTAGATTTAGCGGGACGTTCCTGGCGCCATAAATCTTCCGTTCAACTTTACTTAGGTTCACACGGTGTTTTATGGACGCGACAAGTTCAACAAATAAAAGAAAAATTAAATTTCGAACGCTGATCATCGTTTGGAAAAGCCCAGAAATGTGCGTTGAACGTGTTCGGAAATAGAAAGATGATAACCAGACAATTAATGAGTTCCATCCAAAGAAACAACAGGCTTATCATAAGGTACGAATTCTAGATAAATCTGTTAAACACATTCCTTAATTACATTATTTAAAGGATGCGCGCTTTTCGAATACAAAAAGAAATCATCCAATCAAATTCCATCATATTTGAGCTGTTTAAAATCCCCAGAATCTTCTTTCTTGCCATACAACCCACTTAAATTTTTGAAATTCTTTTGAGAAGTTCAAACAATTCTATTAGCTCCGATGCTGTGGATGTTACAATACACAGTAATAAAGTAAGGCAGAAAGCAGCGGTGGCTTAACATTGTATATAAATATTACACCTCTTACACCGATGTCTTAAAAATATCAACACCGCTAAAAAAAATAAAATTCTTCGACAACACAGCTCATGAACATGATGTCATGTGCGCACAATATACTGTTTTAAGCTGACACAACACGATAAAGATGATGTTGAAAGAACGGGTTTATACCAAAAAAGCCGTAGATACATATTATGTAGCGTTTTTTATAGTGGTAAACGATATAACTTTCTTTTCCATGTCATGGATATTACAGTACGCTCGCATTAAAGGGGTCCCAATAACGGCCACCGGATCTTTGTTCTGTTTGCTGACCGCAACGACACATTCCTTGTTGTTCTTGTTTGGTAATACGAGATGTTTTTCGGTCATTGAAATGTCTCGCTCTGAAAGATTTACAGATAAATTTACAGCACATTAAAAACGGCTTTCAACACTAACCTTTGCCATTCACATCCTTAACGGTGAAAACAATTTCAAACTTTGCATCACAGTCAACACGAATAGTGCCGCCATAGACTGTGCTGTGAGAAATTGCTGCCAGTTCATCAAAAAGGGGATTAGGGATGATTGCATAACTCGTACCCGTGTCTGAGATGGCCTAAATTTGATTAACACAATATTAGCTTCATCAATCTCTTACATCAAACCTCTCTACGTTTGCAAGTGTATACGGCTTTCCCCCGTCCGCAGCGATTTTAACTTTCTCAATTTTGAATTGCCAATATCCCGCTTGTGATAATTTTACATCCACCCGATCTGGTGTAGTGCTGTCACAATGATCTTCGTCCACCCCTCCATAAGTTATTTGGCCACCATCAGCCCCAAAAGTTTCGGTCATTTTCATCCACACTGTAAAGATTGGATCGACCAGTTTGTCTTTGTAGGCCTATAAAAAGGATGACAATTCGGCCCTTCAACGACAGCAATGGTCATCTTTTCCTGGTACACTTACTTTAACAAATGGTGGATCAGAATCAGCCACGGAATACGAGCGAAATCCAAGGCCCAAAATTCCATCGAGCTCTGTGTTTTCGAAAAACTTGGCCATGCTATTGGCCCTGCCGAAGCTCACCTAAACTCATCAGATGCATCGAATCATGCCTACTTTTTTGATCTGTAAGGACTGATCGGGAGTTGACGGATCACCCAGCCAAACATCATCAAACCCTAATTTGCCTCGGGCACTTCCAGTTCCATACTGTATTACAAAGTAGCCGTTTGCATCCTCAAATGTATCCGACTGTGTTTCGTTGTAGGTGGCTTTGTTCGAACAAGTAAATGCCGTTGCAGGCATGGTTTCATTTGCATTTACTCTGCACGGAGAGGCGCAGAAGTACTTGCCGAAAGCCTCTAGAATCAACGGGGTTGATTAATAGAGTCCAAGAAGAGAATATTTTGATTTCTCTTCCTTACCAACTCGGCAAAATTCATGGCATCGAACATAGCAGTCTACACTGGGTACCCAGAAGTCCGCTGAGCCCGTGTCCAAGACCACGCTAAACTCTTGCGGAGGATTTCCAATAGAAACACTCCCAACGTACTCGACATTCTTGTAGTCTCGGAATCTCTGCCATTTCTTGTCATCCTGCAGTCTTATTTCGAAAATTCCGGCAGAGTCTATCCTATCTAGTCGTTCCATTTCCAGTAACGATTCATTTGCTGGAAATGACATTGACTTTAGGTTGCATAAAACGGAAGGGTGACTTCGTAAGTTGTCAAAATTCACTTACGCCGTTCAACTGGAGTGATTTCATTCTGAGTCCGTCTTAACGGAATCTTGATCAATTTCAAGGTCGTTCCATTAAGTGGTTTGCCATAACTCAATGCAAGGCCAATCACGACGAACACAGGAAATAGCGATCGCATTGCATTCAAATGCAAAGAAAGCCGGCCTGAGGCGTTTTTCTCAACTCGGGGATAGGCAATTTTTACGCCTTATCACCATCATTAGACAGTGTTTGCTGAAGGCATGGACGTCAGTTTTTATTTCAGTTATCAACGCTGATATTGTGACTCATTTATTTGATGAGCTTTGGAACACAATAAATATAATAGTAAACTTGTGCAAACGCCTACAACAACATCGCTGAATGATGTTTGGGATGAAGGTAATGGCGGATTGATTTCTAATAACGGCCATTGTTTATGACCTCTGACAATTTATTTAATGCAAACAAAAAGATTGCCGTTTTCACAGTATTTAATGTGTAATAAATAATTACATATTTTTGCGAGATAGTAAGCGTGACAAATGGGAAATCTATACAACAACATTAAGGCGGGTTTTCTGTTGCTTTTTCAGTCGAAGCCTTTCTTAGACATACGTATATACCTCAAACCCGTTGCGTTGTGATAATCAGCTTATATGGCGCACCAAATACAGTCCAACTCACAGGTTGAACACCGTTTTTTCGCTCATAAGCCGTCATCTCCCTTGGATTTGCACCACAGTACTCATGAGAAGCGGCTCTTTATAAGTTTGAAAATGGAAACGATGGAGAGGAGCGCCAGGGTTCGACGCTGGTATAAGCGAGTTTGTCGCGCTTTACTGTTCTGGGAACGGTTTGAAACTTCTCAGAATTCAACGTACAACGACATAACCAAATGATAGGCTAATAATAGCGTTTATTATTTAAAACTTTACAGTCTTACTAATACAATAAATTACGGGTGCATGGCACTTCAATCCCCTTTCCGACCAGGACCTCCTCGTTTTAAACCTAAAATAATAAAAAAGAATAAACAGAGAACTTACCATCACTATCATCCATTGATTTGTTGCTATTACTAAATATTCGATCGTATTCTTCGTTATACAATGACATATCCGGCTGTAATGAGATGGGATGAACGATTCTTCCCACTTTTAGGACTTCGGAGTTCTTCCCACAATTCAAACTCATCGATCCTTTATAAACACTCGTAGATCCTGATTTGAGAGAGCAAACATCGCCAGGCTGAAGATACTCCGCTGCTTGATCCCAGACAGTCAGATTTATAGACGCACTCTCATCGGCCACTTTGAATTGACAATGCGAATGACCATTGGCTGCCATTCTGGATTGGGCTAAACATCAATAAAATCATAGCAAGAGATGTTTACACTTCTCGAGGATAATAAAGGAACAGTTGAGATTCTTAACCCCTGGTTTGAGATCGGCTATCGGTGTGATTCCTCGTAAAGGCGTTTCTGTGGTCATTAGAGTTCGAGGAGGCCACGGCTCGATTACTGTAGGATCGTTCATCATTTTGAGATCTAAAACAAGGTTTACAGTTTTAAGAAAATGTACAATACCTTTCCTTTTATAAATATATTTGACAAGTTAGCTAGAAAATAGAATTCCAAAAAAGTTTTATAAAATGTTATTTATTTTTTTTATTTCTAAAAAATCCGTCATACGGACAAATATTTTGTGTTTTATCTTTTTTTTTAAAAAAATGTGGCTTCTTTTTGAAGCATTTATATAACTATACTTGTAAGTGCTATGTGGATACGTCACTGTATGCGTATTTACAATGATTAGCAGTTGTTCCCTTAAGTTTACATGACAGATTTTCCAGATATTACTTTAACGAGCGGTTTCGAGACGCAAACGTTTTTGGCATTGCGTATTTTTCGTAAAAATTATATCCAAAATCTGCAAAAGGCTTGGAACTCGAGATCGTCACCAAAATTCGCAAACAACTTGCCAATAGAACATTGCTTTATGGCCAGATCACATGGTAATTGTTTCCTCATCAGTGATTAATTTTTAGATGCAACTTGGTCCTCGAAACTTATTGAATGGGTTCTTTCCAACAAACAACTTGTTTTATTCCGAGTGGTCACATTCGTTTGGCTGAGGACATGGTTTGTCCCTGATGAGTATTTCCAAGTATGTCGTAAATTTACATTTCATTGATCCATGTTTAGAGTATTGAGATTTCTTATGGGCAGGTGTTTGGAAAAGGCGAGACGACCTGGGAATGGGATCCGAACAACGCTTTGAGATCTTACCTGCATCCTTTACTCTACATGAGTCCTTATTACATTTTGAAGTTGCTAAAGATCGATTCTGGAGTGTTAATTCGAGCAATTCCAGTTGTTATTCACTTTCTATTTACGTTGATATCCGATTTCGCTATTCAGAAGGCGTACAGGAAGCTGCTGAGTAAGCACATTGTGCCTTATTTTTAGCTTTATCTTTAGAGTATGCTGATGCTGAGAAGAACGCTTTGATTTTGTATCAACTCAATTGGTTTATCTTGTACTCGCTACCAAGATCATTAGCCAATACAATTGAAATGTTGTTGGGAATATACGCGGCAGGTTTCTATCCCAAGCGATCGTTTATCCCGCTTGTCTTACTTGCTGGGCTAATCAGACCAACCTCCGCTATTATTTGGGCACCTTTAGTTTTGTATCAGCTTTATCTTGGAGGATTTCGAATTTTAAAGTGAGTAATGAATGTTGGATTATTGCTATTTGTATTTTAGGTACTTTTTGACCGTCTCTCTTTCTCTACTGACCATTTCAACATTTGTGGACTATCTGTTTTATGGCCGCTTTACATTCCCCGTCCTGAATTTCTTTCTCTTCAATATCTATCAAGGTGGAAGTGCCCAATTCGGAGTCAACTCTGCTTTCTACTACATTGCTGGACTTTACTCTCTCGCTCCCATTGAGATGACAGTGTTATCCCTTATTGTTTTGACCAGCATTCGACAGGTTCATCAACATGTCAAATGGATGATATCCCATGAGCCTCAGATTGTTATTTATGCCATCCTCTCCTTGTCTTATATCATTGTTCATTCATTGATACCTCACAAAGAGCATCGATTTCTGCTTCCCGTCATTCCATTCATAATCCCTGTGGTTTCTTCAATTTACTCGAGATTGAGACCTGGAAGTTCTTTGCTGATCATTGCCTTGATTAATATCCCATTGTTCATGTTTTTTGGTGGACTCCATCAAATTGGTCATCTGAGTGTTGTTAATGAACTGAGGAATGGGATCAAGGCAACGAATGGTGGAATTATATCGTATTTGACTCCATGCTACAGTATCCCGCAATATGCTTATCTACATCCAGATGGATTGAAGTGGACGATTACGCAATTGGATTGTATTAGTGTTGTCAGAGAGGGAGACAGGGTAAGCTTGGACTGTTTTATCATGAGATGTCGCATGTTTTATCGTTTTTTTATTAATTTTGTACCATCTTTTCAGGACACGACTCCTCAAGACATATTCTTCCAAAACACGACTGCCGCGATCTCATCCCATTGGAATAAATATGTTGGAGATGCAAAATACATAGTTATGTATGATAAACTACTCTCCGAACTGGATCAAACATCAATCGGGAGCAAGCTACGGACTTTGTACAATATAAAGTCATATTTCCACACAATATTTCCGGTCGGAGAAAACTCAGGGAAGTATCTTGTTTTACTCACCAAAAAGAATTGATACTCAATCATCTTCTGACTTCATTTATTCCATGTTTTGACGCAATTTTGTAAATATGGTTAATATAATAAAACTGTTGGATCCATACTTTTTTCTTTTTCGCTAATCTTTTCCCGTTCATCTGTGAGTAAAATCATCACTGATGGAAAGATGTGTAATACTGTGGCCATGCAGAATACATAAAAGGATACCCCGAGACTAAAACAGTGGATGAATTTGGTTGGTATTACACTTACTGTACCAAGCCGTCGGAGGAAAAATCATCCAGTAAGTGCTCTCTCAAAAGCACGTTATACCTCATCGTCCCAAAAAATTGTTTGCAGTATAACGTCATCGCGAAGACATACGAGGCGACTGGGAAAATATGTAATAATAGACATTTTAAATCTCACCACTTAGCCAACTCCAGATGTGAAGACCTCTTGGGCCAGCAACAGTATTGATTTCTTCGACAAATAAGTTCAGGAAGGAAACGAAGAGGCCGACGAAGCTCCAAATGAGACCAACGCCAATCAAAAACAAAGTGAAGATCCAAGTGAACTTGCCGAAAAAGCTGATCCCGTCATCAAGTTCGGCAAACACTGAAAGATTATACATACGGTAAAAGCAGATAATATTTAACTCACTAGAAAAATATTCCCGTCTTGGCCCATACCCATAATCTAGTTGTCTCACTCCAACAAATAGTCCAGTATGGAAATAGCTGTACTTGGATGCTTTCCCAAACCGATGCAATGGCTCCGACTCCGCCCAGAAATCTGTTGACAACGCCACTAGCACCAAACTGGTCCCAATAACATAAACAACAAGACTAATGAAGATAGCCAACCGTCGCGAACTCTTCATTATACCAGATCTTCAGCTGCAGTGAAGACCGCATTTACCAGTTCTTTAGTCCGAGATGACCTTCATTTAGCCGGTCGCTAATACGATCGGGATCTCTTTTTACGGCATCGAGAAGGGAGGAAACTATTTGCACACGATTTGCATGAGTAGGGTTCAGGGACAAGGGCCTTGCGACTTCGACTAATACGTACTGTGCTGTCTGTGTCAGTCATCTTCAGTGCAAAATAATTTTATTCAATTTATTTGCCAAAAATAACGTCAGCTCCTTTTTTCTAAATCCGTGAAGCCGTTAAATTGTTGCAAACACTTTAGAAAGCACGCTTGGCTTTTCTTGTACTTACGAACTCGGACCTCTGATCCGAAAGATTTTGATATCTTATGGACAAAAACGTCAAATTTTATGCATTTATTTCTCTGCAGACGTTTTTCTCTCGTTCCTTCTCAAAGTGGACATCGATTTTCAATTTTTCCGCTCTAAATGCTGTTCCCTAACAGTCAGAGGGTTACTTCAGGTTTAAGCCCGACTTTTAACATGGCGATTGCGATTTCCAACGAGGTTTTTTGCGAATCTTAGCGATTTTCCGTCTGAATCATCTGTTTTTGCTCTTTTCCAATGTTTATTTTCACTGAAAATTATTTGCAGATAACATTAGACCGGGATGAACAACCCGTGGGTTGTTACCTCGTTGGAGTTCCAACAAAATGAGATCCAATTCATTACACTCAAACCTACAGACGGATTTCTGAATGGTGAACAAGCAAGAGGTTTCATGCTGAAAAGTGGACTTCCACCTAACGTCTTGGCACAAGTAACCGGTGTTTTGATTTTATTTCTTTGCTTTTAGGGGAAATTTTTGTTCTTCTTGCAATTACAAAAATATTTTAGGTATGGAACCTAGCTGATATGAACAAGGATGGTCGTTTGGACAAGATTGAGTTTGCCGTAGCAGTAAAACTAATTCGCAATGCTCTGTCCGGACTTCCTCTTCCAAATATTCTTCCTGACTCTATGAAAGTGATTCAACAAGCTCCTCCTCAAGCCTTTGTCCGACCTCCGGCCTATGGAATGCCTCAGATGCCACAACCTTATATGGGAGGACCTCCACCACAACCTCCAACTCAAATACAACCGGAATTCAAAATGGGCACAAAGGAATTAGGGGATTGGACAATGCCGCACAGTACCAAACTAAAGTACTCTCAACGGTTCAATCAATTGGATAGAGAACGAAAAGATTATTTGACTGGTCAACAGGTTAGAGGAGTAATGGGAGAAAGTCAACTGCCAGCGCCAATTCTTGGACAAATTTGGAACTTGGCAGACAACAATAAGGAGGGGTATTTGACTATCGAAAAGTTTTGTGTGGCCATGTTTTTGATTGACCAGGTCAAGGTAAGAGAAAATTTTAAATCATTTTGTTTAACTTTTAGGCCGGATACGCCCTTCCTCCTAAACTCCCACCAGAGTTGGATACGTTTGCTTCCCGTCCAAAGACAGAATCGCCAGCAATCACTCCGGGCGAGGATCCGCCACAGAAAACCCCCACTTTAAAGACATTCGAAGATAAACGAAGGGATAATCTAGACAAAGGAGAGGCCGAATTGGAACGGCGACGACAGATCCTTCGAGAAGAAGAAGAAAGACGTAGGATGGAGATCGAACGGAAGGAAAGAGCAGAGGCCGAACGTCGAGAACAGGAACGATTGGAACAGGAGAGGATACGACAAGCTGAACTTGAAGTCCAAAGACAACGGGAAAAGGAGCTGGAGGAACAGCGAGCAGCAGAAGAAGCAAAACTTCGAGCTGAACGAGAAGAACAACGAAGGAAGGCCGACGAAGAGAGGATGAAATTGCTGGAACAAAGACATGTTAAGGATCTTGAGGTTAGTCTTCTTACTTTGTTATATTTTTCTTTTTGTTGTTTTAGACTCAACTCCAAGCCGAAAAAGAGAAAACGGCCCAAATCCAACAACGCCACAAGACGATGACGTTTCAATTGCAAGGCCTGGAAGAGAAAGCGGCTCAACTTACACTTGATTCGAATGCATCAAGAGATGAAATCATTGCAATCACGAGTGAAATCGAAGCTATGAGAGGTCAGCGAGACCAGAAAGTGGCGAAGATTCAAGAACTTCAGGCTAAGAATCAACAAGTATGTGAAGAAAACCTTTATGCTTTGTGTCATGTACATATGAGTCTGATCGTTTTATTTCAGCTCGCCGTTCAATGTGAAAGGGTTTCTCATAGCAACTTGCAACTTCAAACGGAATGTCAAAAGAGCTTGTCCAGAGGAAAAGAGATCGAACAGATCAGAAATTTGATTGAGGAAAGAAAAAATCAGATCAAGAATGCCCAAAACGAAATTCAAGATTCCACTCAACGCCTGGAGAATCAGAAGAAATTGGTGAATGAGGTAAACATTACTTTTGAATCTTATATTGTTGTTTTTGCAGAAGAAACCCGAGTTTGATGCTGGAGAAGAACGTCTGAAAAAGATTGGTGATGTGTATCGGGAAATGCTCGAGAAATTCGTTGCCAAACAAACGGAACTCCATAAGAAAGTCAGTGAGAAGAGAAGGGCACAAGTCCCACCAATGAGTGCTGCTTTCAACTCCAATTCAAATAATTTCAATACCAACTTTAACTCGACGAATGATGCGTTCGGATCGAATGCCTTTGGCACTGGTGATGGATTCAACGCTTTCCCCAAACAGAATGATCTTTACGAAGCCCCACCTGATGCGAATGCCTTCCCCACCAGCTTCAATGACCCATTTGCTCCAAAACAGGGAGATCCTTGTAAGCAAATCGCCGAGATTCAAGAGTATAATATACTTTTTAGTTGCACCATCTGGACAAACCACTCATGCTTCTCCTCAGAATTCATCCGACAAGCCGCCAGTCAAATACCGCGCATTATATGAATTTGTGGCCCGATCTGATGATGAACTTTCCCTCCAGCCAGGTGATACCATCCTTGTTTTCGAAGGGCATGCGTCGGAACCAGGATGGTTGGCTGGTCAGATCAAGGAGAAGGTTGGGTGGTTCCCGGCTTCGTTCGCAGAGCCCATTGCCAAGAAGACCAGTCCCATTCAAAACTCGACTTCTGCTTCTCCATCGACGGAACCATTGGCTAGTATTAAAGAAGAGCCAACGGAAAAGGATTTTAATACTGATTTTAGTAAGTGCAGGCTTAAGAGGGCTAACAAAGAATAGTTCGATAAAGTTTTCGCTTTTTGTTTTTGATGGTCGGATACTAATTTATATTATTTTAGGTTCCGCCTTTGCCGCCGGAACCCCAGTTGCCCAACCACCCTCCACAATGTACGACGCCCCTCCAGGAGACATCCCCTCTCCGGTCAAACCAGCCCCAGCTTCAGTAGCCACTTCCAACGACGTCGTCATCGCTGTGGGTGTTGCCCAGTTCCCCTGGAAAGCCCGTTATGACTCAGAATTAAGTTTCGCGAAAGGCGATACCATCGAGATCCTAGAAAAAACGGAAATGCGATGGAGAGGAAGGGTTCAGGGTAAGAACGACACCAATGGATGGTTCCCCAAGAGTTATGTGAAACTGAATGAGAATGGTAAGATAAAGTACTTTGAAGATGATGTAAGATGTTTCAGTCCCCTCTAAACAATCCTCGGTCGAATCGAATCGTCAACTTTCTTCTCATGTCACCCCCTCCAACTCCCAACAAGCAATTGCCCCCACTTCTCAACCTGTATCCTCACCATCAGGCCAATGGTTTGTCGCTTTGTATCAATTTGATGCTGTGGAGTCAACGGATCTGAGCCTTAAGATTGGAGAGCGGATCTTTGTCACGGAACAAGAAGGTGAATGGTGGAAGGGAACTGCGAATGGAAGAACAGGCATATTCCCGGCCAATTATGTGGAAAAAGCTGACTCGGCCCCTGCCCTCCCTACCTCAACGGTTAGCGCCTCTGGAGATTCAACGGAAATGGATAGAAAGGCCAAGGTGATTGCCGCATTTGAGGCGACAGCGGAGAATCAGATCAGTCTTCATGTTGGGGATCAAGTGCAAATAAAAAACACAACTCCAGGTGGATGGTGGGAAGGAAATGTGATCGGAAAGGAGGATAAAGTGGGATGGTTCCCCGGAAATTATGTTCAGGTAAGGGGATGAAATTTTATTTTTCTTGGATGACATGTTACACGGTTTGCGCTTTCGATAAGATTTTTTATTAAACAAATTGCAATTTTTAATCATAAAGTTGTTATGATGGAGCTTATTTTCAGCTAATCAGCGCTGCCTCAACTCCAATCGGCGCCAAGCTGGCTGATGCCGCTTTTGATTACGAAGCCCAGCATGCAGATGAACTCTCTTTCAAATCCGGCGATGTAATTGAAGTCACCGAACAAACGGACAGTGAATGGTGGAAGGGGCGGAAACAAGGGACCACCGGTGAATCTCTCCTCTTCCCATCTAACTTTGTACAACTTCGGTAAATTATTTTGAATCTCTTTGATTATCCAACGGAATCTGAAAATTTTATAACTAATGTTAAGAAATCTCTAAATAAACTTTTTCTAACTGACCTAGGAGGTGCTGAATCATTGGTAGGATGACTTTGTAAGGTATTACTGAGTAAGATTAGATATTGTGATGTGAGTGTGTGGTTATTTATGTTAGCTATCAGATTGTTAGTGTAATTTATTGTATTGGTGATGGTGTTTAAGTTTTTTTCTTTATAGTAATGTGACGGACGCGCCTTCTGTTACTCCTTTTTCAAAATCGAGTAGTCAATCAGATGCCGTGAGAAGGGTAAGCGGACTTTTGGATATTGATTTGTCTAAACCCTTTCGTCATTTTTGTGATATTATCCATGTGTTGGGTGCTTGTGATGGTCGTTTTCTGCAACTTGAAGTTGCTTTTGGTCCTTTCAGTTATCAATTTTTATTAAAGACTCGCCTATGTTGTTTTAGTAGCCTGGTAAAGATTTTGTTCTATTTAAGGAGCTGATTGAGACCGAAAATCGTTTTGCTGAGGATCTTTTGATGGTTAGAAATGTTTTCATGAAACCGTTGGCTACCGTATTAAATGAGGATGAGTTGAACAAGCTGTTCTTGAATTGGAATGACCTAATAAAATTATCCAAGAAGATTTACAGTGGACTACAAAAGAGACCACCAGGTATTGAGTGAAATCTTTTGGGGATATTCATGTTTAGGTGAGCTCTTTTGCCGTCGAATTGATGCCCTCGAGGAGTTTGTGACCTTCTGCGAAGGCCAACAATCGGCCATCGATTATTTGAATCATTTGGAAACGAGCAATGAGAAGTTTAGAAAATGTCATTTGAAATGTCAGGAGCACGAGGCCGTCAGAGGAGTATCACTGAGCTATTACTTACTCATTCCGATGTCTCGAATCACCAGATACCCACTTATATTCGAGAAATTGCTCAAGGAAACGAATCCGAAAGACCCGGATTATGAGGTGAGATATTCATCACGAATAAATTAATTATAATATAAGCATGGTAGCTTTATAATTCTGTTGATTATTACATTATCAATCACTCGACCTTCCAGGCCCTTCACAACGCCCATCAATTACTTCAAGCACTCTGCGCTCGAGTAAATAACGCAATTTCCGAAATGCAAAATACGAACATGTTATATTGGAGTCAGCGGAACATAAAAGTCGGAAACATCCATTTGGAATTTACATCCGAAACGAGGGAGTTAGGCCCGCGCAAGTTCCTACAGTCCGGAATCGTGAATAAAAACAAGTCGAACAAGATGTTGGTAGCTTTGCTTTACAATGATATGCTAGTGTTGACAACATCCGATGAAGGGATATCAAAGGTATGCAGTTTTATCTCTAAATGAAGGATGACTAATGCTTTATTCCGGCGTTTCAGCCAGAGGATTTCAAGATATCGCCATCAGATGACGTTAGGCTTACCTTATATAAGACTCCATTTGTCCTGAAGAATCTGCAAGTCGAGGCCAGCCTATTGGACAGCAATGTATTCGAGATCCGGAACTTGGAACTTACAGTGCAACTGAGGGCCAAAAGCAGTAATGAAAAGATGTTCTGGGTGAATCAGATACGCAAGGCGATTGATGATTATGATGTGAATTCGCAACTGACTTTGGCCAAAACTTCGGTATGTTTATAAGGCTAGAACGGGTATTGATAATTATTTTTGAGGGTACATTGCTTTCAACCGCTAATTTCAGAAATCTCCAACCAACTTTGGCCAAACATCAGCTGGCACATTATCAGTGGAACTAGTCAGTCTGAGCAGAACTGACATCCTCAACAAACCGCTGGTAATTTCGTTGGATCTGGAACAGCTAGAGAGGCCGTTGAGATCACAAATAACCCCGTCTTCTTCCACCAACAGCCTCTTGAAATTAGACATGAATTTAATGTCTCTAAAACAGCATCTCGAACTGACTGTTGCTATATTCCAGCCTTACAGACCTGATCGAAAGGTGGGCCAGGTGACCGAAGATATAATGCAGCTGGTGAGGATCGCCGCCCATCATCGCGGCCCAATCGTGAGGAAATTGGATTTGGAGAAATCGGATCTGACTGGTAGGAAATGCGAAGCGGTTATTAAGTTTGTTGTCAACATTCGAGAGCAGTTGTAATATTCTTCTGAGACGTTTATTTTGATGTTTATATCTTTTTCTAACATTCACATCAGCCTTTTTCTAGTCTAATATTACTTATATCATGATGACTTACGGTGATTACTTATTTTACAATTACTTACTTCCAATCGGAGCTTACACTAACCGAGTTGACCTCTTTTAACAGTACTGTTTATTGTTGTCATGATAAAAAATGTACAGAATAATTTGGAATGGGACTAGCTTGTTTTCTACACTGAGATCACTGGTGTTAACGAGTTTAAGAGATTCAAATGTCAGCGTCTTTTGAATCCTTTCACGGAATCCAAATTGTCAGGAATTCGTTAAAAATGTTGCCGGGAGACGGGAGATAATTGCTTTAAGAAAATAAAAATGTAAGCGAGGGGGGCAGATTTACGAGCATTTTTGTGACCTTCGGGACCTCGGAATCTTGAATGAGTACGAGTTTTGAGCAAAACAAAAAAATTACTTAAGGATTCAGACTTTTGTTCTCAAAATTGTGGGGGTTTCGAAGCACGATGAGAGACGGAGAGACGTTAACCGGATTATGCCTGTTTCAAAAAAAAACTTGTTCGAGAAGACAACGGGGCTTCTCAATCCTCCCGTCAGAACTTAAAGACTCGGAATTCATAAGGGCCTGGGACTGCGTACAGAAAGTGGGGATGTGAAAAGATGAAACGCCTTTTGTTATCAGCGATATATACGTCATGTATCGCAGTGACGAGGAGAAATCTTAGGGGGGACAAAAGAAGGATAGGTTGATATGTATCGCAGTCCAGGAAGCGTTACGAATTCAGCGTCTTATTCAAGTACCTTAACAGAGTCATCAAACAAGGAAAAGGGAGAAAATGTAAGACATAGAGCATATAGAAAATATATATGACCGCTACGGATCATGATGGCCTATGAATTGGTCATCTGAAGACGATTCTCTGGATAGTCGGGACAAGAAGAGTAATTCTGAGAAGCGAAGTAAGTGCTGGTATCACATGGCGGAGATATGGAATGGGATACGGTTGAGAGACTGGACGGCGTCGTTGAGGATTCAGAATTCGGATACTCGGGCCGATTTGTGGGATCTTCTGGATTGAAACTGGTATACAGTTCTTTATTGACGACCTCGGATTGGCTAGATGTTGTTGAAGATTCGTAAACATTGGCTGGATCATGAGGGCCTTCGAATGAAGCTCCTTCACATTGAGAGTAATTATAATCTCCAGCGTCTTTGTAATCAAAGAAACCGTCATCAGAATCATCCGCTTCATCGTACCGATCATGACCACGTCGTCGAGCATTCATAAAGAAGTTGGCCACAGTCGTTAAGTCAAGTCCCAGATGTTGTGAGATCGTTATCTGCATCTCCCTTGAAGGCCGTTTGGTTTCCTTGAAGATGGCCTGAAATAATCAACTTATTTCCCATATAGATAAGCTTCAAGACAGGGATATCTAGCCTACGACTTATCGTCAAAAGCAATGGTCATATGACTACAGTTATCTATATGTAATCATTACAACCTACGAAAGAGGTTCTATAAGAAGTTCAGGAAAGTTCAGGCACCTGCAAAGTGCGTCGTTGGACATCGGTGAAGACGAGGCGCGGCTTCTTCTGCGGCGGCTGATGTTGATGATGTTGTTGTTGATGGTGTTCGTCCTTACGCTTACATGCTGAGACAACTGAAAAACATGCACATAAACGCTGATAATACTTGAAAGAATTGGGCCGACTGTTTACAACGGGACCCGGGTTCGAAAATATTTTGAAGATTCCCCAAAAAATGTCTCGGAGGCTTAGCCGTAAAAGTTTGGAGCTCATGCCTCGGGGCATGATTGATGGATGCGCGCAAGAGATTGGGCGCCAGATACGAAACCCCTTCCGGAGTGTGGCCCCTTAACCCCCAGTGACGAATGGAAGAACTTGGTGGTCAGAAAAATGAAGACATTTGTTTTCGCCCAATCTCATGTGTATTATAAGCGCCGAATTTGCATAAATCAACAAGCGAATGGGGCCATGAGACACGAGGCTGCGCGAAAAAAGTGGAATTGAATTTATGCGGCGCCAGCTTGGCGGAATCGGATATAAAATTCAAAGAACATCAAGAATTGTGTTGACCTAAGACTGGACTGAAAGTTTTCGAAATTTAATTTGTTCAAGATGGAAACCGCCTACCAAAATGACGTGTCTAGTCGTATCTCAAGGGTTAACGTAATTTCTAGCACCCGCTCCAGTCCATCAACATAATTCCCGGCCATTTCCCCTTAAACTTAAGGTTTTATGTTTTCTTTTCCAAATTTCCGTTTTTCATTCGCCGCCGGATGCCCGTTATGTTCGTCCTCACCTGCCAAACGAAGGGCCGACATTCGTTGAAGTTCCGGTTCCTGAAGCCATTTGGCCATCCGTCGGAACGTCTCGCGGCCGCTCTTCAGCTTGGCCCAGGGTTTCGGGTTGCGCAATAAATCTGATAAGGTGCCTTGTGATCTGAAAGCGGAAAATAATGTGAAAGGATTAAAAAAGATGACATCAGTGTCAAAAAGCACATTCTACAGTAACCCGTTAAGCACAGGCAATGTGATTTTGTTTTGTGGTTTTTGTGGACCTGACTCATTTTGAATTTGTGGGAATATTAAGGCCTACTCAAAGTGAATGGTCGTTAAAAAACGACCCGTTTTATGACGGATAAAGGGGCCCATAAGTGGTATGTGTGGTCCATACACGGAAAGCAAATGGCCCTCCAGGTGGAAGTGCTTTATTCCAGTCATATCTCAGGTTATAGTCATTTCGCTTAATTTGGGCAATTTGTTTTGGAATTAGGCGAAGGAGAAAGTGTCATACAAAAAAGCGATCACCTCGGATTCACTGCCCCCTTTAAAGCAGCGTAATCACAAAGCTTTCTGTAAATGTACCGGCAAGAATAGTGACACTATGAAGCCTGACATTGGCTCTAATTGGCTATTGCACTCACCTGCACAAAACACGCTGTGCAAAAACAGCCTGCGGGATGGAGTAGCGCTTGAGTTCACTGGATATGCGTTGTGCCAATTCTCTGGTGTTCAACTCCTCTCCATCCACGCCATTGTTCTCGGCCTCCGACACTTGCAGACGCTGCTCACCGGCGTCCAACGGGACCGACGAGGAGGAGGTGGATGTCGTATTCTCCTGCAATTACAGCCCAATTGCATCTTTTAGCACTGTTTTCAGTAAAGATTTCCAGCATTTTGAATTCATGGACATTATTTTTGAAGAGAGACACAATAGACGGAGTGTGAGGGGAGAGGAAATTGCAATACTCTGTAATCTTTTGTGTGCTCTTGGCTTGTATTCAGTAGTATCTCGGGTGTGTACAGCAGGCTAAACGATGCAGCGCCTATATGAAACTGCAACATCCGTAGTGCCCATCCTCAAACAGAATTTTGTTCATAAATAAGTTTTATGTGAGTCATCTACTTTTTTCATTCGTCAAGGGACCCGGATCCCATCACTTATTTACCATGATATAAGCGGCGTATCCCCCGAGGGCGCCTTGTGATACGCTCGGACCGTACGATTAAATTAATTGTTTGGAACCACGTGAAGCCAGAAGAGCTTCGGGATCCTCTTGAAGGAAACAAGGAAAGATAATTTTTCTGCCAGGGCTTCCTTTGTTGGAAACCTCCGGGTTGGTTGTTCAAGAACAGACAAAAACTTTTACGGAACCCTTCAGAAGGCCAACAAAGACTTCTCGTGTTTTGCTTCTTCAGTCGGCATTTGCATATTCATGAGGTTGCCCTCAATCCCCGGCTTTCAAGCTGCTGAACTGAACTTGAAGCCGGAAAGCGACGGAATGAGGTCGAGCCGAGAGCAAAGGGCTTCCATGCTGCAGTTACAGTAGAAGAAAACCGAGACAATTTAAGAATAAACTTGCAACTTTTTACCTTAAGTACGATACTTCTTAATGAAAATATCCACTTATCTTATTGATTATAAAATAATTATGATTATGCTTTATCAAGATTATTTCTAAACCTATTTCTTCCATGGTAACCTAACCCCCTAGTGGACCATCTCTTCCACGATTCCTTTTGTTCTCTTCGATCTCTCTGTGTGTTTGTCCATCTGAATTTATAATTTCTCCCACTGCTCCTTGTCTTCCATATAAATCCCAAAAATGGGAATGAAAGAAACATCCCGAGCCAAGAAAATGACGAAACAAGGGCCAGCTCCTCATAAACCCCCGACATGCATGACAGGATGATATATGATTGGAGGGGTGTTTAAAGCCTTCGTTGTAAATGTGTTTTGCAAGAGCCCGCTGCAATACTCGACGATTTATCTTCGGCGGGATCTGGAGATGTTTTTTCGGCCCGTAAGGTTGATATGTACAATTTAGGAGATGAGAAGAGGCGATTGGAATGATCTCCTTTTCGTAAAAGCTCTAGTTTTCACAACAAACTATGCGGAATATTTCGGGCTCGCCTTCAAACCTCAAAGTTTCGTCTTCAATTTCTAATGTTGCAAAAATAATGTCTTCCATAAAAATGTCAACTTCTGGCCGAGATTCCACCGCCCCCTTTTGGCCCCTGAGGGGTGCTGGCCGCGCGTTTCGGGGCCGCCACATTTTAGTAGCCCGAGGAGAAATGATTGAGACGCGCGGTATTAGGCAAAAGTTTACGTTAACTTAGACAAATGAGGTCTAAGAAGAAGCGTCGGGGCTCTTTGGCTCCTTAAATGCCCGATATAGAGGCTGTTTGGCGCTCGGCGAAGGAAAATAAAGCCCCGGCCGCTAAAGTTCTCGGAGCTAATTTGGGGCCGAGATTAGTAAAGCGAGGGAAAGGATGGGCTCCAGACAAGCGGAGATCGGGCTAACCCAGGAATCACAATTTTTGGTAAATATAAATGCATTTTTGATGACATAATTGCAAAACTTACCGGAATATGGACCGTTTTGTTCTCGATCATGGACTCTGATTGGGAATACGACGAATACATGGGATCATACATGGGTTCGCTTTTAATCGCGATGTTCTGCCGCGATTGTTCCGTGGGATAAAAGTTATCTTGGTATGACATGTTCTGATGGATATCGTTGGGAACTGATGTGTTGAAATCATATGAATACTGCTGCAATTGTACAGTAAACATTTCCAAAGAAGGATGCCAATCTCTTGCATCATTAACTTACATTTACTTCCCTCCCACAATGAGTTTGCTGTAGATTGGTGAGATCATCCATTCCGATCGGCTTCCCCGTGTCATATTCATATTTGATCGTATAGGGGAGGTTGTTGTATCGTTGTGAATGCTCTATCACATTCTGTTGATGATGTGTTCGATGCTGTGGGTCCAGAAAATGCTCTTCATGGCTTTCATAGGGCATTGGAGTGGCAGTCTGAAGAGATCTCGAAGCGTCTGGGGCCGTCGGTGAGACAGTCGAGGCGTATTTGCCGTTGTTCTGGGATGGTAATGGATGTAGTGGGGTTAACTGAACATATCCATCGTAGATGCTCAGCTGCTCATCGTATTCACGACACAAATGAACGTTGCCAGAATTGGCTCCCAGAGCCGCTGATAACATTGGGTCAGCCCCATTCTCTAGCGTTTCCATGGCTGAAGTTGCTGGACCTTCGAATAGCTAGTCCAGGCTTGGCACAGTGAATATCTAGCTATTGTGGGGTCAACGTTGAAAAGGACATTAACCGTGACCCCGAGGGATGATGACAAAGGAGTACGGTAGAAGGTGCGAGCCCGGGATCAACCAGAACGGCCGGAATTCAAGGCTCTCAATGACGGACCGGGCGCGGAGATGACGCCGCTACCAAAGATGACGAACCGATGAAACGGAGTGGCCCTACGGCTGGGGCACTTTTTATCTTTTTTTCTTTTTTATATTTCTGGACGGACGAAAACGGCGTCGACCTTGTCGGGCGGAAGAGGTGCGGCGGCCGAAAAAACTAGAAGACGAAAGTGGAGCGCCACTCACAAAAAACGAAGGGGGATTGGAGAAGAAGTTGAAGAAGCAGCGTCCTGAAACGAGCAGGAAATTGTTTGTTTTGCGTTGCGAGCGGCATCTCGAACCGTATAAAAGTGCCAAGCGAAAAAAGTGGGGGCCGAGTGGGTGCCGGCGATCACAATCCCGTTTCCGGCATTGCGCTCCCGGCGCTAAGGATACGAAACTGGGGGATTCGACCGCTTATGAGTGCATTAAACAATGTAAGATCAATGGGATCATGAGAATCGCACATGGGAAACAATTAATTCCATAATTTTCTTGCAAATTTTTATATATTCGATAATATCTGCAGACTTTCAGGCCATTCAGAATTTTGTATTTGATAGTTACAATCACGGATTTAGAATCTTCCTAATGCTTATAATCTGCTACTAGATAATCGGGGTTTAACGAGTACAAAAGGATTCGTTTTGAAATAAGAAGGCATTACTGTGATTTACAGGGTCTCTTTTGTAGAAAAAAGATTGTTTAAAGTTAGTTTGAACCTATTCATTCGAAGCAATTACACATTTACAAAAAAGGACTTTTATTTAGCGACTAACTTCTCATAAAAATGCCTACAACAGCAACTCGGAAATGCACAGTTGGCGACAATTTGAAAAGCACGTCAACCCCAAAAATCACCTCCAAATTAGGCCGATTTGGCGAGGCAAAACGTCTGCGTGTTGGACTAGCCTCTTTCCTACAGAATGGCCATTCCTTCCGAAAAGGCGCCGCGGGCGTTTTTTCCTTTCGTTTTTTCGCAAACCCGACTTTCTTGGCTCCGCCCCAAAAAAGATTCGCAGTAACGTGGAGCGCTGATTGCGAATTCGGAGAGGAATGTCATAATGACAACTCAAGATGTCATCACGACAATAGCTGGACTCTTGCGCTGTTTTTTTGTCAGGAGATTCAATTTCATAGCAAATTTGTTTATTAAAATTGTGGACCTTGAACTGAGAATGGTACTTAGAGTGGGATTAAAATCCAAAAGCATCCGTCAATGAAGACATTCAAATTTATGCCTCCGTTGAGTCCAGTGATCCAGAGTGTAACTGTTCTTATTAGAAAACGATGCTATATTTTGGCCTTGAACAGTATTAATTTGGCTAGCATTTTTTCTGACAAAAGTAAATCTCGCCTGATGATTTCAAGGCCTAAAAATCCCATTTCTGCTCGTTTCTGGCCTCAGTAGTCAGTCGTTATTGAGCTAATAAAGAATGTCCTTTGTTGGCGCATTAAATAACCAAAAATTTTTAGCGGTCACTTTTTTTGCTCCTATTATATTGCACTTTAAGAAAAGAATTTTTGGTTTCAATTTCCGGCTGAAACTGGAACTTATGTATATCTCCATTGTTTACACAGTGGTTCCAGTACAGTTATTGGTATGGTATTCTTATCATTCCAAAAGGGACGTTATTGCGCAATAATGAAGTGGCTTATAGAAGAGTAAACAAAGTTACTCTCTTATAACGGTGTAACCCAATTCCTATCTTCCGATGCATTTGTGGGCAACGTTTTTTTTTCAATGCCTTTTGAGGACATTTACTTTTTCCTGAAGTAAAAAGTACTCATAACTCCAAACAAAACATAAAAAGTATGAGAAAGTTGGTGGAAAGTTGGTCCTTCAAGCTTTGAATTTCTGCAAGCCAAGTGCTCTGTTGTTGTAAAAGCGTGGAGAATATGAGAGAAGGGGGAATTTGGGGGTTAAAACACATTGAAGGCATTGTTTAAAGATATTACAGTATACAGCGATACCCCTCAACAACAAAAGGGATCAAAAAAATTATTCGTTAAAGAGGGATGTCACTGTACAGAGGCTTGTTTTGGGCCAAAATAACTTTTCTGAATTTTTTTATAATACAGACAGACTTTGTTGTACGGGAGTTCGTTCTACGAAGGTTCTACTTCTCTTCAAACAGTTAATACAAAAGGTTAAATTTAGCGAGGCATTGATGAAATAGTCCGTTTGTGCATGTCACCATCTAATTATTCAATATTCTCGTCCGTTGCTTTCATCTTCTGTACTCTGTGATACGGTAGGGCCCCAGCAAAGCATTCTTGATGGTGTCAGATGCTCGCAGTCGACAAATCAAATCTTCCAGGGGTCTAATTTGAAAAGAAGATTATCCAATAAAGATTCCTCGATACTAAATTAATCCCCATGCCAAGGCGGCCAATAAAGACGGCCAAAAACAAGGCGCGCCAAGTTTAATTATGGAAGGCCTTTTTCGAAAAGCCGAGAAATATTTTGAAAGTACAGTAGGAAACGAGAAAAAACTAGCTCCTTTTTTCTGATTTTTATATTTTTTCTCAAGTTTCTTGAATAATTTTATTTATAAAATGGTAATATTTCGTCATTATCCTGTCAGTACATGATGTAGACACACACAAACAATCCCCGGAACGGTTTGAATTCCCTCTTTGCTAAATTATTCTTATCCTTTCTTGTCACATAATCCTTGACTATAAAAGGACAGTCCGGACGTTTAAGAAATCAGTCTATCCGAACATTGCGGGTGATATAATATTTGCAATCAACACCATCGCAAGCCTATAAACTGACGATGAGTATTTTTTTAAAAAAGCTTTGTTTCCCCAATAGTCGAAATTGCCTGTCAACTGAATAAATTTACATTTATTCGTAAAAAAACAATAACAATCATAAGTAACAACTTATTCTAAAACAATGAAATCTTTGTCGCCCAGGATCCCCAGCACGGCATCATTGAAGGTGGTAACTAAATCCAGAGTAGCCCTTCTGTTTCCATCCACGGAGGGCGGATCATCAATTGTGGCTGAGTAATCCCAACTATCTCCGTCGAAACGAAAGTTTCGGAATTGAGTAATCGTACTCATGTCCGAGAAGAACTCAACATGACGATGCTGTTCCTAAAATCAAAATTTACAATCATTATGTAAGTTTTATAAGTCAATTTTGAAGAGATTTGAATATTCGATTTTCTGTGGAATTTGGTAGCGGGGGAACAATATATGCATTAGACGGGTGGGTATATAAGTAAATAATAGATTAGTACCAAGAATTCGATGTTCCCGTAATCAAACGGCATCAAGTCCAAACGTTGCACTTGAGCTTACCGCAAGAGGCAGGAAAGTTTTCACATTGATTTGAACAAACAGGTTGTCTTCAACTCTCAGCAACGCCAATAGTTTTTGAAAAGCATCACCAACTCTTTTCATGTAGGCACTTTGAAGCTCGTAAGATCTGGTGTTAATACAAACATCGGCAGAAAGGTCTACTGTACATTCGGGAGCAGCTCTTTTAATGTCCGCCATGATTGTTCGGTACAGATCAAAAGTATTGCTGTCAAAGAAGTCCTCAAATTTACAAGCAGCTTGTAATTTTTTCAATTTCTTCATCTCTGGCAGTCTGAAAGAATTGAAAAAAGTATTGGAATCTTCCATTGTACTTACGGAATATACTGCGCGATTATAACAAAATTGACGTTTTTTAAATTAAGATCGTCGCAGGGATGGTAAAGTACGTCTGCTATATCTAAAATTAAGTGTAAAGTCGCATTACTATCTCAGAATCAGCATGGAATAAGTTTAATATATCAAACAGTAACCTACATCCCGCTCTGACCTTTACATATTTCTGCCGTCTCACTGTATCAGGCACTTCTCCTTCACGTGGTCGAACATCATAAGGACGTTGAATGTCATTGACCAGAACATTAGAAACATGCCTTCCAAAGTCATCTGGTTTTAACAATTGAACCGGATCAACTCCATAGTGAATGTAATCAGTTTGATACCCATAGGACACCATTGTTTTTAGTTTCACATCCCACAACAGTTGATCGACCACTCTAGTTCGGAAATATTCATCGATGTCCAGAGATATATCCAATTCTAAAAAATCATTCATTTTAAATTGGACTTGCTCTTAGCCAGATAGATTAGTTTGACCAGGTCGCTGTCGATGCACTTCTCTGTTTCTTGCCGGACCACTTGGATCCTCAAATCTTTGTCATCAAAAAATATAAGTCGGCTGAGGTATGCAAGAATTTTCACATTCAGAGTGTGGTATCTTACATCCCATCCAGAAGAAAAGAAAGATGATCGGCCAGCTGTGATTATGGTTACATACCCATAGACATCGAATAAAATCCGTTTAGAACAGAGCTGAAATAAGTGAACTACAGTCGGAAATATGAGAAGTAAACATCGAATAATCCTCAAAGAACAGCGCTCACAAGAAATCTCAACATTCTCTCGGACAATTGGGCGTCATCGCCAAAATCGGTGTAATTCCTGTGTGCGGCGTTAGTGTAAAACCGGAAGCATGATAGGCCTTCCTGATTTAGGCATTTGTTTTGTTTTATCTCCTTCGAAGTTGGTGGTCCCTCCTGTTCTGGGTCTGGAGGGACTTTATCCGAGGTTGAGGGTTCTGTTTCTTCAACTTCATTTGGCTCCACAGAGGTCGAATTATCCGTCGATGATGCAATATCAGAACTGACCGTTTCCTTTTTTTCTTGCGAGTTTGTTAAAGTTCTCTCCAGTTCTCCATTTTTCACTTTTACATCATCCATTTCCGTCTGAGTGGACACCGAGGAGAATCTTTCCCGGTCCTCAGGCATGATGCAAGAACAAACTTAACAATAAGATGTACAAAAGAGGAATAAACCCGCTGGAAGTGTGGAAATAGCCCTTTTTATTGTCAAACCCGCTTGCGAAAATTGCGAAATTCATCGTTCGCCCCTCCTTCGGCTTGCCCAAAGAGAAAACGCAAAAACAAATGACTCATTTGTGTATTATATAATTCTTAACTTTGTTAAAATTGGTTTGTTAAATAAAATATAGTTATACAAATAATCTGTACTGGAAAAACTGACTGGCATTCAAACTGAGATCCATTAGTCGTATTTAATGTTCTAACTCAATCTTACGAAATAAATAAAAAAGGGTTATGGTATGTATAATATTATATAAATCTGCGCTCAATCGCGTCGTCTCTTGAGCCGCAATGGCTTTAGAATGCCCAGAATTGATCTCCTCTTAGCCGGACTTGTCTTCACAAAGATCAGGGAATCCTCATGGATTCCGGTAAAGCGTTCTCGGGCTGTCTTGAGATCCTTAGCCTAAACGCAAAAGATAAATCGTAAACACGTAACTTACCGCTTCCAAAGTATTTGTGTGCAAAGCAGCAACAACATGAGGATGACCAGCCAGATCTGCCAGACATTGCGATTTCATTCCCAGCGCACTAGAAGTCCAATACCAACCAAAGCAAAACTTACGTTTCCTTCTCGGGATTTGCCCCAGATTGGCTCAGTCTTTTAACGATATCGAGATATCCATATCGAGCACTGATCAGGAAAGGAGTAAAGCCAAGGCAATCAGCTATGTCTGGCTGGGCCCCTTGATTTAGGAGGATATTTACCTACATATAAAAAAAGATTTTAGGTAATAAAACATGTACGAAAGACTATTTTAATACTTAAAACTACAAGCAACCTCGAAAAATGATTACAAAAGACTAAGAGGACCGTTATATCAATAAGAACATAAAGCTATTTTACCAACTCTTGATCAACTTATAAAAATTAGGTACAAATTATTATTCATTGCAAAAAAAGTGTTATTCATCACTTACCATGCGGATTGAGCCCGATTTTGCGGCGTAGTGTAACGCAGTTGCGCCCATCTCATCGACAAAGTCAATAGGGAAACCAGAAGCCAATATATTCATACACCAGACCTGATCTGTTATTCTGATCGCCTCCTTCAGTTGACTAAACCTATCCATCAGTTCCATGGCATCAGAAGAACTGGAGGGTCTCATTTCAAGTTAGTAAGCTTTTAAATCGAAGTGATGAGGGTCAATGAAAAGCAAATCAAGGCCAAGAAGATTGATTCGAAAATTTTCGGAAACAAAAATTTATTTTCCAAAAAATCTGTCATAATGACATGAAAGACAGGAAAAATTCCGAAAAGCTTCCGCGAAAAGAATCCTAGGGAACGCTCCTTTTTTCACGTATGTCCACAATGGAATGTAGGATCGATAAGGTTGAGCAGAATTTTTATTTTCGTCTTTAAAGTGCAGGTAAGTCGAAAAAATGCAAAAAACGGCCGAAATACAGTATTTTTGCATTGAAACAGTGCGAATCAGGACAAAGAAAAAATTATGACGATTGGGATGGTTTGCAGAGGCCAATTATACAGTTTCATCGATGACTCAGTGCCAGATATCGTTCATGACATCTAAACCGCACAGTTGTCCTTCTGATCCTCCAACCGTTCACACCTCGTCCGAATCCATTATTCAAACAGATTGAACCATGATGAGACTTATCGGCGGGTTAAATGTGAGCTGAATGAACATTTTGGAGCTCGAACGCACGAGAGCGATTAAAGGCCCACTGGCCATTTCAAAAAGTTCGCGCGCGCAGGCTTAAAATCAGGGGTCAACGTAGGCCCAAAAGTCGAGAGTCCCGCAGGAAAGATAATTTTTCTCGAAGGGGATACAATGTTTTATTGGTAGCGCAAATATTATTGCACTTTGTTTTGATTGTTTTGTTAAATTAGGGCCGTCTAGGTGTCCTTGGAGTCTTTTATTGTAATCATTGGTTTAAGCAGCCTTGTCGTAAATTTATTCTTGCCGGGGCTTGCAATGTTGACCTTGGAAGCCGTGAAATTTTCATGAAATCCCTTGGAATTGTGTCAAATTGCCGAGAGTTGAACCAGTTTCCGTGTCCGATCCTTATCTTTCCCTCAGGCGGCGAAGGTCAAAAAAAACAGCGCCAGGCACGGAGAATCTTCACAATCCTTTCTTTCTGAGGTGATACTATGAAAGGAATCGGGAGGAGGAATGAGGTCGACGACTTGATTTGGGCGGACAGATAGTGCCGGAAGAGGGGTGGGTCATCTTATTTACTTTGCTGATCCACTGTACTCATTTCGAGATTTCGTAAAGCTTCGTTTCGGCTTTTTTTGGGTCGGCAGAGGTGGGATATTATTTTTGGTGGGGGATAAGATTGTTATTGTATTCTACTAGTCCTTCCGGGAAGTCGCCGGACTGAAGTCGCACTGTGAGAAAAAAAAGTTTCCTTTGCACTGTGCAATTTCATACTTTTTGCACAGTGCAATAGGCTTTTTTCGGGCTGTCGCTCGCACAGTGCAAACGCCAAAAAATCAGTCCGTTGATTTTCCGGAAGGCCTAGTGTAATGAGCAGTTTAAACGGTAAAGATTATTCCTTAAGGGGAATAAACACGCGGTAGTTGAACATTACTCAACCCATTGCCCAATAGTCGTATTATATATCAAAGGACCCGCTCGCAAACAAACATTTTGTCTTTGCATCGCCCCCTGAAGTAGCCGCTACCCCAAAAAGACCATACTTACCTTCTAATTTACCTTCACCCTTCCAGCGCAATTATCAGAATAAGGAGAAAAGTCGGTCATCGACTAACACTGTCCGCGGCTCGAAACGGATGCGGGAATTTTTGTGGGCTCGGGGGGAAAGTTTCTGCTGTTAATAAAAGTGGAATTCTCGGTGATAGCGAACGAAAATTAAACCCCGGCTTCGAGAACGGGGGCTTCGGGGGCGAAGGATCCGCGCAATTTTATTTTAATTCCATTTTGAATACTTTATTTTTGATATTTACAGCCTTCTAAAGGTGCCATCGTAGATGGGACAACCGAATATGGCCCTGTTTTGGGCCATAGTCCTGTATTCGATATTGGTTCAGGCTGAAGTAAGTTTTTTGCATTCTGATGACAATTTTAATATAATCGTTTAGAAGTCGCAGAATGTCACAGAAATCCCTTACATCCTAACTGGAGTCTCCATGAATTGTCCCGCTGGTTGGGACTTGGTGGGCGACAAGTGTTTTCGGGCCTTTAATTCCGAAAAATCGTGGCCACAGGCTTTAATTTTCTGCGAAAGGTAAGGAATTTCAATTGGAGAGGTTTGAAAATATGGAAAACTGACCTTATATGCATCGTTTCATTTACATTATTATCATCACTGTATATTTTACATTTTTTTAAAATTCTTTTATTGAATAGCTTGGTATTTGCTCATAAACCCCCGACAAAAGCACCGTCGATGTCAGATCTGAGGTTTCGATAAAGTTCTTGCTTATTTTTTGAGCCATTAATCGGGGCAAATGCGAGATAAAATCAGATCCCCAATTTTTGGCGCACAACCGAGCTGTTTTTGGGTTAATGCCGGTACAAAAAGAATGCTGATCAATGAGCAAACCACACTTCATCAAAAATAATTATGATTCACAAATCCACAAAGCTGACGAATTAAAAATCGGTTACTTTCAGATACGGAGCTCTCCTAGCCAAAGTTGAATCAGCGGCCGAAAATGAATTCCTCGGCCGAATCATCTCCCGACCGACCAAAAGTTCGGCTCTCTCCAAACACTGGATTGGTCTGATCACCGAGAAGTCGACAGAAGATGAAGGTTCTTTCGTGTGGTCAGATGGCTCCGTGGTCAGCCGATTCGTCGGATTTTGGGCTAAACAACAACCAGATTTTGGGAATGGAAACTGTGTTCAAGCAGGTGTCAACTCTGAGAAGTTGGCTGAATGGCAAATGGAGATGTGCAATCTGATGTCGCCGTTCGTTTGTCAACTCAATGCATGTGTCTCAGGGTCGTTTCATTGCGGAAACGGCAAATGTGTCTCAGAAAAGGCGCACTGTAATGGGCATAATGAATGTGGCGACTATTCGGATGAGTTGAATTGCCCCGCACCTCATGGACAAGTTGCTTGTTTGCATTACGAAAAAAGTGAAAACGGGAAAATCGAGTCTCCAAATTTCCCATCAAGTTATGGACCAAATTTGGACTGTAGATGGGTGATTGAAGGCCCAATCAACTCGAGGATTATGGTGTGTTTATATGACTTTATAATGTGACGAATATCTCTGTAGTGACTCTATGTTGCGCAATCATAATTTACTTTTCATTTCAGGTCACCTTTGATCAATTCGAGACCGAACTGAACCAAGATTTGGTCACCGTCTTGGACGGAGGACCATCTGAGAATTCAACCCTGGTTCTCGATCATTTGTCTGGGTCTCCTCAAAGCAGTCGTCTTTCTCTGATAACCTCAACGAATATGTTAACGGTCCAATTCAGATCGGACGCTTTGGTTCAAGCTCGTGGATTCAAAGCTTCCTGGAGAGCCGTTCCGTTTTCTTGTGGAGGTAGTTTGAAGGCCCATCTTTTCTCTCAGACATTCTCAAGTCCAAGACCTTATCCAGCTGGAGGAGAGTGCGTGTGGAAGATTGAGGCACCCGAGGATCAAGTTATCTCGTTAAATGTAAGGACAGATACACAATGTTAAATATTCCCTTTAAGAAGTTGAATAATAAAGCCGGACCCCTTTTAGATTGAAGAATTCGACATCAAACCAGGAAAGGATCAACTGATTATCTACGACGGTCCCCATCCATCCTCTCCCATCCTCTCCAGATTGGCTGGAAATCTCTCAAATCAGCTTGTAATCTCGACGCAGAACTTCCTTTACATTTATTTCTACAGTAGCCAAGCTGATTCCACAAATGGCTTCACAATTCATTACAAGAAAGGATGTAACAATACTATCAAATATAATCACGGTAATCTTCTCTCGCCTGGGAACGGAATCATCCCATATCCGGCCTCTCAGATATGCAGATATGTCATTGATCTCGGTGAGGGCATGAGCGATCGACCCATTTCTATTGACTTCAACACATTCGATGTTCAGAATGACGACGTTTTGAAGATGTTTGATGGAGATGTTAATGCTACGGTATTACATGAAGGGAAAGGATTTACGGAAGGAAGAAATCCACCAAAGAAGTTGCACTCAACGAAGGGAAAGGTGGCCATTGTTTTTGAGACCAATGCCATGAAACAAGCGAACGGGTGGAATTTGACTTTCTCGGCCAGTAAGTTTTGTATTTCTGTGAAACTAAACAGTTCAGAAATGATTTTAATAATGGCCTTATTTAGACTGTCCTCCCCTCAAAGCGCCCAAAACAGTGTTCCTGACAACCCAAAGCACCTCTTTTGGAACCAAAGTAACTGTCAGTTGTCAAACCGGCTATGAATTTACAAACGGAATTGGTCATCGATTTGATATCTCATGTGATCTTGGCGGCAAATGGTCCAACGATTACATCCCCAACTGCCAACGTATGTCTTGCTCTCAAGAAATTTATTTTAATTCGTGTTTCAGCCGTCTACTGCTCAGCCGTTCCCCAAATCGCAAATGGCTATGCAGTTGCGGCCACGAATGTCTCGTACGGAGGAATCGCCAAGTTCAAATGTTATGATGGATTCCATTTCAAGTCAGGCAAAGACACCGAAGAGATCTACTGCAAAACAGAAGGATGGACTGAGACCCCCAAATGCCTGGCCGAGATCTGCCCCGCATTGCCGACCTTTTTGAACGGAGAAAGAACCCTAAAGTTTGGAGATGCTACTGGATATGGAACTGTCTATGAATTCAGTTGTGCTCCTGGATATAGACATAATGGACCGAACACAATCTTGTGTCAGAGTGATGGGAAATGGTCCGCTCAACAGCCGGTCTGCAAAAGTAGGTCGGAGCGCTAAATCAATATAAATTTTTTTGACACTTCGTTGAATTAACAAAATGACACGAAAATTACGCATTGGGAAAAGCAGTCGATAATTTTGACAATTTTTCTAAAAGCCCTTTCCCAGAATATTAGTAAAAGTTTGCAAAAGTAGAACTCGTTCTAGATTAACCCTTTGTTTAATTCAGAACGAATCTGCCCGAATATCCCTCAAATCGAGAACGGCAGAATCGTGGTTCCCCCCACTGGAGCTCTGGAATTTGGAGATTCGGCCAGAGTGGAATGCAACCCTGGATTCAGAAGCACTGGGGCTGATTCCGTGAAGTGTTTGGCCAACCAAACGTTGAGTGAAGTCCCCGAATGTCGTGATGTGGATGAGTGTGTCGAGGCTATCGCTTCTTGCGTTACGAAAAGCACAAAGTGCCTTAACTTGGAGGGAGGATACACCTGCCAATGTTTGGATGGATTCAAACCTCAACTGAGTAAGTCGGCATTGCTTTAGGTATCTCAAGATGGGAAGACCTCGGATTTTGCATTTGAATTACTATTCATTTTTTTCAGCTTGCCCTTCCTTCCATGTTCTTTCTCCCAGCTTGGTAAAGACCAGCAGTTCGGCCATCTTCAACATGTCCTCGGTTACTTTCTGTGCAGAGAAGTCGGATGATAAGCGTTACCTGGAATTTGAATTCCCGGCACCAAAAGTCCTTGAAAGAATTCGTTTTGAGAAAACCGAGGATGGAGTTCCCCTCGCCATTTCTGTTTCCTACTCTCCGGACCTGAAGTCTCGTCTTCGATCAATCGAAGATCTTCTTGAAATCCCGCTGAAGAATGTGGATATGGCCGGGAGTCAAGTCGTTGTTCTGAAGACCCCTGTCGAAGCGCAAAGAGTTCGTGTTCGATTGGATAGATTCAAAGACAGTGCCTGTGCTCGGATTGAATTAATGGGATGTCAAAAGACGAATTGTGTGGACATCGACGAATGTGAGGTCGCCAATGGATACTGCGATCATCAATGTCATAATACTGTTGGTGGATTTAAATGCTCATGCAGGGATGGATACGATCTGTTTGTTGAGAATGGACAAGGCGGTGCGATGTTGAAAGAGGGAGAGACTGGATTGGATAATTTGGATATGATCAGATATAATAAGACTTGTGTCCCAAGAAAGTGCCCGAAAGTCGAAGCACCAGCCCATGGAAAAGTCATAAATTTGGGCAAGGAATTTGCCCATCCCAATGTATTGGAGTTCAGATGTGATCATGGGTATCAGATCAGGGGGAGTCCTTTTCTTCAGTGCACTTCTGATGGGGTTTGGAATGGAACGGTGCCCACTTGTACTCGTAAGTAATCAAAACTCAATGTCTTAAAAAAGAAATTTTGATTAGCATTCTGGAATTTTTATTTTTAGCTGCCGTTTGCGAAGGAGTCCAAAACAACACCTCGATTGGAATGTTTGTGACCGAAGACAAGCCTTATGTTCCCTACGGTGATAACGTTACGGTCGTCTGTACCCAGCAGAATCGTCCTATCAAACAGTCCCCCTTAGGAGGTCTCCGCCAATGTATTTATGATCCCCGTCCGGATGGAATGGATTATTGGCTGTCGGGCCCTGAAGCAACTTGCCCGTTAGTTGAATGTGGACCGCCTCCAGCGTTGGCCGGCGCCTTTTATGAGGGTGAAGATGCGAATTTCAAAGTGGGATCATCCTTGGCATTCAACTGTCGCCCCCCTTATTCCCTTCTCGGGAAGAGCTCTTATGATGATCGGATTGCCAGGTGTAATGTCGATGGGTCATGGGATTTGGGGGATATGAGATGTGAAGGCCCGGTTTGTGTGGATCCCGGACATCCTGAGGCCGGGCAAACTTTTCTGAATTCAGTTGAGGAAGGAGCGGTTGCCAAATTTACTTGTGACCGGCCTGGCTACAAGCCTTATGCCTATGACGCCATCAATTGTACATTGGGAACGTCTTGTCTACTCAGTGAAGATGTTGGTATTTCCAATGGATACATCCCGGATGGCGCCTTCTCGGACTCCGATACCAAGACCATGTGGGGATATGAACCACATAAGGCGAGAATGTCTTCAACTGGATGGTGTGGAAGTAAAGACGCTTTCATCTTCCTCTCCGTCGATCTTCAACGCATCTACACTCTGAATACTCTTCGGATTGCGGGTGTTGCTGGCAGTGGATATCTCCGAGGTCATGTTACGAAGCTGCAGCTCTTCTATAAAGTCCAATTCAGCCAGAACTACGATACTTATCCAGTGGAGTTTGAAACGGCTCCTGGAAATCACAATAAGATGTATCAATTCCATCTCGAGCCTCCAATCAAGGCCAGATATGTTCTTCTTGGAGTCACCGAATACGAAGAGAACCCTTGTCTGAAATTCGACATGCACGGATGTTTGGCCCCATTGTCGACTGCTCATGAGATCCCCTCACATCTTCAGGTTGGGTGGAATGCCAGTGTTCCCCAATGTATTGATGCGGAGCCTCCACAGTTTATCAATTGCCCAGCCAATCCCATCTTTGCGCAGACCGATGAATTTGGCCAGATCCTCCCAATCAAGTACAATGTCCCGGATGTCCATGACAACTCTGGTGTGGTTGCGTATGTCAAAGTTGAACCAAAAGATGTCCAGCCTCCATTCCACATTCATGCTCCGTTAGATGTCAAGTATACGGCCTATGATGAAGCTGGCAACTTTGCTGAGTGCACTGTTCAACTGAGAGTTCCCGATACCCAACCTCCAGCCATGAAATGTCCAGAGTCTTATTCCGTGTACACTTCGGGCAATGAAACTTCAAAACATGTCGTATTTAACGAGTCAACGGTTCATGTTGTTATGCATGATTCGTCCAACATTACGGAGTTCACAATCTCTCCATCTGAGACTGAAATTAATCTCTTTTCCGCTGTCGATGTGGAAGCGGTGGCAACAGATAGTCACAATAACAGGGCCAGTTGTAAATTCCAGGTCGCTTTGTTACGTAAGTTTATCTTCAAATTTTATACATAATTTTTTATTTTGGGTGTCTACGATAATATCATTTTAGCCGAACCGTGTACCGAAGCGTCCCTTCGTACTGATGATCATACGATCAAGAAGTGCTCTACAGAGAATAATCAGACCAGTTGCATCATCAAATGTAAGAGTGGCTATCGATTTGTGAACTCATCCATCGAAGAAGTGAAGTATTCTTGTTCTCCGTCCCTCGAATGGTCCCCTAAATCTCATCCTCCAGCCTGTGTCCGCAAGTCTGAAGAGCCTGCTCGGTATGAATTCCAAGTCTCGGTCGATTACAGCAGCAGTATCCCGGCGAGAGATGAATGTATGAAGCCCTACGCTGACGCTGTTGCCAACGCATTCGAGACTCTGGATGCATCGTTAACTCAGAAGTGCTCCAGTTCCGTACAAGTCTATGTCCGCTTTCTTGGTGCTCGGTTTATGGTTGATCCAAGTAACAATAAGATGGTCAAGGCTAATTTCACGGTTCAAATCTTACCAACTGTTCTTCAAGAAGTCTTCTACGAACTCTGCGGACTCACCTTATCGACCATCTTTGATCTAAAGATCCCTGGAGCTACACTTCCAATTAAAACGCTTCTTCAATTGCCAAATGGAGGCCTGAATGCTCCAACTTGCATGCCAATGAATGCCGTTTCCACCAAGATCCATCAAGGATTTGCTTGTTCGAAGGGCGAGATCTTGAATAAGGAAGGAACTGATCTTCCTGAATGCAGTAAGTAAACGATAGATTGATTATTTCACATTTTGTGGTCTTACTGTATTTACCCTTCACATTTTTAGTCCCGTGTGCCAAAGGGTCGGTGTTTGCTGGCTCTTCTTGTGTCCTCTGTCCACCTGGAAGTTATCAAGACAAGGATGGCCAACAAGAATGCAAGAAATGCCCTGAAGGAACGTTTACTCGAACTTCTGGTACCACCTCAAGATCTGGATGTCTGGCTGTTTGTGGAAATGGAATGTTCAGTGAATCCGGTCTGATTCCATGTCAACTTTGTCCTCGTCACACTTTCGCCGGCCCCCCTCTCCCCGGAGGTTACAAGACTTGCGATGCTTGCCCTGAGGGCACTTACACAGCCAACTTGGGAGCCACAGGTCCAAGTCACTGTAAACAGCCGTGTAAGCCAGGATTCTTCTCCGAATCCGGCCTCGAACCATGTTCTCCGTGCCCCTTGAACTTCTATCAGACTAGTCTGGGACAACAGAGATGTATTGAGTGTGCCAATAATACGATTACTCATGAAGTTGGACGAGCTATTGAAGAAGAATGCAAACCTTTGGAATGCACTGGAGTCAAATGTCAGAACAAGGGAGTGTGCGCGATCGCCAATCACAAGACCATTTGTGAATGCCGGCCCGGATTCACAGGAGAATTCTGTGAAGAACAAGTGCCCATTTGTGATACGAACCCCTGTCTGAATGGTGCTACTTGTGAGAATGTCGCTGGCACTTTCAGATGTATTTGCCCACAAAGTAAGGGCTATTTTTTAATTAAATTTTTTTTGGAATTGATTGGTTCTAAAATTTTTTTAGACTTTACTGGATCCCGTTGTCAATTTGGCCCTGATGAATGTATCGGAGTCAACTGTCCAAATGGAGGTGTTTGCCAGGATCTCCCAGGAGTTGGAACTTACAAATGTGTCTGCCGAACCGGCTTTATTGGCCACGATTGTTCCGAAATAGCCGACCTTTGCCAATCCGATAACCCTTGCAAGAATGGGGCTGATTGTGTTCCCTTGCAGCTCGGTAGATATAAATGTAAATGTCTGCCTGGATGGGAAGGACCGACCTGCGAAAGGAATATCGGTGGGTTATTTTTGGTGCCTTTGCGTGATGTTTTCGAAATTTGGGGGAGAAATGTCATGTTAGGAGTAGTCAAATCAAAATTTTTTTTGCAATGAGAAGCAAGAAAGATAAATTACAAATTCAACACGTTTATTAAAAACTGGCCGCATTAATCACCCGTGAGATGAGCGCCATTGTAAGACCTGAGAGGCAGTACGGTTTTAGCCTTTAGAAATTACAATCAAAAAGATATAAATATAGGAAATATTAGTAATATGCACAGAGATCGAGGGTCATGTTATACTCTCACTACGCTTTGTAATTGGGGTTTATTGGTGGCGGTGGAGGGGCTGAGGGATTGGCGGGCTCGTATTGGGAGACCGGCGCGAATCCAGTGCCATGTTGTCGCTCCATATCCTTGTGGTATTTGCGTGTTATGCAAAAACCGAACGCGACGTAACCAATAAAGAATATGTCCAGCAGGATAAACAACAGGCCGTAGAAGCGGAGTTCGGAAGCGACTTCCTTCTGGGCATGTTTGTCGAGTTCTTCGTCCAAAAACACCTAAAATAACATAAGTTGGTGTTTACTTATTTGCAAAAACATCCGTTTCAGACTTTTTGAGGAATAGCTTGACTTTTACTTTTGGTTCAGCTTTTTTACTCGAATCTTCTTCCGCCCCATTTAATTTTTCTATTTTATTAAACGCACACAACAATACTTGTTGACCTAAACTTTGGCAAATTCCGTTGTGTTTGTGGCCCCGCTCCCCTGAGGGCATCGACTCTTTTCTCACAAAAACGGGACCTCTCAAATTGCCTCCGGATTCAGCTCTGGTCTACGAAATTAGGCCGTCTTTGAATGATGGAAACGGAATGGGGAAAAGAGTACTATTCTTGGTTATGTAAATTGGCCTGGGAAGTGGTTCATCGTATGTTGAGAGAAGGCCCAATGGGTTATAATCATAGCTAGAGGGTGTCGATTACACATTACCCCGTTAGAGTTAGCTTAGAATTTGTTTTGTAAAGCATAAATGCTGGTTTCATCCCAACCCCATTATCTCCAGTAATTACTTACTCGGTAAAACCAAAATACCCATGAGTTAATCTTCTCGGCGCCACCAGTAAAGTAGAAAATGCACAAGAAGCCGAAAACGAAGCCGCACGTCAATAGGCCAATTTGTTGGATTAATCGAGGCAGCACATACGATGCATTCTTCCTTTTCTCGGCCGCTATCAGCATTCCAAAAGCGGTCGACAAAGTGATGATCCAGAAGGTCAGAACGAAAATCAAGAAAGCATTGGCCAAGTCGCTGAAAGGGATATTAGAGTTAGAGTAATGTGGCGGTAATGGGGTGCTATGACATTTCGGGAGACACTTCAAAACATGTTGTTTTACTTTTTCCGGTTACGGTCGCCCATTGTGTGGAGCCCCGGGATTCTACCTTATTTTTTCGAAAGAATCCAGAATTTTTCTTAGGAAAGATGGCCTTGGACCGTAAACATATGAGTCACGAGCGGACCTTTTTCTTTCATCTTTTGTCATCCTTTTTTCGCATTTTTTGAAGCTTTCCTTACGGCATGCCAGGTACCCCATAAATCTCAGAAGAGTGGCTTACAAGTGATGAATAGTCTGTAGAATGATCCCACCGATGTTATACCAGCAGTAAACGGACACGATCAGCTCCAAACAACATAACCAGAACGCGCATTTGTATAAGGGACAACAAAAACAGCAACAAACCATGGCTGGAGCGTTGAGAACTTCGTTGCAACAACTCGACCACGTTGACCTTTGTCCCGAGTCACGAGGCGTCGACGCCAGAGGCAGAGTACGAGGAGATACTGGCGGTGGAGGCCGTGGTGGCGTGGGGATCTGAAGATCTTGGGGCGGAGTCGGCGCTTTTAGGGGTTTGCTGAAAGTGAAGCCGATGTGGACTGCAGTCTCCGTCTTCACCATGGTCTCGGATCCTCTGTCCACGAATTTGGTGTTATTTCTCCTTTACTCTAACCTCCACTCTCCTGTATTTGCATAAACTCTCGCTCTCTCCTTGTATTATGCCCGCGTAGGTTTACTTTCCCTTTCGTGCAGCCGTAAGTGTCGTATGTTCTGCAATTTCCTGGGAGTCCACAATATTTTTGGCCGTGTCTGAAGTCTCCTCACCCTTCGCAGTACCTCGTCCTTTTATTTGTTATTTTTTTGTCCAAAAAGGAAGAGAAGAGATATTTTTATTTTCCTCCTTTTTTGGCCGACCAATTTTCTGACGTCTTAATAAGGGCAAAGAGTTGACTGAAAAAAACTCAAAAGTAGAGGTTCACGGGTGTTTCACGCAATTAATACTCGTAAAAGCAAATTTTTCCGCTAAAACTGTTTAAAATTCGTAAAAAATATACTGCAAAGAATTAAACCCTAGATCAGCACTTGAAAACAAACCAATAGGCGTATCGCCTCAGGGCTCCAATCAGATTTACATCAATTAATCTTCGTTCGAAACACGATTTCTAAAGCCCGAGGCAACAAATCTCCCTCCGACATTGTTTAACCTAATTATTCAAAATAAAACATCCCAGCAGTGGGATTTGAAAGCATTGGGACAAATTCTTGGGGACAGCTGGTCTGATTTTTATAAGAAAGAAAAGAAGGCTGAGCAAAAAAAGAAGGCAAACCGGGGTCGATTAAGGGTTGGGGGAGTTCAAAAGATGACATATGTAGTTTATATGGTATATCAAAGAACCTGGGGAAATTAGTGAAAAAATTGGTAAAAAGATGATTCAAATGAGATAAGACACGGGGCTGGCTATTTTATCGAATGACATCATCGTTCGCAAAACAATATTTTTTCAAACTACCGTATCGAACAGCTGCCAAATGTTTCCAAAGCTTACAAAATCTTCACTGATTACAAATCGTACCTTCTTCAATCGAGGATGCCCTGAGTCTACTCGAATTACTGCCCTCTCTTTGACCCTCCTTAACCTTCCCCTTTCTGTACTCCTTTCTTCTCACCCGTGATCTGCGGTTAAATCGGAGAGTTAAAGGAAAAACAATCTTTTCCGCCTCGGACTCCCAAGGACATTTCCGTTTATTGAGGGGAATACCTACCTCTTTATGTCCCTGACAATACCATATTCCCTCTCCAGATGCGCGAAATTAAGAAAGGAGCGCGATTAGTAACGCTTGGGAAGAATAAATGGGTTTGAGTAAGGGAAGAACACTTGACTACGGAACGTTGATTTACAACACTCGTGAGGAGAATGTTATTATAAAAGTTTGCAGAATAGATTATAAATTTCAAAGACCTAAGAGACTTTCGGAAATGGGTGAGCGACTTGAGTGGCCACTATACGAGTAACGGCAATATAGAGAATATCTAAAACAACCTGAAAGCACTTCAAATTACATTGCAAATCTCTTTCAGATGACTGCAAAGACAAACCTTGTGCTCTCGGAGCTGTCTGTCATGATCTAGTGAATGACTTCGAATGCGAATGCCCTCATGGATTTACTGGAAAAAGGTGTCATATTAAGGAAGATCTCTGCCATCCAAATCCGTGTGCCAACGGTGACTGTGTTGACCGCCTGTTTGATAGGGAATGTATTTGTCATGAGGGATGGACTGGAACCCATTGTGATCAAAATATTGATGAATGCGCCAGCGCACCGTGCAGGAATGGTGGTACTTGCAGAGACAAGGTAGGAAAAGGGGAATGAAAAGTGGAAATAATGACGGAAAAAGGTCAGGAAGTTACTGATAAGCATTTTACTGATGGTCTTAACGTAACAAGATTACCTAATTGTTAGATAAGATCAGCAGGAGGCCGAGAGAAGAAAAGGAGGTGACAGGAAAGTTTATTGTCATAGAGTATGACTCATAGTTTAGGGTTACTTATAAAGAGTTTAAAGGGAAATTAGTCGGAAAATAGTACCGTACTTCAACTTTATTTTTAAGGAGAATGGATACGATTGTCAATGCCCTCCAGGCTTCTACGGGGTCCAATGCCAACATCAAGTCAATCATTGCGCTAATGCTCCGTGCCAAAACAACGCCACTTGTCTAAATCAAGGTGCCAAATACAGATGTGAATGTCCTCTTGGATTCGAAGGAACCCACTGTGAATTGGAGATCAACGAATGCGAGGAGAAAGATACATGCAGCCCTGAAGGCACCGAAATGTGTGAGGATCTGATCAATGGATTCAGATGTCAATGCCGCCATGGATTCATGGGTGAGAGATGCGAAATCCACCAAGATCAATGTCTGGGAGAGCCTTGTATGAATAATGCATCGTGTATTGACCTCGGCAGTAAATTTAAATGCGAATGTAAAAATGGGTGGAAAGGAGAGAGATGTGATCTGGAGGCGGGCAAATGCGAAGACAAGCCATGTAAAAACGAAGGACATTGCGTAAATTTGAATGATGGAGATTACTTCTGTGTTTGTGCTGAGGGTAGGTTGGATAATACGATGTATTATTTGTGTAGGAGTCAGTGGAAAGAATTGCGAGCACGCCCCGAATAGATGCATTGGTAATCCCTGCCATAATGGAGGTGTTTGTGGAGATTTTGGTTCCAAACTTGAATGCACGTGCCCTAAGGGCTTTGTTGGTGCTGGTTGTGAATACGAATTGGACGCGTGTCATCATGGTCTGTGTCAGAATGGAGCCCGTTGTGAGACGGTTAAGAACGGCGGCTATAAATGTCATTGTCCGCCCGGATTCACAGGACAGAATTGTGAGACCGAAATCGACGAATGCTCTCCTCATCCCTGTCCAATTAATGCTAAATGTATTGATCAACTGAATGGATATTATTGTCAATGTCCATTCAATATGACTGGAAGTGGTTGTGATAAGCAGATCAGCACGGATTATGATCTTCGCTTTAATGATGGAGTCGACGCAGCTAAGGCCGCCATGTCAGTGCCCGTTCCCTTCTCTTCTGGAGCATTCTCTTTATCTTTGTGGATCAAGTTCGATGAGCCGCATGCAAATGGAGACGTTTTGACTTTATATAATAGCCAGTAAGTTCCTTGTTGTCTTTTTATGTAACCATTTTAAAATTATTCTACGTTCGTTATCTGTGTTTTCAGAACTTTAAATGGTCCATCCAACTTGACCGAACTCCTTCGAGTCTCTGCGACTTCATGCCGTCTTGCCCTCTTTCCTGATGAGAATCCTTTGACTTTGCATTTCCCAACAAATCAACGGCTTAATGATGGAGAGTGGAATAATCTGATCATCACCTGGTCGGCTCATGAAGGAGCGTATTCTTTGGTTTGGAATGCTATCCGACTCTATGCTGATGTTGGATATGGAAAGAACAAGCAATTGAACATCAAGTAAGTAAATTCCTACGTTTTTACCATTTTATTAAGGATGTCTAAAGTAAGTACTGATCTGGTTTTAGTGCCTGGATCAATCTCGGAAGACCGGTAGACGCCTCGGACAACGACTCCAAGTTTGTTGGGAGCATTACTCGAGTCCACGTTTGGAGTCGCACCCTCAACTTTGAGAATGATATCCCTACGATTGTCCAGAGTTGCCAAGACTCCCCCACTCTCTTCTCTGGCCTTGCTTTGCATTTTGCCAATTATGATCGGCTGTTTGGAAATGTGGAGAAGATCGTCAAGAGCACTTGTGGTCGAACGGATAATCAAAAAATGCTTCTGGAAAAGAGAAACAAGGACATTACAATTGAGAAATGCCCCAAGGACATATTTGTGGTCTCTCCAATGAAAGAAGTGAACGTTTCCTGGGAAGAGCCGGTGTTTTCGTCAATGAATACAGTCGATCGAGTCGAGAAGAACTTTAAGAATGGACAGATGTTTACTTTCGGAGAGTTCCAAGTGCTTTACGTGGCCTATGACAATGAAAGTAATAGTGCTGAGTGTAGCTTTAAGGTAAGTACATGGAGTTTTTTCGAGAGATTATTAGTTTCACATAACTTTATAAATTGTATTTTGATTAAACTTTTATTTTCAGGTCCATATTACTCGAGAGTTCTGCCCAGATGTTCAGAATCCGTCTCACGGCCAGCAATTCTGCGAACATTGGGGTCCAGATCTCAAATACCGTGCCTGCTCCATCCAATGTGACTCCGGCTTCGAATTCAGTGAGCATCCAGCACTCTTCTACACTTGTGCTGGTGATGGATCATGGCGTCCTCGTTCTGCAGATGCCTTCACATTCCGTTACCCGCAATGCTCCCGAAGAAAGCCCGCTTCCAGAATCGTCCACTTGAAGATTAATTATCCTACTGTTACCATTTGTAATATTGCCTCGACTGACACTTTGAGTGAGCGATTACTCCAGAGGATCCATCAGTTACATTCCAAGTGGAAGATTTGTGCCGACACTTCGAAAGATACCTGTGACGGGGTGAATGTGAAAGTCCAATGTATGGGAGAAGATTGGCAGAGACAAAAACGGGAGACTGGGGAGACCTTCGGAGTGAGGATCGACATTCCAGTTCAGAAAGTTCCTGTGAATGATGGCAAATCCGGATCCAGAATGGATCCAATGGAAGTCATTCAGAACGAAGTTTTCAACAAAGACCTGCTAAATCTTGAGCATGTAAGTTGTCTCTCATATTGTGATGCAATCTTGGGTAAAAAGGCTAATGCGACCTCTTTTAGCTCCTCCCCAATGGACGTCCAGACTTGAATTCATTCCGTTTGGACGAAGAATTTAGATGTAAATTGGGTGAAGTGAACGTGAAGGACTCTTGCGTCGCTTGTGCTTCTGGCTCCTTCTACGATCAAAAGACCCAGTCGTGTATTCAATGTCCTGCCGGTCAATATCAACCGAATGAAGGTCAACTGTCATGTCTGACTTGTCCAGGAAATGGAGTTACAACTTCTCCTGGAGCCGTGTCATCAGAGGAATGCAAACGTAAGTTTTGAATTTTATTTTTTTTTTATTTATAAACAACATGAAAACTTTTTGCATTTCAGCCCGTTGTGATGCCGGATACTCTTTGGAGCTTCACAATGGGCAATGTGAACCTTGTGGACTCGGATTCTATCAGCCTTTTGAAGGTTCATTTGAATGTGTTCCCTGTGGGGTTGGTAAAACAACTTTGAAAACGACTAGTCGAAGTGAAGAAGATTGCCGAGATGAATGTCCTGGTAGGGTTTAGTGATGATTTTATTTTCTGAAATGTATTTGACTTATTCTAATAGGTTTGATCTATTCAGTTGCCCTTCCTTGACCTGATCTTTTTTAATTTAGACGGGGAGCACTTAACCCTATCAGGAGCTTGTCAGCCCTGCCCATTGGGCGCCTATCGAACTAAAGGACTTCACAAACAATGCGTAGAATGCCCTGCGGGAACAACTACGGAGAAGGTAAAGTCTGTCCGCCGAGCTGATTGTAACACGCCGAGATGTGATCCTGGACAGTTCTTGGTTACTGCAACGTAAGAACAATGCTGTTTCGAAAATTAAAAAACTTTTTATTCGAATCAGAAATGATTTTTATTTGTTACTTTTAGCAAGAAATGCCAGTTCTGTCCGCGAGGTACCTTCCAAGACCAGCCCCTTCAATCCACATGCAAGATTTGCCCGACAGATTACACCACTGCCGCATCTGGTGCTACTCATGAGTCTCAATGCTACTCGACCAACCAATGTGCCACTGGAGAGAATAATTGTTCGTGGCATGCTGTTTGTATTGATCTACCCGATGATAACGATGTTCCTTCATTCGAATGCAAATGCAAGCCTGGATTCCGAGGAAACGGGACTGTTTGTACTGGTGAGTTGAGTTGTTTTAGCATCTCAAGCACTGGTCGGATTAATAAATTTGAATGCGAGGGTTTCAGATGCGTGCCTCAACTTCTGTTTGAACGATGGCATCTGCAAGAAGAATAACCTTGGCTATGTTGAATGCAATTGCAAGGAGAACTTCTCGGGAGAACGATGCGAGATCCGATTCCAGCCGCGGACTCAGAAGATTATGCACGCCACCCTTTGCATCGGATTCCTCGTCTTCCTGGCCATTGTCATCATCGTGGCTGTTTGGGGAATCCGTCAGCGTTTCAAGAAGGATGATGTTGGGAGTATCCACAAGCCCGTCATCCCATCAATGGATCCCCTTGATCCTCGAGTCAACTTTATGTACGCCAATCCACGCAGAAGTGCGTCCTCCGGAGGGGGATCGGTGAGGCCAATTGGGTTCTATTACGAAGACGACAATCAACCGGATTCGAACGAAGTGAAGACAATGTTTGTGGAGGAGACTACAACTGTTGTGGAGAGACCTCAACCTCCAACCGAAGAGCCACCTCAGGAAACTCAGGTCGAACGATTTGCCTGGCCAGCTCAGAACGAGACCAACAGCTCTAATAACAACGTTCAGAACACCAATACAGAACCCACTAACGTCTATCAGAGCAGATATACGACCTCATATGATAATGATAGATTTGCCGCCATGCGAAGGCATTTTTATGAGAATCGTCAATCGTAAGACGAAGATTTTTTCTAAAGAAATACAAGTTATGTTTATATAATCTCTCAATTCAGCTCTTTCTTACGTCTATAGCAGTTATTGTATACTTACCTTCTGCGATTTCCGCGTCGTAAAAATTAACATGCCGGTATTTGAGTGAAACATTCCAATAGACATTCGCCAAAGTCCTATTTAATACCTAATAAAAGTATTGTTTAACCCTTTAACTCCACTTATGCGCTTTCAATCCAAGATTGTATTTATTCATTGTTAATTTATTCAATAAATCCAATTTCTGTAATGCTTTTTGTAGATTTAGCTCTCTGGATTCAAGAACTTCAAAATCGTTTTTTTCTACTGTAATGTCCAAAAGTTTTTCGTAGGTTGTGTCACGGCCGAAAAATAATCAAATCATCATTGCCTTCAAATCAAAACACATTTCATTTGACAGCATGCTATAATACCAAAAACGAAGGGATCATGTATTAGTCTGAAAAATGTGGAAAACGCCAATAGGTATTACAGTCAAGGAGGTGATAAAACGTACGCAAAGTTTACAACGGAAAACGAATCAACATGAATTTGCCCAGAATCCGCTTGGTTCGAGCTGAGCGTCGAATGATTATTTTTGTATGATTAGAGGGTTTAAGAAAGCATATCACATCCTAACTCAATCAAAAAGATGTGGTTAAAGTTTTCTAACGTGTACTTTAGTTTTTTGGGGTCCACGTTCTATAACAGCCGGCTACAGCCATTTTTCTTTTTGAAAGTGATGAAGAAGCGGGCTTTTGGCAGTTCGGAAAAGTTTGGCCTTCTGTTTTAAGACGAACCATTTTTATTTTTATATTTTTTGTTTTCTAATTGATGCAAAAACTTGAAACGTGATAAGTCCGTGACTCACCGTTGTTTGAATGGCTAAGAGAAATGATTTCATTTCAGGCTCGTGACAATGTAGTTTTTAAAAAAGGAAGGGTAGCGTGAAATGAGGATTTTTTCGGATCTCTGTTGAATCTTATTTTACTTTTCGTGTGTTACGCCGCGTACTTACAGTATCCAATGGTTGTAAACGAAATAGTTGAAGACAAGGAAGATGATATTTGTGTTCCTGGGACCTCAGCAGCGGCGACAGATGTCTTTAATGAAGATGGACCGGATGATACGCGAGATACGGTTAACTCAGACGATCAAAGAATGGCCGGAAAACTTAAAACGACTGCTTCTGAGGTAACGGATAACCACCGGGATAGGGACTCGGCTGATCACAAGAAACTAAACATAACTCTCCTTCATTGCGCCAGTTTCTACTTCAATAGAGCCATTGGAAGCTACAATGAAACCCGTGTGGATATTACATTACCTGTGCTTCGTTTTTTGGTAGGTGTTTACGAATCAACTGTAGTTTCTATTATAGTTAGTTTCCAAACGGATCCTCAAAGAAGTTTACGGCGATTCCAACGCCGTTTACATTTCGCGGGCTTCATTTTACCTCTCCAATTGGAAAAATTGTAAGGTCACCTATTATTGTCCAAACTTGTCAATTTTCATCTGGCTAGGAGGTATCTCCCTTGATGCTGAAAACGAAGCAGTGCTGATCCGAGACGATAATTCCGGCCGTTGTGTAGACACCCAGTTGGTAAAAGCAATATATGTTGCAAAAAGTAAGTTTCTACAGATGTTGATGATTTGCGTTTAGGACTAAAAATCCCGTTGGACATTGATCAACCTTTCCGGACTCGGGTTGTTGACCAACTTCTTCACGATTTACAGAAAGAAGCGGCATGTAATCAGGTTGATGACAGTGAATTCATTCACTATGGAGTAGAACCGGTGCGATTATTTCAAAAGGGAAAAGATGAGAGAATTCCTTCGCTTCAAATGTTGGATGACATAGGTCTGGTAGAAGCTGCACATAACGGGCAACATGGGGAGAATGATGAATTCTGGGAGAAACAAAAGAAATATAGAGTTCGGGAGGCTTGTAAGTTGCTGTGAAGAAAGCAAAGAAAGTTTTTGCTGCTGTTTGGCAAGGCTTTTGTGTCATCAAAAAATACTAATGTAAAACGGTTTCAGATCTCGCGGATGCCTTCGGCTACTCTTGTCAGGAGCTTGTGTTGAAGTACCAAGATTTTCTAACCATATATCAATACCTGCCGTAGGTCCATTATAAAACAATCAGTCTTTGTCTTCAGATTGCCAAAAATGTTATTCATGGAACTTCATTCGGCCTGTAGATTTCAAGACCTCGTTGTTGAGAACGTTTTCGAATGTTACGCAATGATAGTTCGGGGATTGGAAGTGGCCGCGCCTGGATGTAAAGTCGAACTTAATCCGCATATGTGTGTTAACAGTCGAAGCTACGAACATCAAAGGGATATTGTACAAAAAGTTGGCGAAGCCGTTAGGCGGATTATTCAGCTGATGAGGGCTCATGAGAATTTATGGCTGGAGGGAGAGGTTCACGTATTCCTTCCATTACCTGTAAGTTTTTATAGGTGATGACATCGTGTTCTTTGTGTGTTAACACTATTTCGATTTGTAAGCGTTATAAAGAAATTTGTTTTGAAATCTTTTATTTCAGGAAGAGAATCGAAAGGCCGACTTCTTTCGTGATATGTTCGCGATTACCCCCTTTCGGGACATGGATTTTGAACGGCATAGTTGGTTTTATAAAGCTACCGTTGACGACTTGCCAGGGCCTCAACGAAAAAATCGTTTCAGTTTTTCGATTACATATCATTTTGATGACACTGTGTTTGATGCTCTTCGGAATGAGGATCTTATTGTGATAGAATGAGTTGTCGTTGATTTTAGAGTTTTTTGCTTGATGTACTTTTATATCAAAGTCATATCTGGTTGTTTGTTTCATTTGATTGTTTTTTCCTTTAATTCCTATTCGAAAATAAAAAGTGAATAGAAGCGTTTGTGTTTTTAAGGTAAATACTATTACATGGCATAGTAGAGGGATCGGAGGGTCTTTCTGAGGATGCCTGGATGTTGTTTCCTGTTATACTTTTGTCAGGTTGGGCATCCTTTTAAATGAGCTGAGACGACATTACATCTAAACTGGCGCGCCATCTTTTTACTGCCAATAGGGAATACAGTGTTAATTTAGGATCTTTCCAGCTACTATGGCAGAAAAGAAAAGAGAATTCAAATTGACAAAGCGGCCTAAACAACTAACTGTTAACTGTATTAATTGCTATCGGTTTTACTTCATCCCGGAAGCTCGACGATTCGAGGAGAATCACGACGATGTTTTTCTAGATCAACGAGTATTGTCCTTATTGGTGAGTTGTTTCAATTTGAATTTCAAAAATTTTCAGCTAGTCTCCCGTCGGTTTCGCACTCTTCTTTTCGGTTCTCAGATCATCTTTAGTACTGATGAATATTTTTATGCGAACGGTCCTCGTCCAGGTTGTGTTAAGTATCGGTCCCATGATTTGAATCTGCTGATCTTGCTGGGAGCCATTGTATCCTCGGACTTTGTAATCTATGTAAATGGCCACACTGGAAGATGCTTTGACGTTGAGATGGTTAAGCTCATTTACCTTGCGAAACGTGGGATTCAATTCATAAAATTTTATTTCATAAGCATAAAGCACCTACCATAATTTCAGGGCTCAAACTGGCGCTAGATCTGGATCCCTGGCTTCGGACTCGATTAGTTGACCAGTTATTGGCCGATGTTCAACTTCTTAAACACTCCAATCCATGCCATCTTTTGCTTCCGATTCATTATGGACTCGAGCCCGTTGTCACCTCTAGTCTTGGAGAGTTTTCGGGGAGCAAGATGCTATTATGCAATGATATTTGTCGCTATGATCGGTTGCCAGTCCCGTATGGACTTAACCATTCTCGGATGGATAATCTCAAGACCATTGAAATTAGAAATCCATGTAAGTTTTTGACTTGCTCTTCGTATTTTTTAATTGTTTATGCTTCTGTTTCAGATTACGCAACAATTTTTGATTACAATTGTAAAGAACTCTTCCTAACGAATATGAATTTCATAACGATTGTTCAATACCTACCGCAAGTTTCATTAAAAATTCATGAGTTTGAATTCCTGATATAATTTTTATTTATATCAGTAATTTATATAGGCTTCCACCAATGCCCAATTTGGAAGCTTTGCACGCCGACGTTAAATACGAGGATTTGAATGACGATGGAGCTTATGAACTGTTTTCTGATCTTATGAGTGATCTACAAAGAAAAGCGCCGAAATGCATAGTAATGTTGTCTGGGAATTTGAGAGTATTCTCCAAGACCTATAAGCAGCAACGAAATATTCTAAGGTCAGCTGTTGTTGGAATCGAAAGGTTTGCCCTTTGGTTGCTCTCGTGCGAAAATATATTCTTGGATGGCGTTGTCAATGTCAATCTTCCATTATCAGTGAGTTTACAACGTTTTCTCGGTTTAAAAACTTGCTTTAGGAAGAAGATAAAGATGACTTATTCTTTGAGGACATTACCACGGACACGCCTTATCGAAGTATCCGAATTCACGTGGGCCAATGGAACTTTACGCCCATTTTCAACGAACTTGTTGATGTTAATGTAAGTTCTTGATAATTATAGGCTTGTTTCTGAAACATAATTATGTAATATCACCGTCTTTTTAACCACATTCTTCATTCCAGGGTAGATCTCGCGTAGGTTTCGATGTTATCTGCCGATTCGATGACAATGTTCTTGACAAACTTGGTGACAAAGACCTGCATATTATTCAATAATTTTAATTGCAGAAATTTCTAACTTATAAAGAGCCAAAATTTAAGTTTTGCCAGTATTTATTCAAGTCGCTTTCTCGTTCTGAAGCCAGTAACAGACATCCGGTAGGTCTTCTTCCTTGGTTCAACGACGACCTCATCCTCTCCCAATTTGACCGATTCGATCCGAACAATCGGATCTGGATTTTCCGATTTGATATTCAGATTATAATGAATCGAGGCCGGCACTCCATCAATCGTGAAAACCAGTCGAATCGTCCGTTTGCAGTGGAATTTTTCCGGAACTGAGGTGGATGAAGTCGTCGGAAAAGTCGCTGAAAAATTAATCTAAGCGAGTTAGATGATGAAGATTTAGCAAGGACCATAAGGTTGTATAGTCAAATCTCTATACAACGAATCACGAGGACCAAAAAAATTATTCGCTATAAAGGGGCTTTGTGGCGCGTAGGTTCACTTTGGTGTATACTCTTATATTTGCATTATAAAGAGTCATTTTGTATGCCTGCACTGAGAATATGTTTTGCTTACAAGTGCCCAGACCACTACTTCGGCTCTCACTTCCACTTTCATACTCCTCATCAAACATCGACGTGGCCAGATTGTTGGCCGTCAAGGCTTTATTCATGATGTCCAGAGAAGGGGAATGGGCCTCAGAGAAGTCTAATTCCTTGAAGCTGATAACTGTCTCGGAAGGGGTTAATTTCAGTGCGTCTAAAAGTGAAAGATTACGGTAAATATACTTGCTGTATGATCTGAATCAACTTTTTTAAGCACGAATCTTACCTTTCTTGACGGGTTTGCGGCGATTTTTGGATTTATCAGTCATTGCCAGTATCTTCGATCCAGAAAAGAGAAAGTCCGACCGTTCAGTAAGCGCCGCAACTCAGTAATTGGACTCATTTTGTTGCCGAAATTATTCTCAAAATTTTGGGACGATGACTCAAAACGAATTTCTTTCTTTTTTTGAAAATAGTTGGAGCGTTTCCAATCTCACAATCTTATTGTGCCATCAACATTCACGTAACAAACTTGATCAATCAGATCAGTTATATTCGGCCCGCCTCTTTGATGCCGCTCGACCCCGCCTCACGACCTTTGATCACTCCAAAGACCTCCTCTGACAATTGTGAGAGAGTCACATGGTGTCCGAAACAATTTGATTTTAAAAAGCCGTATTATCGCTTGAGTTTCTGTGTCTGGGCGAGGATTTGGAACGTGATTTCTCTAATTCCCGACCTGCAAAAAGCGTAAAGAATCAGAAAAGATTGCCCATTTAACTTTAAAACAATTTCTCTTATTTTGACCCCGACATTCAGCTTGGGGGGAAAGAAGAAGGAAGGGAAGGGACGGGAGTTCCCTTCAATTGATAAGCACAGTTACTTGTCGTAATGGCCGCGGTTCTGTCGTTGATGCCGGAGGTCAGCAAGAATGGGCTTCTGCAATGTGTGATCTGTGGGAGGGAAGGTGCTGGGAAACATTACGGAATTCAATCGTGTCTTGGGTAAGTCGAAGGTCTTGAAACTAAATTTGAAAATTTGAATTAAAATTTTTTTAAAATTTTTGGGTTCTTTGCGCTAAAGAAGTTTAAATTCCAATCGAACTGGTATGCCTTGGTCTTTGTGGTGCGGTAATTAAATGATTAATGACTGGTCGTCTGATTACTTAGAGTATATCCCGCGCTTAATTTAATAATAAAAAACAAAAACTATTACTAAAATGACTTGTCCTTTGTTTGCACAACACAATTCGTACATTTTGATACCATCAAATTTGATAAGCAAGCTTACACGATCTCTGTTATTCTTTGAAGTACATTTTTATTAAGACTGTCATTTAATTTGTTCGAAACTACATCTCTTTTCATGAATTTTACACTTCAAGTTGTGACGCCATCCTTTTTTTAACCTTATTAACTTTTGTTGTAGTTTATGGGCTTAACGTGACTACCATTTTTATACTTATCGCAATCTCATTTATGAGGTGATAGGCTCCGAAAGCAATTTGAAAAAAAGCAAGTTGCCTTGGGGGAAACACACGTGGTCTGGTATCTTCTTCCGTTCTCTCACTCCAGTTTCTAGGCTTGTTTTTTACATAAGCAAAGTACAAGAAGACAATTGAAAACACGGTCCAGACCACTTCCTAGTTGCCCAATATCTTCGTTGTAGCAGAGCAAGGGGCGCTTAGATCATTTTTGTTTAGTCAGCCAATGAATGTTCAATGCTCGTCCCGAAAACATTTGGTTTCCTCACGTGGGGGGAATGCAAGGAAAGGAGCAGTGAACGTTATAGATAGGACGGGGTCGTTGTTAGTGTGTTAACGGTTCGATCGGAAAAAAACAAACACATTGGAGTAGCAATATATTTACTTTTTCTGAGACAAGAAGAAGTGATGATAAAATGAGAGCACAAACTATACGATTACAGGTGCAAGACCTTCTTCCGTCGCGCTGTAATCCACAATCGGCGATATTTCTGCGAGAATAACCTGCAATGTGATGCGAGGGAAAGGAAAAGCCGAGGACCATGTGCGGCTTGCCGATTGCATCGATGTTTTATGGCTGGAATGTCCAAAGAAGGTATAGTAAACACTGATTTACAACCTACATCTCTCCCTTTCCATTCAAATTGTTTTTGCATTGACTGATATCATTTTCAAATGTGATAACTTTTCTTTTTTCAGCTCTCAAAGGAAAACGAGATATCATTCCGGTAAAAACAAAAATTCGACGGAGTCGACAGGCTTCCTTTGACGATAAACAAACTCCATCTCCAAGGACCACCCCAGAAGAACATCAGCAGCCAGTCTACAGCAATAATTTGATAGATCCACTAACAGAATTAGACTACCGTACTCGGGAGAACAAACTTTTGAGATTCGATTCGATGACAAGGGCAAGGAAATTGTCCTGTGACATCTCACAATCCGTAAGTTTTTCTTTTTACTGATGCGTCTTCTAATTCTTTAATAATTTATTTTTTTGCAGTACCCACCGTTTGCATACTTCACGGGCCTTCGAATAGTAGATACAGTGGAATTAGCAGCTTTGGCTTCGGTAGAAATGTATGCTATGGTCGAATGGGCCGATGGGTTGTCCTTTTTCCACAATCTTACTGTAACTCATCGAGCGGCGGCTCTCCGACGATTCTCGGTATTCCAATTGGTTATTGAAACGGGTTATTGTACTGCTCTGTCTTCATACAATGACGCCTGGATGATGCCGAATGGAACTTGCATGCCCAGAGACGTCGCATTTTTACCGGAAGAGAGTCAGGTGAGTTATTGCAATTCTCATTTGATCATAAAATTGAGAAAGTAAGGACATTGGCTTTGGAAATGTGATATTCTTTCAGAAAATTGTGAATCCCGACAGAGCGTGGCGTCAAGAGAAGCTCTACCATCAGATGACGAACAGTTGTATCGATGATGTGGCCATGCCCATGAGAAGATTACACATTTTACCTCAAGAATTGGCTACTTTGAAAGTGATTTGTTTCTGTCAAAGCTGTCAATTTGTGTGCCGTGAGACGGTGGAGGACGAGAATATGATCGAATGCAGTTTGGCCTATATTGAGGAGTTCAAGGACAAGGTCATCAAAGACCTCTTTGCCTTCTATCAGGCCCAGCGTATGCAAAATTATGAAGGTCAGTATAATATGGAAGCTTATGTTAATATTGGGACCATAATTGAAGTTTCTTTTATTTCAGAACGTTTCGGCAATCTTCTGCTAATTGTATCAGGAATTGTCTCCACAGCCACGTTTTTACGCGAGAGTTATCAAGTAATGCGAGTTTTTCGTATCGTATTATTCGACAGTTTCACCGAAAAGTTGTTATTCTCTGCCGAAACAGATAGTTACATGATGTAAATTATGTTTTCAATAAAGATTTTACCGTATTCTTGTTTAGCCAATGTGTCAAGTTTCCCTTTTCGGGTCGAGTCTTTTTCTACTGCTTTACGTCGCGATCGGCAATTTTTACCTCCAACATAACTGAAACTTTCCAAATACAGGTAAATTCGTGAAGAAAGTGGCGCGCTTAAGACGAAGAAGAGACGAGATCCAGCAGCGGTTCGTCTGGGTTCAAAAAGTAGATTCGCCGAGAGAGCGTGGGACGTGCAGAGAGTGGCAGAGAATCTTTCTTTTGAGCGCAAAAAACTCGGACGCCTGCATTTTCCCCTTCTTTTTTTGATTCCGCTCAAGACTCTGGCTCTATGACAACATAATAAGTGTAATTCTGGAGAACTAAATGAGCGTCTTGGATTGCTCCGTGTTATTTATATTATTTATAAGGTCTGAAGGGGAATGGGCGGGAAACTTGTCTCCTTTTAGTCGAATATCGAAGATCTTTTCTGTAATTTTGTGTTGAAATTGTTTACAGACAAGCTTCCTTTTTGGTGTAACGCGAGCGTTTCACATATGTTTTCGTGATGTTTCTCGCACGCTTAGTGTTTTCTCCCAAATGTGCGTTATCTTTTTGGTCGCGATCGGTTTTCAATCAATTCTTCTATCAAAAAATGTTGATAATCTTTTATTTTAGGGTTTAATGGATGGGAAATCCACCTTTTCTTCGTTCCCATTGCCTCAAAGTAGCTCCGGAAATCAACCGTTTCAAAAACCATCTAAAGTAAGATCGTATTTCTAGATTATTGTATATTCGGTGTTTAGAATTTGAGATGGAAGACCGGAGATGGGCCGCCGAAACGGCGGACGGGCGGCATTCGTCCATTCAAACCAAAGACAACAAATGAGGACAGTGTGATTCGGGTGGACAAGATGAAGATCTGTAAGTTCCTTTTATCTGTGTTACCCTTTCTATTATTAATTTTTTTGCGAGACCTAAGCGATGAATAATTCTTCTTTTAGTGGAAGAGCTTAATGATTTGCGAGGTTCTCATTGTCCCAAAGTCTTACATAAATACCAGATATTGGTGAAGCGAGATGAACTGATGTGCAAACTTAGAGTGAAGAATACAGATGTTAAAACTGCCAGGGTTTTAAATGTAAGTTTTTGTTATTTTTCTGCGAAGTTTGGGTACAAGTGATGACACCTAAACTAAAAAATTTTATTTTCAGGCACAATGTCCGGACATGTGCCCCGAGAAAGAAAGATATATGAGGGAGCTGCAAAAGTTATTGAATGATTACGAATGTGATGAACATGGCAATTTAATCCCCGAGAAAGCAGTTAAGGATTATGCACGGTCAGCTGCTGATCAAGAAGAGCCTTTACCCCATGAACTCCGACCTCCGCAGGTCCTAAAGAAGACTATGGATTATCTGGTAACCGAGTTCATGCTCGTGCCACCTCCAAGATCAGAATTGCCCAAGTGGTACGACTTCTTATGGACAAGAACACGGTCTATTCGGAAGGAAATCACCCAACAGATGTTGTGCGATGAGCTGGCAGTGGATCTGGTGGAAAAATGCACCCGGTTTCATATTTTCGCAGGATATGCTATGATTGGATTTGACGTAGGTTACATCTTTTGGTTTGATACTAATAATTTTTCATTATTCATTTTGTGTTTTCAGCAAAATACCTTTAATGATCGACTGAATACTGAGAACCTATCGAAATGTATTCAAACCTTGAGGCATATTTATGACGATCTGGCCAAAAAGAACATCTACTGTCAGTCCGAGCCTGAATTTCGAGCTTACGATATTCTTCTCAATCTGTCGGATTCGAATGTGTTGAGGTATGTGGTTATTTTTTATTTTTATTTTTCTGTTTAGTATTGTCAGATCATATCGACCGGAAGTTCGTCAGTCGGAGAAATTCCACTTGGCCGTTCGTCTTGCCTGTGCCTACCAAACCGATAATTATGTGGCCTTCTTTCGGTATTTGAAAAAGGCGTCTTTCCTGCAGGTAAGAAGAATCTCTATGGTATCGCTTATCTCTGGTTTGTACTTATGCGCAGTTAGTTCTTCGTCAATTTCAGCAAATTAATTGCGTTGTTGTAGGCATGCCTAATCTTCAATAACCTCACTTCTCTCCGCATAACCGCCATTCGGACCATTCTAAAGACATTCCGAGGAAAGGTAAGCACTTGAAAAAACTCATTAGCAACAAATTTTATATGCGTGGATACAACTTGGGGTTAATTTGGATTTGTAGTATACTCACATGCGTATTTTTAGTATCCAATTTCCACTCTTACTACTAATCTTGGTTTTGTCGATGAAGAAGAATGTGTGGAGGTGGCCACCGAGTTGGGTATCTTGGATGAGATGGACAATAACTTCATCAAACAACCTCTGGGAGATCTTTTGGATGACTTTGATCCTACCATGGGAAAGGGAATCGTTCAAAATAAATTGGATAAAAGCTTGGCAGAGACGATTACGAATGGCCCTTTGGTTGTACCTGACTTCCCCAAACCCGCAAATTCATTCACTTCTGATGGATATTACGAAAATGATCCGGTGTTAAGAGAGTTCTTGGAAGTCAATGGGTTTGCAGTTACTGGCCAGATAAGACGAAGGCCTTCGGAGGATGTTGTTGATGTGAAGAAACAGCCAAACAATGCTCAGAATCATGGACTTTTTGCCAGTCTGGGAGAGGTGAGTTAGCTTCGGTTTAAATATGTCTTTTTTACTTTTATCAATGACGTCGAGTATTATTTTAGACTCTACGAAAGCCGCAATTGCCCAGTGTTTTTCCTGTGGCCAAAGAGTTCAAAGACCCTAAAAGTGTCCCCTTCAAATCGATAAAACCATCTGCTCTCAATGGGGTACCCCCAGATCCAATGGCCAAATCAGTTAGCGGAATGGGATTTGCACAAAAAACAATGAGCTCAGTGTTTGGGTAAGTATATTTTAATTATGAACTCACTATTTAGGACAAGTATTGGTTACTCCTTAATATTTTAGAGCCGGCTCATCAAAATCGACCGATTTATTCAGCGAAAAGCCTAAAGATTCGACCGGTGGTGTGTCGACATCGTTTACATTCACCACAAAACCTTTGGATCACAGGAACACTCTGAATTTGTTGTCGTCAACGATGAAAGGAAACGAAATAAACTCGAATGGGTTCTCGTTTAATGGAGCACCGAAGAATGGAACTGATGAAAAGAATTCAGCGTACAAGGCACCGGTTTTTGGAAAACCTGCGCTCCCAGCGTTTCCAGCATCGAATGCTGATGTTAAACCTGTAGGAAATGGGACAAACGGAATCTTCCAGGCCTCGAGTATACCTTTAGAAACATCTAAAGATGATGCCTCTGTTTCGGTAACGTTGCCAATACCAAAATCAAATAAGGATGAAGAAGCAGAGAAGGCAAAAAAAGAAAAAGAGGAAAGGGAACGAAAAGAAAAGGAGGAAGCCGAGAGACGACAGAAAGAAGAGGAACGAAGGAGATTAGAGGCGTTGGAAAAGGAGAAATTAGCCAAGAAATTGGAAGAGGAAAGGAAAAGGGCTGAGGAAAGGAAAGTAAAACTACTCAAAAAACAAAAGTAAGGGTTAAAATTAAGCTAATGTTATTTGAAAATTTTTTTAATTTAGGAAATCCCGATGGCTCAAACTCAAAAGCAAATCGGCGACAATCAAGGAAAACATCGGAAAAAAGTATTCGACGACCATATTGGACGATTGCATAGATGATTTCATATGGTTGGCAGCTCATGCCCTACGGGAAAGAGAACAGAAGTTGGCAGAATTGTTGCAGAAAAGAAGTTTGAGGATGTAAGTTTTGATAGTAATATGGGTATTGTAAAAATTAATTGAATAAGCAAATATTATTTTTCAGAGTGAAACCGTACTTCAAGAAATGGGTCGATGCTACAAGGTGGAGTAAATTCCTGAACAAGCTCCCGCAACTTGAAGCAAATTCGTTTGAAAACCCAAAGCGATTACTCCCTCAGCTGTTTAATGATATTTCCAATCAGCCTCCGGAGAAAAAGAGTCGAAAATCTGCGCCTTTGTATAAGGTAAGGTTGTATATCTTTCGTGATGAATTTTGTTTTTTATATCTGTTTACTGTAACATCTAATTTCAGGAGATTGTTGAATCTGAGAGAATGTACATCACGGAACGACGTCGTCGTTATTGTGCCAAAGTAGCTGCAAGAAGGTGGATGAATTATGTGAAAAGTCGGCGATTCGAGGAAAGGGAGCCACCTTCCGCCCCTCAGATTGACCTCCAATTCCCTGCAGTCGACTTCAACTTCCGGATCCGAAGTCCAAGGAAGAAAAAACCCATAACTTTTGATGAAGTTCATGAGACCAGCTTCAACGGATTTAATAGAAGAACCCCGAATTCATCGTTTGATTACTCAGTGCTGTCAGAGATCAGAAGAAGACAGAGTCTCCCCAATGCCTTCAGCACTCCTTTGGCTCCATTGCAAGGAAGAATGCAAGGAATGGCATTTAATGGTATGTTTGTTATGTTCAATTTTTCTTGTAGCGTCTTGTTTCGATGTTCTGTTGACACTAACAGTTAGGGGAATTAATTTTGAAAAAACATAAAACTTTCTGAGCAGTGTTTTTGCCTCTGCTAAAAAGTGTCGTTGTTGCAAGAATTCTGGTTTAGTTTGTTAATGGTTTTACGTAATGGCCAGGAAGCAAAGTGAGGCATGCGGTATGTTTGTTTGTCTCGAGGGAGTCATTCCAATTACATAGCTGATATGTATGGTGAAGGTTGTCTATTTGGGTTGTTCAGGGAAGTTTTATGATCTTTCGATTCTTTACGTAATGTCTAAATTACTCCGGAGTAAAATTAATAAAAAATCGTCTAGCTGAAAGGGCTGTAAAATGGCAACAACGGGATGAAGTCGCGACAAAGTATATGTAGAAAATTAAATCCAGATTTCCGGACTTGAAGGCCGGGGATATCGTTTACATATTGCCCACCTTCCGTTAATATACATTGTGCTGGATTCAAATCCGGAAACGCGTCCGATCATATGGTTTGGTATTTGGGGTTAAGTTTAGCTGACACGAGCAAGCATTTCTACACCTGCCTGTTCTTCGGTAATCCATGCACCCCGTGGGAGTGAACGCACATCCGGATTAATTAGATCTTTTCTTTGCGTGCAGTGCTGTCTTCGTCTTTGATTAAGCTGAAAGTTTAAAAGTGCATACGAAGATCTACGATTTCAAACTTGTTTCGACATTTCTGTTCGAGAATTGGTTTGCGAAATGAAGGGTCTTGAGTACTGTCATTTGTCTTTGTTTTGTACAAACTTTAATACACAATTGAAAACATTTCTCGATATCGTTGGTGTAATGTCTCGTAGTTGTAATTTGATGCTTTGGATTCCTAATGTATTTGGTATTCGTGTCTCTATCTTTCGGCGAATGTATCTTTTCTTTCAATGTAGTCGTTAACCTGTAATTAAGATCAGTTTTTCCATATTTTCTTTAGAATCAAGTTGTGTAAGTTGTCTATTAGGCGGCATAATTACAAATACATACCAAACTTAATCCCTTAGGCTTGTTTGTTAAAAGTTTTGAGAGTATAATACAGATTAGGAATCATATATTCAACATCACACAAAAAGAATATTGCATGAACAATAAAATGATCGGGCTGTTAATCCCGGAAAATGTCTATCATGTTCGCGATGACGTCGAAAAGTGTGGCCCAGGCGTCTTTGATGTCGTCGTTTAAGTCGGTGTATTGAGACAGAACAGCGAGAAGACAGGGTAACATGTCCTGAAAGAGTATTGGTATAAAGACGCGTTGATTCAAACAACTTACCATGAGATGAGCTTTGTAGATCCCCCATTTTACATGTGATTGCGCTATCCTCTTCAATTCTGCCTCCAGTTTGTCTTGATCATGAGAATCGATTATCCTTTTCAGTCCTCCCATGTAAGTGTGGGCATGTTTTCGAAGGACTTCTGAATTCATCAGGGAACTGTCGGGTATCGGTCTGAACTGTGGCCAAATGTCCTTATATTGTGGGGTCTCAGAAAATAACCTGAAATCAAGAAGTCTCACATGTAGTTGCTACAGTTTTTGTCGTTTTATAGTCTCGTGTCTAGACACGATGACCGTTGATGAACTTTTTAGTTTAGAGCAAGAAAGCAACGTATGTGTTGTCAGCATTAGGATATAGGTCCGGAAAGAAGTTTTTCTTAATCCGATAGCTACTTCCATTTTAGCAGGTCTCATCTGATTATACTCCGGTTGGCGGAAATGCACTTTGGCCTTTATTCGAGGTCTATTTACATAAAAATGGCTGGAGGCCTTTTTTGTTCTCTTATTAACCCATTATGAAGTGATAAAAATACTTACCGTAGTAAGATATTAGTGCCGTTTCGCACTTTAGATCTGCCAATCAGCTTGAAGGTGTCTTTGTAGACTTCTCTGTGCTTATCACTGATTCTAGAGAGCTCATATTCCACGCGAGCGGCTAAAACATTAAATTTAAACAACAAATTCAAATATTCTCCTACATCGTCCATTGTTCAAAAGGAACTCGGAAAACATTGGTCGGCTAGATTATTTAACAATCCCTCCTCTTTCGGAAACCAAATGGAATAACTTGATAATGCTTTCGAAGCTTTTTAGGGGTTTGTATCCTCTGATGAATAAAATGATTTCCAGGTAATTGTTGGCAAAAAGAAAACACTTACATTTCGTTTCGTCCAAGGACATTTTGTCTCGATTGGGAAGGCCTCTTCAAATTGTAATTAGGCCTAGATTTGGCTATTAAGCGACTGTATTATCGACTTACGATAGGTTGGCGTTTTATTTATATTCAGCTGAACGCCTTCAAGACTCCGCCTTCCTTCTGAGATCGTCGTATTTTGTAGATTACGCTTTTCTAGAGAGGAAAGGAATATTGTAGCAGGGCGGGACGTCTTAGTCCCGGAAATTTCAGAGTAACCTTTGCTCGAAGCAAGATTAGGTAACAATTTGGTACTTGAGGGAAAAAACTATGAATTATTTCTTTTCATAGTTGTTTTCCGTTTAATAAAAGGGCCTTTTTTGAGTATTATCACATGGCTTCTCTTCGTATGAGCTGTAAATGTCATGGATTTTTTATAAAAATAACGGAGATGTTAAAAATTCTTTAAGAAATATTTTTGAATGAGAATCTTTTTGTGTGTAACTCAATATTTAGCTGCAAGTTTGGTGGGAGCGTTTCGGATATTGCTTCTGAACGTTGAGTAGTGTATTCTACTCTGACTTCCGAGTTATTGATAGAAAATCTAATGATACTGCACATGATATCAAAGCAAAAGCGTGCCAATTTTTTATACATTTGTTTTTCTATTAGTATACTGGAAGAGTGCTTGTTACTTTAGACATGAATTGGATTTTTTCTTGGGCACGTTTCTGCAAATCGTTTCATCTGCGGACAGAAATTTCTTCGCTGACGTTAAAAAGCGCATCCAATTCCTTACACCGCTTTAGTCCCAGGTGTGCTCAGATCTTTTAATGCTTTTTTATCCGGAAGTTGAATTTTTCAAGTTGTTGTGCTGCCGTAGATGATTGGTAAGATTATATGAAATTCGGAAATGCGGTGTAAACTCGAGATTAAGTCCTGGTAAAACATAAGATTAGGCTCAGTGTACGAACAAATGTCTTGGAGTCGTGATCTTGCAAAGTTTGCTTGTAAACTAATTATAACGAAATCTCCGAAGGGAAGTCGACTTTTTGGCGTAACAGGAAGCGCTCACCCGAGATTATGTTTGGTTTCGAAATTTATTATACTCGGGGTGCTGTAGGCTAAAGTACGAATACAAAATACAATATTATAACTTATAGAGCGGTCGGTCGTACTTTTCATTGATAACGCAGTTGTACGTTCAAAGTTCAAATTTATAAACAATAGCACAAGTGTTTATTCAACCCTTTTTATATTTTAAAATCGTTTTTCTTTGATCTATAGCATTATGATTTCAGATCTACGTAATGTTGATGTCCCCGGGCCCTCGCAAGAAGCCCACGTCTTCGTCTCACCGATCCGACGGCCTCAATCTTCCCGAACCACCTTCTCCGTCGACGCATCCTCTCCGATCCCATCAGCATCTACTACAACATCTTTGAACTCAACTTTGCATCGGTTCTCTCCGATGTCCCAGAATAACTCGACTTCTCAACATTCGATAAAAGATCAGAAAACGAGGACAGTTCGGGATTTCATAAAACAAATCAAGTCGTTCAGACACCAGATCCGGGAAGCTCAAGAGCCTTCGAATGGGTCTAGAGCAGCTTCGGGATTGGGGAATCCAAAACTTTTGATTAATGGGACGCCGTTCAGCTGATAATGGACTGGTGAAGATGTCTGGTTTGAGCGTTGTGTTCTGTTTTTGGGCCCGGCAACCCTTTCATTGGCACCTATTTTTGCCTCCAACGGCTCTTATTTTATGTCATTTTAGGTTATTTTCCGCTGAAATGTGGTCTTCAAAAATTTGTAATAACATTTATTGAAGACGCCATCTATTTGATGTTCTTCTGGTAAATTTGTAGCGAATATTGTCAGCTTTAGCTTACCTTGTCCTCCCTATTCGTTAGTGCAGTACTGTGGATTTTTTTGATTGTTTTCAACGGGCTAAATCTCTTGCTTATCACCCAAACAAATCGGTAGTTTCCCTACAATAATATTTCTGTTGTAGTGTTGTTTTCTCCTTTCATATCACGTTCCGTCTCTTAATGTTTTCCTTGTAGTTGTTACAGTTGTATCAGTGTTTTTACTTGTTTTCGTGAATAAATTAATAAATAATGTGATGATCTTCGATTAATCGTATACTCGAAGAAATGTACTGAAAACGGTAACTCTTCAGAACTGTAAGAGTTATTATAGATGTCCAGCAAGTACAGTACCTGCGCGTTTTGCCATCTCGACTTCAAGGGTGTCTACAAGTGTCCGAAATGCAAAAAGGATTACTGTAACTTGAAATGTTACCGAAGCAAAGAGCACATGGAATGTTCAAATGCATTCTATCAGGATCAGATTGCAAGACATGTCGGGAAAGAGTTGGTAAGACTTTCAAAATATTTCTTGAAGTACAGTAAGACATTTGGAGGGCTTTCAATTTTTTAGGAAGAGACAGACAGCGACGATCAAAGTGTAGAAGGAGATGAACTCGATGAGATGGATAAGGCTACAACTTCAGAGGAAAAAGTACAGAAACAAAAGGAAGAGGACAATAAGGCTGAAGCTGACGGGAAACAGAAGGACAAGGCAAAATCTCAGTAGGTTAAACGCCAGAATATTGATTGCCCTTATTTTTTCAGCATGACCTTCTCCGAGTACATGAGTCACCATTCGGCTGAAGATCGGCTGAAGACCGAAGAAGAACTGAACCCGGACATTGGACTAAGGCCAGGAGAAGAGCTGGTCATAGATGAGGACGATGATCCGGAATACATCCAAGAAGTCGTTGAATCCAGTATGAAGGACTTTGAGAATCTGACGGACGAGGAATTGGATCAGAAACTAAAAGAAATGGGTATGGATCCAGAGAAAGAAGACGAATTGTTTGGAAAATTGACTGCAGATGAGCGGAAAAGTTTTCAACGAATTGCCGATGAAATGTTTGGAATTAAATCAACATCTGCCTTTAATAAATGAGAATATTGTTGTTCATGTTACTGTTATCAAGGTGTAAAAGTTGATTATTGTTGGAAGTAAGAGATAAAACGCTGTTCTAATATTTTGAGCTATAATTTGGTGTTGGAAATAGCTTTGTGGGCATGCAAACTTTGAGGTAATCCCTCACGCGCCTCTTGTCTCATATTTTTTCCTAATTTATGGAGGGCTTTTGATATCTCTTTAAGGAATTTGAGCAATGTTTGCCTTAGGCGGCGGGTTCTGACTGCTCTTCCCGGTTCCGGCCTTTTGTAAAAAATTTGTAGGTGCTTTTATAATGAGGCATCACCTTCGCTGATAACTCGGCTGGACGAAATTAACGCTAAAATCTTCAAATTTCTTTCGCTGTTTTTTTGGTTTTATTAGTCATGGTAAGTAGTCGAATATTATCAATCGGTAATTTATGGCTTAGCGATGCCAAATGACGGTATTTTGCCGCACAATTTGGCTGTTTGGCAGCTGAAATAATTTCTGGAGGCTAGCGGTCATAATTAAATTTTCAAAAAATTTCTCTAGACTGTTGTGGGTAGATCATATCAACATATTATTTTAGGTTTATGGAACCTCCAGAGAACGAGGGCTTCCTCGATACGATTCTTTTACCCTTCAGCCAATCCGACCGACTCAGTACAACGGAACTATCAATAACGGTTTGAAGAATTACAGTCGGAAACCTCTGAATATTGTAAAGTGACTATTTCTTCAATATTTGAACACTTCTAGGATCTGTATTCTGTTCCTCGTCATTCGCTAACCCGAGTCAATCCAATCACCCTCGAACATTTCGATAAACCCACGGCCAATGGGACTGTCCGGTCGATAAATCAATACTCTTTGGTCGGAACAGAGCCTCTGGCAACGTTAACCAAACCACCGATTACTGTAACAAATCTGCCTTCGAATAAACATGCGTGAGTTTGAGAAACCTTTTGAAGATAAAATTCTGGATGTGTGAAGGATGACGTTTTATGTTTTCAGATTCAAATGGAATTGGGCCGAACGGCTATACGAGAACACCAATATCGGGATGCACCGTTACTTCTTCCTTGCCAAGCGCCTCTTCGCCCTGGCTGGCCTAGCCATCTCCACCTTTATTTTCTTCGGTCGTCATCAGAATCCAAGTCTTCCAAAGGAAGACTCGGGCGCCTTCAGTCTCACCGAATCCGAACAACATCTCAATATCGTTCTCTTCGTCGTATCTTGTTTTACCTTGACTGCGAATCTTCTTGGAACTTTTAATCATTGGAATGATCACAGAAGAGCGATGAGTCAATTGTGGACCAGACTGGCCATCCTCGGGTTCGAGGTGTTACTGGAGGTCACGCTTATTGTATTTTGTGTGGCTGTGTTGATCAGCTTCTTGAAAGAGGTGAGTTCTACAATAGTTTTGACTGACGCGTTTATTGAGTTCTTTTAAAACACGTTTTTTCTAAGCTTGGAGAGCCCTGGCTGCACGAAAAATCAAACTGCTTCATTTTTCTTTAAACTTGGAAAACTGTAGCTACGTACCATTCTAAGAAACTTTCCCGTTAACTTTTTTTCGAAATCTTACTGTACTTTGGGTTACGGTAACATGACTCGTTTTGTCATAACTCGATAACCAGATGTCGTAGCGAGACGGGGTCTTTACCAGTATGTTCAGCGTGCCGAAAGACGGCTTTTTGTTAGTTACACCAAGTTTCGAAGACGCCGGGAAGTGACCAAAAAATTTGAATATTTATGCAAAAATTCAAAAATATGCAAATTTCTCGAAAATTTAACCCAAATTATGCTCATTTTTATTTGATGTGTCGAAAATAGAAGTCATAGCGGTTCCAACGGTGTAAAAAACTTGAACGTGCGAACCGAGCTGTCTGAGAGCGGGCTGTTTGAAGTTGGGGCATCCAGTCATGAATGAGCAAAAAATCGAAGTAAACCGTATAAAATCATTGTTAAACGGCAAGAACGGAAAGTAAATTTTGTTATTACATTGTATCAGTCACAATAGAAGATTTTCCACATAATTTTCATAAATTTGCATATTTTGGAATTTCTTGCATTTACGGGTGCATCAGCCGCCAGGTAGACTTGGACATGGCAAAAATCGATTTTGAGTTTTTTACATTAAAATGACTGTTGGAAGGTACTAAGCAAAAGTGAACAATATTTTTTCCCAAATCCTTCATTAAGGTATATTTTTGCAACATTTTGACAATAAATGCAAGTAATTACAAAATATGTAAATTTATGAAAATTATGTGGAAAATCCTCTATTGTGACCGATACGATGTAATAACAAAATTTACTTTCCATTCTTGCCATTTAACAATGATTTTATGCGGTTTACTCCGATTTTTTGCTCATTCGTGACTGGGTGCCCCAACTTCAAACAGCCCGTTCTCAGACAGCTCGGTTCGCACGTTCAAGTTTTTTACACCGTTGGAACCGCTATGACTTCTATTTTCGACAGATCAAATAAAAATGAGCATAATTTGGGTTAAATTTTCGAGAAATTTGCATATTTTTGAATTTTTGCATAAATATTCAAATTTTTTGGTCACTTCCCGGCGTCTTCGAAACTTGGTGTAGATAACAAAAAGCCGTTTTGCGGCACGCTGAACATACTGGTAAAGACCCCGTATCGCTACGACATCTGGTTCTCGAGTTATGACAAAACGAGTCATGTTACCGTAACCCAAATTACAGTAAGATTTTGAAAAAAAGTTAACGGGAAAGTTTCTTAGAATGGTACGTAGCTACAGTCTTCCAAGTTTAAAGAAAAACGAAGCAGTTTGATTTTTCGTGTAGCCAGGGTTGTTTTTGTTTACCTGCGCTTGACTTTTAGAAAAATCGTGTTTTACAGGGTCTTTCAAGTAATGTGCAGGAAAGTAGGAGGCTATAACTTTCGGCGGCGGCGGCGCAGAGAGTTCGTTTTTGGAATATGTATTTTTCAGTGACATTATTTTTTGCCTACGAAATAACGAGCTTTTCGAGTGCAAACTGAGGTCGCTACGACCTTCTGAAGTAAAGGCATCTCTACCCCGAAAACCAGGGTTTTTCGGTTGAAAATGATCGAGAAATTTCAGAGTTTTTCGGTCGAAAATCACCGAGAAATGTCGGGTTTTTTTGGGGGGTTTCGATAGAGCCGTACGTTGAAAACAGGGAAGGGAATTGCCAACACGTTGAAAATTAAGCAAATATTCGGCTGCTCTTCATTCTGACACTTTGGCTAGCCAACCAGTTTTTGTTGGCAGTTTAAAAGTTTGTTTGTCATTCCTGTCCTTTGACGCCCATTACACCCTTTGACTAGTTTTTATAAGACTTCACGGCCATTCTGGTGCCTTGGCTAGCCGATTCCAGGTTCCTCAAATCCCCAAATGATGTCACGCTTCTTCGCGGAAGATACCGAAAAATAAACTCGAAATCTGCCCCAAGTTGAGGCTAGCCGAATATTTGCTAAATTTCCAACGTGTTGGCAACATCCTTCCCTTTTTTCAACGTCAACTCTATCGGAACCCCTGAAAAAATCCGACATTTCTTGGTGATTTTGGACCGAAAAACTCTGAAATTTCTCGATCATTTTCAACCGAAAAACCCTGGTTTTCGGGGTAAAAGACCCCTTTTTCAAAAGGTTGTAGCGACCTCAGTTTGCACTCTAAAAGCTTGTTATTTCGTAGGCAAAAAATAATGTCACTGAAAAATACATATTCCAAAAACGAACTCTCTGCGCCGCCTCCGCCGAAAGTTATAGCCTCCTACTTTCCTGCACATTTCTTGAAAGACCCTGTAAATGGATTTTAAGGGTCGAAAAAAGTAAAAAGAGTGGGCGATTTGGGTTCTTATCAATGTAAAATGATCTTCTTTCTACTACTTGTTGAATACAAGTAGCTTATGAAGCAATAATTCCCATAAAATTGTCCGAATAATTTTGCGGCTCGAATTTCCAGGAAGCAGAAGCTGGTCCAGTGGATAAAACAATTCAATTTTCTCAAAGCCAAAAACTCACTTATGTCGTAATCGAAAGTGCCATCGGACTTTTATCCTTGGTATTCGGAGTGGCTGGAATTTATTACGGTATCTACGCGATAGTCCGCTTGTTCAAAGACAGGCAGGCTGAAGCCACGACTTACCGGCTGAATATTGAACAGGCCAGTTTCGCCGATCAATTGGCCCCGATCATCGAGCAATACTGAGTTTATTCCCAATCTTACAAATAAATAAATAAAAGTACTCGTATTCAATCATCATTTGAATTACATACTATTTATCTTTTAGATTGCTCGCTAGAACTCCAGTTTTCGGTACCATTCGTTTTTCGAGGCATTTCGAATGAAATACTTTCGTATCTCAGTGAATACGACTATCACAACTCCCACGGCCGGGCCATAAATCCACGAAAATAATGGTGGAACACTGACTCCGAGCAATTCTCGAGTGAATTGAAAGTAAAACAGGACAAACAAAATGGCGATTTCAATAAAAACGGTCGAAATTAGAGCTGAACTGGGCATTCGTTGGAAGACCGAAGTCCTTTTTGTTGTGCAAGTGAAGATATGGAAGACTTGAGCGATAACCAGAGTCATTTGGTAGGCCGCTGAGGCTTGGCCAAGGACTTCCATCTGATGTTCGGCATATAAGACGACTCCAGTTAGTGGGGAGGTCAGATTCTCGGCTTCACCGTGCCAGAAATCAGTGCGAGAAAAGGGAAGAGTATCCGGAGGAATCCCGTGATGACTAAATAAGAATAATTCATATTTTGAGAACAGGAAATCCTTACTAATAAACCGTCAGATAAGCCACGAAACATCCAAGTGTTATGATGACTCCGATGCAAAAATAAGAGTAGACCATCAAACTGTAGCTGACCATTTTCTGTTTCGGCGACCTCGGCGGGCATTTCAAAACATCTTCTTCGGGTTTTTCGAATGCTAATGCAATCGAAGGCAAGAGTTCACAGGCCAGATCAATACTCAATACTTGTAATGGAGACAATCCCAGGGGTAATCCGATGATGAAATTGAGAATAATCGGGAAGACCTCAGGGAATAAATGAGCAAGTGTATAGGCTACTGCCAATTGCATGTTCTTGAACAAGGTTCGACCTTCTCCCATTGCCTCAATTATAGCTGGGAGGCCGTCATATTCGAGGATAATGTCCGCGGTTTTTCGAGCAACATCAGTACCTGAAACTTTGATTTTTAGATTCATCTCAAACTACAGACTGTAATGCATTATATTATATAATAATATAACTACGATAACTTGCTAAACTCTTTGGAACATATTCCGACATTTGCTTTGGCCAGTGCCGGGGCGTCATTGGCTGCTCCACCAGTTAGTGCAACAACCTGTCCATGCTTTCGACATTCCTTGACCAAGAATAAAGTCTGAGCCGATGTGATTCTAAACAGTGATTCTTTGTTAAGTGTATTAGGTTGTATAATAAGTTATGACCATAATTTTTTAAAATTACTAAAACTTTAATGATGCTTTTTTCAGAGTTGAATAGCATACCGCTGGGTAGGGTGGAGACAGTAGATTACAGGAACCAGTAGCACATCGGCTTCTGGCTAAAGCATCGGAGAAAAGAAATTAAGAAATGAGGGCATCCCAAGGTGCTAAAGCAAAAATACGCCTTAAATCTGAGAATTCTGAGAGGCTGGTAATGACAATGCTTCTGTAGGGCACTAGAGGCGTCCTTTTTAAATACGCTGCGCAGGATTAACTCTGCGTCCCCCACCTGAGCTTTACTGTTCAAAATATAAATTGAGGTATACCTTCATTGTTATGCACCCTGATTCGTTTCGAATTAATCCCACCTCAAATAACGTGGTTCAGCCGTAAAGAGTCACTTATGAGTTGCGTTTTGATAACCTACTCAAATCAGAAACTGCTTGTATCTGGTGACAATAAGGAATTTCATTCAAAGCGTTACATTTTGCGGGCCGCTGGACTAGAGTTCAAAACATTTATTGAGTACGCGCTAGCGCCATCTTGTGAAGAGCTGTTTTTGGTGGTTATGTACACTACATACCTCGGCGAAAACGACAGTATATGTTCTTATAGTTTGCGGCGGTTAAGTTCTAAAAAATTGAAACTCAATTGGATCATCAAAAATTCTGCTAATTCTTAAATTTTTCTGGAGGTTCCAATTACTGCATGCTCCAAAATTTGCCTGGTGTGACAACAGGTATGTGATCTCGTATTACTACGAGTTATAACAATATACAACAGAAACCCCGGGCGCTAAACTTTTTAGACGCCTTTTCAGGCGACGGCTTCGGTAACCTTCCGGAAAAACAGCTCATAAAATGAGTTGTCACTGCTACCTAGTAACGATGCCGTGTCAGCGCCTTCTACGACCCTTGAAGATTACAATAACACCAATCCGAGACCAGCAGCGGCTGGCAGAGAGACGTGACTTGAGTTGTTTCGAACCCTGCCAAAATCGGGGCACTTCCGCGTTTTTAGCAATAGAAAATTGCGGCTATGCCGTAAGACTTTGCAATACGCACTAGATGAAACTTCGATAAGCCCTCTATTAGTCTATAGGTATGTTGAACTAAGGAGGGATCTGAGCTAGGAAATAATCGACTTCAAACTTTTGCAAGAAAATGGTCATAACATATTATACAACCTAATATTTCTCACTCTGAAAAGATGATATAAGGCCTTTCAAAGATCATTCCCAACTCTTTACTCGACATTTGGTTCAATCTTCCACTCCTCACAACAGCCCAATCATCTCCATAATGGACTTCAAAGTTTTCATCGTCAAAATTTATTTTGATATTGTCGATGTCGCTTTGAACCAGGCCAATTTGACAAGCCAAGGCTAGCGCTGACATTGGATGTTCCCCAGTGATGAGATAAACCTTTAATCCAGCCTGTTTGCAAGTACTTATTGCCGCGGGAGTGTCATTTCTGGGCGGATCATTCAGTGAGGCCATTCCAATGAAGGTCAGGTTACTCTGAGACGCCAAATCTTCCAGATTCTTCGGTTTTACATCTTTTTCGGATGTAAAGAATTTCATGGCAAATGAAATAACTGGACAGCCTTTTAGACGGAAGGCTTCGGCGGTGGCCTAAAATGAAAAATGTTCAAATTAAGAAATTTCGGCTCACATCACACTCTGCAATGAAGTCATGGCTGATATTGCGTATCTGATCCTCAAATGTATATTCGTTACATCTTTTGAGAATCTCATCTGGAGCTCCTTTCATCATCACCACATACACATCTTTGTCATCACAGTCCAACGGAAAGAGTTTGCATTCAACTGGCCGTTGGCATTTTGCAACGATCAATTGCCATTTTCGGTTGGCGTTGAACGGAATTTCAAATATCGGCTAAAAACTTTGACAGTTAAATTTGTTGAAAGTAGAAGTAATTACTTTGTAAGTCTGTCCAAGCTCCAGAATTGAGACATTTGCCTTTTTGAGGTACCCGTAGATCGCAGCATCCACAGTACTGTTAAATCCATGTCTCTTCATCTCCACGGTGAAGTCAGCAGTGTGTCTTGTATCCAAATATTCATCATTTATATTATGAATTGTGACTAGATCTGCTTGGAATTGCACACTTCTTCCAATGGTCACCGTCTCGTCTTCAAACTTTGTTTCTGGAGTGTGAATAAAGGCTTTTCTCACGGCAAAAGAAGGGAGTTCATGGAATTTGAATATGCGATTACAGACTCCCATCACAGAATGCATCAGATTTAGAGACGGCGGCTGATGGCTCGACTTTTTCCGGATCTCTTTGATAGCAGATTTGGTGAGAGGAACTAAAATTAAAACTGGAATGTAATTATGGATCATGCTCACCATGATGGACCTGTTGATTATACCATAAATTGATGACTGTTAATTTGTTTTCTGTCAGAATTCCAGCTCTGCCAGTGAATAAAACAGTCGCCGCCCCCAGTTCATCAATAACGTCCAGATTTCGAATACAAATATGTTTCAGCGATAATCTTTTGGCTATGATGGCCAAATGACACATGATTGCCGGAGGTAATCCTTGAGGAACGGCGGCAACAAGGACAACCAGGAATCCAATAATAAAGTAATAAAGGACATTTGTGAATCTATATAATAATACGGTAATTGGTTGCTTGAAGTGTGTTCTTACTCATTAACCACAATTCCGATGACAAAAGCTGCAACTGACATAATCAGCGCCCATATGCAGATATTATCCACCGCTTCCTTAATATTCTTGGCCAATAAACTAGTCCTGCTCGCATGTTCCTGGATCTCCGCCGTGTTTCCGAGAAACTAAAAATGAAATAATTCAGAAGACGTCTTACGGTATTTCTCCCAGTCCGAATCACCAGTCCAAGACCGTCTCCATCTGTGACATAAGTGCCCTGGAACGCAATGTTCTTTGCTTCAAAGGGATTAACATCATCCCCAACTGCATCACAAGTATAATGTTGTTTGTCTTTGACTCCAGTGATGATCGATGCGTCAATGAACAAATCATTTGCCAAGATCAGCCTCGCATCTGCTGGGATTCTCTGCCCAGCATTTATATGCAAGAGATCTCCAACCACCAACTCTTTTGTCGATACACATCTTGTGTCGCAATCTCTTACCACAAAACAGTAATTCCCAATAAATCTTTTGGTAGTATTCACAATATTAATTGACCTCCTCTCTTGCCAGAAAGACAACAAGATCATGGAGATGACTGCCAAGACTAAAGTAACGGCTGTAGCGATTGTCAACGCGTTGTTTTCTTTCTGATCCGTTCGCTCGAGGATGTAAGCGATGATATTGAGGACGGTCGCGCCGGAAAGGAGGATCCAGAAGTTGTAGAAGTGCTTGTTCAACAGGAAATTCCATCGTTTTGGAGCTTTGGCATCATCGACAATATTGGGCCCATCTGAGTCGTACCGTTTCCTAAACTTAATATTAACTTAGATGCCCTAGATTATAACTATGAAAAAAATTAAAAAGCAAGTTAATTTAGGGTCCCACCTTGCCACAGCGATGCTCAGTCCGTCACTTTGCTCGGGCTGTTCCGCATTTATAAAACTCTCCTTGTAAATCCCCTTCAATTCATGGATCCCCAACTTATGTTCAACATAAGAAGTACTGTGGGCAGTCCTCGGTTCTGATTCCGCATCAGGTTCACTGCTCAGACGGAATCGCTTCTTGAGAAGACGTTTCAAAAACATTTTACATCAATTCAAACTACTCTATAAAACAACTGGGGTCGATAGCGGACAAGAAAATAATCCGTTTATATCACTTTTGATTCAACTTTGTTTTGCATTCATTTACAGAGTTATATTTTTTATTTGTGATTCACGTATTTGCAAGTTCGCCCCGAGTGCAGTGATGGATCATGAACTAAGAGGTGTTTTGGTTGATCAACGGCTAATTATGCAAGGATGTCACAGAACACGTGATAAGCAGAGTCTGTGATCTTTTTTTGGTCTTCGTTGTTTGTGTGATACCATAAAAATAGAGGGTGAACGTAGAAGCCAAAGAAGAAGGCAGAAAAAGTACCATCAACACACAAAATGTTTTTTCTAGAGCACCGGAAAGATTGAGCTTAAAACGCACTTCGCGAGTTGCTGAAGCAGGCTCAAATGGGGGTCTGCCCTAGAAATTGACCCCCACTTTTTTTTGTCTTAACTGATGACATACAGGCTGTTAAACAACTTCGTGAATTTTTTTCGAAAAATTCGTCATCATGACCGAGATATGACATATTTATTGAATTTCGTTTAATGTGATATATTGTGCTAATTTATCGCCGAAACATTGCAGAACTGAGTACACACACGTTATAGGCCATGCTGAACAACTTTGTAATTGACCCCAAGTTTGTCAGGTTACTGTAACATACCGTAACGCCCATGCTCAATCAAAAAATCTTGATTTTCTCGATTTTTTTCAATAATTTTCTCGGAATTTTTTTTCATTTTTGGAATCAGCATCAAATTCTGCATCGGATAGACTATATGCGCATCTCCAGATAGGTGTACAAAAATGTCGTGGCGCAACCGGTAGTGGGCCGGACCACCATTCAAAAGGTCCCGGGTTCGAGTCCGGGTGGAAGCATAAATGCTCAAACGCGCTGGAAATTGTCCCGAAACAGTTGTAATCTATTGGAACTGTGGTAAAAATAAATAATAATTAACATTTTTTCCTAAAAAGGCAAAATTTTGGATTTTACAAAATTTTTGAAAATCGTGATTTTTGTGGGCCCAAATCTGCCGAAGAAATGAAAATTTTTTGTTAGCGATTTTTTGTTTAGAAACAACGCAGGGCACATAGAAAGACTATTCCTCAGAGGATTTCGTTCAATTTTGCCCAAAACACCAAAAAGTTGAACTTTTTCGTTTTAATCGGAGAGCACCGCCAGAACCCAGAAAGCCGAAGTGACGTCATTCAAATGTGGATACACATTTTTTACACTATGGGGAGTCGAATTTTTGAAGGCAGCGAAAAAAACTGATCTTGAAAAATTGGACACGTTTCCGCGTAAGAACGCCTGAAAATCATTATCTCAATTTTTTGTCAAATGGCAAAATACGAATTTTTTTTGGTGTTTTGGGCAAAATTGAACGAAGTCCTCTGAGGAATAGTCTTTATATGTGCCTTGCGTTGTTTCTAAACAAAAAAATCGCTTACAAAAAATTCTCATTTCTTCGGCAGATTTGGGCCCACAAAAATCATGTTTTTCAAAAATTTCGTAAAATCCAAAATTTAGCCTTTTTAGCGAACAATGTTAATTATTATTTGTTTTTACCACAGTTTTTACCACCTTTCCGTACTCAATCCCCTTCCACAGCTCGCGAAGTGCGTTTTAAGCTAAAAACTTGAAGTTTTTATAAGTAAATAAAAGTTTTTATAAGTGATTTTGAGTTCCCTGTGTTAAAGATTTTTTCCGACCGAAAAATATTTTTCTCGGAATTGTTTTACTTCTTTTGTCAATTTTGACACTTCGTTTGGACGAAACTCAAAAGTGAGCGGGAAAATTTTTCTTCTATGTACATATTTCGGGTTACCGTGCCGCTTCGTTGCCTATGCTTTCAAATTGGGGTTTAAAAATTTTGAATAAATCTTTGGTGCTTTGAATTTTCGTAACCGAGTAAACTAACAAGGGAAGTACCCCAAGTGCGACGCTCAGATTTTGATGAAACTTGGCACAAATTTAGAACAATTTTTTCTAACATATATGCGAGAGTGCTAACTCGCGCTTTGCAGAAACAACCGAGATTTTTAGATCGAAAGTCGGCCAAAATCTAGGACTTTTTGCCGAATATCGGCACGAAAAGTTTCATACCTATTTCTACCGGAAAGTATAATATTTCTACAAAAAATCAAAATTTTCCGTACAAAACTGCCAAAGCTATGGCCAAAAACCGTGTTTCTCTCTGACCGCTCTCCACGTTTAGCGTGTCCTCTCGGCGGCAAAAATCGTTCGATATCTCGGCGGCGCCCGCAAAGCGCGAGCTAAAACTTTCAGGAATTGATGTTTAGTTCATGACAGAAGTATGTGCAAAATTTAAAGAAAATCTGAGCGTCGCACTTGGGGTACTTCCCCTGTAAACCTAAATTTCTGTTTATTGGAACATAATATATGCAAATGCCAGTATGGGATATAAGACAGACGGCGGTGACAATAGAATCGAGTTTTTGGGGACAACTTCTCCATATTCTTCGTGGTTATAGTCTGGTTCCGGTGAAGATGGAGTGGGCGTAGTTCTTGGCTTAGAGGGAGTAGTTCTTGGCGTAGAAGGAGTAGTTCTTGGCGTAGAAGGGGTAGTTTTTGTCCCAGAGGGAGTTGTTCTTGGCATAGGGGGAGTGGTTCTTGGCGTAGAAGGAGTAGTTCTTGGTGTAGATTGCGTAGTAGTCGTATGTGGATTCGGAGTTGATTTGGTTGGTCCAGGGGCCGGTGGAGTGTTCGTACTGGCATGATGAGTTCCTTCAGTTACAACTGGTTCGTGATGCGCTGCAGTGCTAGTTGTAGCATTTTCTGTAGTTATTGTTGTAGTAGCTTCCTCAGTAGTTTCTGTAGTCGTTGCAGTGGTAGCTGGTATAGTCGTTGTTATAGTTTCTGTAGTCGTCGCAGCAGTTGCTTCAATGGTAGTTGGTGTAGTCGTTGTAGCAGCAGGCGTTGTAATTTCTGTAGCCACTGCAGTAGTAGTTGGTATAGTCGTCGTTGCAGCCGTTGTTGTAATTAATGTAGTCGTTGTAGTAGTTGTTGTAGCCGTTGTTGTAGTGGCCGTTGTAGTTGTGGTCGTAGCTGTCGTCGTCGTGGTAGTTGTGCTATCGATGTCAAAGTCGAAGATATTGCATCGTTGGTCCGCTGGAAGGTGATACCTCGAACCAACAGGGCAACGAAAAGCCTCGGCAAATCCTTTAAAATTGGCAAGGGCTCCCCAAACACGAACTCGAGCTGGCGGATGGGGATTCGCTACATTGTAGTCTTTCCAACGCCCCGTCGCCGCAATGGTCTGGGCCATGTTGATGAAAAAAAGTTGCCTGTTGGAGAACTGTTGAATTATTCGGGGCTCCGAAATATTTCCAGGGACGAAATTTGAAAAATAGGCCAGACGAATACCTAAAACGACATTGAGGTAAGTATAAAACGTGTGGACGACTTGTTTTGGGGCTTACTCTCAAAAAAAAATTTCCCTTTTTCCGCAGCTGCAGAATGAAAATGGAAAAACGTAAAGTTGCTCAAGAAAGGTTGCATAGCTTAACTTGTAACGTGATTTGCACGCCTGCAGGCTTCATGCACATCCTTTGTATAAAATGGCAACAACATTTTCATAAAACAAGGGCGCAGCTCACAAAAATACCTGTGACAAAAATCCCGTCTAACCATAAAAGTTGGAGCCCCCATAAAAGTACTTCCCTTGTGAGGAAAATAAATCGGCGTGCTTTGGGCACTAGACTGACGAACAGAAGCTCGACGCAGTCGGGATACAAAAAAAAACCGGCAGCTCAATTACGCAAAATTTCACGACTATTTTCCGAGTGGCGCCCGGGCTGATTCGGTTAACTTCTAGGGGGAATAACTGCCCCAGGAACTTTTGTCCAGTATTGCAGCTAATACTCACCAACTTGATCCGCAAATGCCTCGTCGGCGATTTTGTTGGGATTCACACAGAAGTCCGGTCTTTGTGGATCACATTGTTGACTATAGAGCTTTGTAATACAGTCCCACCGAGCACGATGCTCCTTGTCCGGGTCCTCATGACTTTGTAGCAAATTATCTCCTAAAAAACGGGAAATTAAGAAAATTTTATTTGCATTTAGTACCAGCCCTAACCTGGTTGCCTTCAAAAATTAAAATTTAAAGCGAACGTAGTACACGATTTTTAAAGGAATTAAATCTAACAGACGAGGGTAAATTTCATCACTTGCCGAAAGTATGGGCTAATTCATGGGCCATCACAAACCCTGTTCCAGAGAAATCGAGAGACGCGGGAAAGTCGATATCGTAGTATGGATATTCAACAGTGCGAAAGTGAAAGTAATTGTGCTGGTTCTCTCGAGAGTGGGAAGCACCAAACTGAAGATAAAATATCAACATTTTATTCCCGAAAAAATAGAAAAAATTACTATTTTTCTTATACTATATCTTAGTTAGAAGAAACGGTTTTGAACTAATGTTGCTCAAAAAAGATTGCAAAACTAAGCGATTGTATTTTTGCAGACTTGAACAAGGTCTCAGAAGAAGTACGAAGCCCGAGAGCTAGCTAAAAAAGAATGCCAATTCAAGGCTCGGACGTACCCTAAAAAAGTATTCTGTTGGAATATTATGTCAGAAAACGCATTACCTAAATGTTTACTTCAAATTACGAATAGACTTACCTTGTACTCTGGGATGACAAAATTTTTCAGCTTTTTCTCCGAGTTGAACTTGAAAACCTTGGCTATTCCATTCACAAATCTCCTCATATACGGTGCATCCCAATACAACAGTTCCACTGAAGCTAGCTCATCTCCCAAAAGAATTGGATGATCCACAAATTTGAACTCATTCTTCGCCAATCTGTCCAGATAGTTCTGTCGGGTCTGATTCTGCTTGAAGTTTGCGTTTCGGAGCATGCCTTCAGCGGTTTTCTTAATCGCATTTCCTTCTTCGAAGAATTTTGCCTTCAGCTTCTCAAATCCCGCCTTGTCTTGTTTTACCTCAAATTCGTACGCCATTTTGGAAAATTGAAGGGGAAACGCCTCTTGAATGTAATCTTCACAGTTGTAAAACTTTTTCGGGCGGTGAATTTGATCGGTAAAATACTCCATTAGATGATTCAGAAAGTTGGCACGATGAGCAGACTGGCTGGGCTGAAAAAAGTCATCGTTTATAATTTTTCTTTTCTTCGCAAGCTGCAGGAAGAAACGGGAAGCCTAACGGAATCAAAAGAAGTTTGAATATCTGGAATTTTACGTGTAGTTTAAACGCTTGCAGTGTTTTGCTAGACAGACAGAAGGGAACTTGATAGGAACGAGTTACGACTAATTGAAAGTTGGCAAAAACTGCTCGGGCGCAGCTCAAAAAAGCCGTGGGGATCGTGCACCTTCATCAATGTTTTCTTGCCTTGCTTTAAGCTGTGCCCGAGCTGTGTCTTGTCCGGCAAAAAGCAGTTTTATTTTCAGACATAAGGTTGCCTTGGGCCAGAAGGCAAAACCCAAAAACTTACATCTATGACGTTCGGAAAATAAAAAGCAATATCCGGGAAAGTTTCGTCTAATCTTGTCCCCATAGTTTTGTTGAAGAAGCGGCCTTTTAAATGATCTGCCTGTACGTAACCTTGTGCCATGTAATTCCGGTCGTAGACCAGATTAGCACATCCTCCAGTGACATTGCAGTACTTCTGCCTGAAAGTTACCATATATATTCAATCAACCCCGATCCACAGTATTAATAAGTCGTTATTTTCCAGACATATTAATATGTTCATGTGATGCACAAATAACTTACCAAGCTTGTTCTTGGTTGACCTTGGGTGGAATATTCAGAAATAATTTCCCCGCAGAAGCATCGGAACCCCATTGGTTAAAAATCGGGGCTCCCGAATAAAACAGACAAACGTACATTTCCAAGACTAGCTCGATAAAAAAGTCGTCGTTATTGGCGATAACTTCGTTCTTCATTGGAAAGGTAAAATTGTTCAGTTTCCAACTGGTCACTTGCAGATTGTATTTTTCTGGACGGATCGGTTCTTCCATTATGGCGGTATTCGTCAAGCAATAGGAGAAGAACGCCTTAACTTCCTGGACGGTTAGGATCTGAAATTAAAAAAATGACCTTATAGACTAAAAAACAAGTAAATCAAGATCGAAAAGCGTTTGTCATACTCGATCTAAGTCCTACCTGATCTCCAACGTCTGATTGCGGTAGACTTTTCTTGAGGAAAAGATTAATCTTAACAATTTGATTTAGGTCAAAATTTCCGGCAGCATAGGTGAAGAAATCATTGCAAGGATCAGCAGTCGTGTCCATACTTCTTGTCATGTGGTCCAGCTTCGAAGTCATCACGTCAGAATAATGAAGGGCCTGGACGGAAAAATTTTGCAGGAGAACTGCCCATAGAAAGAGCCGGCCGGTCATCTCGGATGACCATCGAATGGGCGGTTGACAAAGAAAAAAAAATTGGAGGCTCGAAATTTGCATATTCAAACTTTTTTACTAATTTTTATTTTTAGCCTTTTATTTATTTTTTTGAGATTCCCCATTACCGGTCATTGGATTCTACATATTTTCTACATATTTATTTCTTTATTCCTTCCTTTCATAATGGCCTCGAAGTGGTATCAAAATAATATTTATGCACAATAAAATCAAATGTTTCTTCAAATGTCGTCAATTGCTCTCATTTTGCCTGTATTTTAGCATGTAATAGCGTCGTACCGTCCAACGTAGAAATGTCTGACATTTTTTGACAAAGGTGTCGGTTATGTAGCCTGTGAGGAGGACAAATATTCCACCCCAAAGAGCAATTCCGACAGTAAAGTAGATCATTATCACAAAAAGTTCAGTATGGGTTTTGGGAAGGGTTCGAACGTCTCCGAATGCAGCAGCCATCATTGTCATCACTCTGAAAATTAGTTTATCTGTCTTTGAGGAGTGGCTTATGTGGTATGTGGCTTCATTTAAAAGACACTTCGCGAGTTGCTGAAGCAGGCTCAAATGGGGGTCTGCCCTAGAATTTGACCCCCACTTTTTTCTGTCTCAGCTGATGACATACAGGCTGTTAAACAACTTCGTGAATTTTTTTCGAAAAATTCGTCATCATGACCGAGATATGACATATTTATTGAATTTCGTTTAATGTGATATATTGTGCTAATTTATCGCCGAAACATTGCAGAACTGAGTACACACACGTTATAGGCCATGCTGAACAACTTTGTAATTGACCCCAAGTTTGTCAGGTTACTGTAACATACCGTAACGCCCATGCTTGATCAATAAATCTCGATTTTCTCGATTTTTTTCAATAATTTTCTCGGAATTTTTTTGCATTTTTGGAATCAGCATCAAATTCTGCATCGGATAGACTATATGCGCATCTCCAGATAGGTGTACAAAAATGTCGTGGCGCAACCGGTAGTGGGTCGGACTACCATTCAAAAGGTCCCGGGTTCGAGTCCGGGTGGAAGCAAAAATGCTCAAACGCGCTGGAAATTGTACCAAAACAGTTTTAACCTATTGGAACTGTATTTAAAATAAATAATAATTAACATTGTTGCCTAAAAAGGCTAAATTTTGGATTTTACGAAATTTTTGAAAATCATGATTTTTGTGGGCCTGGAAAATTTTTTGTAAGCGATTTTTTTGTTTAGAAACAACGCATGGCACATAGAAAGACTATTCCTCAAAGGATTTCGTTCAGTTTTGCCCAAAACACCAAAAAGTTGAACTTTTTCGTTTTAATCGGAGAGCACCGCCAGAACCCAGTAAGCCGAAGTGACGTCATTCAAACGTGGATACACATGTTCTCCACTATGGGGAGTCAATTTTTTAGCAAATTTTACAAGACTGAATACTGTAACATCATGAAATATGTGAATATCTACAAATTTTCAAATGTAAAATTTTTTGTGGAAAATTTTCGCGGCTATTAGAAAGATATTTGAAAGCAGCGCAAAATACTGCTCTATAAAATTGGAAACGATTCCGCGTAAGGACTCCTGAAAGTCATTATTTCAATGTTTTGTCAAATGCCAAAATACGAAAATTTTTTGGTGTTTTGGGCAAAATTGAACGAAATCATTTGAGGACTACTCTTTCTATGTGCCATGCGTTGTTTCTACACAAAAAAAATCGCTTACAAAAAGTTTTCATTTCTTCGGCAGATTTGGGCCCACAAAAATCATGATTTTCAAAAATTTCGTAAAATCCAAAATTTAGCCTTTTTAGGCAACAATGTTAATTATTATTTATTTTAAATACAGTTCCAATAGGTTAAAACTGTTTTGGTACAATTTCCAGCGCGTTTGAGCATTTTTGCTTCCACCCGGACTCGAACCCGGGACCTTTTGAATGGTAGTCCGACCCACTACCGGTTGCGCCACGACATTTTTGTACACCTATCTGGAGATGCGCATATAGTCTATCCGATGCAGAATTTGATGCTGATTCCAAAAATGCAAAAAAATTCCGAGAAAATTATTGAAAAAAATCGAGAAAATCAAGATTTATTGATCAAGCATGGGCGTTACGGTATGTTACAGTAACCTGACAAACTTGGGGTCAATTACAAAGTTGTTCAGCATGGCCTATAACGTATGTGTACTCAGTTCTGCGATGTTTCGGCGATAAATTAGCACAATATATCACATTAAACGAAATTCAATAAATGTGTCATATCTCGGTCATGATGACGAATTTTTCGAAAAAATTCACCAAGTTGTTTAACAGCCTATATGTCATCAGTTGAGACAGAAAAAAGTGGGGGTCAAATTCTAGGGCAGACCCTCCTTCCACAACTGGCGAAGTCTCTTTTAATCGTAAGGAGTTTATGAAGCACCTTTGATGATTTCAATAATGTACTTTCTAAGTTTTGTTCATACTCCGAAAAGATGACAAAAGATCGTTCAAATCACCGCTAGAGGGAGCCCAGAGATTTATGTGATCCAGCTTTCTTGAATGTCCTCCCCACTGCTGCTGAAGCACCGGCCGATTATCCAGTCAGAGATAAATGTGAGGTTACCCAGAAACTCCTGCTGAAGAATTCAAAGTTCCCATCGCCCTTTAAGCACTTACCCTAGAAAATGGGCTTATAGATCCAAATCCTGAAGTGATATATACAAGTGCGTAAACTCCTTTTTATGAACATTATGCAATCCGTATAACTCCCCACTGACCTGAACTAACAGACTTCGAGGGCACAGTGGGAGATGTTGGAGATTAACGGGAGTCAAAAGACCGTTTTGTAGACAGATTATTCTCGCCGATCTGGGGCGTTTATGTTGATATTTTGGTCATAACTGAAGGTTGGGGTGATCTGGGGATCAAGAGTGGGATTTGGTAGATTTGATAGTATAATTTTGTTGTGGCTATAACTATTTCATCATCTTTGACTGACCTTGTTGAGAAACTTTGCTATTGAAATACTTTTATTTTGCAGTAAACAATTTGCAAACTTTAAATTTTTGCATTGTCCCTTTAAAATTATTTGTTTTCTCCAGGCGCAGACAGGATCCACAAAAAAAAATTAAATTGCGCGTTTACGCTTTTATCGCTCAAAAAAACAGCTTGTTCTCCGTTGAACTTCAACATTATAAGTTGCCACAGACAGCGCCTTCAACCCAAAGATTGGCTATTTAACATAGATTCGAAAAGAGCGAAAGTTTCAACGACTTTTAAAGGGCGCCTAATTGCAATGTACTGTCGGGATTAGAAGGTTCAATGATCTTTAAAAGATCGATCTCAAAATTGTTTCGATTCGAATGATCTTTGAGGTCGGATAGAATTTCAAATTTTTCACTGTGGCGGTAGAATAAAAACCCAAAATTATAATAAAATATTTTTCTTATGTCACAATTTTTTCTTTTTTGTAACCTTTATGACAATTATGGTCATCTTAAATTTACTTCCAGACCAACTTCTTCCATGTCAAAGGCAGTATTTCGCTAGACATGAGATCGACCAGTCTGTTCTTTTTCTCAATCATAATTTACCCCGTAATTTTGGCAAAGACGGACGGTAAGTTATGTAGAAACATCTTTGAATTTGGAACTTTATCTTAGAAGAACATCTAAAAAAGTACGATAAAGTCCGAATAACGGAAAAGAATTACGAGAAAATCAAGACCATCCACGTTAATTGGTACATTACGTCGATCAAGGCGATTATGGGACAGTTGGGAAAACAATTGTACAAGGAACTCGATCGAGGTCAGGTCTCTTTCATTACTCCTTTTGTACAGCAATTATAATATCATCAAAATTTGATCTTCAGATGCCCAACAAAATTTAGCTCGATGTTTGAACAGAATCGACGATCGAAAAGATTTGGAACAAAGTGCAAAATGTTTAATTCGAGCAAAAAAACAGCTACTATCAACGAAACTACAAGGGGTAAACAGTAAAGAACCCGATCTCAAGACTTCATTTATAACGAGTAATATTAAAATGCCCTATTTTGGATCTCCCGAAGCAATAACTGCCCCTAATTTGAGGGAAAATGATGATAGGGTAACATCTTTTTTGTCATCGTTCTTCTTTTTATTTGTGTTAACACTTTTCTTCAGCCAGTGGCAAAAATTTCGAGGTTCGATTTACTCCGCCGACAAAAGTTGTTTCGACCAGTAAGATCAAGGTTTATGTTGCGGAAGATCAAGGTCAGTAGATCCAAAAGGAGCTCGAGATTTATCAAATTACAAGAGCCAGCAATACCACAAAACGATCTGCAGGTAAAGTATAAACTTGCAGAGTAAGATAAATCATCATTTGTAGATTCAGAGAGTCCCAAAATCAAAAGGTCTCAAAGAAATGAAAGATCGAAGTCCGGTCACCCGAATCGCCAATTTGATCTCATCATTTGCCTCTGGCAATTCGACAGAAGATGCGGAAGAAAAGAATCGGCTGATTGAATGGAAACAAACTTATGATCGTTTACTGGGGTTGAAAAAGAAGTTCGAAGATCAGGAGAGGAAACCGGGTGCAAGTGTCTACAATATGAGGATGTATGACCTCGTTTTAGACAAGAAAACTCCAAGTGTTTCGCCTAAAGAAAGCGTAAGAACTCAAAAATGGAAATTAGGTTTCAAATGTCATCTTCCGGGATTCTGGCTACGTTTTTGGTTGTTTAAGAACTCTTTGAGGAGAGAAATCAGAAGGAGAGAACAACCCGCTCTAGATTAAGCCTTATAAACTTGCTTCCAGCTTTCGTTACACCCCCTACAACTTGGTCTGCCTCCCTATACTAATAGTATTAATTCCCGCCAATCTCTCTGCGTGTGGCCATATAAGTCCTTTCCCCTTTCAGAGATTACACCTGGCCAAATTAATGTTATTCAGAGACCCCGAGGAGGCCGGTGTTAGGACTGCATGTGTGGCTTTACATCGCAGTAATTTGCGGGAGGTCTATAAATGAAGGATATTATTCATAAAGAGATTATTAGAAACGGGGAGAGCACAGGAAACGACGGAGATTAAAAAAAATTTAGAGTAGGTGTAAATTGAGAAATTAATAGAACAAAAATTTCAATTTTGAATAAGTGGTAGCAACTAAATGTATATTTAGATACTGTAATTGGTTAACATGAGAGTTTTTATTCACATGTAAAAAAATGTCTGTGGGTGGCCGCAAAATTCATGATAAATGTAAAAATAATTCAACTAATAGAGAGAGGGCGTTACACTGACACAAATTAGAGAGCATTGGAATTAAAGAGCCAGCAGAGAGACAGACGCTAAACCCGGTACAGGCATACTCGATTATCCTTTGTAATTTCTCTAATCCTCGTCAAATCTGTATGAGCAATCGATGACTCTGACTGCTGTAATGTTACACACCAAAAACAGACTGGGTGGCATCGGAAATTAGGGGGAAAGGGAAGAAGATTAGTGAGGGAAAGAGAAAGTTGGTTGTGGGGATGTAATGAGGAAGGAATACATAAATTTTAAAGGTATTCCATGATCGTCTAATTTAAGAATGATCCTAAAAGTTTTAGAAATGCATACAAGCTTACGAGAATTTATTACAGCGAACCCCTCAAGGTCTCCTTCAAATGGCCATGAGTTTATTCAATCAAATAGGCGGAGAAGACAAGAAAAGTGTCCGGGAATCCATGAATCTGAATGTCCTCAGCCCAAGATTTGCTCCAGTAATGCCGGACAAAGCTGGTGCCACTAATATGGGAATGTCTCCATCATTCTTGTCGTTCTATGAAGATGACGGAAACAAAAATAATATTGCTTCAATCCCAAAATTATTAAGAATGGCTGGAATGGAGAAAACCGATCGTGATGTGATGCTAGGAGCGTTGATGAAGGCTTCTGGCGTTAATAATATCGTTGATGAGGCGATGGGGTTTTTGGAAAACATCAATTTTTTAAGTGAGCAGAATTTGAAAGTAAAGTGAATGTCTGTCTTTAGGTATGAAGGACGAAGTAGTAGATGCTACAGAAAAAATCGCTGAGATTTATGAGGAATTAGAGAGCTCGTTTAATGAAAAACAAAATAAACATCTGGAAGACCACGGATTCACGTTTTTGGAAGATAACCAGCTGGATCAACTGTATTCAAGAGATGGTGAGACAACCATTTTTTAATTTTTTAAAAATTATCTCGTATTTTTAGAGCTTGACTTTCCAAAAGAAGCAGTTAATTTTTCCAACTACAAGAACACCTCTACTGCCCAAAAAATGGAAGCCTTGTGGTTGACAATCGAGAAGATTGCCTTCAACAACATCACTGACCCTCCATCTCCGGATGCCCACTTTAGATTCAACCGTCATAAACGAAGCTTAGAAGTCCCTTCAGTCCTTGCTCCTGTTGTTCTGGCCCCATATATGTTCGCTCCGGCCCTTGGTCTTACTGTATTAGGCCCAGTAGTTCTTTCTCCATCGGTCTTCTCCCCATTGATCTTAAATGCCGCCGTCCTGAGTCCGTATGTCCTCTCTCCCGGCGTGGGTATGCCATTCATCTTATCTCCTTATCTCTTATCTCCGTATGTTCTCAGTCCTCTCGTGATGGCTCCATTTATCCTAACTCCGTATGTTTTGTCTCCCAATGTTCTGAACCCTTATGTTTTGAGTCCTCTGATCTTGAGTCCTCTCGTCTTATGTCCGGATGTCCTATCGCCTCAGGTCCTTGGTGGGGGAGTTTTGTCGCCGAGTGTGGCGTCGCCGGCCGTTCTGACGGAGAGTGCATTGATGGCGTCCGTTTTGTCACCGTCTTTTCTGTCGTAAAAAACAGTTGTGTTTCATATGATAAGACTTAGTTCTTGATCTTTCAGCATTTTCATCTACATTAATTTACATGTAATTTTCCATTTACGTAATAATGCTAATAATATTATATTAACCTACGAAAATAAAACAAAACAAGAAACAAAATAGCCATCAATGCTCCAGGTCATGTAGTATAAAGTTGTCAAGTAAAGTGTAAAGTAACCCTTGCAGACAACCGCGTTGTGTGGTAATAAAAAATTGACGGAGAATGAAAATAAAAGTGCAGAGTTTTCTTGGGATAAGCAGAAAAACGTCGATGGAAAGCGCTGTTGTAATAGTAAAACCTTCAAATCCATCAAACAGATTTTTTTTGTATTTTATCGCCATTTAAAGGCATAACACAAAGAATTCCAAGATCTTTCAAGCTTGATGAAAGTGGGGAGAAGCTTTGACTGCATGTATAAAAGGGTACTACTTTACTGTCGTAAAGATTTTGCGCAGTTTTCGGCTTTATAAATAAAATTTCAATCATGTTGGTCAGGGGAAATTGGCTAACCACCTTGACTTTTTTTGTATAATACAGTGTTTACGATGATAACTATACCTTGTGGTAACTGATCATTACACTTTTTGCCAACCCCACTTGAAATTGGTCTTGGTTTTATACGGTAGCAAATTAAGGATGTGAAAAAATTTCTTATTTTACAGGAGAAAATAGTAAGTCGCTGAGTCTACCAATCCCAGAAAAGCCAGTCAGGATAGGGAAAGGGCAAAAGTTGCCTTCATGAAATATTATTTTTGTGGCCGTTCGTTGTATGATAACATTTATTAAAAATCTAATTTTCTTTCAAATCGTCTCAGTTATATCAGTGAAAACTGCAGATAAGTCCAACGTGGTCAAAATCTGTGTGTTCATTGCTGCTGTCACCTTGCCATCCCAAAGTGGTATTTTTAGCAACATTTCTAATCATTTTCGAATAAGATCAGAGATTGCCCCATATTTTTTAATCAAGATCTCACCTTTTTATGCTCTAATTCGACGGATAAGTAACATTTTAGGCTTGTTAAACTTCTAGTAGCTAACCAAAAGTCTGACGATGGTTTGCCCTTCGGCTAGTCATTAAAGTTCATCAAACACAAGCAAGTAATTTGATCTTTCGACAAAATTAAAGCCAATGAAGAAATAACTCTGCCGCAGATGTCAAAATATGTAGTGTATGGTTTGTTCAAATCATAAGTTCTGCTAAAGAAACACTTCGTTGTAGAATCATCGGGGATTGATGGCGCTCTGATCGCTACAAACTCTGTGGCGTGTTTCCAACGATAAACGCTGACATCTGTTTACAATGCCCGCAGACAATCATGATACCCGATGATTAAAGGGGCGTTGAACTTTAAGGAAAGTGATTGACGCAAAGTTTGGATAAGGAACTACTTAAGAAATGTTAAAAGTAATTGCACTTCTCCAGTCCCAATTACTCCTTTACGAACTGCCATTAGTTTATGGCAAATGTTTTCTTTTCCCATCAACATTTTTCCGATCAAATGACTGTTAATTATACACCAATGACTTTAGTCCTTTTTTGACGATTGATTACAGTAATATTGCCTGTTTTTGTTTGTTTCCTTTTACCATAAATCAAAGCCGTTATTTGAAGGAATAAATTCTGTACAATCTTCGCAATCGAATCGGTTTTTTCCTGACATTCCCGGTCTCCATTCTTATTGTTAGCTTCTTGAAATTTACTTTAAATCTCGCTTTGGAAACTCGTGTCACAGTGTTTAAATGTTCGAAAACTTTGCAGATCTACATTGGATTAGCAATTAAATTTAGCGTCTTATTGATAGCTTTTCAGTTAAGATGACGATCTTCAAGTCCCATCTTCCCTCAGTTCAGATTGACGAACGACCAATGGCCACGCAGATTTTGGACGCCATTTGGAGGCATTCGGTGGAGAACCCGTCAAAGAAAGCAATGGTGAAATTAAAGCATTAAACTGTAACATTTGTTTAGATAAATGCCAAAGATGCAAGCGACTTTGTGACCTACCGTCAGTTATATCTTCATATCCATTCTTATGCCGCATTTTTGAACGATATTAAATTTGGCCAAGAAGATGTGGCCTGTGTTGCAACTAAAAACCGCTGGGAATATCCGGTGGTTCTTACTGGAACCTTGGCTGTTGGAGGGATTGTCAGTGCGGCCAGTTATGCCTTCACTGATTGTAAGAGTTTTTTATATGGGGTTTGATCTTTGCCGTTGACACTTATTATGGAACTTTACATATTTCAGGGGAGCTGGCCAGACAATTTAATGATTGTGGAGCGACGCTTGTTGTCTGTGAAGATGCCGTTCTGGACAAGGTCCGATTGGCTGTAAAAGATGCCCCTAAAGTAAAGGTGAGCTTCTGCCATTCAAATATAACTTGCAGACTTGACATTGATTGGTTTTAATTTGGTTTTCATCGTATTTCAGAATATAATTGTAATTGGAGAACCCGCCTCAACTGGTGGCCCCGGTCCAAAAATCTACAATCTTACGGAGATCCTGAAGAAGGAACCCTCTTATCGTCTGCCTAAAATTAAATGGAGAGTGAAGAAAGATCTGGCTTTAATTCCATATTCGAGTGGGACTACTGGAGCCCCGAAAGGAGTGATGCTCAGCCATTACAATCTGTCTGCTATGAGGGCTACCTTCCATTCGTATGTTTTTTTACATTTCATCATTGCTCGAAATATCCAAATATCGCGATAGCGAACCTTGAAAAGTTTTTATAAAAACTACATTAATTTTGGACTGAATTGTCATCACTGTTGCGATAAAATTGTCGTCATTGCATCGAAAAATTCTTTCTAATCAAACCCGACAATTATCGCGATTTTCCCCAAATCGTCCAGCCCTGCATGCACGATGGGTCTACTACAAATTCTATTTTCAGATACCTGGAAAAGCAAGTTTTTCCGGCAATTTCCCCCAACTATGATCCCAAGAATGAAGCCTTGGTGTTTTTCTTGCCTTTCTATCATGCTTATGGCAATACCCTGATGATTGATGCCATCTGTACTGGAGGAACATCGCTTGTAATGAGTACATTTGACCCCGAAGTTTTTTGTTCGACCATTGAAAAGTACAGAATCAAGAGTGTGAACGTCGTTCCGCCAATTGTAGTTTTCTTGGCCAAGTCTCCAATCGTCGATAAATGCGACCTAAGTTCCTTGATTTATATTGGCTCTGGCGCTGCCCCCTTAGGGCAGGATTTGAGTGACGACGTTATGAGGAGATTGCCTAATCTGAAGGGCCTTTATCAAGGTGAATAGTAACTTTAACAACGGTAAACTTGAACTTCAACTACTTCAGGTTATGGTATGACTGAGATTACGATGGCATCTCATTTAATGGACCCCATTAAGGCTGTCGGAGAGAAAATAAGCTCAGTTGGGGATCTTCTTCCAAACGCCGAAGCCATCGTTGTGGATCCAGAAACAGGGAAACGTCTTGGACACAATCAAAAAGGAGAAATCTGCGTTCGATCCCCAGCAGTAATGCAAGGATATCTGCATAAGATGCATGACACAGCCAGCACAATTGACAAGGACGGATGGTTACACACTGGCGATATTGGATATGTGGATAATGATGGGTTATTCTTCATTGTGGACAGACTGAAGGAGTTGATCAAAGTCAGGGGATTCCAGGTGCCCCCAGCCGAATTGGAGGATCTCCTCTTATCGCATCCACTGATTGCCGATGCCGCTGTTGTTGGGGTAAAAGATCAAAGGTCTGGGGAGCTGCCTAAGGCGTTCGTTGTAAGGAAAAATCACAGTTTAACGGATGAAGAGGTCAAAAAGTTCGTGGCAGGTGAGAACCCTAACTTCTTGTTTAAACTGTATCAGACCATTTTCTTGACATGAAAATTTTTTATAGATAAAACCGCCCATTACAAACATCTCAAAGGAGGCGTTGAATTCATCGACGTGATCCCTCGAAGTCCCTCAGGCAAGATTTTGCGGAAGGAATTGAGAACCCGGGAAGCTCCAAAACCGAAATTGTAAATTTTCTCGGACACATTGATCTTAGATGTAAGATGTTATGACTTAAGATTCAGTAAACGGAATCACATAAATATGAATAAACATATCTTTTCATAAATATAACGGCAGATTAAGGGAATTTCCTTAATTTTGCGATTGTCATACTTTATATGGGATGTTTCTGTCCCACCCTAGATGTGTCGCAGAAGTCTCAACTTGGGCAAAGTTCCATAAAAGGATCTGTTCGTTTTACCCCCAGCATCTTCTCAGTCAACCTTACGCAACAAAACGTGTGCTTCATGATTGATTGTGCAATGATCTTGTTTTTGTAATCACCACAACACACAGTGTGTAGTCTGATATAGCGAATCCCTGCCTTTTTAGCGTTATAACTGCTCCCTTTGTTGTTATCAAGACGATAAAGACAACTAATTTCTCTGTAGCCACTGACTATTCCAAAACAACCAAGGGTATTTTTACTGGACTTGAAATGATCTTGAAACGCAGTATAACAGAAACCAAAATTAGTTTGAGTTTTGTAGTTGATTGTACGCATTTTTTCGGTTAAAAATATATATAGCAAAACAAATGTTTTAATGAAAAACACCAAAAAAATGATAGGGTCCAGAGCATATGACTTCTGCATGGGTATTGCCGGGTTCTCCTTAACAATGCTATGATAAATGTATTTACCTTTTCCTCGTTGTAATGCGTTTAAATCTCCGTTTAAGGGTGTTTACATTGATGAGATAATTTCTTTTTATTCGCGCTAATCAGTTTTATCTCATTTTGAAAATACGTTTGGAATGAGCGATCTTTGACACCCTTGCATATTTCCTTCCATTCAGTCACATTGGTGTGGGTGTAGTGTAACAACACCCACTGCTGCTCTCGCCGCAGAAGGAGATTGTTTCATTCTTTGTTTTTTCGAGTATTCTCACAAGTTTAGGCAGTCATGACCATCTACAAATCCGATCAGCCATCCGTTGAGATCGATGAAAACCCCATGGGTACTCAGATCCTAGAATCCATCTGGAAACATTCGCTTCACGACCCTAACAAAAAAGCTTTTGTAAGTCATTGTTTTTGTTCAATTCTCTCTGCAGATTTGTACACGTAAATAAGAAGACCAGAGGCATTTTGCCTGCATAAACAGTAGATTTTTCTAAGGATTAATACGGTTACTGCAGCTTATAATAATTCTTGCAGGTAAACGCCAAGGATGAGAATGACTTTGTGACTTACCGTGAATTATATCTCAAGATCCATTCCTTTGTCGCATTTTTAGCGGAGATCGGAGTAAAACAGGGTGATATTGTAGCACCTGTTATGAGAAATCGATGGGAATATTCGATTATTTTGTTTGGATCATGGGTGGCCGGCGCTACTGTCAGTCCCGCCAGTTTTGCATTCACTGATTGTAAGTTGACTGCAAAATGTTTTAGAAAACGGACAAAACCCAATTTTTTTTAATAAATAATTTTCTAGGGGAATTGGCAAGGCAACTGAATGATTGCAAAGCCAGTCTTCTGATATGTGATGAGACCTCACTTGAAACGGTTTTGCCAGCTATCAAGAACTCGCCAAGTGTAAAGGTAATTCTGGTTTGTAACCAAATTCCTTTGTTCTGCTCAGATTTACAACGTTTTTTTAGAAACTCATCATCTTGGGCGATCATTCCGGACATTCAGTGCCCGGAATTAAAGTTTATAGTTTCACAGATGCCCTTAGGACAGCTCCTTTAAATTCGCTTCCCAAAATAAGATGGAATACCAAGAATGATGTTTGTATAATTCCATATTCGAGTGGGACTACAGGGCCTCCAAAGGGAGTGATGATTACTCATTGCAATATGTCTGCGATGATGGCAATGTTCAGAGCGTAAGTCGCTTACTTAGGGCGTGATTGAGGCCCGAATATATTAAAAAGTACAACAATGCTTTCAGCTGTCTTTTCACTTCCGTTTTCAAGGCCATCGAGCCTGATTATGACCCCAGGAATGAATCGGTTCTGATCTTTCTCCCCTTCTACCACGTCTATGGAAGCTCCCTTGTCACGAACTCTATGTTTATTGGAGGCACTTCAGTCATCATGAGTTCATTTGAACCCGAAGTGTTCTGTTCGGTAATTGAGAGATACAGAATGAAAACTGTCAGCGTGGTCCCACCGATTCTTGTTTTTATGGCCAAGAGTCCAATCGTGGACAAATATGACTTAAGCTCGCTGAAATTCGTAGCTTCCGGAGCTGCGCCTTTGGGGCAAGATTTGAGTATTGAAGTAATGAAGAGACTTCCCAATGTAAAAGGGGTTCATCAAGGTCAGGAATGAGATTTTTTCATCATTTGTGTGACATAAAATGCTGCAAACCTTTTCGTTTTAGGCTATGGTATGACTGAGATGACTATGGCATCCCACAGAATGGCCCCATTGCTTGCGGTTGGCGACAAGATCAGTTCAATTGGCACACTCATGCCAAACGTTGAGTCTAAAATTGTTGATCCAAATACGGGAAAATCCCTGGGGCCATATCAAAATGGAGAGATTTGTGTTCGATCGCCCGGTGTAATGAAAGGATACCTCAATCGAAGAAAAGAAACTGCCGATACAATAGATTCAGAGGGATGGCTACACACAGGAGACATTGGTTATGTGGACAAAGACGGATTCTTCTTCATTGTGGACAGGCTAAAGGAATTGATCAAAGTCAGGGGATTCCAAGTGCCTCCAGCCGAATTGGAGGACCTCCTTCTTTCCCATCCGTTGATAGATGACGCTGCTGTTATTGGGGTGAAAGACCAGAGGTCTGGGGAATTGCCTAAGGCATTTATTGTCCGGAAATCATCGACGTTGACAGCCGAAGAGGTCAAGAAGTTTGTGGCAGGTAAAATATAAGAGACTTATTTTTACTGCATTCTTTTTATTGCAATAGTTATCCGATCTCTCCATTTTCAGAGAAGACAGCACCTTACAAACATCTAAAAGGAGGCGTCGAATTCATTGAACAAATTCCAAGAAGTTTGTCGGGTAAAATTTTGAGAAAAGAGCTTCGAGGAAGCGCTGGACTTGCTAAATTGTAGCCTCTACAATATGACCACTTGGCCTTGCCATAATGACCATCACTCTCCTTTGAACAAGAAAACTTCTTTTTTTGCAAAAGATTTATTATGTGTAACAGTGTAATAATAAATAGATTTTAATTATCAAGGCTTCTACAGGTCATTGGCTTTCATTTTGGATAGTACTCATTGCATTGGAGATGGTTCCGATTTGATTTACTTTAATTGGTGCTTCTGTTGTACTTCGAAATGTGCGTTGAAATGAGCTGAAATATAAAAAGTCAAATACATAGACTACAAAAGGGGAACACTAAAGGCCTTTGCGACCGTTAAACTCTATTTTGAGTACTGCAAATCTAATTTTCATTTAGAAAAGCTTATTTAAAGTGATGACTAAACCAAAAAAACTGCAAAATTTTTGTAGAAATTGTAATTTATGCTTTACGACAAAAAAAATCCAACATTTGCACCGTTGTATAATAACCCCCGTGTATCCTGTTATTAGAGTACTAAAAGATTTACAACTTATTCTTAAATTTTAGGGTAATCACAACTTACTTTCTGCTTATATATTTCTCCTTGTATATCATCTTGCAGAAGGAACTCTTCACAACATGACGATAAGGCCGAAACACTGAGATTGTGGCCACAGCATTGACAAGACCATGGATTGCCCAGAGAAATGCGAGTAATAATCCGATGGAAAACATCGGCCAATTCATGAAAATCATGTAGCAACAGATAACTAGCGGAATAACAAGAAGGAACACTGGATTTAAGGTCCTTGAGGCCAACATCACAGCCGAATTCCATCTGAATCTCATTCTTCTGGTGTGGTTTAGAGACATGATCTTATGGAGCTTGATTAAAGTGTAAATTGTCAGGCCAATGAAAACAAAAGTAGAAGGGAAAAAGATTATGAATATTAAGAAGGAATAGACGGGAGGAGAAACTTCTGGTACGTAGCCAAAAAAGACACCATTCACTTGAAAAACTACATCATGGAGCTCGGAATGGACAATTTTCTGGACCAACAAAGGCTCAGGAATATATAAAAAATTCAGCAAAAAGATTGTAATAGCCGTCATTGTGAGATGATAGCCAATACAAATGTAAACCACCGACTTTCTTGAGACATAACTGATAATTTTGGATTGTAAAACAAAGGTAATTAGGACTATGAAACAGATGATCATGGCGCAAAGACAATTCGTAGAGAATATCACTAGTAATTGGAAGTGAAACATGGCCGTTTGATAATCATAAATCAGCCAACTGGGCCCTAGAGAGATCCCAATTGGATAGGGAAATAACGGGATTGGCCGGAGGATCAAACAGTACCAGATCACAACCAAAGTAGACCAAATCGTCGTGTTAGAAACGGTGCATTTGTAATTGAACATATCCTTGGGAGTGTGGAATAGCGCCAGATACTGTAGAAATAAGTGAGCTGGGATATTGAAGACAGGAATAACCGATAAAGAAGTGATGAACAAGAAGGCATGATATTCATTGTAATCAAATTTATCAGAAGAATTGAATGGAAATACGTTGGCGATCATCTGAAAATAGGTTTGGTTTACATACATAAATGTAACGAGTACGTGGGGGGAGGAAACGGGAGAACAAAATACGGTACCAAAAGATCACAAGTGTTTCAAATTGTAGCTAAAATTACAACAGAAATGTATAGGTGTTGTCTAAATTATTTAAATATATAATATAACGGAAATTTCGTGAAATTCCAAATATAGAGATGAGAAGAGGCAAAGTGAGTTTGACCAAACTGTAATGATAAAACGCAACTCAAGCTACGGTGCTCATATACCCGTTCCAGGCGTTTATAAAAAGTACGTCGTTGAGACAAGTGTCCGCAAAGTATTCGGACTGGATACAGATACTTGACGGACGGGCCATAAGGATTCAGTACCAAGACCACTATGACATATGAAGGTGGTCACAGAAGTTCTCGACTTTTATTTTTGCTGTTGAGTCGAATTTCGATGCAAAAATGGGTTGACATTGATTTTGAAAAATCAGTGCACACTTTACTTTTCGTCCTGCAGCGATTTCCCAAAATCTGCACTGGTTATTTCCAAACTTCCGAGCTTTTTTGGAACTGATTTTCCAAAATCAATGTCAACCCATTTTGGAACTGAAACAGAAAAAATAAGAGTCGAGATCTTCAGTGACCACCTTTATATGTATCTATACAAGAGAATGGTCTGGTTATACACCTACACTTCCAGACAAAGGAAAACAAGTCTTTTTAATTAACCAAGGCAAAAAATAGAGACATCTTTCCTTGTACGTAAACCATCCTTCCTCTCTTATATAGACAAACAAGACATCTTTTGTGTCATTCTAGCGTTCCCAATAGTAGACTGACGACCTACTGTGTGTTTTCCCATGTCCCTATCACGATTTAGAGAATAGTTAAACAGCATAAACCCGTGAATCTATTCAAATTTCGTGCATAACCGGAAATTAATTTACTATCTCAATTAATTACTGGTTCGTTACGAAACCTGTAAAATGAATTATTAATAGAGTCGTCTGTTATAAAGTAGAAATTTTCTCGAATCCAACTACAATACCGTCATTTATCTAATAACAATCCCTTCAGTTGTAGTTCAACAGTAGAAGACAAGATGTTTTATTATCGCACTGCTGACATGGCCAATACATAAGAAGTTGTAAACAATGAAAATATATGTACTATGCAAACTTAGTTAGTGTATTCTCGTTGAATCGTCACGATTGGAGAGCCAAAATATTTTCAGTCTAACGTTCGGATTCAGCTAAAGGGCCATAAAACGCAATTCAATTCTCGTTATTAAGGATGAATAAGTTATTGACAGCAAAAGGATAACGCCAAGAAAGCAGAGGAAAATTTGGTTACGGTAACCACGGCGGTTGCGTAATAGAATTAAATGCAAGGGTAGACATCAATTTGAACTAAAACATTACATACAAGTTTTCGCAAAAACCTTGTAATAAGATTTTGCTGGGAATAGCTGCAAATCACTGCAGGGATAACAAAATTAATCTTGACTTCGTTTTGAGGCCAATAGAAAGTGGAAACTTAGAGCATACAGAAGATGTACTCGTTGCGTCACACCAAAATCAAAATAGAAGTACTATGCCTTCCGGAAAGTCGCCTGACTGATTTTTGGCGCTTACACCGTGCGAAAAAAGTCAGGGTGCGAGCGACAGCCCAAAAAAACCTACTGTACCGTGCAAAAAGCAAGAAATTGCACAGTGCAAAGAAAACTTTTGTTTTCTCACAGTGCCCGCCATTTGTAATGGAAGGCGACATTTGCACAAAAAATCTAATTACTTCCTCGTGAAGTTAGCAAAGATGACACCAAAAATATTTCTTACTTCTCTGCTTGTCCTCTTTTTTGCGTACTCTTTTGCTAACTATGATCTGCCCCGAGCTAAAATTTTCAAGAATTTTAATGTAGCCATGCATTGCGCGTGTGCAAAATTAAAAGAAAATACATAAAACCCCGCCCTTGGGACACCTCCAATTTTAGCATGACTAATTTATAAAAATTTTTTTTGCCAGCTTTTGTAAATGCACGTTGAATATGTCCTTTTGAAAGCACACCGCGACTAACTTTTTAAGTTACCTTGTTTTTAACACTACTTCCTAATACGCATGAGAGCATTGTTTTGCTGGCTCGCACCTTATGCAGCTGCTGATTTAATTTATAACCGCATAAGTTGTAGAAAGTGCAGATCTCGAACTACTCACTTACAGCATTCCCAGTTTAACAGGGTTAATTACTCACAAGCCGCTTCTAAATTTAGCGATAACTTTATTAACGTAAGTAATGACGTCAAATGCTAAATTATCTCCCCGATTTTTGTCCCAAGAACATCCCGACTAACTGCAGGAAATTCAATTGCAAAGACGTCCAAGTGAGTTGTAATTAGTAGCTTTGAAGTACCGTATATTCACAACTCTATAATTTTGTTGTCTTCACTTAACGATGACGTTAGCTTCGAAGACCGTTTTAACTATCTTTGCGCTCAATTTATAAGTTTATAGGATCAGTACAGTGTTTACTGAATCCTTGTAAATTCAAAGATTTGTTGAAGTTGGGCCAAATTCCGGCCATACTTTGGCAACGTAACCACAAAAAAACTTTTTTCGGCGCAAGGTCGTCTGATCTTCGGCTGAGCATTACGAATATGCCAGAAAACCTGCAACGCCTTAACTAAAATCTAAATAAATTCATATGCCCAAGGAAGAAAGTGTACAAACCTTCCACACGTTTTACATAAAGAGTCTAGTAATGCAATCAACAAAGCAATAAAGTGAGCAGCAAAGTCCACAATGACATAGAGAGGACTTTTATTTTAATGTAGAAAATAATGGAGCCTATTGGTCCATTATACCCCTTAAAATACACAATGCAAAGTCCACGAAATAAAATTAACGTGTATAATTATTAGAATAACGCAAGCATTTGAAATATGTCTGGAAAGTCCAAGACTATCCAACAGCGACCTCACAAGTTCCTCGAATATTAAGTACTGTAAACAACACATCAAATGGTTCTAAGGTTTTGAAAGGTCTGTAAAACCTGTGTGTTTTCACAGTTGGCTAAAAGTTGGAGAAAACTATCACTTGAAATGGAGAGATGGCTTTGTCAAATGGAAATTTGAACAATCAGAGGATCAACTATAATGTAGAGCTGAGGCCAGAAACAAAGGAAGCTTTTTTATTAACTTTTTTACAAAAACAACCCTATTACAATGCCAAATGTTGTTGGAATACACTGTACTTTCAATCAAAACACTTCAAGAAGCACTTGTTGAAGTTTTATAGTCGTCGTCTTCTTGAAGCTCAGAGTAACTGAAATAAGTCATCACACTTCTAATTTTAGTCATAAAAGCATTTTAGAAAACTAGGTTTACTCGCGAGGTTTCGAATGTTCCAAGAATTTTATTTCTTCCGTACATATATATTTTGAAAAACAAACAGCATTATTCTCCTTCACCAAAGTGCCCATAAGTACCTATGTATGTTTATTGCATTTTCAAATGAGTATTGCATTTAGCCCGCCTATATTGCGATCTAAGAGCTGAGAGAAACAACTTGGCAAGTCAACTTCTCATTGCTGTGAATACAGTAGCCATCACCGTGAACGGCCAAACGAGAGGTCTTTTCTTCGGTCTTGGGGGCGCAGGACACGAAGAAATTGGTCTCATACTTCTTGAACATACTGGATTGTATGGCGTAAGCGGAGCTGACAGCGTCATCACCCATATTCTGTAGAAAACATTAAAAGTGAAAAAAGAAAAGTAATGTCAAAACAATGAGTAAAACTTACGACTTTGATGGAGTCGAGCCATGGGTGTTGTGGACAGAGAGTCTCTTCGTTTTTGAGATGGGGAATAACGGCCTGAAAGATCAAGTCCTTAGAATGATAAAGCAGAATGAGGTACAGTAAGCTATGATACTGTGTCATAATTTAAACACTTACCTCTCTTTTCTTACGTCCTCCGCATCCACATGGAGGTGGAGGTGGACATGGTGGAGGAGGAGGAGGTGGGGGAGGTGGAGAACAACAGCATGGAGCTGGTGGAGGGGCTCCGAACAGTCCGGGGCACGCTTCGATCCCTATAGCAATGCTGGCAACAACAACAAACCCAAGGAATTTAGTGTTCATGATGGCTGAGTAACAAGTAGATGAGATGACTCAACTCTGAGTGTGTTGGCTTCTCCATTATAGCTTCAGGCTTATATAGTCGCTTCAAAGCATGTTGAAAATTGGTGTTGCGTGGAGGCTAAAGTTTTTTCCAAGTTCTTTCGTTTAATTGCTGAGCCCCGTTGGGCGGAGAATACTTGCTGCAACTTTTTCTGAGGGCCTGTCTCAAAACTTTGCTACCGCCCGCACAATAAATCCAGTTATGTCGCGGATTTCTGCAACAAATTCCCCTTCCTTCCTCATCCCGAGCTCCTCACGTATGCAAAGGGGCTGCAAATCAGATTAGCTGTTGAGGGGACGAGTCGTCATTTTCGTAGCAATTCCCTCAAATTTTTTTGCTGTCAACGGAACGGTCACTCCGAGAGATTCTGAAGGCGCTTTCTTCCAAGTCAATTAGAGTCCACTTAATTTTGTGCTGTAAACGAGGAAGAGGGACCTTTTGCAACCTCTATTTTCATTACGAAAAGACAAATCCCATTGTGTAATTTGATTGGTTGCCGAAAGGGATTCAAGGGGTTTCAGATTACGGTTGACTTAAAAAGCTTTAATCACAGGATATTTAATGGAACTAATCGGCTAAACATAGTACAAGATCACAAGAATTGCATTTGATATCGTCGAATATATAGAGTAATCTTGATCATGTGCTCAACGAGATAACCATGCATCTGACGCCCTTCCTCTCGCTGACACAGTAGCCGTCGCCATTGGCCAGAAACGGGGTCTTCTTCTCGTTCTTACCGCAACTCACATAGAATTTGTTACCGTATGTCTCGTATAATTGGCTCTGAATCTCCTTGGCTGATCTCTTGATGTCCGAAGAGATCTTCTGAAGGGTCGTATAGAATAAACATTCGTTTCCTCCACTTACCTTGTCGATGATTTCCTTCCAAAGATGCTGCGGGCAAGGGATCTGCTCGTTCTTTGAGTAGGGAATTACCGCCTGAAATTTGAGGTTATTCAGAGACCAAGGACATTCTAAGGTTCGTTTTAAGGTCATCTTTGAGTGAAAAGAACATTTGAGACACCGTTCCGACTCTGACGAGTGAAATGCTGAAATTTTTATTGCTACCGTAGCCGTTTCCCAGAAATCTCCATATTTTTGTTAGGGTTTGATGGTTCAACGAGTGGGTGCTTAAACTGCAAAATTTGAATTTGTTTCAAGTTTTTTTGATGGGTTCTGACTAGCCCATTTACCGTTTAAGTAGTTTTATATTTCGGTACGCGGGATTAACCTAGGTATTGCCCATTATTGAAGGAAAGAAATCTCATAAAAATCTGTGCCAGCGAAGCCTTTTATTTCATGATGCTTTAGGGCCTACTTGGAAAAAACCATAGATAAAAACTTGCTAACAAAGTTTAAAAATCTAAAATAGCTTGCGTCGGCAGTCAAAAAGCTGGACTTACAGCCCTCGGTTGTCTTGCTGTTATTACCCCATAGTTCAACACTGGCCTGAAACTAAAATGTTTCAACAGTGTCAACCCAATCTTTATCCCGTCTTATGCCGACCCCTTCCTTAGCTAAAAATTTTACCAATCACCCCAGAATAAAATCTGCCTCACAATTGCATTGTCATTACCTCTCTCTTTTTCCTGCCACATCCACATGGGGGCGGTGGTGGACATGGTGGAGGTGGTGGCGGGCACGGAGGTGGAGGTGGTGCACAACAAGTCGGTGGTGGAGCACAACAGGATGGTGCCGGAGCTGGTGGGAAAAGAAATGCGGCGGTTGGAAGAGCCAAAGAAATAAAGCAGAAAACTGTTATCCTTCCCGCAATCATAGCTGAATACCGTATGCCCGATCTCCAGATGTATTCTTCATCCTTCGAATGCGAAGATTTTTTATTTATACTGTCCTGGACTTGATCCTTGTATTGTTTTTGAGGATGTCTTGCTAATTCACTCCCAATTTACCAGTTTGTTGCGCATAATTTGTCTACTTTCTGGTAAACAAAGTTAAAAAGCAAGAGATAAAGTAATTTAACGGAGGGAAGCCAGGATTTCAGGCATCCAACTCACTCGGTAAACAAGATGTGTGGGATATATTTTGAATTCAAGGTCCGGCGATAGCATAAAATGCGTCACATGATCTTTGAGATTTATAAACTTCATTTGTTGTACACATATCCCTAATTCGTCTGTAAAAAAAAGACGGCAGTACTCTGTCTCCCCTGAGATGTATTCACCGTGGACGTTGAAGAGCAAATCATTGTACGAATCTCCCTAAAAAACTTGTTTGTCATAAATTTTGAAAGTGCGTTTTGGGTTCAGATAACGATCTCGTATCGGAAATTCCCTTGCCTGTTTAAGAAAATATAAAACGGGGCACTCATCGAGCATCTGGTTAACGCCAGGATGTTCGCAATCCCGGATTTGAGTCCGTTTGCAGATATAACCGAAATCATAATCTGCAGACCGTCGAGAAGACTGAGGAATATGGTCTGGAGGAAGATCTTCCCCTCGATCGTCTTCTTCATGTTCTTTGTGTTCGGCATCTAAAGATTGTGAGATTAGATTACCACCCGCATGATGGCTATGGAAGTGAAGATTTCGTTCAGAGTGAGTCCAGCTTTGTTTTTTTACGATCTTTAACATACGAAAACTGAGGAAAATATGTATAAATAATGGCATTTGATTTTGGGCAGATCAGAGTTTTGCCTTATCCAAACGTCCAAGGGCAATCCAAAGAGTTGTACTAGCCTAGATATTTCACAAATAAATAAACAATCGAATAATTGGATTGGTATATGATGTCGGTTAGCTGTTTAAACAATTAGCCCGACTCTCCCACTGGCAACCGTTCACGAGATGTAGGGGATAGCACAAGCCTCAGTTGACCAAATGTCTAGTCTGAGTCTTGACTCAGATTAGACATTTGGATGACAATAGAAAAACTTGATCTGCTCAAAATAAAAAGGCCAAAAATGGATTGGTCGTCCATTACAATATCTTTAAGGACCTTACAAGCCACCTGCCTTTTTCCAAAATGCAATCAGTACAGCGATTGCGGATCCCAGCCCAGCATATAAGGCAACCCATTGACATACATAGAAGATCCTTATGGGAGTATTCCATTTATTTTCGCCCAGCCATTCTAAATACACATAGTCGTAATAGACAGTACGTCCGTAGGAAAAGTAAACGGCTATTGTCGCCACTGAAATCACCCAGCAAAGGAAGAGAAATATCTGTAAATTATCAATCGTTTCAAGGAGACTTTTCAGTTACAAAAATGTGTCTTGCGGGTAACTCACATCATTGGTAATCGTTGAGGCCAAAGGTGTCTTCTTTCGCGTTCTGAATGTGTAATATAATCGCGTAACTTCCAACAAGGTATGTTGGTAGATCTGGGCTTTGTAAGTGACCTCGTTAATGAACGCGATGATCTTAAAGTTCTCTTTTTTATCTTACATGTTATGTATCGACCAAATTTAACTCTCAATTCGCTGGTCCACGACAACCGTAACCTAAGAGCTTCCAAAATAGACGCTTTCCTTATAAATTAACTACAATCTTTGACCGGTACTTTCCCTTTAAATATATGCAATCTCTTTGCCAATAAAAAAGATTTTATGTCCGTAAGTGTCAAATAACAAGCCCCGGGCTACTTGAAAGTCTACTATAATTCACTACTTACAAACTATAGACATCACTTACTTGAGTAGTCTCTTCGGCAAACACATGGCCGCAAAATAACCAGGCCCAGATGGGGATACAATACGATATACAATAGATGTTCTCTGCGATATTTGTCAAAGCTATCGTCCGCAAAATATCGCGCTTCCGAAGACTTTTGGAGCCGAGGAGAGTCTGCAAATGTATTGGAATAAATTGAACTGGTTTTTTAAAAACAGAATTGCACTCTATTCTTATGTCAAAAAAATGTAAACTTTCAAAACTTAAAAGGATAAGAGTTAAAATACAAATCATAAGTCTAGGGTTAGTAAAAACTGTAGTGCATGTATTGTACCCTACAGTTCTGTACATACAAACACCTCGTTTTGGCTTTCTGTCTGGTTTTGGGACAAGTAAATGATGCTACGCATAAGTAAGGACCAAAAAATGGGGATCGGTTTCCCAAATTTGCCTACAAAAATTGGGGCGGTAAATAAATATATGTACTTAGAGCATCAGAAAGGCGCTCGATAAGAAAGTTGATTTGATGGGTCATTTTAATCAAGAAATCATTCATTTCGGCTTAAAATAAACGTAAAAATCCAACCTCATAAATTGCGGTGGCATAATAGTTATTTTCAACTCACCCTAATCAACAGCGTTGAAGAGACAACTCCACAAATACCCAGGGCACAACTTGCCGCAAGCTTGAACGACTCCATCTTACGAAGTGTTAGAAGCTTCTCTTTCCTTTCCTGTCACAACCAAACCCAATTGTCCTTTAATTGAAGTCCTTCAAATATTGCTTATAAATTGTGCCATGAACTACTCTCTACTGATTACGTAAGTTACAAAATAATAGTTACGATCATCAAAATAATATAAGACATTATTATTATTTACTGAGAGTCAGTTGAAGATGGAAAAAAATAAACAAATAAACAAAACAATTTTGAAGCGTGGAAATACGGTAAAAATCGGACATTTACAAGCGTAGAACGAGTCCACAGAAACAAGTTATTGCATTAAACCTTCCCTAAACCTTCTGAATACCGCACTCCGCCCCTCGAAATGTAGTTTGTTCGTTGTTAACTGCAAATTTTACTATCTTCCCCCGATATAAACTTTCATAAATACAAAGTAATTCCGTTCACATACAATACAAATACTATAGTTGCTTGGAGGGCAATAATGAAGTTTTTTGTGGAATTGATAATTGAAATCCACATCACACACAAAGTTGCAACCATATTGCAAGCGTTAGAAAGAAAACTATACCATCCAGCTTATTCCTTTCCGTTGGCAATATACTAATGATGTTGGTAAAGAGCAAGATTCAAGTCTTATATTGTACCGCCCAATAACCTCAACGAACTTTCCCTCTCTCTCTCTCTCATTTTGTAGTCACACTTCTCGAAATATTCAAACATAAAATCCGACAAAAATTTTATCCCGTCAGCAAGGAATGCTCAAAGATCGTCATACAGCTTCTCATCCTCATGGAAAACCTCAAAAGCACGGAATTCAAGGTAATCCACGCCCTTCTTCGCCATCAAAAACACTCCCGATTTCTCTCGGGCATTCAGATCGCTTTTGAGTTTGGCCTTCCGAACGATCGTGGTCTTCATGGGCTTCTTTCTGAGTTGACCCGAGCCGTGTTTCCCCAAGATTGTAATGACTTGGGTACCTAGAAAAAGAAGGCGTAACAAGAATATTATATATTCCTGTTTTTCTCATTTAATCAAAACAATATGACGTCATGCATAAACAGGGAAGGGCATGATTTCATAATACTCATCTGCCTTTACAAACCACTCACATTTGTCTGTCCCGTTTGCCTTGCACATTCTGATGGTGACACTGGCCTTTTCTGTACTTAGAGGATCCGTTTTCTTTTCATAATAAACCTCAATATTGCAGGTATCTTGTGGCGGTACGGTTGAATTTCTAGTGACCGTTGCTTTACAGCCCGTTGCTTCAACCTAAATGATGTTGGATCTACTAAAACTTTGGAATACCTTGACCATGACGTCAAAGTCATTGAGATTTGTCCCGAATATGATTCGAGTTTCGCCCGGGATCATGGTCAGGTTCTTCTCGGGATCGAATTGGATCAACCTGGTGGGTTCGTCAAAGGTGGAGGCGTCGATCGAGCGTTTGGGAGCTAAATCAAACGATTCATGCGTACAAAGACTTGAAATTCCAGTTACGATTGGGGTCTCTCATCGTTTCATTGAGCTTGGAAAGCTTCTCTTCGTCCTTTATCTTGTCCTTATCTTTGCCTTTGTTTTTGTCCTTCGCGATCTGACTTTTCGCTTCGTCTTCCGCCGCTTTTACGGCGGCATCAGCGCCAGGGGTCCCATAATTACTCTCAGCCATCTTCTGCCTACAGTTTACCGGAAATCCACCAAACGCCTCTCTGCGAAAAAAAGAAACAATAAGAAAATGTCGATGACGTCATTTTAAAAATTTTAAAAAAATCACCATCACTTCCAATTTTCCGACAAATAATTTCAAAGTAAATTTGGAGACTAAATATAAGTTATGACGTAATTTATTGTAATCTCGGTATATTCTAATCCTTGTTAGTTTTCTTGTGGAGTTTCTGTATGATATCATTGAAAGATCCCTGATAAATCAACATGATTCCTCTGAAGATTCCCGCAAATAAAGTCTGAGCAATTGCTTGTAAAGGAGAACATTCCGGGGACGCCCCAGCGGCAAGAGTGCATAATAACCATCCTTCAAAGCCTAAATTTGGGCAATAAGTAAGGTTATTAAAAGGCCGAGAAAATAAATTGTATTAATCCTACCAACTGAAGCATTGAAAGCACCATTTTTAATAGTAGTCACACATTTATTGGCTACCTCTTGTGAAGAAAAGAGACCAGCGGACCCTGAGATTTGCTTGATCTGCTCGGGCATCTCTCGTTTCTCCACTTGGAATCCTTCGGTCTCAGTGTTTGGGGGATATAACACTGATACTCCTATCTGAAAAATTATAAATAATTAGGTAGACGGATAACCTATCTTTAATTAAAAAAAGGACATCGCCCAATTAAAAGACCAAACTCACATTGTAGGGTCGGCATTCTGCTGCTAAGACATCAGCAAGAGCTCTAACTGCGAACTTGGATGGTGAATATGCCCCATAACCCCAAATTGCACATTGTCCTGCAGCGGATGATACAAAATTGATATGGCCATGGCCCCTCTCCTTCATCGATGGAAGAACAGCTCGTGCTAAATGAGCCTGAAAAGAATATCTAATAAATGATTTTCGTGACTTACAGCTCCAATATAATTGATCTCCATCTGTTTCAATACACTTTCAGCTGGAAGACTGCCGAATTCCCCTTGAATTACAAATCCGGCATTGTTTACTAATACATCAACAAATCCCACTTCTGATTCAATTTGCCTTACAGTCTCTAAGATTTTCTCGAATCCTCCAGTGATATCCAATTCATAAATATTCACCTTCTGCACTTCTTTACAATAACTTTGAAGGTCTGATTGAGCTTTCTCAAGATCAGGTCGACTCCGCGCGCATATCGTGACATTACTAGCGCCTTGTTTGATAAATTCCACAGCGATCGACTTTCCAATTCCTTTTGATCCACCTAAATACATAAAAAAATTTTAAAAAAACAGCCCCTTACCAGTGATTAGAACATGTGATCCACTGATCTTAGTACTAATCCTCTTTGGCAGTGAATACAATACGACGGAGAGGAGTAACCCAAGAATTCCGATCATTATCAAGAACAATGCGCCACAAAATTCCAGCGGTGTCATCTTAGGGCAATCTGAACAGATTCAGCTGAAAGAAATTATATTGGACTCAACATGACAAAAAAAAACTGGCAGGGAAATAAATAAATTTATGCATAGAGATCAGTTCTGATCATTATGCAGACTGTAAACAATCCAAAAATTCTATGTGATTCAATCTCCAAAACAAAACTCTCTCCGAAAACACATTCTGGCCGAAATCATAAATCATAATGAAAGAAATTGGCTCTGTTATCAATAGACAATCAAAAACTAGTTACCAAGACAGATCCTTCTTTTTTGTAAAAATACATTTGTAGACTTTTGAGAGTATAAGAAAATCCGCACACTCCAGGCAGCCTGCGCCCAACTCGAGAATTCTTTTTGCCGAGAATTGGTCGAGTTCCATCTCTTTTGGCCAAGACGAGTGTTTTGTTTACTTTTTCTATATGTTTCGCTAATTATCACGTGTGTTTTTACAGCTTTTGACATTTTAGAGATTTGGAAAGTTTTGGTAGCTTGGTTATAATACTTCTCGCTGAATTAGCAGATTTTAGGTATAAGACAAGTTTATCGACCCAATAGTAGAACGTTCATCATCTTAATATACATAATTCGTTGCGACTATATATGTTACAATTACTTTCATGTTCCTTTAGGGAGAATGAACCGAAAACTTCCAGTTCAATTGATCCTCCGACGATTTCAACATGGGACGAATCAGCCCAGTGGCACTACGGGTATTGAGCACGCATTGAAATTTAAGCAGATCGGCCAGAGTCATAAACAAGATCCAAAATTGTACAAATGTGAGGAATATCTGAACTTCAATAAGTATTCCTTCTATGATACCGAGGTGTGTTTTTGTTGTTTCCACTCTCTACTGTGCGGAGATAATTGAACTAATCTGTCCTCTTTTCAGAATGCCATTAACCCAGCCCGAGTTCCCCAGCCCAGTAACAAGAAGCCCGATGTGGAGCCCAAGGTCCGCTCTTGAATGTGATATATATGGCTATTGTTGCACCTTTTTTCTCCCTTTAGGCGTTCTATAAATAAAAATTTCGAGAGGAAGCGAGTGACTTGTGGCATGGTCGGAGCCATTCTTAATACCATTTACTTCGCATGTGTGTAATATAATTCGTGCGTGCTTTTCTTGTCGTTGCCATGGCATTTTTGCTTCAAGCTTCAATGGTAATGATTACAGAATCTTCGAGCTACATGGGTTTGGACACGAACTTAATAAATCAACTCAGATTTGAGCCGTTGAGTGATGAGCAGATAAATGCCATCTTGATCAATGAGTTTGGTCCATTTTTGACCAGTACTGGCTATCCACACCTTGATGCACAAGCTAAGACGGTAATTATTTATTGACTTTTTTATATTGTTTCTTTAGATTGGTCAGAGGTCGAGGAATAATAATGATACTATACAAAAATTGAAATTCCCCTTATTACCTAAAATAAAATAATGTTTTAGGCATATTCCGACTTCGCAACGGATAGATTCCGCCGTGCAAATCAAGAACTCAAATTGACCATTCTTAGATCGTTTCGAGTGCTTTTGAGGGAACTTGATAATATATCAAATTTGGTCACAACGACAGTCCCGTATTTTATAATCCAGGCGTCTGGTCTGAATGAAGAAGGAAAAGTTGTCGATGACTTCGAAGGTACGTACTTTCCTATTGTTTTTCTATCCTTAGACTACTTTTAAAGATTCAATTAAACCTTGTTTACGTAATGTTTGATGGAGAAAAGCAATATAACACTCCAGATTTTTAATTAAACGTGCGTTGAAGACAAATAATCCCGGTTAAAAGTATAATTAAAATTTAGACGTCACGAACTTGATGGTTAGGGATATTTTTAGAAAAAAACAACACTCACTAAATTTTTAAGTGTTGGTATAATAGTATTAAAAATTGATTTTATACATTAATTACTAGTAAATTTTGGGTAGTAGTAGTGTAAAATAGTAAGAGTAGTAATTTTAAAGTGATTATTAGAGGCATTTACTAAAAGTTATACTTTGCAGTTGTAATGGAGGGATGTAGATGCCTCGTAAATGGTCTAAAACAATCAGAAGATATCCGGAGAGTGTTCATATCTGATGATTGTCTCTTTGTCAGTCACTTGGCGGAACGAATAATCACAACGTCATTACAAATATTCAATCCGAAAGTGGAACAGCCAATCTTTGTTAATCACAATCTCCAGAAAATCATCGAATTGCTCTATTTGGACTTACGAATTGCGTTTGCAATTACAGCATTGTGTCAGGAAGCGAGGGTAAGATTTAATTGGTAGCTGGTGGTGTTTTATTCAGCAACTAATTGTGAATCCATACTTTATTTTAGAGCCGGATCACCCAACAAATCAATTTCTTTATTGGTGTGATCCACAAATTCGCAGCCCAAGTCTCCATTCCGAATTCTGACAATCCAATGAAGTTGGAATGCATCAACGAGACCCTCAAGATCCTCTTCAACGCCTTCTACAGCCAAACTCCGGTCGAATCTTCGACGGCCCGCCTTTGTGCCCAGGAATGCGCCCAACTTGTCAAATCCCCGTTTATTCCGGATAATGTGAAACATGACGCTGTAAACGTACTTTCCCACATTATTTCGCAGATCCATGTCCTCTGTCCTCCAGTCGATGAAGATCAAGTGACCAATGATATGGTTGTTTACGAAGGATATGATGTCACCTTCGTCAAATGCCTACTCGATTTATTGGAAAAAAAATTGGATGAGGTAGGAAAAATAATTCAGTTTTTAGTTTTATTGTTTTTAGTTGTCACAAGCTGACCTTGAACTGTTGATCATCTACTTTGGGATCTTGACTTTGCTCAGTAAGGATAACAAGGCGGTCCGAAGATATTGCCGACAAAGAATCCTCCCTCCTCTTCGCGCCAATGATGTTGAGAGACCACCAGAAGAAGGGAACGCGTTCAGGAATAAGATGATCAGAGTTATGACAAAGAGTGTGGGCAATGTCAAGAGATTGGTTGCAGACTTCTTGTTCATATTATGCAAGAGATCTGTGAATCGGATGATAAAATATTGTGGATTCGGTCATTCGGCAGGCCTTTTGGCTGATTACGGGTTCTTGGGAAGAGTCAGTGAAGGACGGAGGGCTTCCGATTCAGAAGATTCGGAGACTGAAGATTATAAACAAGTGGAAGGAAGGTAGGGAATTAATTTTTGACCTGCGATTTCATAGCAATTTTTTGAAGTATGGTTATTTTTGGCATAATTAGCACTCTCTATCTAAATCAATATAATTTTCAGCGTCAACCCGGTGACCGGATATGTTCAACAGGAACGCCGCAATCCCTTCGACTATATGACGGAAGAGCAGAAAGAATATGAAGCCATGAAACTGGCCAATACCATGGATAAGCTCCTCGATTCTGGGGTTTTCCTTCCCGGAAGAATCGGCCCCGATGGAAAGCCTCAGGCTGTGTCGCATGTCAACGAACTCGTCAAGGATGTTCACATTGAATCAGATCATTCGGACACTGACTAAAAGTATTATTATGATTTGTAAGTATTCAACTCTATTCCAAGTTTCTCATTTAATACCTTGCCCTACGGCCATTTATAATGTAATTGCTTCCTAACCATTTTTGTTAAGTAATATGGTTGTACCCACCCTCGCTGTATAATAACCATGGTAGATAACTAGAAACTTCCCAATGACTCTCACCTTCCCCCATATTCTAGTCTTAATTAAATTAAAATTATATTGTTTTAAATAATTTGTAAAATAAATAAGCTAGTATACAATATAAGCAGTATTATGTCATATCACACTGTGTTTAAGACGATTTGGCATTCCTTGGCGTCTTCCCTGAGTTTCAAGAATGAGAAAACATCATTTTTGTCGATTTCGGTTAACGATGCGGCGGCTACAGCTTCGACCAGATTATCGGGACGGACGATCATCAAGTTGGAAATGGCATGGAGACACTCAAATTGTCGCCTAACCTCGGGAATGTGCCATTCCGAGACGCATTTTCTGCAAGATACAATATACCTTCCTTAAATCGATGATAGAGTAATAACGGTACTTTTAGTCCATTTCAAACCAACTTACGTGTACTCATTGATATCACAGACCAACAACAAAGCGCCAGTTGGATTATAATTGAAAGATTTGATGTGGTTGAACACCTCCCGATATAATCCATTCCCAAATTCGGTGAGCACTGCCGTCAGATTCTTCCCATCAACTGATTCTCGGATACGATCGTACATCGATTGGACATATCTTACCACAAGAGCACAAGCCTTAGACATAGATGTTATCGGCCGATTCTCGTCTTCCGGTTTAAAGTCGGATCTCTTCTGTTCTGTGCTCAACAAGAATCTAACATACAAAACAAGGGCGTTGATTTGTCTTTCCAATCCGAGATTGATCCGTGATTCGACGTTGAGGAGGGTGCGGTCCCGTTCGGAGCAAATTCTCTCTTGTACCGAGGTATCTCTAAAAATAACCATCAAGTTTAATCCAATAATACTTTTTGGCAGTAAACAATATCCATTTGTAATTATTACCTCACTAACGGTGCGATTAGGTCTTCAAACTGTTTTACGAATAAGTGAGTAACTGCCGCTGTTTGTTGAACGACGGAAAAAAAATCTGTGGGAGGCTCGGTCTTTGGGCTAGCGGTTGAGATTCCAGCCAACGCCAATTCAATTGCATAATCGACATGTTCATTGTAGAGGTATTTGAGAAGCAAATCAAACAATGACTGGACCATCGGAATTGATTGGGCTTTCTTGCACATCTACAAATATATTGCAGTATACCTTCTACAGATAAAGAAGAGTATTAATTAATTCTTACAACTGATAATTCTCTACACTACTTACCAAATTACATCTAGTGAAGGCATTCTTAAGTTCTTGTAAAATGTTGATGGCCACTTCTTCGGATAAAAAGGTTTCTCCTCCAAAGTTCTCTACAGTTAGTAATCTTGCCTGCACATCTCTTCTAAATTCTCCTAGTCCTCCAGCCGATAAATTCCTTTTTGTGTGCCCTTTACTCTCATAGAATCGGCTGAGAATGCTCTGACATTGTTCGTTGATAAATCTTTCTTCAATCTCCGGATAAACCTTCAGATAAGGAGTGAATAATGACTGTAGAAGCGTCTGGATGAACTGTTGATCCGATTCCGATTGATATCGCTGCAGGGCAGTTCCTAATTTCTCGGTCTTCGCATACATGTCAGCCAAATTATATAGATATTGTTCGGGTTCATCTCTGCAATCATCCAATTTCACATTCAAGGTCTCATGAAGTTTTCCATGGAACAGATTGAGGATCAACTTGTTCATGACTGCATTGGGATCGGGAAAGATCTCATCAATCAATGGCTTGGTCTTATCACAGACATGTTGGATGTCATCAAAGACGTTATCTGAATGAAAAGCTCCCTGTTGAGCTCGTTCGACGAAGGCATCCACGCATCTGGAGAAGCATTTGAATTCGGAAAGGACAGTGGCAATCTCTCTTAGGCGCTTCTTATCCAACGTTCGTTCAAATTCACGGCACAAAAGCTCTTCAATCTCATCGTATTTGCGGGCAATTCTTTGTTGGACTTGTTGGAAACGATCACGGACAAGTTCTTGAGAGACTGACGCCAATTTGTGGATCATTTCGGCGGATTCAAGGAGCTAAAACCATACAAAATCATCTTCTTTATATGCAAGTCCATTTCTTTATTTCTTTACCTTGTCCTTACCCTATCCGGATCAGTGAAAATCGGTGAACTTAGTGGTTGATCGGCCATGAATTCATCAAAATGTTTCATCAATTGTAATGCCTCAAAAGCCCTTGCTCTGGGTGAATGGACACTTTCGAGCTGATCCCCCAGATGTACTACTTTTGCCGATATTGTTTGCATTGTGCTGTCGAGTTGCTGGAATTTACGTTTTCATTAATCAGCAGTTAAACTTTCACCATTCCTTAATCAGTGAAATTCAAGTTTGTGTTTTTAACGTTCAAATGACCACGAAAGATTCGAATTTAAATTTTTTGTGTTGTGTTATGTGCCCTTGCATAATACAAACATTATCCTATGGTTTGTAGTCTAGCGGCCTCTTCCTTTCTTTCATCACACCTTTTTTATGGCTCCGAGGCCTTTAGAGTTACAATTCATCCATTTGACCTTCAGAAATACCCAATGTTATTGATGTTGAAATGGGAGAAAAAAATTCCTGCAACCAAAGGTTCCGTTGACCAAATTTAAGGCTTGCAATCTAGCCACCAAAGAACCCCACGCCTACCCCAAAAGTTGGACTAGCCCAAAAATGACATAAAGAGTCCCTATACGGAGAACGATAGAGAATTGGTTAATCCTTCGTGAGATTTTTGTGCTACCCCAAACCATTGACTAGTCATTGGACGCTTCAAGGTAGATTACAAATTCGACCTGCCCGAAATGAAATGCCATCCTTTTTGATTAAATTATGCCTTATATCTACCGTCCCAAAAAAAATCATCGCCGAGTAAAACCGGGATTACTTTCGATTCGTGTAGTTAACAAAGCTTTCCCTTATTTCTCTATCCGCAAAATATCGTTTGTTCTAGCGCCTCTTTTGTTTTGCAACATTAATCACCCCTTTTTATTATCCAGGGCATGTTGATTTCCAAACAACCCTCTATATTCCCCGATAATTTCGTTCACTAAACATTTGGTAAATTTTTCAACATTTACCGACCTATTTACACCACTTCATCCATTCTGTAAAAACGGCCAAAATATAACTGTTGATCTATTTATATGCACCCTTTGGAATTATATTACTTATATTACTTCCGCGTTGCGGAAATAATTTTTTACAATTAAAATAAAAACCATGTAATTTTTAATTTAATTTTCAGACAGCGAAAGCCTTTTCTATTGACAACCTGTTGTTCTGGACTTATTGACCAAAATAAATCGTTTGTTTGTTAAACAAACACTTTAAAATAGCTCGCATGGCCTTCTTTTTGACGTTTTATAAGGGTATTTCAAACTATATTGATCTTGTGGTTTATGCTAAGTTATTTTCACCTTGTTATTTATGGTTGACATTCGATCGGTGTGTATTTACAAAAAAGAAGGAAGGGCGTTTCTTTAAATTGCGCTCTCAAAGCGTCGTAATACGACGACAACCGGTTACGACGTTCTTTCACTTTGATATTGAAGGTCTGTCGTCAATATTATACAGTCATTCTTTGGGGTTGATACTTTCTAATGGAGTTGTGGTCTTAAAACCGGGGTTGTTTTGTGTTCTGATATGAAAAAGAGTCCCGCCCATCCTGCGAAACATTCGTATGGCTATTTTCTCGTCTAATTTGGTACAAATTCCATGTCCTTCGAATCGCCCATTCAAACCGCGTTATAAAGTAAACTTTCGTAGACAGTTCTACCGATTAGACTTGATCGTACAGTTTACAAAAGTACTTATTCTTACGTCTACTCCCAAAGATTCTATCAATCTTATAGGTCATTCAGTTAATTTAATAGATTTCAAAGTCTGAAAAAGAGCATATGAGCTAATCATTCATAAATTTCGTTGGTTCACTCGCTGAAACAGTTTCTTGTGACGCGTTACATAAGCTTAAAATCGCTAAAGTCACAAGACGTAGGTCAACCTTGCCGACATTTCAGGTTCAAGTGGCCATTATAATCAAGTTTTTCCAAATTCTAATAGATTCTAGTCCATTCTAAGTCTACACTATGGCCGACCTCGAATGTAAGTTACCCATTAGTATACTATGCCCTCTCTTTCAGCTGTGGTCCAAGGCTTCCTCTTGGTCTTCAAACTGTTATGGAGAATTCTCTATGGCATTTACTGTGCGATTGTTCCCCACAGTTGGCAGCATCAAAAGGACGTAGAAGATCAGGTTGTTCTGATCACAGGTTCTGGATCTGGACTGGGCCGAGAAATGGCTGTTCTGGTAAATCCCAAATATACCTTCAATCCTATTTTAGTTCGCGGAAAAAGGAGCCAGATTAATTCTATGGGATCTGAACGAAACTCTTAACAATGAAACCAAACGATTGGTGGATTCGGTAGGCAAATATAAGGCGACATGTTACACGGTTAACGTTGCTGATCGAAAAATCGTTTACGAAAAGGCCGATGAGGTGAAGGAGGCATTCGGAGGAGTTGATATTCTTATCAACAATGCTGGAATTGTCACTGGAAAGAAGTTCCTGGACTGTCCAGATGAATTAGTCGATCGTACAATGGCGGTGAACACTCATGCCCTATTCCACGTAAGTGAAACCACTATAAGTTATCCAGTATAAGGTGTGACACTAGACTAGAATAGACATTCGTCATCAAAGTTCATCCCAGGCTTACTTTAGACCGCAAAAGCTTTTTTTAGACAGCTAAAGCCTTCGTTCCTGGTATGATCAAACGCAATCGCGGCCACGTTGCAGTAGTCGCCTCAATGGCCGGAAAGGTTGGAGTGGCCGGGATGGTCGATTATTGTGCCAGTAAATTTGGCGCTGTTGGATTTGCCGAGGCCCTCAGAGCAGAACTGAGAGCCCGATCTAATGATCTCCATGTGACGTTAATCTGTCCCTATTACATTAATACTGGAATGTTTGATGGGGTCCAAACGTCATCACCTTTGTTGCTGCCTATTATGGAACCCTCCTATGTGGCTAAAAAGATCGTCGGAGCCATCTTGACGAACCAAGTGGTCCTTCAAATGCCCCGATTCTGTTATATTAGTACAATCATCAAAGAGTAAGTATGACTTTTAGTTAATTCATATTATCCTCGCCTAAAATCTAACACTTATACTTCAGAGTTCTCCCAATCAGCGCTGCAGAAGCTATAGCCGACTTTGTTGGAGTAAACAGGGAGATGGAAAACTTTAAAGGACGACAAACCCCTCCCGAACATACCAAAGTCAACTAGCATATCAAAGACATTGCCTTTCCGAAACCCTACTTCAATATCTATTGTAATCATTCTGACGTCATTTCAAAATGAGCTTTCAAGTGCCATAAAATAAACGATATCTCCTCCACTCACCTTAACTTTTTCCAAAGCTTCAGCGTTTTTCTCATGTAACTGTTGAAGGGAATCTAAGTACTTCATCTTAGCAACATTCCTCTGATCTTCAAGCCGTTGGATCTTGGCTTGAAAGTTTTCACTGGATGTTTGCAAGGAGCCAATCTCTTCTTCAAACTTCCTTTTTAAGTATTCTACATCAACGTCTTCCTTTCCTTCAGTTATCCGCCATGCTAATCGTTCAACAAAATCTGTGGCATCAAAAGGGTCCTGAAATAACAAAGATCATAGTACCACAAATACATCAGCGTGTCGACTACCTGTTCCAAATCTTCCACATATGTCGAGAAGTATGGCCGGTTCGCCATCACACCCTTAATTGGCGTAAGTCTCAAACACGTTCAAAAAACAGGTATTTCATCTGAATCTTACCGAAATTACGAAAACATAAGGCATGCAGACTTCAAAGTTTATTCAAAAATAATTCGAAATACTGGTCTGATTATGTATGCTCAAAGTACCGCATAACAATAAAAATAAATCCGCGAAAGGTTTAACAAACAATAAAACAATATAAGAAATCTATATCAATTGTTGGACTTGTAAAAAGTCTTTTTACCGTAACTTTTGCCCCGTTCGTTTGTTTGATATTCTTTTTTGACCTGATTCTCGAGTCCCTGTTCATGCTGTTTATGAAACTTCCCGCCTTTCGGTGGTCCCCTTCTATCCTTATTCTGATATTGACTTTTGGAGGTCTCTTGAGCTGGTGGAATAATATTATCCGTCCGTCCTCCTCGGTCCGCTGGGATTTTTTCTAACTTAAACTCCGAGATCTTAGACTTGGTCCCCGCTCTTTGACGAACCGAACTGGCTTTTTCGATTACAAGGAGATCTAAAAAACAATAATTTAATCGGTAATACAGTCACCCAACAGAAAAAAGTATTTTAAGACGATTACCCACCCTCATTTGCCCCCAAAAGTTGATCAATTCCAATTGGTTTCCATCCGGCAAGTGACTGTCGCCCAGGTAAAAAGATCTTCATAACCTGCCTCTCGTGTTGGTGAGCCTTATCCGACCATAAGAACGACTCGACGGTCACATCAAGTCTTTTCAACAACATCTCCAATCGAATTTTATAATCTTTAGTCAACATTTGAGCAAAATTATTGAGTTGCGACCATTGTTTATCATTGAATTTTCCATTAAAAATAGGATTCGGCCGCCGGACAAGACTGTTGAACGATTTTGTTAACTAAACTTAATGCCATCAAAATATGATTCAAACAACATACCTCAGACTTTAAAATGTTCAGGCAAGCATTTTCATCGGAAACTTGGTTTGGCTGAACATTCATCGATACCAAAGTCTTTGCCATTTCTTTCAACGGCTCCTAAAACAAAACATAAAAAAGGACTCAAACCTTACATTTGGCTTTGTCCGTTCTTCAATCACTTGTCGCCGTAACTTTCGTAGGGCGATTAATCTCGCCGGCTTTACTTGAGACAACAGATATTGTAATACTGACAATTTAACTTCTTCTGATTGGAAACGTTGATGAATCGAGGTGACTGTTAATGCAGAAATGGGGCATCCTGTAATAAAACCAATCGGTTAAAGATGAAGCTATAATATTACAAACCTAGTTCAGACAAGAAAGCACTCAAATAAGAGTAAAAATTATCAACGTCTTTTAAGTCTTCAATCTCTTCAACAACATCCTCCGTATTTAAAAGCACGTGTAGTTCCCCAGCTAACCAACCGATGAGTCGAGAGAATGAAATTACATCGGACTTGACAGCATTTTCAATAACATCCACATTCAACTCATCAGTATAGCTAGAACATACAATAATGTATAAACAAACTTACCCAAATGCACGTAAGCTAACACAGATGCTGTTCAACGACATTGTAAACAACTAACCGACAAAAAAATATTGTAATATTTTCTTTTCCATCTTTCATCGTATAAATTGTCCTGCGCGAGATGCGCCCTGGCGTAAAATAATATTTGGTAAAATAAAACAATAAATACACAATTTTACTTCTTATGATCTCATATTAGAATGCCGTTACCCCCAGCTTTATTGGCCAAGCTCCAAAAGCGCGGCATAGTCAGTTCCCAAAGTAAGTTATTTTAATGACGACGTCTTCACATAAATTTTTACTTTAAAGAGGTGGACGAAGACGAAGAAGTATTTGCCGAGAATTATGATTCCGAAGACAGTGAGGACGAAGACGAAGTCGAGGAAGAAGATAAAGGTCGAGGGGGAGCTCCTGGATGTCCTAATAAATGGAATCAATTCCATTTGTGCTCGGATTATTGTTTCGATCACTGGCATGATGGTCTTCCAGAATCAAGGTAAATTCTTCTAATTTTTTTTTACGTTTTTAGACTGTCAGACGATTACTTGGCTGCCAAGCAAAGAATGTTGAATAAATATCCCCTGCCAGAAGGATGGAAAGAGGTTTATGATGGTGGGATTGGGAGACATTACTATTGGAACCCTTCTAATGACGACGTTTGTTGGTTATCTCCACGACATCCATGTGCAAATATCTCAAAGGCAGCTCCGGTTGTTGCTCAGGAGTACTTTGAATCAAGGAAGCGAGCCCAAGAAGTTGAAGAGGAACAAAAGGAGCAAAGGAACAACAAATACAAGGGACGTCAAGGAAACAAATGGGAGAGGAGGAAAGATGATAGAAAGCGACAGATTGTATGTTAATGATCGAACTTCTTATTGATAATGTTAGACTATGTTGAGATTGATTTCTTTTTGTTTTAGGAGGATAAACCTGATGCAGAGCCCGAATCAATCGAAGAAATGCCAGAGAGAGATCGATTGAAGAGAGCCAAAAGAAAAGGAATCGATCCCATGGATCCCAGCGCATATTCAGATGTTCCTGAAGGTAATTGGGGTGCTGGTTTAGTCCAAGAAGCGAAGACTGGAGTGGATAGCAGTGCAACTGGACCTCTCTTCCAATCTCGACCATATCCATCACCTGGTGACGTCCTCAGAAGAAACAAATAACATTTGTTGTTTATTGTAAGTATCGTCTAATAAAGGAAGTTACGTAACGCTTCGGAAAACGTTCTGATGAATCGTTTTTAGCGAAAAGCTTGAATTGTAATGCGCGGAATACAGGCAAAAACATCCCATTATCTGCTCTGCGGATTACACAATGTTAGCTGGGAAATCGGCTTCCACTCGAGTGCACGGAACAGTTATTACGCAGTCGTTCATGTTCATTAAGCAGAGTCTTTGCAACAACAACAATTATGATTTTCTCGGTCCGACTGGCAAGACTCGCTGGGTAATTGGTGGACTCCAGTTTTTTTCCTTTGCGCCTCTCCTTTTTTTGCTGCTTACTCTTACAATGTCCTTGTGATCCTCGGTGCGCGCTGTGGAATTAACTCTGCGGAAAAGGTCGCCGCCCTTCAATTTACCGCAGATACCACCATTAGGGGTTTTTTGTGTTGGTATAGAGGTTCGGTTGACCTACATTGGGAACGAGGACTGGCGCGCCGATGTTAAGGCGGCTAGTCTACGCCTGGCTGGCACTTGTTGGATTGGCCGGGATACTCGAAGGTAGTTTCTTTCCTCTTATGGTTACTGTAACGACACTCCCTACTTTTTATTGCGCTGTTTACTAATTGCCGTGGCTTATTTAAGACCGTGAAGTTGTCTGTTCATCAGACAAGATAGTTGTAAACCTCAGCTTTGCCCGGCCTTTCAAAGGTGTGGTATTTGCCAAGGACCGATATCTTGATAATGAATGCCGATGGCTTGGGAATGGCGGTCATTATTTGCTTGTTACAGTGCCTTTAAACTACAAAAACTCAACTAATAAAGGAGAAGGGTTTTGCGGATTACAATTTAATGCGGTAAGTTTGTTTTTGCTGCTCTGTATTCAAAGATGGCTGGCAATGAGTTTTAATAAAATAATTTAGAAAACAGGAGAGCACTCAATATCGTTGATCATCAGTCCAGATCCAGTAATTCTGACAGATGAAAGTGTTGCACTTTTAACTCATTGTGTCCAGACTATGGAGGATTTCGTGATCACTTTGGAGCCTCCAAAGAACGAAGGGGCTTTTAAAGTTGCGTAAGTTCTGATGATTTAGAAACATTCTCTTTTTCTATAATAATATTATTATACATCTTTTTGACTATTTGCAGTCGAAATGAGGCGATGACTGTGACTGGGAATGCAGAGAAAACTCCGTCTTTATCTTTGAGAGTCCTGGGAGATCATGGATATAAAGGGGATGTTATAACCGAGGGATTTGTGGGACAGAGGATCACATTGGATGCCAGGTTGGAGGAATCTTGTAAGCTGCATATTTTGCCGTGGCATTTCATTTCCTACTGCAGTATTATTCTCGATTTGGCCCTTATAAGCTTCACATATAATGTTTCCAGCCATTTTCGACATGTTTGTTCATGATTGCGTTGCTCATGATGGAACCAACAATGCCGATGCCACAGTTCCCATTATTGATGCTAATGGATGCGCAGTTAAATTGCTGAGAGCAATAGACCCTCCGGTCTTTTCCTCATCGCCTATGAAGAATATGGCGAAACACACTTATATCCATCTTTATGGATTCCAATTTACAAGTGCGGATACTGTACATTTTGAGTGTAAAATTACAACTTGTCTGAATGAATGTCCAATGAAGGTAAGCGGGGATTAGCTCATCCGTTTTACCAGTAGTTTAATAATCTAACAAATGTTTTCCAGCAATGTCCCGACGAAGGATTATCAACGGTCACTTCGGTGGGGCAAAAGCTAAAGACATCAACGGTAAAAACTCTTTTGCAAATGAATCCACAATCCTCCCACTCACATTGTAAGTCGTTCTTAGTACTTCCATTGTTCGTTTAGCTCAAGCGATGGAAATGAATGACAAAAAAGAATGCCTAGAACCGTCAACAGCAGCGTTCGTATGTCTGGGTACGGTTGTTGTGTTCTTTCTCCTGGCCTACTTTACGAAGAAACTTATCAGGTCTTACAATCAGTTTGTAACGGAGAAACGATAGTGTTCAAAGTTGTTATTGACATACTTTTAATAAATTATTATTTTTTTGTAATCCATATCAGAAGCATTGTGTGATAGAAGTCCAAGGAAAAACTGCTTGGAAAAGATGATCAGTACTGATTTGGCAATATTTCTTTGTGAGGGTAACTTAACAGTTACGATTTTAACTTTTACGCTTCCAATTTACTTTTTCTTACGAATAACTTATCCACATCAATTTTCTTAATGCATAGGACTTAATTAAGTGACAGATTAAAATGTTGAATGACACGACAGTTTACATCTGCTTAGACAACTTCGAATGGTGGGTAAAGGGGGTGTCCTTTCGCACTGAAATTTTGTGTTTGTAATCAAATTGAGTAAAACCTGCAAGACAGAAAATATTCTACTTACAAGGAAAAGGAGAACAGTCGGACATCTTCTTTGATCTGATCCAATTTTTCCAGATCTTCCTTTGCCAATTCGAAGTCAAATACATTGAAATTCTGCTTCAGTCTCTCTGGATTTACACTTTTGGGAATGACCTGAATACCGAGTTGGAGAAGGTGTCTCAGAAGGATCTGAAAGTAAATTAGTCACCATTTTTAAGTTCCAAAAACACTACACACCTGTCCAGGAGTTTTATTGTACTTTTTGGCCAATCCTTGAACAATTTCATTGCCCAAACAATCAGCATCGGGGTAATCACCAGGCCCAAACCCTTGTTTCCTTGATGGCGATCCCAATGAAGCATAAGAGGTGACTGTCAGTCCCAACTTCTTACACAAGTCAACCAGTTTCCTCTGTCTGTGGAAGATGTGAAGTTCAATCTGAAGGTTGGCCGGTTTTACGGTAGCCTTCTTGTAGAGATCTTCCAGTTGATCACATCGGAAATTGGAGACTCCCAAAGCCTTGAACTTTCCTTGATTGTAATATTTCTCCAATACTTTCCAGGTTTCAATGTGAGGAGTTGGGTCGGGGACGTTCAGTCCATTCGAATCCTTCAGAAATCCCCCATCAGGGCCTCTCTTGACTCCACAGGCATTGTGCATCAAATATAGATCAATATAATCCACACGGAGATTTTTGAATTGCTCTTGAATAATTGACTCAGTTACGGTGGGCTCATGAGCAAAGAATGGCAACTGAAATGTATGTCCTCAAAATATTTTGATTTAATCTTACCTTCGTGGCAATGAAGAAGTCCTCTCTTTTGACCTTTCCCTCCTTGAAGATCTCCTCCAGAATCTCTCCAAGCTGTGCTTCGTTCCCATAGGCATAGGCAGTGTCCAAATATCTGTATCCGATGTCAACGGCCGCTCTAATGGCAGTCCTCAATTCGTTAAAATCCTTGGCCTACAATGACGACAAAACATAATTACAGCTTTACACTGCATCACACAGTGAAAAAAGTAGAGACTTACCAACCAAGTTCCCAGTCCCAAGACTGGTTGCTTAACGCCATTATTCAATGTGTAGAATGGAGTGGTCATATCAAAATAAGCTCTAAAACGCGTTAAAATCATATGAAAAAGAGGTTTCAATAAAATCACGGAGATGACCCGGCAAATGCAGTGTAAAATCAATCAAAGATCATTTAGAAATCCTGTTTATCTACAATTTCAGAAATTATTTCTTATGGGCCCATCCTTTTATGATTCGATGGGCAATGGCACCACGAGGAGGGAGGTATGTAAAGGTATCCGGGTTTTCTAATCTTTTCGAAAGGGGGATTTTGAGGAATGGGTCCTTTTCTACACGGTCCAGTGCTTCGAGAACTTGATCCCGACCGAACCAACCAGCGGCTTCCAATTCGTCTGGGCAGATTTCCAACTGAAAACACAAAAATGACTTTATATTTATGATACAACAAATCCACTCCATCCTTCGTAAAACATTAAAAATCCAATACGAATGTAATTGTCATCAAAGTCCCTACCTCATGACTGGCATCCGCCTTGGCCCGGAGGCCACACATCAACGAATTGAAAGGCATAGGCCATGGCTGGGAGTCGTTCACAACTCGGATGTCCGTCGCTTCGATCCCCACTTCCTCGGCGATCTCCCTTTTCGCCGTCTCTTGAATACTTTCGCCCGCCTGCAAGTAAAATAAACAACTAAACAGCCCGTTTTTATATGTGCGGGATGCGTGGAGTTTGTGTCTTTACTTTTTGGTCCCCTCAAAAAGCGTTGCTTGGCAAGAAAAAAGGGCCGCGGATACAAAGTAGACAGAAACCGGCTTGTAGTCTGATAAATAATGCTTAGCGGTGAAAATACCATGATACATAATGTGTTGTTTTTGCATCCCTATCGCATTTTTATTTGTTTTGTTTATCAAAAATGCAATTCGTTTTTTTGTTTCAATGTTTGCTAAAAATTGTAAAGACTAATTAAACCGTCCTTAACGTTAATAAAGGTTATTCGGAAATAAACACATGTAAAAAAAGTAAGGGGAACGGAGTTTTAGCTCAATTAGACAAACGGTCTACTTCCAATTTTAGACTTCCAAACTTGAAAAACGTAGAACAACATACCATGGAGAATCCAGCGACCAAAGTGAAAACCGAAGAAACCGAACCCTTATGTCTGACCAACAGCACTCTCTCTTGATCATAATCCTCAACTAAGGTTATTGCCACAGGGGATATGGTGGGATAGAAGAAGCGATCACATCTTATACATCTGGCCGCACTCTTTGACGGTCGTAATTGAAGGGGAGTCGAGCATGTTGGACATCGACGGTAGGTGTGATACCACCGGGTCATCGCTTGGAACTAAATCATCGCATGCATTATTTGCCTTTCATTTATTTACTTTAGCCAAATTATGCCTATCCAATTCATCTTCCAGAGTTAGCATAGCCATCCTGAGGTTCATAAACTGTCCACCAAGACTTTTAGCAAGGTCATTCTTCAATACTTCGGCCTTTATCCCGCTTTCTGCCGGAGGTTTCATCGTTCGAACGGCACATCCAAACAGTGGTCGCTGAAGAAGAAAAACACATTTTATCCCGAAACATAGAGATCAGAACCTACAAAATCTCTTTGGACTTCATCTGGAACCGAGCAATCCAATAATGCCGAGTTTAAAATCCCAATCTCCAACCCGTATTGGTTCAGGATCTCCTTGAGCTCTGCAATTTGTCAATGAAATCTTGCGTAATATCGCAACACGTACTGCAATAACAAATGCAACGCGTACTCACAAAATACCTTTCGTTTCGAATTTTACAATACTCAGAGTCTTCTTTTCCTCATCCAGCTTCACTAAGGCTTCTTTGTCGATCAAAACAATCGCCTGGGAGTCGCTGAACTCGGTTTCCAGGGCATCTTCCGACTGATTCCAGTAGTCCATCATCTTTGTTTTCCTTACATACATTGAATTACCCGGTCTACGAGAGCATTGTCTAATCAGCGACGGGGTTCTAGTCAACTGGCGCAATATGAAAGACATCCTAAATTTGTAATCACCTTATACTCGATATTTTTGTCATCAATTCCAAATCAAAACTCATCGAAAACTCCTTTTTTTCTATAGACTGCAATACCACCTCGAAGATACGACCAAGATACCACAATACAACGATAAATCAAGTGAGACACCCATTTACTCGTTAAGTTAAGGCACAAATATGAACCACAATAAAAACTACGACTAAAAAAATTATACAAAAATTTACAAAATAGTAACCGTAAATACCCTTGTTTAAAGTCCTCAGACTAAAAATTGAGAGATCAAATTGGCGACGCCCAGAATAATGATAATCCCGTGTAAAACAATTTGAGTTTTGGTTAATCGACCAGCAGTTTGGAGACGTTTCAAATGGACCAGAGATGGGAGGGCAAAGATGTAGACGAGGCCGGAGAGGGATCCAACATAACTAAAAACAGAAAAACGTTAAAACAAGTCATTTGAACAAGCTATCATACATCCACCATGACATACCGTAAGATACCACCAACATGTGGATAGGCGATGCAAAAGAAAATTGCGACTAAGATCACCAATACATTGATCAGGCATACATATGGAAGTCTAAAATGTGTAAATTAATCGCAAATTTTTAAATTGACGGCTACGAACAAGCATATTGGCACAATTTCTTACCCTGGGTAAACAGTACCCGTAAAGACGTAGCTGAACTGAACCCGCACCAAATACATCAATAGCGGTAAGACAGTGATCATCTGGAATAATAGGAACATCCTGGCCGTGGCACTGAGGACATCACCGGATCCAAAGTTGTTTAAAAAATTCTGAAATTACATAGTCATAACACAACCAAGTAACATATACATATAAACCTAATTTACAAACAATCACTTACATCCGAAATGCATTCTCTTCTTCCTGGGAAAGCCAAGTAGAACAAGCATCCAATCAAGATGTAGCACATCATAGCCAGAATATATCCAATAGACAAATCTCTCGCATTATTTTCTGGGTTCTTCTGATTCCTCAGTATGGTGAGGACAGCGTTGTGGATGAAGTAGGATAAAGCCAGCGTTCCCGTTAATGCAGTGAACTTCGAATTCCACACTAAAAACAAAAACCTCAACCCAAATAAAGATAACTTACACTCCACATAATGAATCGATGTTGGGTCCACAAAATTAACGTTCATTCCGCATTCATAGGCCTTGGACATCGTGAACGATATAAGATAGAATACAGAGATAGTACCTAAAATAAATATGTTGGAAAAATCATATTCAGGTTACCCAAAACATTGAACTTGGTGAAAATAGTGGGAGATTGGAAATTAAGCAATGGGAAGGTCAGAATTCCAAGATATATCGGTACAGTTCCTTGTAATGACCACAATTTACTGAATGACCACCAGCTGGAGCCGCCGTTATCTTCTTCATAATCAAACATGTCCTTTGGAGGCAAACATTTCTCGTCGTAATAGACTAAAAATAAAGCCAATAAACTTGAATTATAAATAAGAGAAAATAAGAATAAAAAACTGACTATCACAAGTGAATGTTTTATTAGCCAAGACAGGGAGCACAGTGCTGTTTGGTTGCAATGATTCGTATACAATGTTCCCCGTAAAATAAAGGAAGTTGGACATCAAAACAAAGTATACAATCACACCGCCGAAGAGGACGATAATGGAGAAAAAGACAGCTGTATATTCTCCCTTCTTCCCCCAGTAATATCGACAAACATCCGAGAATTCGGCGGCACTACATTCAACATCAAGAGCTGCAACAAGATTAATATTACTCTAAACTCGGAAAAATAATCATAAAATAAAAAGATACTTACTCAATCCTCTTGGACTTTCGACTACACGATAAGCAGTGTATAACGATAAAAATGCCATCAAAGCCATTAATGTGACCCCAAGACCTAATCCTGCCTGCGCCAATGCCCATGGCATGGCCAATAAACTGGTCCCCATCATAGTGTTCCATATCGAGAATCTAAAGCACGTTTGCATACAAAAATACAAGAATATTGACAATGGTCAAAGCTAGCAATTTTCCAATTTTGTTGCTTACATTGTCACTAAACTACTTTGTTTTCCTTCATTATCTTTGAAATCGTCGAAAGGCAAGATGGAAAACCATTCGCTGGGGAAGTAAACGTGATCAGGCATCCTTAAAGTCTGCCCTCCGGGGTCAAGCCGGTTGAATAATCTATATCTGATGGCCATGTTATGGTGCCGATGATGATGTGACTCGGCATTCTGAGAGGTGGCTTCAGAATTGACGGACGAAGCTCGGGATCTGTTAGAGTAAACAAATGGACGACGAATTGCACTGGCTATAAATAGCTTGCATGTACCTAATGAGAGGAACAGAGTAAATAAAAAATACATACCAGATTGGACTCTGGACATCCCATCATGTCTCACATTGTGCACCAATAAGTGATCCACACTCCTGGCCACCGGGAAGTCTTCTCTCATTTCTCGGGGCACATCCATCGGATCACTCTGACCGGTACTCCCATTCGACCCGTACGTCTCGTTCATCTGAAATACGTGCGAACCGTTAATTGACAGTAAAAGACCATCCGAGATAATGATTAAATTGAGTTTGAAGAGCATTAGTAGTTCTTGATAAGTCTTTTTTTTTTGATAATAATGACCCATCTGCCTCTTACTTTTGCCTTAAGAAGGCGCGTTCGGACATCAAACATTCACTTCGCAAGAACAATTAAACCACGTTTCAAACAGTTTCAAGACTACCTTAATCAAATTCCAACACAAGGACACCAGAAACTGACGGAGACTGATAAGAAGTCATTAAAACATGAGTTATTCGATATAAAACTGTTAGAAAAACATGCGTGCTGACGCTTGGGGTCCCAACTCTCTTGCGTATACTTCTAAAAGTCTCGATATGGAAACTCTTCTTATCAGACGCAGATTTCTATACCTAAATGTGGCAAAAAGGGCCGTACCCGATTGGATTGAGTGGAAACAGAAAACTAAAATTAAAAGAACTATCAAACAGCCCAATTGTCAATCTTTCAAACTATAACACCGTCCCTAAGGACGTCTTGATACAATCGCCATCGTTTACAAAATAAATCATTAAAATTTTAGGTATGTAACACATACATTAACCACTAAACTTACTTTCAAAAGCCTTTCCAAACGTTTCGTTCAAAGCTGAGCTTAAAAAACATATAAGCTTATTTTAAGCAATATCTGATATTGCTCACCCCGATCAGATAAACAGATTTGATCAAAGTTCCAAAATAAAATATATAATTTTACACCGTGTATCCCGCTTTCTCCCAGAACGATAGAGTTGAATGCTAATCCTTGCCTTGGCATTCCGTCAACTAAATGAAAAAGATCTTTTTCAATCGAAAAGATGATGTATACGAGAAGATTGGAGCGATATGTTTGTTTTTTGCCGACTGTGTTTCGAGCGTATCAGTGATTCACACCCGCGGAGTTTCTTTTCATTGTCACACTTTTAGTGTAATATAAGACTTTAGGCAAGATCTGAGAAATGGCTGAAGAGTTTGTCTCCGATGCGGAAAAAGGGAAGATTGCATCCGAATTGATACAAGAAGCGCCGCCCGGTGAATTCAACGAGGTCTGGAATGACGTTAGAGTTCTGCTTAACGATGACAAGCTAATGGGAACATGTTCGCGGGCAGCCGCTCAGTACCACAAAGATCAGTTGTTGCCAATAGCGTTGGAAACCGATCAGTCAAAGGTTAGTTCAAATTTATTTTTATCATTTTATTTTTAGACGTTGTTAACGAATTACAACGAGATTTCCGAGGGTCGGTTCTTCGATCCGAACACAAAAACCTCCTTTAAATTCGACTTCCTCTCCAAAACAGCGTCTGACATTCAACCCTATGAACAACCAAACGTCGACGAGAAGCTTGAAAATTTCAGGAAGGCAGTTCAGACTGTAAGTTCGCCTTTGAAGTTTTTTTCATTGAAAAATATTCCACTGTCCTGAAAGTTTATACCCCCATTTTTATTCAATCTCTGATTCACGCTTCTTTAGGAGTTGAACCATTATCTCCAAGAGCATTATCACAACATTGGAACTGGCGTTGTTTTTATTTTCAATGGACATCTTGCCATAGCCATCGAATCCCACATTTTCCAGGCCAAGAATTATTGGAATGGCCGTTGGCGTTCTCAATGGGAAGTTCCTGCATTAGAGAAGAAACAAGGGAACGTCCAGATCAATGGGATCGCCAGAATAAACGTTCATTACTATGAAGATGGAAATGTCCAATTGTCGACCAAAAAGAACCTGGCCGGTGAAGCCAAATATTCGCTGAATGTGGCTGACACAGCAAAGAATGTGGTCAACGCCATCCATGAAGCGGAAACCTCATTCGAAGTAAGTTTGTTGATATTGCCCTTGCTTTTATTGCATTCTGACTTCTTATTTACTATTTGTGGTTGATTAAAACAGTTACGTAACGGATGTTACGAAACGACTCATCAAATTAGCCACCCGTTCGAACGGAGTTCTCTCAAAACACCGAAAAATTTTGGGAAGAGAAGACCTTTCGAGGTTTCCATATTAATCGTATAAAGCATGCGGTGAACCTTATGAGCGGTTTTAATTTATAAATATTTTTTGTTTCAGAGTGCCGTTCTCCAGAATTACACTGTGATGTCAGATAGTACCTTCAAAACACTCCGTCGTAAGCTCCCCATTACCAGGTCCAAGTTCGATTGGAACAACGCCCAAAGCTATCGACTGGCGCAGGACATCAACCGGAACTGAACACTGCCATTTCTTACGTTCTTTTGCTACACTCCGTCCTTTTTTTGTTTTTGATAGCATTCTCAAGAAGTCTCCTTGTTCGTGGCCTAATTGTCTAACTTATAATTATTGTAAAATGTAAATGCTTTAGTGATTGATAAATATGGTAAAATACAGCCGATTCTTGGCAAATAACTGGTTGGAACCAGTAAATATTTAAAGATGTTGATATTATTTGTTAGCTTTTGAAGTGTTGTAATTGGATATTGCTATATTTTTGTAGGGATTGCCATGGATAATGTGGCAAAGCTTTTGAACAACACGGATGTTTCCGCAATTGAAGATGATAATGCCACGACCTCGACCACCACTACCACGATCTCGACCACTACAACTACGATCTTGACGTCAACTTCAACTGTAGTTACCACCACAGCAATTCCTGAAGAAGATTCTCACTCCTTGTTCTTCTTTTGCACCATTTTATTCTTTGTCGGTATTGCTGTAGTTGCCAAGATTATCTATTCGAACCGAAACCGGTATGTAAATTATTTCTTGAGTTTTTTCCAGCCATCTGTAAAAGTTGGTGAGGTTTTCTTCTTTTAGATACAGCGTTCTGAACATCAACCCAAATTGGAGGTTGTCTGCCTCCCGAACATCTGGTTCCGGGGCTTTTTCGAGTGCCCACACTGACCCTTTCAATCCTGAGAATAGACCCGGGGGTCTTGGATTTGGTTCCGCTCATTACACGGCCGTCACTCCAAGCTCCGGCGAACATCTGGCACAGGCCCATGAAGAATGGGAGCGTCAATTCTTTGACGAACAACCCGCGGAACAAGACAGGGTAAGTACCGAAATCTTGCCTGCTCTTTCTTCATATTTAAACATTACTTTATTGGTTTAGGTATCGTCAAGATTGGAACTGCGCCGCTAATCCTCCACTCAAACGCAGCACTACAAATACAAGAATCTCGGGAAGCGGGTCCCTCTTCTGTTCACATTCATAATGAAATTAACGGCCTAGACTGTAGTATTACATATTATGGTATTACCCTTCTAATTATGGGTCTCTCGTCGGTGTTAGAAAAGACATTCCACAAAAGTTCTTGTTCCTTTATTATTGTAAGCAATAAAAGTTTTGAATTTCAAATCGTGACGTAGGATTTCTGTATAATTTGCGCGTTAAAAGCATAAGGATAGATTTGTACATAGAGCTAGGTTTTTGACGTCTGATTTGACTGTACACTTAGCAAGGAAACAACATTACAGCAGAGAAAATTTTGATTCACCGCATTGAAAGGAATAGAGGTTTTATAAAAGACTAAACCGCGTTCTAAAACAAGTCATAGTTATTTATGGGGGGACATTTATACAATAGACCCGAACAAAAATAGACATTCACCATGCCGCACAGCTGAGATTCTATTTGTCGGACTTGTTTTTCTCAAGTGAATCCAAGAATTCTTGTTGGGAAAGGGCAAGAGCTTGCGCAAGGAGAGCAGTTTCGTCCAACAGAGGGCTATTCCAGTCACCGTATGCTAAAATTATCGAATGTAATCACGACTGTCTCAATCACGACGGACGGGATAAAACCAGATAAAGAATCGCAACTTACATGCACTAGAAGCCAATAGCTCTTCATAAAGTCCAACTCCTGAGTTTTGTTCTTCCGATTCCCTGGGTTTGTTGTTATTTTCTTTCCTCTCTTCTGGTTCCTGAGATTTGTTTGATGAGCAAGGTTCTTGATTTGGAAATCTGAGGAGATCTATGGCTGAGGTTGATGGCTTGAGTAAAGCCGGGTTTGGATGAGACAGACTTTGACCAAAGTCGGTATCAATGTTTGGCATGGAAGTTGATGCATAATCTAAATTCAAAAACAATAATATTTTATGAAACATAACTCACCATTTTTGTACATTTTTGGGAGTCTGTAATCATCTATATCTCTACTTGAAGAGGGCAAATTCGGAGATGAAGCCCCTCTCTTTCCACCCAAGGCCGCCCTAGAGCAACTCGAGTGCCCAGCAACTTGTCTTCCCTCTTCCGGCGGAGATGGGGATTTTTGTTTGGTCGTTCTTGGTCTAGGAGCGTGGGGTTGAAGGCCCGGAGGTTTCTCGTGATGAGGGGACTTCTGATGCGCCTTTATTTCATTCTGGCGTTCAACGGATTTCAGATAGTCCATGTAACTTTCAGAAGCAATCTGTCTGTTGAGCTCGTCTTCAGTCCTTTCCCAATCTGTCATTTTCATCTTATCCTTGAGCATAGCATCCTCAATCAGCTGTCTCTCGGATGCTTGAGTAGCCTCCTTCATCAAATTCCTGTCGGCCAGACCTGGTTGATATTCTGGTAGACCAAGACCAACTCCAACGGAAGGGGTAAACGGATCCACAACTAAACGGTTAAGTACAAAAAGGAAATAGCAAACTTACCAGAATTGTAATGGACACTTCCATGGTAAGATAATCTAATAGCCGGGTTCTCAACGCCCGTGTTAGCTTCTCGGGAGATTGGATGAAATGTGTTGATGGGTTCTGTACTGTACTCGAACACCTCGATTGGTCTCAAGAAGATCTCGGACATAGCTTGGAGTTCTACATGATTTCCATGGACGTTATCCAAACGTTTTCTAGCCAAATAATCGTTGAATTCTTCCGTGATAAATTGAGAAAAATGGTCGCGGTTCTTGGCGACATAGTCCATGCATAGTCTTCTCACTTCATGATGCATCTCTTCATCTCCATAAATTTGATCAGCTGAAAACAAAAATAAGTATAATAAAGCCTCAAAACAGCATAGAAACGATCATCTGTAATACTTACCAACAGCTCTGAACATACAAGCGCCGTCGCCTTTGACTTCCTTCACCACGAATCCTCTGACAGTCTTCATTCTCTCAACGAAGGCCAACTCCAGCTCTACATCGTTGAACCCTCCACCATATTCATCGTCGCTGTTTGGCGCTAAACATCTAAATATTAAACACTAAAAATACTCACCTTCGGCGGTGTTATGCTTATCCCCTTGCACCTCGGGTCTTCTCTTAACCGTTGGTTTTTGGGAATAATGAGGGACATCGGCTACCGTGCGACGAGGAGCCTTCTTGGTTCCGCCAAAAGATTTGGGAAGGTTCGCAGAAGGAATAGATGCCGAGCTTGGACCAGGCGGCAGCAGCAAATTTGGCTGGGGCTTGATCAAATGATGCGAACGCTCAACATGAGGCAAGTTGCTGTTGGACGGAAGACCTCTTCTAAAATTAAGAAACGTATAAAGTCCATTTATCACGGCGGAAAGAACCAAAAAATAAGAGTTACCTATCAGAACGTTCTCTGTGCTCAGGTTTAATATGAGACTTCTTTGATTTGGGTAAGATCGTCATGACCACCAATACTAAAAAACGATAACAAAAGATTACGTACTCAAAAGAAATAATTTCATCGGCAAATCGACCGCTCGGAATAAAAAACGCAAGCAAATATACACGTTTATGCATACACCATGCAAAAATAATTTAAAATGTACAACGGGTCCATAGGAAGAGGGGGAATATATTGCGGAGGCAAAGAGCAATCGATTAGCGACCTGTGGATCGATTATCAAATAACGTTTTAGGTAATGGTAATCGAGGAGACGTTGCTACTGTCGGCCGAAGAGTTTGATCCACATCTGGAACGGGCTACACCGGTCTGAAAGGCATCTTCGTTGACGGTCAACAGCTTCCGCTCAAGGATAAATCGACCTGCAATAAAAAATGGGTCAAGTTTTTCTCTTTGATTTTCCGAATGCGCCAAGTCTCTCCCTAGTGCACTCAGCTGCAGGGGTGGTCAGCAGACCCTATTTTTCCGATTTTCGGCCCGCGGCCCGGCCCGTCTAATTGACCGGCCCGGCCCGGCCCGTCTAGTCTTTTTCCAGGCCCGGCCCGGCCCGGCCCGTGACGGGCCTGGCCCGGCCCGGCCCGTGCAGGCCCGTCTATAGAGGGTTCTGCGAACTGCGCCCAGGCTCGGGATCTAAACTGAGGCAAAAAAGGCGTTGATCTAGCTAGTAAAGGATCAATGTGATAGTTTTGTGGTTCTATAATGGAACTAGAGACTTGTAAACGTTTTAGAACTTGAGAAACAGCAACTATAACAACATCAATTAATTTTCCCGGCGCGAAAACAATGAATGCCAACGGTTTGGCATTGTATTTTAGACGGGCCGGGCCGGGCCGGAAAAACCCCAGGCCCGCGGCCCGGCCCGGCCCGTGACGGGCCCGGCCCGTTTGTCAATTTCCATTTTTGAGGCCGGCCGGCCCGTTTGGGCCGGGCCGGCCCGGCCCGCCGACCACCCCTGCTCAGCTGACAGCCATGAAACGGGACGAGAAAGGCTTGATGTTCTATAGACCGGAGAGATATAATCACTTAGAGATGCAATTGATTCCAATAAACGCTATCCGCTTTGGTTGAGATAACCGAAGACGCAAGTATAATATAAACATCAAGAAGGGAACCGAGCGAAAGTTAGAACAGACGGAAGCGAAAAACGTCAGAAAAAATAGCGACAGTAATCGCAAAAAGCATCTGGAGGACACTTGCATCAAATAAAACAACATTATCCTCACCTTCTTTGTACTTCTGGGATTCAGCATAGGCAAACTCATACATCCAGCCGATCTTGAGGCTACAGTTCTTGCAGAACACATCGCGAACAATGTGCTCACCCGTGATCATGGTTCGCGTGTCTGTCTTGGACAGATCCACATTTTTCACATCCGTGAAGAGGAATGCTGGGCCTGTAGAACCTAGAATACCAATGGCATTAACTGTATGCTTATAAAAGAAAGATTTTGTTGTTTTATATTTAGGTATTTACAGTATCGGGTAGACAATTATCGCATTTAACACTAAAAACATGAACAAAAATGCGATCTCACCTTGGAAAGCAGTTGATTGCAATCGACTTTCACTGGTAAGGTAGGTGTGACACTTCTCGCAATGATATGTGATCATCCCTCCAGCATGTTCGAGGTACACTCGACCCATTTCTTGAGATTTCTATAGAATTCTACCGGATTTTCTGCAAAAAGTAAATAAATATCAACATTGGGAAGATACAAGACTTATATCCTTTATAACCACAGAATAAAAAAGCATGAAATCAATGTGAAAAAGAACCGTCTCTCGTTGTTTTTTTGGGTGATAATTAACGAAAGTTTTGCCAGAAATAAATATAAAAAGTTCAATAACAAAGAAGCTCTAATTACAACGCGACAGAGAAACGTAATATAATTTTCAAGTGACACAAAGCCAATTGTAGTTGGAAAGGGATAAGTTACCAGTTATCTCTTTCTCTCTCCTTGGATAAGAAAAAAAAGTACGAAAAAAAATGAGTGCAAATATCGAATAATTCCAACGAAGTGTCAAAAAACTTTTTACTTCTAATCAGGGGTGGCCACCGGGCCGGGCCGGCCCGGCCCGGCGAAGCCCGGCCCGATCGGGCCTAAACGGGCCGGGCCTGGCAAATTTTGAAACGGGCCGGGCCGGGCCTGCTTTTTACCGGGCCGGGCCGCGGGCCTGAGCCATTTTCAGGCCCGGCCCGGCCCGGTTTTGTCGAAATGCCAAACGTTTGGCATTCAATGTTTTCGCGCCGGAAAAATTTTTGGATAGGTTTGCATTTTTAGTATATCAAGTTCTACAATAGTTTATTACTTTATAGTACTTTTTTGCATATATGTTATAATATAAGGTCCAAATTAGAACATATAATACATATAGGATAGTTCTTAGCAGATTTTAGCACACTACAGAGGCGGTAAGATCAAAGGAAAATTTCCAGCTCGCGCCCTAACCGGGCTTTTACCGGGCCGGGCCGGGCCTGATTTCTACCGGGCCGGGCCGGGCCGGGCCTGCAAAATTTTGAACCGGGCCGGGCCGGGCCTGGGATTTTGCCGGGCCGGGCCCCGGGCCTGAAATTTGGAAAAAGAGGCCCGTTTGCCACCCCTGCTTCTAATTTTTACAATTTGTGAGAGGATCAGGAACGCGCATAATGCGATTCGACTATACTTTGGGCTTTGTACAATTTTATCTCCTTGTTTATTACAATTAAATTTTTTAGACATTTAAATTAGACTTGCATCAGTTACAATATAAATTATTTACATCACCATTTATGTACACAATAAGGCCATTGATCTTCCGTCTTCATTTTCTGTGAGGTAGAGCCCGTATTCGTTGACCAATCACCAAATATTTTAGGTTATGGTCACATCGGTGCTAGTCACCTTTGATAATGATATCTCATTGGATTCCTCATCCGGTTATGATAATGTAATTCCACAGAAGGATGGTCATCCGGCATTCCATTGTTGATTATGTACTCAGGTAATAGTCGCTGCATTACCAGATCGACGGTTTCTTCATCATCATCAACATGTGGAATATCAGCTTTATCATGTTCATTGTTCATGCAGATAATGTAAGCCCATTCCAGAATGTATTGCCCTTCTTTATACTTCTGACTCTCTTCATATGCTAGTTCGTACATCCATCCGATTTTGGTCTGAAACGAGTAAGATCGGTTTCTTTTTTATAATATTCATGATCAATCAGACCGGAAATGATGTATTGAGACGACGACTCAGGTGTTTCTAAATTATGGAAGAGAGAAAAAAACGGTTAGAGCTTACATTGCACTGTGCGCAGAAGATATCTCTGACAATATGTTCCCCAGTGATCATGCTCTTCTTCTCCACGGACGAAGTCGTCACGTTGAAAGCATTCCGGAACAGGAACGCTTTTCCACTACCAGCTAAAAAAATACTATTACAATACCTACAACGTAAACTGAACATAGCCCCAAACAAAAATCTATGGGATTACGGTAATTACCTTGAAAGGCATCGCTTGTGAAATGGTCACTACTGGCCACGAAGGTCCGACACTTCTTGCAGACGAACACATGACTCCCATTGGGCACCTCGATGTAAGGACGCCCCATTCCCTGCAAACATACAATCATACCGATCAGAAAAACGTATTACAATTTGAATTTAAAAGGTGCTCTCTCGCGTCAAAGATACACAAAGTCGATAATCAGAAAAAAGCCATTTTCGACACGTTATCCTTCGCCGATTATTATAAAATTAATACCAAATTAAAGCCCGTAAAATTTTCTACAGAATATTAAAATTTCAGGGAAATTGGCCAAGAGCTGGCCGAGTTATGGTCGAAAAATCGAGAGAAAATAGAATCGGAGCGAAAGTGCATCACATGTCGGAATGGGAGTGGAAGACGGGGCGAAGAGAGAGCAGGCCTTTTTCAACCCGAAAGCTCTCTCCGAAGGCTCCTTTTCCACCAGTTTTCTCCACTTTTTATTTTTCGCATTCAAAAATTTTTTTATTTTCTCGGTCTCTTGTCCCAAAATAAATAAAAACATGACATGGGGTACCTCATTCCTAAGTGCCAAGTTGGCAGATGTTACCCGGCTCAGCATCACATCGGTCTTAACATGTCTTTCCGATCATAACTGTTGCTTATGTTGTAAAAGTAGGATGATAACAATTTGATGACTTAAAATTTGTTTCAATCAAAAAATCGGTAAACGGACGATAAAAACAACACATAGGGTAAAATACGAGAACAAAGTTCAACAAATATTTATTATTCACATAAAAAACATCAGAATTGCGCACTGTTTACTCGCTCTAAATAATGTACAGAGTGATCTTCCTTATTGACCAGCGTAAATCGCCCTTCTCGAAGTCGTTTCTTATCTCTGATCAACACAAAGGTCATGAAAATGATGGCCAAGAACCACAAATACATGGCAATCAGTCCAACCGAACATATGGCAAAGGCGGGGAAGAGCTGCGTGCCTAGTCGATCGTTGGATAACATCAAGAAGATCCCTAATCCCATTGATCCCATGATATTTAGAGCCTAAAAAGAGTATAATATGGCTCCTCAAGTCACAATTTATGCATACTTCTCATATCTTAGCTTACCAAGTTTACCATGAAAGGAATGAGGAGGTAATGGGCATTCCACAAGAGCCCTGTCAATAATAAAATGCTTGATAAAACTTTATACATGATGAACAAGAGAGCTGGAAGGGAGATCGGGAGAGATGCCGTTCTCTGATGCTGTCGCTCGTAATAGCACCAGACAAGAAGTACTGAAAATAAAAGGTCGTCTCTCATCAGCTTTCATTAATTCTTTATATAAATCTACGGGCAAGCACTCTCATACCTTATAATAACTAAAATTAATATTAATACTATGAGATTTACATCTCATACCTCACTTGATCTTAAAAGCGGTTGGTTCAAAAAAATGTCGCAATAAATTTACATAAAGGTTATTATCTTTATGTATTAACTTACTGACAACCGGATATAATGTAGAGAAAATGCCGATGGCAGCTGAAGCCGGCTTCAATTTGCATATACCAAAACAACATTTGTACTTTTTCATTGTTGAATACAAATTTAGAGGTCTTTCCGATGGAATTCCCGCATCCAGAAGTCCGACGGCACTTAATGTTGAGGCATAGACACTGATCGTGCTGTTTTTGATACTAGAAAGGGCTGAAACGACTACTCCGAAGGGCTTCTGTAACCGAAGTTTTTCGAATTCATTGGGAAGTTGGAGAGAGGACGTTCGTCGGAGCTGTAAATCTTATATATATATCCATGTCTACGAGTCGCTACAAAAACTTTCATGCAAAATTTTTCTCACCGTTCTTCCTCTGTAATCATGGCTAACATGGAGTCTGGAAGCGGGCACCGTGCCATCCATTGCACTGGAGTTTTTGGCTTATAACTGCAAAGCTTCCGTAAATATCTTCAAAGTATATCAAATATCTCAGAAAGGCATATTAATCTGCCGGCGAGCAGGGAAAAGGGAGTTAGGGGAACGTAAATAACAATAAGACTTGTACTTTTATTGCGATGTTCATGCACATTCAAGGCTCCGATGAAAAATAAAAGCCACCAGAAGGAGTAAGTAATTGGTAAACATCACTAACAACCACTCCAATATGCAAATCGAGTCGTAAAAGGCAAGATGATTTATATATCAGAGACTTGTACTTCATGTGAAGATACGTATTCACTAAACAGGGAACTTCCGCACGCATTCTCTGTGTGCGTGCCAGAGTCTAAATTGCCGACCAAAAATGATAATATATTATAGTAATTTCACAAAAATCTACAGTAAAATGATGATTAATATTTCAAAAAAAATCCTGCAATAACATGAAGTATAAAAGATTCACAAACTACGTACCGCTCCATTTTAAGAAACGTAAAAATTCTGTGAAAAGAACGTGTAAATGATCCTCTTTGAATCTACATCTGCATCATTAAAAGCCTTTGATGAAGACGGAAATATCAATTATTGCAATAAAAACATCTGGTATGAAGAAAGACTAGACTCCAAAGCGGTGATTATCAATAATAGGAGTTTGATGAAGGTTCTTAATGACGTTATACATAACACTTGAAGGATAAGATTTATTTAGTCAAAAAATTAAACTCGAAGCGCTCCAATCTTCCTCTCCTTGGGGAGATTAAACTATCAGACGATACTACAAGTATATAGTCCATGGTACTCTACTTTCAGCACCCTTTGAACTCGCCGTAAGGACGTTTTGACCTAGTGTGATTAGGTTCGGCGTTACGTCATCCGAGTGCAATATAACCTAAATTAATTCCTGATAAATGCGGATATGGGATCCACGCCTCTGATGAGTGATGTGACATCTCTGAGGGTCCAATTAAGCCGCGTTATGTTCCCGTTTGGCAGGCTTATGCTCCTCGGGCCGAAGGGCGTGTATCAATTATAAAAACGAAGAATATCACGAGTCGAGCGCGTCCCTACCGAAAAAATCTCAATTTGTTCGAGTACCATTAGCCTCTATGGCCGAAGAGGCCGTGCCTTGCGAAGCCACTCTTATTATCACAATAAAGCCAATAAATATTCAAATTTGATTTGGTGGGCTATGTTTGGAAAGTGCTGGAAAAGCGGACCCAGATTAGAGTTATATGTTGTAATTGCGGGATTAGCCTCCTTCAGTCATCCAAACAGGTTACATTAATAAATTTGGGAATGAGAGATGAGGGATTGGGAACTTGTCTTTCATAAGTAATTAAATTCTCAGTTCTAAACATATTCCTTTACATATTGAAGTGATCAGAGATGAAGCCAAAGCCCTATAACGCACTTTACGTACTGGTTTTGCATACTCTAATTTCTCCAAAAATAGCTCTACAGAACATCCCGTAAGGACAAGAAAAATGTGCGTGCAATGCGTCATCATACGCGATAATTAAAGAGAGCTGTTATTATTTATTATTAAATTCTTGAATACCCACGGTATTTATATAATTATGATTATGTGAAAAATAGAGAATGTACTACAAGGGGGGATATTATTGTAAACTGTAAGAGTAACGGTAACCAAAGAAGGTATGAATATCAAAAATAAAAAATTTATTCGTTCTACCTACGCAATGATTACAGTCGTCTCCAGAGACCATGACATACCTTAACATACATTACTAAAAATAAAACCATGATATTGCCAATGTCATCCATGTTACTTTGACCCAGCATTGCATAAATGAAAAAAACGAAAAAGTTTCACAAGGGATTACTTTTGCCCGATTTCCCCAAGTAATCGTAAAAAAAGTTTCCACCTCCTGTCGTTGACCAACATTTTACTCCTTCAAAACAAAGAATTTAGCCCTTAGGGCGTGTAAACTAAAGATATAATTATTTTTTGCTCTCTTTGTGTACACAACGATACTTACTGCTACAATTTCTATTCTCAAGACTCTTCGTTAAACTCATTGCAAATTTATCAAGGAAAATTATGCACACACCGCGACATTGGTTATTATAAAAGACTTTTCTCAACATGGAATTACAAAGGCAAACTCTAATTACGGACCACAGGGATGTCCCAACAGACCGTTTAATAGAGATGCCATCAAATGGAACGCTGTTTTCATCCCAAGTCCAATTAGAGAAACCCTAATTATTCTCAAAACAAGGACAAACATACTTGTCAGAAAACATAAGAGTTCTGGCATGTCCAACACGTTGGACGAACGGCACAAAGCATTCCAGAAATAAATAAAGTAGCCAAATTTGCAATGTTTACATCAAATAAAAACATCTGTTACGGATGAGGTACAGTAAAATGCAAGCAAAAACACAAAAAAATGATGTCATTTTGATGTAAATCCGACGATAGTCTTTTTTTTATGGATTTAGGTTTTAAGGTTTGTGTGGTTTCGTCCATTTCAATCACCTTATGTTCAATGTCCAACTTCCCAAGCAAAATGTTTTGTCATTCCTGCACATGTTTCGGCCAAAAAACACTTGGCCATAAAATATTAAATTTGTCAGAGTGGTCAGTCAGAAGGCGGAATCAGATCAAATGTCTTCTCGCCACCGCCCGCACCGAGAGAGCGCGTCGATCGCGGAGAGTGGGCAGATTTTTTGTTTTTTTTTTCGAAATGACTCATTCAGACTCCCGGTGTACAACTTCTACTACAAGGCTGCTGCTAAAGACCTTGAAATAACCTCCGTTTACTGGTCGCGCGTTTCTTGCGGACCCATCTCCATCTCTTGAGGTTGATTTTGTGGATGGTGGGGGATTAATTGCAATCCAACCCTCCGGGCATAAAAGATTTATGGTTCACACTTTCAGATGGAGCTGGGTGTTCGCGAGACATCAATTCACTTTGTTTTTTCTTCAGAGGTTTTGCGGGCAGGTTCTTCTTGTTTTGTTTGACTTGTATCACAATGCCCAGAAAATGCGTCATTGTGACACTCCTTTACCAGTTGTTTTACACAAAACGGCCGTCCTTTGATTATTCAGCATATTTATTTACCCTTTCTAAGAATATAGGTGTCACTTCAATCCGTCTTCTAAGAATTTCATATGACGCATTTTCCAGACGTCTCATTTGTTTTATTATTTTTTCGATCAAAAATTTTTTATCAATGGAGAGATCAACGATAATGTGCTAATTGAAGAAGAGTTGATGTGTCTCCGGCCCGAATGAGTGTGGATCAGGCTATCGACCAGAGCTCCCAGGATTTCGAGCAGGTCCGAGCCCTTTTCGCGGCCCAAAAAATAACTTTGAACGGCCGGGCAGAGACAGGTAAGCTAACTCTTGTTATTTTATCGATTGTCTTCCCGTCACGGAATAGTCACGTGATTCTGTCGCTATGAATAATATTTATGAAACAAAATCTTGAAAGAATTTCGATAATTTAGGCATAAATTATACAAATCAATTAGTTTAGGTAACATTTCCAAGTACTTCAACCAAGATAGGGTTACCTGACAAATCGTGGTGAATCCCGCCATTTTAAGGAATCACTTTCTCTAAAGCCATATTATACTAGGTGAACCTATGCAATTGTTCCCAAGACTAGTTCGCGCAATAATTACACTAATTATAGGTAATCAGAATGTTTCCGTGGGAAGTTCGAGAGCCTCGCCTCAGCCACCTCGGAAGCCAACCAACCTACCACCCCTGCCAAGAAAGCCGGCCCTTCTGAAAAGGCCTCCGCTTGCATCGAAACCGATTGTAACTGAGGAAATGGTTTGTGGAACGGTGCGATCGGTGAAGGACGTGGTTCGGCAGTTCGACAGCCAGCATAGGTATGAGCCAAATATGCAAACAAAATGGTCTGCGTCCGCTTCTTTTATAATCCGACCAGAAACTGAGGGACGGGGAGGGTAGCTCGCTCTATATACCACGTCGGTCTGCTCTATTTGTTTTGCAGGAGAGGGAACTTACTTTACAGAGTGCTTGGGGATTCTTCCGGAATTTAATGGCCATGACTTGGGTGGTTTTACCTTATGTGGTCTAAAGCTAGAAGATAAAGTCATATAAAAGGCAGTGCGTTCGAAGAAGATGAGTGGAATTTCTTGTCTTTAGTTCACAGTATAAATTAGTTCCTTTTCCTGGAAACGTTGTGTTTTTGTTTTTTCTCAGCTCAGCCCTTTTTTGGGAATGATTATCAGCCCGTTTTCCCAATTTTGCAAATTTGAAGTTCAAGTGTAATTTCCAAGTTTATTCGATCAGCGCTCTGCTCGAAATGACAACTCCCTTCATGCTTTTTGCACAACTCCTGTCATCCCTCCTCATTTCAATCAAACATTATAAAAGACGGCTCTTTTTTATTATGTTTATTTTGTTTTCAGTTATCTCACCGGGAACATGATACCCTCGGTTTCGGTGGAAGACAAGTCTGATGGACCGAAGGTGGATTCAGAAGACTCGGATTCTGATTATTCCGATGATTTTGCGGACGTTCCGTCCAGGAAGAATTCATTTATTGGCCCAACCAAACAAATTCATTCTAGTATTATGGAGGAGTTGAAGACGAAGGGGATCCTTAAGAAGTTGTCTGTTGTCCAGTAAGTTCATTCGATTAAAAAGGTGCGTGATTATGGCAAAGTTCTTGTTTGGCCATTTTCATCTTCCGATTTATTTATGGAAATCATGATTCATGAAAAAATCATTTTTTATTGTCTCTGAGCATTTGGTTGTTTGTATTGGGATTTTACGGAACAAGATTGTCATAACCGTCAAGAATGTGTTATTCCTGTAGGAGATGATTAAATAATTTGATGAAAAGTTTTTATAGTGGATGTTTTCAGACCCATCCTTCCTCCAGATGTCGGTCGTATGCGTCCCCAGAGTTCCAAAGTCAATCGGGCTGCCCAGAATTCTTGCAAAAGTGAGCCCCCACCACCTCCGAAGAAGCCGGCTTCTTTCGATGGGGAGAAAGAATTTGACCGGCGGTTGACTCAACAATTCCTAAGTGTAAATCAGAAGAAACGAATTGAGTATGGAATAGTTTATTATTTTTTAATTGTGATTTAGAAGCCCCACATCTCTCGAGAGTTCTCCCAGCACATCTACGTTATCCGAAGATGTTGATCTTGAAATTTTTGAATACAAAGCAGATGATGAGAAAGAGGTATGAAGATTGTTAGTCTTTATGGATCACTATTTTCTTGTTGAATGCGTTATAGTATCTTTTTGCTTCAACTTTGATGTTGTTTTAGAGTCGTCGCCTAAAAGATCTCCATGGACTGATCCACGAATTCTACAAAATGCAAAAGAATTATGTGGAGTTGTTGCGCAATATCGCAGTTTACTTCCCAAACTACATCGATGGTTTTATAAGAAGAACGAATCGGCAAGCTTTAATACCCCCATCCGATGGTCGCCCTCATGTTTTGGAACGCCTTGCCAGGCATTTGAACTTGATATTGAACGTTCATCAGGTTTTCTTAACTGAATTTGGTCAGAAATATCAGAAATGGTATGTTTTCGTGGTAATGCGGGTTGAATTTTGTTACGTTAATATTACGTTATGTCTTGGATTTTTTTTTATTGAAGACACCATGATTTTAGGGACTCCAGACAGCCAGATTTTGCATCTGTCTTCCTTAAATTAGCTGACTACCTCAAGATCTGCAGCGAATTCCTCAAAGAGAAGCAAGGAATTTGTGAAGAACTGACAAAAGCCCTCGAAGACAACAGAGATCTTGCTCATGTTACTAAATTGTTTGAAGACGAGGTGCTCAATGCTCAAAATAATGCTGATCAAACCAGTTCCACTTCGTCCTTGGCTTCGTTTACCCCCAGAGGGATCTCCCTTGTTATGCATCTAGATGGAGTACATCAGAATGTAGTTCGGTACAATCTACTCATGGAAAGATACCAAAAATTACTGCCATCGGACTCTGAAGAACACGAGATCGCTGAGAGTAAGCTTTTTTCTGTTTTTGTTTTTAGTAAACTCAATATTTGCTATAATTATCTTGGTCAATGTTTGTCTGGATGAGTCATATATTTATAATAATTTATGAACTTTTATTTTCAGAAGCCCTGAAGAGGTTGAAAGTCGTCTCGGAAACGATTAATATTCGACTGGCGGATGCTGATTCGAACCGAAAGATGATGGAATTGCATCGAAAACTTCAGGGTTGCTTCGATGTGTTCGCTCCTGGAAGAAGACTGGTGTTCGACTGCAGATTGATGAAGCAAAGTCGAAGGGAATTACAAGAAAGACATCTCGTTCTGGTATGTTCGCATGAGTAATATGTTTTTTCTGGTTGAGAACTTTGCTTTATTATAAAGTTTTATTTTAGTTCACGGACTACCTTCTGATTTGTCGTTACTCCCTTGGATCCGACTATTTCGACACTCAACGGATATATAGAATCCCGGTGGAACAACTTCGAACTCATGTGGAGGAACATGCGGACTATGAGAAGGAATTCGCTGTCATAAATCCAAAGAAGTCTCACATCTTCCTGTGTAAATCAAGATTGGAAAGAGATCAACTGGTAAAAAGACTGGATCAAACAATAAATGAATGGAGAAATGTGCGGAAAATGAGGAGGCCAAGAACGCAGATGAAACTCGATCCTCAGCAATTGCCAGTCATTGAATCTGCATCCACAACACCCGTCGCAGAAGAGAAGGAAATAGTAAAAGGTGGGTTATAGGTTACTAAATAATTTATTTGTTATATTTTTGAAGACGCCCTATGGATTCCTGACAACAAAGCCACAAAGTGTTTGATGGCCGGATGCGAGTCCAAATTCAGCGTCGTTGTAAGGCGTCATCATTGTCGAAATTGTGGATGGGTAGGCATTATTTGATATGAGAAGAACTATTTGTTTTTATAGCTAATCTGCCGTCGTTGCGTTGGCTATGCTCCAGTCAGAGCGAAAAACTTTGAATCGGTGAAGGTTTGCCCGGAATGCTTTGATCGCCTCTGGCTGGAATATCTAAACATGGATCTCTTCCCGACGGAGATGATCCAACTCTCCAAACCAACACTTCTCACCCAGATCATAACCAAACCAGGCATTACTCTTCATAACACCATCAATTCTGTGTGGAACTACCCGACGGAAGAAAATGAACCGCCACAATTCAATGGAAACGAAGAGTTGGCCAAAACTTTCAAAGCGGATCCATTGGATGACATTATTCGAATCATGTACGACAATGGAAGACGCGCGGAAAGACCCAAGGATCTCTTTAAGCCACCACAAAATCAGCATCTAAGAAGGGTTTCGGCACCTACAGCAGAATCGGAAAAAAAGATCTTGGCTACCGGTAAAGTGTTTTTAAGATCGCGAAGAGTTGGAGAGCAAGTCAAATATGCCCGATTCCACCAGAACTTATTTCTCAACTTTTATGATGCTGAATTCGTAAGTTAACAGAAAGAAATATAACGTTGTGTAAAATGTTGTGTAAAATTTTGACGATTTACTATAAAATTTCAGGATGGTCAACCTATCGAGTCTTATCTTATCCACGGCTTCAACTATAAAGTCGAGGACGCTGACAATGGTGGAACAATCTTTACGTTGGAGCATCAGAATCAGATTAAAACCGACCGAAAGTCAATCAGAATCGAGTTCCGAATCGAGAATCAAAAGGCCGTCGATCAATGGCAACAAGCCTTTGAGGACAACCTTCCCAAAACAGTCCAACCTAACCTCTGAGATCTACTATCTTGCCCTCCGGTGATGTTAACTCTCTCATCCTGTGATTCCTCCATTTCTTATCCTAACTCTAGACTTTTACCGAGTTTAAAGCTCAAAATAACGGGTTTCTATTTCGTTTATATCATACAGTTAATAAATACTTCCCTATTTCTATTACCTACCATTTATTATGTACAAAATAACAATAACAGTAAATTTTAACAACGTTACGTTATATCATAACCTCGCCTCCATCTTGTTCATGGCTTTTAAAGCTCATTGGACTTGGTGCGTTTAAATTCTCATGGATTCCCCGTAGATAATCCTTCAATTCATCCACTTGTCGATGTTTGGCACTGATCGCAAAGATCTTCCGGAACTTGACTTGAGCTATCGGGCGTAATGCTTCGGGAATTTCCTTCCACCATCCTCGATTAGACAATTTGCCCAGAACTTCTTGGGTTTTCTAAAAGTATTGTCAGTAAATACACTGCCACATACTTCTTCTCCAACCATATCCTTTTTATTCAACGCGATAACTAAAGGTTTCCTTATTAGTTTCGGATCATAAGCCTCCATTTCTTTACACAAAATTGCAATCGACTGATAGACATCCCTAAAAAGAGTCATCATTAAAACTTAACATACCTGTAGGGTTCTTCAAAGTGTGCCGATAACTGGAATCCATTTAAATCAACGACCATAACAATAATCTCACTGTACTCTAGATGCTTCAGAAACGCATACCCTCGACCTCTGTTCCTTGATGCACCTTCAATAATTCCAGGAAGATCAGCAACACTCAACGAGAACTTGTCTTCCGAGGCGTCTGTTTCGTACTCTACGTCCAAAACTTGTGGCTTTATGGTGGTGAATGGATAATTGGCAATCTTCACTGAAGATTTTGGGACGAATGCCTTCAAAAGTGTGGACTTTCCAGCATTCGGAAGACCAACAAGACCAATATTTGTGTTCAACTTTAAGTGGATAGCTAATCGTATGTGTTGTCCTTGCTCACCTCTAAACACTAATTGTACGACAACGCAGACTTACTTGAAATTGTTTGCCACTGAGCCGCCTCTTCCACCTTTTGCCATCAAACACTTTACTCCTGGAACCACACATCTGGCCAATAGTAACTTCGTATCAATGTCCACACATTCTACTCCAACTGGCACTTTAATAATCTGAAAGTAAATAGCTTGTCTGTAGTATGAACTTACCGTATGTTCACCGGGCTCTCCAACAAGTTTCACTTTTTGCGCGTTCTTCCCGCTCTCAGCTTTTATAACCCAACCTTTGTGCCTGTATTTCTCATAAACCTTTGCAAAATCAAGATTTCTCTCCGGCATAACGTAGATATTTCCCCCAGCTCCACCGATTCCGTTGTATCTCGCAAGACCATTACCCCCACTTCCCGCTTTAAGGCTTAACCTAAGGACATCATTATACACAATGTCCGTCCTATTCCGAATGAAGACAAGAGTTTGACCCAACCTCCTACAAACGCTCATAAATCTGATAAAAATTTGGTTTCCTTATATAACTTCATAAATATTCGATAAAACAACAACATAAGTGCCAACAATCAACATTTTGTTCAAAGAAATAACATCTTTATAAACAAAAGAAATAACGAATGTCGACCAACAAAAAATGAACCGATCCAACGCCTTAACGTTTGCGACGAACGATGAAGGTGTTGTTCCTCTTCCAGGCGGCTTTGCGAGAACCTCCGATTGTCTTGTTGTAGGACAGACCCTTTCCAAGACCACGGCTCTTTCGGCCAGCTGAGGTGAGACCACGAAGTTCACGATGTTTGTGGACGGGCTTGGTGATCCATTGGGTGTCTGGGTTCTTGCGGATAACGGTGTTCGCGGGGTCAACAAGGATGACTTCGAAGTATTTAAAGACGGAGTCCTCAGCGATCCAGTACGAGTTCAGAACACGGAGTCCACCACAGAGACGACCAACGCGCTCCTAAATAATATTTTATTAATCTTAACGCAGACCCTAAAAGACAAAGAAAAAATGTAAAAAACTTACTTCAGCGACAGATTGGAGGTTACGGGCGAATTTGAGTTCGTTGACTCCATGAGTCTTTGGCTTACCATAAGTCTGACCCTTGGTGACTTTGCGCTTGCGGCCTCCTCTGCGGACACGGACGCGGTACACAACGTATCCTAAAAATATTATAAATTATTAACAGCACATTTAAAACACAACCAAAAAAATTTAGGGCAAGTAGTGCTAATATTCACCAAAAGAAACGACGAAATCCATGAATTTTGCAATAAAATGCCATTCATACAATTTTTTGAAAAAAAAATTTGAACATGAAAAAGCTCTAGCACTTCAAAAAGCTAAATCGAACAATAAAATATGTGCCTACCTTCCTTAGCCTTGTATCCGAGACGGCGAGCCTTCTCGGGGCGTGTTGGCCGTGAAGCACGATGTATTCTGGTCAACTGACGATAGTGCCAGGTGCGGATTCGCTGCAGATACCGGACGGTGTCACTCTGCTTTTTGCGCCATATTTCTTGCATGTACTTGTAGGCACCCATGTTGGCTAAAAGAGCTATAGTTTACAAATAACACAAATTCAAAAAATATGAATACCACGACAAATTGGAGATAACCATGATTCTAACACAACAAAAGGTAAATTTATTCAATATGACTTAAAAAGACCAAAAAAAGAAAATCTTCAAGTGGTTTACAACAAAATCAACGAAAAAGTAAAATTTTTCAGAAATCTAAAAAATAATTTCCTCCCCAAAATGCGAAAAATGGGGATGCAGAGCCTGAATCTACGGTAAGGAGCAAGCGCGCCAATTCAAACGCCAGTTTTGTAGGAAGACTTGACCCACTCATTTCCTATCGGGACACGTGTTTCACTGCTCCATTTCACTCGCGAAAAAAGCCGGCTCTCGAAAGGAGGTCGTTTTTACGTCTCGTGCTAGTTTTTCGGACATCTCTAGGACTGCCATCCTGTTTTCAATTGCTGGTTTGACCTTTTGCTTCGGATTTTCTTGTGATCTTTAGGTTTTTTCTCGTCTGGTTTTGGAAACTCGAGACATTGTCATTTTCATGGCGAAATCACGGTTCTACGGGTCTTATTGATTTTCGGGACTTTATTATCGCTCCTTCGGTGAACGAAAATTGATATTGCTGTTTCAGCTAATTTACCTGAAGTTAAATTAACGGAAAACAATGCCACGAAAGATTATTCTCCAATCCAACGACAACGAAGACTTTGAGGTGGATCGCGATGTGATCCGTCTCTCCAACACGTTGAACACCATGTTCCAAGATCTTGGAATGGATGATCCGGAAAGCGCCGATTCGCTGAACGAGCCAATTCCTTTAGCCAATGTGAATGGAACCATCTTGAGGAAGGTAATCCAATGGTGTCAATACCACAAGGACGATCCTCCTACTCAAGTGGATTCTGACCGTAAAGAAAGAAGAACCGATGACATCTCCAGCTGGGACGTTGAGTTCTTGAAAGTCGATCAAGGAACCTTATTTGAACTGATCTTGGCCGCCAACTACTTGGATGTGCATGGGCTCTTGGATGTAGCATGCAAGACTGTTGCCAACATGATTAAAGGAAAGAGCCCCGAAGAGATCCGTCGCACCTTCAACATCAAGAACGACTTTACTCCCGAGGAAGAGGAACAAATCAGAAAGGAAAACGCCTGGTGCGACGACTAAGCTATTGTTCTAGTACTCCGTTCTCATAATTAGTGTGTCTTATCGAGCACCGCATGTTTCGATATCTCTTGTGTATTTGGCATATGTATTTCTCCGAAGTTTTAATTGTTTATTTACACCCGTATCATGATTGCACATAAAAAAGTAAATTTTTACTGAGTATTACTTTGATTCCGGCGATGCTCTCTTTGTGATTGTTGATAAGTTGGAGGTGGCGGAGGATAGAGAGCATCGAATTGGGGTGGATGGATCTGATAAATGGGAGAGATAGGCACTTCTGGGGATACGGTTGAACGACTCTTGGAGTTGAGAGAGATCCCAGCCGCCATGAAGAGCAAGGAGGTGATGAAGGCGGCAGTACTCTTGAATACGAACCGTAGTTTTATTATGGCTAATGTTTCCGAGGATTTGCAACTGTCATTTTCAAATAGGATACCAAATGCGGAGACCAGGACTAACCCAGCGGAGAATAAGAATGTGGACGCAGCTAGTCTGAAAATAGACGTCGGATATAAGTAGGTGTACGTGAATAGCTTGACTAAAGTTTTCAAATGGATGAATGAACTTACAAGGAAACAATAAAATAGATCTGAGACTGTATCCTGAAGTGTTTTAGCTGCATAAATAACATCAGGGCGATGACTAATAGAGACAGCAACGAGAAATACGCCACGGAGGAGTCTGAAAGTAAGGGATAAGTGACGTAAACGTTGGCACAATAAAACGACTGATTCGGACAGGACCTACGGAATGTCAACGTATAGGGATATTCGAAGTCTCCCAGGCATCCGTCTGTTTCTTTACCACTTTTTGTGCGTTCCGAGTAAACCAAATTCTCCCAGATGAAAAGGCACATCATGAGGACATTGTTGAATAGGAAAGCCAATAAAAAGATGAGTTTTGTACAGAATCTATGAGCATTTTCTTTTCTAAAGCAGTATCTGAGGTCAGTCAATCGCCTCCAGCATTCCATTCTAGACCCTGAAGGGCTGAGAATTTGGGCTGGATGCCTTCGACCGGTGGATGGAGCCATCTGGGACACCAATCAGGTGGTTCACAGCATAATCGACTGCTGAAAAGTATAATATAGAAGTGTATATGGGAACAAGGAATAGAATGACACATTGAAATGTTGGTGAGTTCTCGGACTAAATGCTTGGCAAGCCCAACACGTCAAATGAAACATTAATTTGATTACTAATCAAGCGAGGGAAGCAACGGAAAGAAGTTATTGGAGATACAGTATATTTGGAGGTTGGCGGTGATCCCATGAATAAAACCACAAAGTTTATAATTTTGAAAAAGAAACTACACAAGTCTATGACTAAACAGGATGCTGGAAATTTATATCAAGAGTAAAACACATGTGAATTTTGATAAAAATATTAATGGATTCTGATAAGGCCAATCCTGAAATCCGTAGTTGTTGGTCAAAGAATATTGTTCATAACGGGCATTAGAAAAGAATACGCAGAAAGTGGGTCTACAATCGAGAAAATGGGAACGCATTTAATACAGGATATTAATCATCATTCAAGGGAACTCTAAGAAGAAATTAATTCATGGACTCTACCAAAGTAAAACTGACAAACATTATCCACGAAAATGTATAAAATTGTTGAAAAGGCATTGTTGAACCGTAAAAAAGCGAAGACAACAAGGTGTAGGGACGGTAATATTTTTGTGCGTATAATAGAATGCTAAAATGATTATTAAAAAGGAATTATCAACATTTTCCCAGATGACACGTAAATAACCTCGACGTGAGGTTGTTTTGTGAACAACCATCACATCCGGAACCGTTATAAATGATGTAAATCCCATCACTCCACAAAAACAGGGACCACGGGCTTTTGCGAACGCCCTGGACTAGCATTGACCTTTTGTGATGTGTAAACTTATCCAAAAACCGTTTCGAAACGTTTCATTTACGCCCTCAGGGCAAGAGACATATTCTGGCTGAGGGTTTTTGCATCTCCAAACTGGTCGTTATCAGCAGCAACTGCAGCGGCTGATACGACTCGTATTTGAATAATGGGGTTACGATGACATTTGACGTCAATAGAAAAGGGGTCTTGGAGGAGGGGGGAGGGTAAAAAGGGAGATTCAAAATTATACAAAATTTTGAAATTTTTATGAGCAACATAAAAGATCAAAGTTTAGTGCACAATAATCAAACAGCAGCAGTAATGGGCAAGATACGAACGCCGAAAATAAACATGCCCGTGTGGAAAACGAAGAAAATATTTTATAAGAAATACGATAGGTCTACTTGGCATAACATATACAGGAGGTGAAAGAGGGTAGAGAAAATGTATTTGCTTAGGCTGGTTGATCAAAACAAGTTGAATAACAGGTTTTTGAAGACAGATCTCTGATCAAGATAATGCTAAAACAGTTATGCTAATTACGGTTTTAAATAAAGAAGATGAAAGATCATCGAATCAAACTCATGATCTTATTTAGAGATGCATAAAATGTTGTTCGGAACCTGATCAAACCACGAAACTGTGGTGTCTAATATTGAATGCTTATATAGTTTATATAGTACAATAAAAAGGTTGAGGAAACATTTAGACAAGGTCTTAAGAGCAGAAGTCATGTGAAATATATAATTGTCCTTGCCATCGGTAATTAGAGAGGGAATTTCAGTCACCATCGTCCTGCAAACCCGAATCCTCACTTCCAATTACGATTTCGTACTTTTGAAGGGCTAAAAACAACTGCAGCGAAATAAATTTATTCCCGATCGATCTCTCCCGGCTTGGACAAACAACCTGGCCAATATTGTGGTTCTAATAAAAAGAGCGTTTTACGTCTCTCACGCGCCCCCCTCGCTTTGCTTCAATTTTGCGGTGAATCAGAGTCAGCCTCAGGAAAACATCAAAAAAGGGGGACTGGAGGTAGTCACAAAAGGGAATCCTCTATTCGTATGTTTGGAGACGGATCTCTTTTTATCATTGTACAATCACTCCGCAAAGCAGAATACATTATTATTCTTAGCAGTTAGCCAGAGGTACACAATGATCATTCATTCCAACGTATCCGGTTCGAATTTCAAAAAAATTGGAATTGTAATAAACAATGACAAAAGATACTAACAGGAGCTGATAGTGGCTTTATCTAGTAATCTGAGACAGAGACTGTGCCCTCCAAATTGGATGAAATTTTGAGAAAAATATAAAACAAAGAAGATTTTGGCCAATCATGAATATTCTTTGGTTTATATACTAGACCTCGTCCCAATCACTCATCAAAGAAATTGGCTGCAAGTACCCCATAAAATAAAATATCCGTCATTTTCACCATGAATTAGTTTCTGACACGCAACATCAAGATGACAGCTATGGTTTCAATTGTAATGTAATCTATTTACTATGTTCCTTTCGAGTTATGAAAAGACAAAGAAAAAAACCCTTCCCGTTAATTAATACGCCAGAAACACTGGCGCAATTGCAAACTTTCTGTGCTGACAACTATTAATTGCCATTCTATAAAATAATATTTTGGATAAGTACTAAAAGTTTAAGTGATCGAGCTATTTTCTGGAACTACCGAAATAATTTTAAAAATTTTGTAAAAATTTTCTGAAGTTGAAAGCCTGCATGAAAACCAGATGTTTCGTTTACATCGATGATGCGTGTGTTACGCATCCTTGCATGATGTTTCCATTTTTTTTGATTCCCCTAAAGACGATTAGCTGCGATGAATTTCGAAGACAGCTGCCTTCCGTCCTCTTGAATACGTAATTTGTACAATAGACGATTGAATTCACAAAGACACTGGTGTCAAGCGCAAAAATTGCCAGGGTGAAGTATGCAGACCTATTTATAAAATTTTGCGTTTTTATTGAAAAGTTTCCTTCGTTCTCATTAATATTTTCCTTTCCGCAATTTCATTAATTCCTTTTATAGTCATCATCTTCTTACTGTAATATCAACTTTCGCCATAAAATCGCGCAATTCCCTGCAATTGTCCTCGTAATAGTTAATGGCATTCTCCACTTTCACCGATCTCTTCCTCTGCCCATCTTTGGTCCACTTCCTGAGGCTGATTGACCAGTCGCCATCTGCTCTGCGCTGACCGCAACGCGAGCGCAGCTGCTCCCGTCTGTTCTCGACTCCCGCGCGGCCGATTCATTCGCCCCCTTGCGCTTCGATCAAGTTGAGGGGACAGAAATTTGCATTGCAAATCCCTTTGGCCCCGCCCCATCGGGCTCCTTCATTGTATTTCTTGGGCTCTTTGTAACGGCTAATTTTGCCTTTTTTCGTCCCTCCGCGGGTCTGGCGGTGGTCTGCCCTCCATATTATTCTTGAGTAACAATTCTGTCAGTTTCTTTGACATCTCTTCAATTCGAGATCTCTTTTCCCCTTTGGCCTTTTTCTTGGACAAACTGGTTGTGCAATCGTTGGCCTTTTTGATTCTCCACCCAACTTGCTTCTTCAATCTCTCAATTTCTCAGCCATCTCTGCCCTCCGGCTCCTCTACACACTCGGATGCCGAGCCCTGCGGCATTGGGGGCCCAGATGCCGCCCCATTCTCGGGCCTTCCCACATCTAATGAAGCCGCCATTCAGTCCGAGGCGAGCAAACATTGCGTTGCAGCAGCAAACCCAGGCCTGCGGGCCTTTGGGTCGCTCGCACGACGTCGGGCTGGATGAGTTGCGCAATCTGCGGCCACAGCGCTGGGGATGGTTCCATCAGGCCAATGAGGTGAGGACTTTTTTCTTTTTGTTTGTTTGCGCTGATTATTGACTTTTATGGTGGTGGTTAGGGATGAGAGGGGTTTAGGGGGTTACAAACTGTGATAAAGTTACAAATTTTGATTTAACAACTGGCAAGAATTAGAAGAGCGACTAAAGAGGTAACCTGTTGTTCTATTTTTTCCTCCCTGAAGTCAAGGTGTTTCCTCCCTTTGTTGCGATTTTAATTCCCGGCTTTCCTCTCGAATGGCCATACCATAAAAAGTAATTTTGAATTAAAAGGATTAAATTTTTATAAAAAATTTCCAAACAGCATTTACCGTCGTTTCATTCTATTCTTTAGCCAATCCACTTACGTTTTCTTATTTTGTATTTTCTTTACCGTACTAAAATTGAATTACGCAATTAGGCGAGGGATCGGCGATTGACTTTGTATCCGTCTCTTCCGCCGGAAATTTTTATTTAAAATTTTCCGAAATTTCGCGCAAATCTTCATTAATCAAGACAAGAAAGTTGGGGCCGCACTTTCACTCTCTTTTTTATGGCTCGAACCATATTACTGCCAACTGTCGTTGTAAAAAAAAGGCGAACGAACATCTGCGCCGATCCCAAGACTTTCGGGATAAAAGTGTGGCAAAAAAAGGGTACCAGGACGTATCGCGTTACCTGACTCAACGCCCTTTCAATGACCGCTAGAATGACCGTTTAAGGCAGCCGGGACGGAGGAGGGTGGGTGCGGGATGATAAGGCAAAAAAGATCGCTCGGGAATACGCATTAAAGGCTGGGAAAGCGGGAATAATATATATTTGTAGGTCACTGGGACGTATATAATACAGTAAAGTAGTTCAGTTATATTTCTAATTTTCGAAAAAAGATTGTATAATAAATACCCTTTATACCAAGTAATACTTGTTTCTTTTAGCGTCTCTCGAGTTTCGAAGCCCATTTCACCGAAGATTCAGTCCAATTCCACCCTGATTACGCCTATGGAACGGCTGCCGCCCTTGGAAATCATATCCTAAATGAATCTAGCATCAGTTATTGGGAACTGAAGGTCCCTTACATCTACGGGACCTCGGTTATGTTCGGCATAGGCACTCTGCAAACCCCGGTCAAACTTGGCAACCGATTTGACAATCTTCTTGGGCTGGAGGACACAAGTTATGGTCTTTCACACAAGGGAGTACTGTATCATAACGGAAAAGAAAGGAGTAATTACTGTGAGGAATTCGAGGAGAACAAGATGGCTGTTGTCGGGATGTACTTCAATGGTCCAGAGAGACGATTGTCCTACTTTTTGAACGGAAAATATCTTGGAGTTGCCTTTGAGAACATCAATTTGGATAAACCAATGTATCCAATGGTTTCGAGGTAGGGGGATTACTGTAGTCTAGACTTAATTGAGGCTAGCCTACAAAATTTATGTTTTATGTTTAGTACGGCAAGGAAGTGCACGTTCATCCTACAAAATCAATATTCCAACACTGATCTCTCCCTTCGAGGCATCTGCAAAAGATATGTCATACACAAGCTCGAATGCCATCCACATTCCCTCAATGATCTCGGTCTTCCGTCCGCATTGGTCGATGAATTGAAAAAAGATATAGATCACAAAACTCTCCATAGTTCTCTTCCCCGTTCCACATCAACATCACCTTCAAGACAACGGAAACGGCCGTTTAATGACATCTCCGACCTTACAGATGAGGCCAGTGCCGCGATGTTGATGAGTTTCCTCTCAAGTTTCCAGTATGATCAGTTGGTTCAGGTGGCATGGGCCGCCGGTATGGAAGAGCGCTGTGATCGGTAGTGCTTTACATTGCACAACCTTGTGTTTGTAGATATTTTTTGAGTAGATTGTAGGTCAACAAATTAAGTGTATTTATTCTCCGGTCCTGTCAGATACGCAAGTTTTACCATTTGGCACATATATGTAATATTTATTGAGGTAGAGGAAAGAATGACAAGAGTTTTTGGTTCGGAAACAGAATTTTTTATTTTTTTTTCTGGTGATTAAACAGAATAATTCAGAAAATATTTTAAAAACAATGTCATCCTTTTCTCTCTTCAGACTCTGATGAAATGTCATCGCGCTCTCTCAAACTCCACCTAATGCGGAAAGAAAAAGACTATTGTAATACTATTCAACCCCCATAATTAAGTCCCATGTCCCTTAAAATTAATACTGGCCGTTCGAAGACGTTCCTGGTCCTGCTGGATTGGAAGTGTGGTTGCCCGAGTTCGTCTCTAGTCACCCGGCCCTCTCCGAGTCCCCCCTTGCCCTAATTCCCGCCCAGTCCCACCGAATGATCTCTAAAATCATTTTATCTTTCAATTTATGATTCCAATTAATCTCATGTTTAAATATCATTGTTGTAAATCCTATTATTTTATGAATCCAACAGAGGAAAACGATCAAGTGACATCCCAAAAACGCATTTTTTTATTCATTTTGCCTTTGAATTATGTACTCTCGGCCAAGACGGTCTATGTTTATAAGAATTGTTGTATGAAATCTGTCCGAAATGATAACCAATGCTGAGTAGCTAGTCCAAACACACCCTTTACAAGGTGAAAACACATTTCTTTCGTATTTGATGGAGAAAATAAATAATATAAGCATAGTTCGGCCTCTACATGCCTTCTGATCAATAAATACCTAAAACATCAAGAAACGCCCAAAACTTGATAATAAATATTTTATTTAGGTAATTAGGAATAAAGCGTAGGAAATACTGATAGAATAGTAGCATGGCCATAATGCCCATTAATATTATATATGGCCATGTTTCACAGGAGATACACCATAGGCACATCTATATTTAAAACTAGGTATAACCGAGGATTGTGAGCGTGAATGATGATGAATTTAGAGGTTCAAGGGCCTTGTTGAGGTGGAGCAGGGGTGTTTCTGTCCCTGAACCAAACAGTTTCCTTGTAGGCATACCAAATATTGGAAGCAAACAGGATGAGAGAGGCAAATCCAGCCAACTGAAAGAGGAAACAAGTAATAAGGGACTGGGATCAATTCTAAACTCATAAACAACATTCCAATACTCCGACGAAGCTACACCATCATAATTTACATTAAACTCACCACAGACACAGTCAAAGAAGCAGTAGCTTGATGGGTGCGCAATTTGCAATCCTTGATATCATCGAAATCGCAGAACTTCTTCTTCTCAAACTGCTCTGTCAAGTTTTCGGGGCTAATACACAAAATATACAATCCTTGATCTAAACCTACGATGTTATATTGCCCAGACTGTGCGTTGCCGACCACCACGACCAAGCTGCTAAGAACCAAGCAACGGCCAGTGCCATCGTGACAACAGTGTCCACTTTTGGAATTCTCTCATCCCCGGCATAGGCTCCCCATCTGAACAAATACAAGAATAGCATGATCAAGACGAATATGATAGATACCATGGAAACGAAGCCGAAGAAACTGCTGGCACTAAATACAAACCTTGAAAAACTGACAGCGTAATCTTACGTGCTGTGATCAAAAGTGACCAATCCAAGGGAAGCTCCCGCACAGGTTTTAAAGTTCGGTCCATAATCTTGGTCAGTGATACTAAAAACAGAATAAATAATATGCACGGAATTTACCTGAATGATCTTGCAGTAAACTGATATGAAGTGTTGTCTTTGCAAGTAAAGCTTGCAGAGAATTCCCATCCGGACCTCGACGAGAAAGCGATGATGGCCAATAACAACTGAGGAATCTTGATGAAGCCCAAAGGGACTTTCATCTGATCCACATTCAAGTCGTTTATTAACGGCATCCTAAATCAAAACGGCGTTATTACTCAATGAGATCTTATCGCTCTACAAAATAAAAGTCCCGGAGGAAAGATATCAACCAAGATGGAAGCAATCTTGCTCATCATCACAATCAGAGTATTCTAAATCTTTTATTTTTTGCTCACAAAGACCTTTCCTAAGAGCTGAACAACCACAATAACGGATAGTTTTAGTTACTGCCGATCACGATGACATCTCCCTTGAAGCTGTAAGCGGGGACGTGCAAGTTCAGAGGGGCGGGTCCCCTACGAATACGACCCGAGGCGTCGTAATGGGAACCGTGGCAAGGGCAGTAGTAGCCACCATAGTCACCGGCACCAGCTGAAAGTAGAATTTTATATTACTCATGACATTACACTTGAACAGAAAACTATATTTTGGCGCCTTTGCAGCATTCGAAGAAAACTCCTAGCGAACTGACTCATAACACAAACAACCCGTTAACTGACCGATTGGGACGCAACCCAAGTGAGTGCAGACACCAATAACGACGGACCATTCCGGCTTTTGGACTCGGTCTTCATCGGATTCTGGATGACGGAGCTCAGCGACATTAACTGCCCGTTCTCGTTCAATTTCGGCCGAAGTACGGTGCTTCACAAACACGGGCTTTCCACGCCATTCGAATGTCTTGGTCTAAAGAAAAGAAATGAAATAAAGGAGAACAACGTACAGATCCTTCAGGGACTTTAGTCATGTCAATTTCGATGGAAGCCAAGGCTCTCTGATCAGCGGCCATAGCTTTATAGTAAACCATGGTCTGGACAACGTTACGGGCGGCGAAAAGAGTAACCATACCACCAACTGCAAAAAGATTATGTTAATATTAGCAAAAGAGGACCCCAATCTACCATAATAGAAAAATTATTTCATGGGGCAACATTAAACAAAGATGATGTCAATAAACCCACCTCCATAGACAACAGCATTATGGAGACCACGACGATCGTCCTCAGTCGCCCTGGCAGGCTTGGTGGCATCCTTAGTCGAATCCAATCTATATGTATCTAAGTTGGGAAATCTCACATCTGTGTGAGCAAAACGCTTGGCCAGAACTAAAAAAACCATAGAAACCGGAACTATATTGTTCAACTTACCAGCGACATTCTTGCTGGACAAGAATGGCTTATTGGAGGCATTGAAGGCGTATCTCCGGACAGAATCAACGGTCTGCAGATTGGCTGCCTCGTCCTTGATCTTGATGGCGTGAACTGGGGAAGTCTCGATAGCAGGAACAAGACCGTTAGTGTACCATCCGGCAATCTAAATACGAAATTAAAAATATAAAACAAATCTTACCAATTTGGAGCTAGCTCCAACTGGTCTAGCAGACGCCATTCTTGAGGCCCAGGACTCTGAAATAAACAAACAAGATTTACACACCTACAGAAGCCCGGTAGCATTCGTTTACATATTCAAAAAGCCCTCGGCTCGTCGCAGAAAATTTAAATCATATAAAAAACTTTTTTGGGCGTGAAAAAAACACGACTTGCTTCTAAAAATCTGGTACAACAAGAATCAAGTCCAATTTCAACGTGAAGACAAAACTGGAGGCCAGCAGACGTAATGTCACAATCGATCAGAAATGTGACGAAGTGCCACTAATATAAAAACGTTTGCTCTTGTTCAAGTTATCTCATGCTAATCGCTATTCCAACGCTTTTCTTTTGAACCAACCATTTGTTTTAGCGCTTATTGTATAATAAATAATTAAAATGGATCAATTTTGTAAGTGTTTTACTTTTTTGTTACTGTTTAGAAGTGAAAAAAGACGTTATGATGAGGGCTGTTTATGATTCTATTGCCTTACATGGCTTGTGGGAGGTTCTTAGGACTTAGAGATGACACTTAATGAGACACATGGATAAACCGCTGTTTGGTCATCAATAAGCCGAGTTTTTCTAGGCTGTGCACCTGTTCTGTTTAACAGCCGTTTGTTCTGCTGGAGTCTTCCCAGTCATAATGCCCTTCATAGCCTAGGGGTTTTTTCGTCGTGTTTAGAAAAACTCTGATATTTTTAATTGTTTGTGTTTTTGATTTTGTTCTCCACGACACTCTGTCAAGATGGTAAGTATAAATAAAAGTACAGTGGTTACAGTAATCCGGTGAGATATACCTTTACGGACTATTACAAAAAACAGTTGGGATCGCTTTATTGGAATGCAATTAGACTTGATTTCCTTTGTTTTAGATGCCCCGATCGAGACGCGGATTTCAGGCCGCTTCGGCCGCCAATCCCGAACGAGTCCGGACTCATCTCCTCTTTTCCTCCCAGGCTGAACACCACACCGCCAAGCGGAAACGCCGCCCGCACAGTGAGTCAGGGGCACAATTGTCTACTTATTTATTATTTTGTTATTCCAAGTTCTCTGGGTCTAATTTTGAGCCATTTCTCCAATAGATGATATAAGTCATGAGGAAAGTCCGGGAGAAATGTAGGTTTTTTGGCGGGAGATGAATTTATTTGTTAGTCTGCTCTAAAAGATGATAAGATGTGTGATGTGATTTGTCTTATAGCACTTCCGCTTATTTTCTTTAATTTCAGACAAATTCCAGTCGGTCCACAAGAAGGACGAAATGATTCAGGCCAATCCAGATGACCTGGATCCCACGGCCTGGACTGGAAATCAGCGAGTTCTTCACTTTGGCCCCATGGCCAATAGAGATCCGTTCTTCTATTACTACCCCAAGGGCTGGGATATATTATATCCTGCGCAATTCGGGTTCTTTCCTTATCGAACGAGGTAAAATACGACATTCTGTATCTCTGATCACTTTAGACTAGCTTACGATTGATTTTGATTGTAGTAAATTTCGTGGTAACTCGGTTACTGTCTGCGTATGGGCTTTTGGAACGTTTCTTCTGCTTGGAGGGGCTCTGATGTCATATCTTGGGTATTTTGTTATACACGACACTCCATTTTGGATGTGGAAGAAGAAGAGTAACGCATCGATACCACCAGTGCAAGTGGCTGGGCCAGTTATGTTGGTGATTGGAGGATTACTCGTTCTCATCGGGCTGATATGCTCAATTTGTACTTCTGACGTGAGTTTATATGGCAAAAAATATTATATCTTTTTTTAGTTTCTAAGTGAAAAGATTCGGCATTATCATCATCGTGGACAGCCAGCATCAGTTACAGTTTATACAACACATATCGAGGTAAATTGTGGTTGTGTATTTTTGCATTTACATTACTTTTAGCAACCGAAGGCAGTTTACGAGAAGAATCCCTATCAGCCTCTTCCCCCTCCGGCATTTCCAATTCTCGAGAACAAATATGCTCACAGTTCTGGGTGGAATCCATATGCCGAACTCAAATTATTCCCTCCAGTGTAAGTTGCTTACGGCCATGTTTTATTTTTTACAGTATGCCCGGATATTCAACATTATCGTTACATGGAGAGCATCAAAATCGTGGAAATTCACCCTCTGTTTTTGTGGCTAGCCCCTACAATACATTAAGAGCAATGTCGGCTAATCGGTAAGTACGAAAAGATCCTAGGATAGTATTGCAATTACTGCGGTAAATGGGTCCATGATATAAATATATTGGTCTCCGTTTACATTCATATGATTCATACTAAGTCAACACTGTTATTAAGGGCTTCTTTTTTGCAGTGTTATTACAGCAGTTGTTTTTAGTACTTATACATGTACGAGTACTGTGTATATTCGAATTTTGTTTCAGATATGCGGGCTCGGAACCCCTCCAGACTCCAAATGCCTCAGGAAATCAGCTCGAGAATGCATCGACCGCCTCGGGTGCTGGAAGTTTAAGTAGCAATCGGCAATCCATCTCCTCAACAGCGCAACGCCGGGCCAAATCAGTTGGCCAGATGCCGAAATCTCGAGAATCTTCGGTCTCCCGCCGCTTTCGGGAGTATTCCCACAACAATTGATCTCCCTTTTTGGCTAATAAATGTGTAATTAAGCAAACATTCGGTCGAGACATTGGTTTTTATTCCACTTCTTATTTTGAAATCAGCAGAGTTAACCGTTATTTATCAGTATTAGTAGAATGAATTAAAATGCTGACCAATGACGGGCAGGATGGGCAGATCGATGGGTTCAAGGTGCTCAACGTCAACATGGTCGACTTTGCCATCCCCACCAATTACACGTTCGTCGATCATCTGGGAAGCAGTAATTATGGGAATGTCATGTAAGTCTTGCATCTTTTTCTTGGTAATCTTACAATAAGTGTTAGTTGGAATTGTTTGGTTAAATTAAACGTTTCATTACTGCTTATCTATATACAATCCGATTCAAAAACGAGCCTGTTTATCCATTATTTTAATTATAATCCGAATTGGCCGAAATATCATGATGACCGAAAACTTTCGAAAAAGAAACAATTTTTGCAATTTTATTTTGTTTTTTTTGTAATCTCGCCATTTACGTCATATAATTCCCGCACAAGTCATCCACACCCATCTCTTGTTCTGTCGTATTCATCAATGCCTAGTAAAATATGCATTAATCTTGTTTTAGAAAGGTCCGACGAACGGATGGCCAAGAGTTTGCCATAAAGAAGATGTACGAACCTTTCCGGAACCCGATGGAAGCGCGGAGGGTCTACCGGGAACTCAAATTACTCCGACTTCTCAACCACGACAACGTCATTCGTTTTGTTGGGGCCTATACACCTGACACTGACATCAACAACTTGAAGAATGTGTGGGTGTACTTAGATATTAATGCTCAAATTACATATTACTTTTGGATTGAGCTGGAAAAGAATGTTTAATTCATTTTCAGCTTTATTGTCACCGAATATGCGGGAGTCAGTCTAAAGTATGTGTTGGATCGACAGAAGTGCAATGACATAAGGCTAATTAATGATGACCATATCAAATATATTATCTATCAGCTGCTCCGAGCTCTGAAGTATCTACATTCCGCAGATGTAAGTGGATTCTTTTGATAATGATTTTGTGTACTATCAGTCTGTCGGGAAAATTCTGTGGCTTTGTCGTAGCAAAATTTCTCGCCTCGTCACAGTTACGCATCAAATCTCCAGCCACGGTTAGCCGTCGCAAAGCGGCGATGGGCGATTTCAAGGCACGATGAATCCACATTATTTTCCCGACGGACTGATTATAAGTACCGTAATACTAGCCAAATTCTGCGATCCTGGTCTCATTTCTTTCACTGCACTGTGCAGACTCCAAAAATTCAAAATCCGCACTGTGCAAAAAGTTTTCCCAATTGGTCTTTTTGCAGTTCGTGATTAAATTGGATATGAACAGCGCAGCTGAATGAATTTTCGGAGGCCGGTACAATTTTTCCTGTTTGTTCCTACTGTATTTTAGGTAATCCACCGAGATTTGAAGCCTTCGAACCTCGCTTTAACCGAAGAATGCGATCTTACTGTAGTCGACTTTTGTCTAGCCAGAACTCTGTCGAATAACGATGTCGGAGTAAGTGTAAAAAGTCAATTGCTTTAACAAATACCTTCAGCTGACCGCTTATGTAATATCTCGATGGTACCGAAGCCCTGAGGTAATCTACTGGAACCATGTTAGCTACAATTTCAAAGCCGACGTCTGGTCGGTTGGCTGTATTTTATCTGAGTTATTTACTGGGAAAGTGGTATTCAAAGGGTCTGAAGGTCAGTTAGGCACATAAAAAAGTGTTTTATTCAAGATTTATTTTCTGTATTGCCATGTAAAATATAATATGTATCAAGTTCATGATAATATTTGCAGCTATCGAGCAATATCGATTGATCGTCAATCTCTGTGGAAGTCCAGACGCGGAATTGATGGATAAAATCGAGACCCAGAACAACTCATCGATGAGGATGGTGGTCGAAGCCCTGGGCGGAGGATGTGTTCGACAGGACTTCCGGAAATACTTTGCTGGCCTTCCTGAGGATGCTATCGACCTGTTGGATAAGATCTTGGTGCTAGATCCAGACCGTCGGATCTCTGTGGAAGAAGCCCTTCAACATCCGTACATGGCCCAATACAGCATGCCTTCGGATGAACCGTTGGCTCCGGCCCCGTTTGTAATTGATGACGGGGATTATAAAAAGGATGTAAATTACTGGAAAGGTAAGAATTCACTGTCTTTTTTTTACTTTTGGCATTCAGCAAGATATTTTATATTATCCACGATGATTTTTTGGCTAACTTATTTGAAAGGTGGCTCAATGTCCTTTATTTCAACTATTATGATAGATTGTTGAATAATTCCGCAAAAACTCTTTACAAAGCGCTTTTATTTTCCCATTCAGCCCTATTATCTTATACATGAATGTCAAGAACTGCTTTCCTATTAGTCCCTGAGACCTTTTCCCTCCAAAAAACAATGTCCAAATTCAATATTAACTCGAATGGAACGTCATCTCCAATCTGCCAATTAGCTGGATATTCGAATTTCTTTTATCTTTTATTTTCAGAGTGTGTTTGGAGTGAAATCGAAGAGACCCGGAGCCCGGCCTTGGCCAATGCCCTCTAGGCACGACGGCCGTGCGGGCAGAGTTCCGTGCCCTCAGGGCGTTTGGCGGCATTTTTTTGTCTTTTCTTTCCACTTTTGTTAAATACGATGATCTCGTTATAACGCCCAGTTGCGGGTGGTTGTCACTTTTTTGAATAAATTATCTACATTTATTTTCTGTTAATTTTTTTCGTATTTTACGTGGTTCCAGACCATTGATTATTCCATAAATATTGAGTATCCGCTTTTCTGGCTACTTTTTGACCTCTTTTTTGTACTTTTAGCCATGTTTCAACAGCCCTCGGCGACAATGCCGACCCACATAAAAGAGGGATATTATGCGGTGGAGTTGAACAGAACTGTCTGGATCATCCCTGATTACTATCAGAAACTGACTCCAGTTGGTAATGGTGCTCATGGCGCTGTTTGGTAAGGTTCAATTCTATAATTTGGGTGCACTAATTTCTCGAATTGCTTCGAATTTTATAAAAAAAATTTGGTCTGAAATTAATTATTTTTGACGGAACTGCTTATGCTTTGTAGTTTTTTTTGTGAAACAATATTCTTCCAATTTTAGTGCTGCGGAATGTCTCTTAACCGGTGAAAAAGTGGCCATAAAGAAGTTCACCAGGCCCTTCCAAAGCCCCATTCATGCAAAAAGAGCGCATCGAGAGCTAAGATTACTTCGATTAATGAACCATGAGAACATAATCGACATGTACGATGTATTTACACCCGATCCAGAGCCCAGCCAACTCAACGACGTGTACTTTGTATCGGTTTTAATGGCCGCTGATCTCTCAAATATCCTCAAAATCCAGCGATTAAGTGATGATCACATTCAATTCTTAGTTTATCAGATCCTCAGAGGTCTTAAAGTAAGTTTTCAGACGAGAAGCTAGTTTAGTTTTCGTTTTTTCCACTTAAAAAATTAGTTATCTGTTCTTGATGACTAGCGCAATATAAGGTTTTATGTTTAGTACATTCACTCTGCTGGTGTTATCCATCGTGATCTGAAGCCCTCAAACATTGCTGTAAACGAAGATTGCGAGCTAAAGATCCTCGACTTTGGTCTTGCTCGGCATACCGAACAAGAAATGACAGGTTATGTGGCCACGAGATGGTACCGTGCTCCAGAAATCATGCTGAATTGGATGCATTACACTCAAACTGTAGACATTTGGTCGGTCGGCTGCATTATGGCTGAACTCATAACTGGCAAAACTTTATTCCCTGGGGCTGATCGTAAGTTCTTCGTTGGTTGACAAGCTCAAGTCTTTAGACATCGACCAGTTGACTCGTATTATGAGTGTTTGTGGAACTCCCAGTGAGTATTTCCTCTCCAGAATCTCATCAGAAGAAGCTCGGAACTACATTCGAAATGTGCCTCAGATGCAGCGCAAGGATTTCAAAGTTTTCTTTGCCAACGCGACCCCCCAAGCCATCGATTTCCTCGAGAAAACTCTCAATCTGGACCCCGACTTACGGTGAGTCAGCGTAGTGTCGAGGTTTTTGCGCTCGTTTTGTGTTCAAAAAGACGCGGTTTCGATTCTTTGTGCGGTCCGATTTCTGTCAATCAGCGGTTTTTATGTGCTGAATGGTTCGTACTCGGACTAGAGCGTAACCTACAGTAAGAACAGTTCTGGATTGACGGTAATCCTGGATTGTAAACTGATGGGACATTTTTGTTTCGGATTTTTTAAAAATTTTCGCTCTGAATTTTGGAAAAATTTTTGGAGTTTTCTTCTTCATTATCATCCTATGTCTCTTCCATATTCTTTTATCTTTCTTTACAATTAATTTTTGCACTCCAAACAAAACTTTAAATGTAAACCATTTCCTTTTCCTCCCCTTTCTCTCGCATTCGTGCCGCATTCACAACATTTTCATTGCCATTGCTTTCATACTCCAAACCAAATTCATCATCCATTCTTTTTGAGAGCCAAGAATAATATCAGCTATGAATAACGCCAATATAAGCTTGAGAAAAAATTACGAGATTATAATATGGATATTCAATTATTCCACGAGTTTGTTTTTGTCCAAAAATGTGTGGCGGTTTGTACAAGATCAATAGTAAATATAATAATATTATAATTCGATGACATTTTTGAACAATTTTGGTAAAATACTGGAGATTGCGAGTGGAAATGTTGAAGAAAACAGAGATCAGGAGACACGGTTGTCTAGAATATAGGTTCATGCTTAGACATGTACAGGATAGTAAAACTTTGTGTAAAGTAATAAATAATTGTGAGTTACAACATAATACTTTCAGTCCGAATGCCGAGCAAGCCATGGAGCATCCATACTTCCGCCAGTTTCACGATCCCAACGATGAGCCTGTAGCTGAACAGATCTACTTTGAGAACGATGGGGATTATAATATAGATCAGTGGAGAGATATGGTCTGGAAAGAGATTTTCGAATTCCAATCAACCAGAGGGGCAGAGCGACAGCGAATGGCCAAGGCCTGGTACGAACGACGAGGCACCATGGCTGATCAAATGCCTCCTCAGTTGCCTACGGCACTTACGAGATAGATACATCATGGACAATATGCAGAAGGACATCATTTTTAATTTTTTGGCGTCATTCTTTTTGCACTGATTGATTTTTGTCTTACTTTGCGACATTCTGATCCCATTTTTATTATGATTTTAAAAATTTCCCGAGCTTCTTCCCCTGTACATAGACTTATTTTAATTTTATTTTTGACGGTTGCACCTCTCGTATAGTACAATTTAGAATTTTTGCGATGTAGACATATAAAACCATCTCTTTCCGGTGATCTGCTTCACTTTGCTAGCCATCAGACTTCTATTTCGTTACTAATCATCGTATTTTACAGTACTAAATGTATTATATCCGCTTTATTTCACTTGGACAAGGTTCCTTTTTCTAACTAATGTAAAATAAATTAACTTTTTTGGAAGTTTTTGTTTTCTCCCCCAGGGTTTGAACCCGGGTCGGAACGAATGTCCTCCAGATTACAGCGCAATGGACAATGATCGAGTAAAAAGAATGAAAGAAGAATGGGACATGAAGAATATAGCCTTGGATAAGGTGACACGTTTATGCGATGACTTTCAAGGTCAGACAGGCGACGGTAATCCCATAAAAAATTCTAGCCAAGTCGGACCAAAATAACAAAAATCTGGCTTGTTTTTGGGATTTGAACAGACCCTTACCATGCGTGGGTTACGGGATATTCCAGAAAATGTTTTCTTGCTCTGAAACGATGTAACCAGAGGCTCGAAGATAATTTCTGATGGATAGTAATAGTCATTGGTTCCATATGGGATAAAAATGAGGAGTACTATAACATGATTAACGAGATGACATAGAAAAAGGAAGGAAAATAGAAACTAAGACAATGGAACATCGTTTACATGGCCTACTTGGACGGACTGGTATTGAACGGCTTTTAACGTAATTTGGGCCACCCCAAAGTCTCTATAAGAGAAGCAAAAAATGCGACCGGATGTACCATGTGTAATACAAATGAAGTATTTATGAAGACGAAACAGCACCTCCTTATTTAATAAACGACGAAAATAAGGAGCCCTATGTATAGTGAGGATCAATGGAACTGCAGGTTTCAATAAATACAGTAAACTTCATAACTCAACTGATTCTGACAATGACGTAGGCCAATGAGGGAAACAATGATGGGTGATGACCATGACTATGTATAAAAAGACGGCTTAGCTTCAGATTCGTCATTTCCTCCATTGAATTATGAGCATGACGTTGTTGTGAATACATTGGAAATGCCTCTTCACAATATGCAGAAACTTAATAATACCTCAAATACTGTGAATCTGCTTATCTAACCCGCCAGCATCATTAAATGTTAGTATTACTTTTTTTATTCTCGAAGGGACATACAACTCAAATTACCGTACTGTAAACATAAATATAAGTTAAGGCTGGGACCGTTTCTTCATCAGGCACTGGATGGGGGAATAGAAACAAGGTCTCATCCTCTTCATTTGATGCGTCTCACCGATGAATTGCCTGAGCGAACGACGAGGAACTTGCACTTCTTCATAGCCTTTGGCGTTGTTTGGATGGGGCTCGGCAGCGATTGGCTCTTCTTCCAAAGCAATTGGGACTGGCGGAAGGAAGGGTACCAACTGGGGAAGGGGCGCCGAGGGACGGAGCATCGACCGATCCGACATGTATCTAGAATGGGAGGATTTTAGGACTATTTTAAGACCGGATATGGTAGAAATGAATTTGTGAGAAAGGATGAGCTGATGGTCGAACATTCGAAATATCTCAAGGTTTATGGGCTTCAATGTTTCCTCACAAGGAAAGTACTTTTATGGGGGCTCCTACTTTTTGACGGGACATATCTCAAAAAATCAGAAAAAATGTGCTGATCAAGGATATATAAATCCTAGCTGCCCATTTTGGGTTTTTTGGCATGTTTTGGCCGTCGAAAGTTTTGAAATTCGCAAGAGGAAAGAATAAAAGACGATTTGAAGGCAGGGAGTGAGTGGCGCAGTTGGTTGCGCAGAAGACTGGGGTTTGTGCGGAGGGGGGTTCGAGTTCCCTTTTGTGATTTTTTTTTATTTTTTGTATTTTTGCTGAAAAATACAAAATAAAGTTAGAAAACATTGATTGAGGCTTTTCATTTCCCGTTGGCTATTAATTAGAAGTCAAAAACGCGACTTAAAAACATAAACGAAGCCAAAAAATCACGGAAGGGTGTCAAGAAACACTCATTTCCCTGTGACGTGCAGTCATAAAATGTCCGAATTTTCGCCGCAAAATGTTGTGTCCATATTGTTGGACAAATATGGTGTTGGGGATGCTAAAGCCGCTACCAGAGAAGAACAGAAGATGGCGGATCGGTTTGCGTATTGTATTGAACAATGTAAGAATGGGATGACGTTAGAAGAGGAGAATGAAGAGGCCGAAGTTGAAACTGACAACTATGAGAGTGATCCGGATTATGAAGACTTGGAAGAAGACGAACCTTGGAGAATTTGAACAAACTGGGGGGTTAAAAGGTAGACTGAGGTTCAATTTTCGAACCCTCGGATTTTCCCTCAAAAAACGTGTTTTGGACCAAATTAACTCAAAAAAGATCCTACATGATTCCTGGATCCGCAGTGAAGCACTTCAAATAGCTAATGATCTGGGATTAAAAAATTTTAAAGCTAGTCATAATTTTATTCAAAACTTTAAAAAACAAACAAAAATATGTTCAAGACAAGTGACCCGATGGGTCGCCTCCAAAAAACGCAAAAATGCCCTCACGGCCGAGGAAAAAAAAAGTTTGTGAATGAAGTCAAGGCCGAAATGCAAAAATTTCCATTCGATTGTGTGCTAAATTGCGACCAGACCCCAATATACAAGGAGATGCACTCTAACCGAACCCTTGGCTTGAAAGGTGAGAAGATAGTTGACCGATATTGTCAGTCTACTGCTTCGGCTTAAATCTCCGTAGGAGATGAACTGAACAGCCAGAAAAAAACATTTTTTATTTCGAAAAGCCCCTTAAATTATCTTTGAACATCCTTACTTGTATTTTACAGCAAAAATACAAAAAATAAAAAAAAAATCACAAAAGGGAACTCGAACCCCCCTCCGCACAAACCCCAGTCTTCTGCGCAACCAACTGCGCCACTCACTCATTGGTTTCCCTGCGTTTCAAATCGTCTTTTATTCTTTCCTCTTGCGAATTTCAAAACTTTCGACGGCCAAAACATGCCAAAAAACCCAAAATGGGCAGCTAGGATTTATATATCCTTGATCAGCACATTTTTTCTGATTTTTTGAGATATGTCCCGTCAAAAAGTAGGAGCCCCCATAAAAGTACTTTCCTTGTCAGAAAAATCGGGGCTTTGGTAGTTCAGCCCCCCACGAAAGGTAGTTCAAACCCCCAATGTTTTGTCCATTTCACACCCCCCATAATTAAAAAATTAGAATAATACAAAAAATGCAAATTAGAGTGAAATGACCCCCGGCGTTTTAGCTCAAACCCCCAGTTACCGTCCAAGTTCGTTCTTGTGGTTCAGGCAGCGATGATTGTAGCCGAGAGAACCCAATCCCCAGTAGGCGGTTCAGATTGGATGAGGGGGTTTATACTGGGTCAAGGGGGGCTGAACTGGACTGGGGGGTTGTACTACCTTAGCCCCGAAAAATCAAATCTTCAATATTATGAGGTGTTCGAGGTTCGACCTTCGCCCTTTCCCCCAAATCCCTTAAAAATTAAACATCGGAACTTCCGAGTCCAATGAATTTAGAATCAGAAGACGTTGGACAAGAACGTGATACGCACAAAGTAGAAAAAAATTTCATAAAAAACGCCTCTGCAATAAAGTGAACTTTAAAATACGTGGGAGCTTTAAGACATAATGGAATTGCACATAAATTTTGAATACATCTTAATTCTCCAGTTAACAAATACTGTCGCAAAGTATTTCAAGAAATCAGAGTTGTCTTTAGAGACTTGATATAATCGGTACGTAATTCACTGGTCAGATACGAAAATAATGCTCAAACGGTAGGAAATAAAATGTAATATCTCTTGCAAAACGTGTAATTTTATGATCAAAGGATAGACAATAAGATGGATAATAAAAATAATACATTCAAGAAATTAGAAATTGAAAAAGAAATGGTTACTTGGTTGCTCTGAAACATGACAGATGGATTGATAATGTTGAAAAAATGACAGTTGTAAGGCATTCACATAGAGTGAGCAATATGAGTAACAAGGATAAATATTATTAAATGCTTGATAACAAAGCTTGACTATTTGTATTGTCGTCGTATATTCGACGTTCAGATATGATGCCAAAAGACACCATTAAGCAACGTAGAAAACACAAAAAAGGTTTGCACCTACTACGAAGAAATTTTTTAAAATTATTGCTTGAAGAATACATTACAGTATCCCTACTTTCCCAATCTTCAATCCAAACTTTGTAAATTACAATAATCTTACCTTTGAAAAGAAGGTGGAAGTGCGTAGAAGGCATGTGCCGTTCCCACCACCGACGCCACAAGACAGATCACCAAGGCTGGCTGCATTCTCGACGCCACGACAAGAGATTCTGAAGACCCAGATTCTCATGCCCTCAGGGCATGACCTTGGCTCAAGGGGCGTGGCCAACTAAGGCCGCACGGAAAAAGAGTTTGGAGGAAAAATTAGTTTTTATTGAATAGATTTCTTTCTCTTGGCTTCAACAATCGTTCCTCCCTCAAGAAAACCGCCTTCCTTCTCAGCCTTCTACCGTAATAAAGTTAGGGCTGTTTGCAACTACGAAGAAACAGACACAGCGAATATCATCAACGGAAGTGCCGCCGATTTCCCTCTCCCTCCCTTCAACATCATCGTCTCGTCATCACCCCTCCCCCCTCCCAAATTTAATTTGAAAATATCCGAAATCATGAACTTGGCCCTTTTTTCTGCCGCTCTCCTGAGGCGTTTAATGGCGTCCCATCTCTGCCGGCTGGCTTACTGTATAAATCAGAGGGAAACGGGCCGCGCCACCATTCGTTATTTATGGACATTTCAATGGGAAAGGAGATTAATCAAAATGGGAATGAAACATTTTTTGGAGGCGAATCTCTTGGATTCAGAGGCCATTTGTAATATCAGCGAGCGTTGAATGATAAAATCTGGATGGATTTTGATGCAAAAGCGCGTGCCCGACGTGATGTATACGTGATGGATGATACCGACGGATAAATAATGTAAAAACGTTGTAAACATTGCGTCAACTGAATAATTTTTTGACGTTTCCCAAAGAATGTAAAAATGAATGAAAGCTATTATGACCCACTCTTTGAAACATATAAATAGTTAATTCTATAATTGCTAACCAAAAGGATTCAATAACTTATAGTTACTTGCCGAAAGTTGGATTCATAGCCATGGGGTTCAAATGGCTAGCCAAAACGTTGACTTCGCTTGGTTAGCTGCTGAAGAGATTTGCAAGCGATTGTAGCCCTAAATTAACAGATAATTTAAAACTGTCGGTCATAATTCGTTTTTAGGCAAAATATTGATCAATTTCTAGTATTTTAATAAATCTGATTAAAAACTAAAAGCAAAAACGCCCTCAGCTGGTAGTGCATGTTGTATAATCACCAACACTCATAGATCTTGGTTGACGTTTTCGTCACCGGACGCGAACCCGGACCCTTCGCAGTCCGAAGCGAGCGCACAACCCACTCGACTATTTCATCACCCTCCTTCGTTTGCAAAGAAGCGAAGGGAGAAACTTTTCGCGGGAAATCAAAGGGTCAAAAATGCAAGAAAACGACCAAAAAAACTTCCAGCAACAAAATTTGAACAAGATTTATTAACTATAATATATAAAATTAAAAGTTAAGAATAAACAAGGTTACTGTAACATCAATCAACATTGGCCGAATCAACAGAAAAGGGCGCTTTAAGGACTTTTGACCCGATGAAGACGAAAATTCTGAGAAAAAGTGATCTGGACATCAGAGGGGTGGGGGCAAAGGGCGGTTAATAGATGGGAAATGCCGTCGTAGAGAATCTGGCGAGCTGGGGCGGCAATAAAACGTCACAATATGCAAATAATTCAGAGCAAAGGCACAAATTGAGCACGGAAAACAGCTAGAGGGCGGTGTCTGTACGATGAACGACGATGGAGCCATGATATGGGGACCTTGTTGAGGCCTTAGATGATATCACAACGATTCTTTTTCTTGACAGGAGGGGGACAAAGGACAGCTCGGATGGCTTCATCGAACACCTTCTTCAATCCCACTTGAGTCAAAGCGGAGCATTCCAAATATTTGACAGCCTTGATATCCTTGGCCATTTGCATTCCCTGGTTGTAAGTAATTGGAGCCAATCGTCGTTCATGGAGTTTCTCGATAGTGTCAGGATCATCACGAAGATCGAGTTTCGTACCTAAAACATAACGAATAATACGACACAAACTCACCGACAAGAAGAATTGGCGCTCGTGGACAATGATGGCTGACTTCGTGATACCATTTGGCTCGTATATTCTCGAATGAAGCTGGATTTACAAGTGAAAAACAAAGCAAGAAGACGTCTGTTTGTGGATAAGACAAAGGTCGGAGACGATCGTAATCTTCTTGCCCAGCCGTATCCCACAAACCGAGATTGATGGGTCGTCCATCTACCATGACATTGGCCGAGTAATTATCGAAGACCGTGGGGATATACTCGCCGGGGAATGCATTGGTTGTGTATGATATCAGAAGACAGGTCTTACCCACGGCACCATCGCCCACCACCACACACTTAATCGCCTGCATCGAGGACTAAAAAAGGCAAAATTATCAGTTATATTAATAAAGTAGATACATAAACTTAATAATACAACACCTACTCAGCACCACATGACTTTTGATCTAGTACAATATAATAATCCCGGTTACTCTCTCTAAAGTCGCACACTTCACGCGCCTAATGACCCTGCCATCGCAAAACCCATTCCCGAAATCGCCCATTAAACCACAATTCCCAGCAATTTAAATGTGTTTCCCTCTAATCTCCATGAAATTACTTGCCTTTTCCTTTTATTTTGCTCCGTTCGTCTTTTTCCGTTCAATCCGCAACCTAAATCTCTGTATTACATTGCGAATATAGAAATAACAAATATAATATAACCGGGTAAACGGGTTGTAAACAGGTGGAGTTCATTGCTTTCATATTTATTCAAGAACCAGATATCAAAGGCAATATACCGCGAAGAAAGGGGATAAGAGAGCTGACTGTGAACGCGTTGTAAGACACTTACAACTGTAATCAAAGAAAGGTTTAGATACACAAAAGATAAAAGACCAGATAAAGTGACCATATAAATAGATTCTATTAAAAACTTATAACAATATCAGTAAGTAAGCAGTATTGTTATAAATGCCAGACAATATACAATAAAGTACAATAGACCCATTTTTCGCAGCACCAGCTCTTCAATGTTTCTTTGGTAACAGTACAATACTGTAAATGGAATTAAACCGGGAGTCCTGCGGCTTGTCTCGCCTTGTGTAAGGTCGCTCGTTTCCTGAACTGCTTCCTGGACAGTTGACGAACACATTTCAAGTAGACGGGGAGAGTGATGGAACCCTTCTTCAATGCCTGCCCTAAAGCATAGATCGTATCATCAATCGCGCAATCCTCCACATATGATTGTAGTATCTGCTTGTGAAGAGGAGAGGCTGCATCGATGGCTTCATCTACTGTATCTTCAACATTCTTATTCGATCCGGATGACCGAACGGCCTCTAGCGCCTTGGTTAGTTCTTGCCGTTTCTCCTAAAATGAATTATGTTCACCATGATACAAAATCCGTTCAGTTGGGAGTAAACACATACCTCGTAGATGGCCTTAACATCATCCAATCGTCTTTGCTCCTTATCCATCTGATCCAACATTTCTCTCAACTTCTGATTTCCAGTTTTCAGCTCTTGGGTATTAACTTCGATTGATTGTAATTCAGCATAAGGAGTACCTTAACACAAAATAATAAAAAAACAGAAGTAAAACCTACCCATCAATTCCTTCAAACGTTCCTTTAGTTTGGCCTCCACAGCCGTTGTTAAACTATCTCTAATATGATTTGGCTGAATTGTATTGTAAAAGTTAGTAGGTATATCATTTTGAGTATTCAGAGACCGACTGGATCCACTTTGATGAACATCCGGCACGTAAGGCTGATAAGAGGGCTGGTAAGAAGTTGGGTAAGGGGTGTTCGATGGGTAAGGGGGATTGGAAAGACCGAGTTGAGGATAGGGCGAGGGCATGGCAGGTTGTGGCATTTGAGATGGAGGTTGTGTGGGATAAGGGGGGATCACTGGAGGTGGCGGCGGTTGAGAGGCATGTTGACTCCGGGCATACACAGGACATTTCTCTTGGAATGCGATTGTCATCACCTAAAACAACGTGTTTTTTTGAAAATTCATATTAATCACATGACAAAATAAATGAGGAAAAGGTTCAAAAATTAAAGAAAGACATACCTGAATTAAACCACAGGTATCATAATTAGGGTATTGCCATTCAGTAAGATAAGGAAGATAGACCCTTCCCTCCGTGTCCACATATTTACTCGCCTTGATCATCATACTCTCAGTTGGCGTGACGTAACAGTAAGGTCCGGCATACGGATGATTCTCCATGAAAAACATGGCCACCGGAATGTGATAAACATTACCCTAAACAACAAACAATCAACATTTCTTATCAACGCACCTTATAGTTGATTGGAATCGTCCCATCAAAACAGAAGACCGTTCTATCTATGCCATCAGGGAACTTGTGAGTCTTCTTCTTTGGATGAAGATCTTTGAAATTCTGTCCCACCTTTACTAAGTCTTCTACCGCTCGATCTGTGAATATAAATCTAACAGACCTCGCTACATTCTTGATTTCCTTGTCCGCAACCATCTCTGGAACATTTTCATTTTAATAAACATCAAAAGAAATCACGAATGTTAAATTAAATTATACATCAATAACAACATTATCCCGACGAGAATCGGGAATTTCCTTGAGGAAGAGACTTAAAATAATATCCAAATCAATGCCCAATTAAAATCACACTGTTTCAACCCAAAAAATAAGAAAACAGAAGTGGAATTACGCTGATTCATCTATGTTCTCGTCCATTTCGCAAAAGAAAATTGATTATGGCACCAAAAAAGGCCGAGAACAGCTGGGAATTGAGAGCCATGGTAAATGTAAATTCTTTCCAGAGATAACACTCGGTCAAAGAGCATTCAAGAGCTACGTAATGGATACGCTGGGGGTCTCTAACAGTGCGGTTAGCCAACGACGCCAAAAAAATTTCTCGCGACTAGAATAATGATCAAACGATTTTGTGACATTTCGTTACAAACCTTATTGGGTTTTGGCAATTCGTTTTTACGTAATTCGCTCGACAAGATGGTGATTACTAAAGCGGCATAAAGCAATTACGGACATTACAGCAGAACGGGATTAGTCATAACGAACTTTGAAATAGGTTCCGCAGTAAGTAATTGCGCTTTACCACCAGATATCCCTATACAAACATTGCGAAATCGGGTTTATTGTTGTTAGGCAGTGAGAACTGCTTGAGGTCTGCTGCAAATAACAGTAAATAACCTTCGTTTTTTCAGCACGAAATTCGGATTGATTTTGAGTGTGAAGAAATGTTCAGATATAATTGTATTACTTTATAATGGGTACCCTCAAAATTTTCAATGAGGAAGATCTTGCATGTAAGGAAGTGACGAGCATTTCAACGCGCAAAGACCGTTCGATTCTGCTCCTAATTATCGTATTATCGTCCACTTCACACCCAACTCTTCCTTTTTTAATTTTATTTTTGACGACAAGGATTGCACTGTGCATTTTACTGTCTGCCCATAATAACATTAACGGCCTTGAGTCACCAACATGCAATCTATTGTTTGTCGGCTACAAATCCGATTTTATATCCCCTTTCTCCGCTTGAGGAACATTTCGCTTTGCTGGATTTCCTGGATTCATATTTCCCGGCCCCATTTCCAGGCCCAGTTTCATCAGAATTCATCATGGATGTAACCGACATGGAAAACAATTGAGGAGGAAGAGAATGGATACAGAGTAAAGGCGCCTGGACTCTACTCTCGGCCTTATTCTCGTCTCTCTGCGGACTCCCGGGCGTGGGGCGAGACTGCCCCATTCTTTTGAGGGCAAAAAGGGAGGGAAAAAGAGCCCAGAATGGGAGGGGGTGCGCAATGCGCCGCAGGCAAAAAGATTCGTATTAGAAACGAAAGGGGCATCTGGCAAAGATCCCGGTCATCGGGAGGGAAAGCGGCTTAATCGGGCCACCTGGTCTTTTATTTTGGCTGGAATAATTATGTCATTTGGAGGGAGTAGACCACAACAAAGCTGTAAACTCTTGAACTTTCTCACGTCATAATTTAACAAGGCCTTTTACTCATCTCTCATTTCGTTTCCCCAGTAATTGCTGCGTAGTTTATTGCTCAAACAAGCTCTTACTTTTCCCGGTACCTCCTTATTTTTCCCTTCTCGCCTTACCAGAATTCACCCCAGGTATTAAACTTTGGGTGTTCTGTTTGAACCTCTAGTTCGATTCAAATTTTAATGGGTTCCTGTGTTCCGCCGCGCCTCTTTTCCTTTGTGTTCCACTGACCTCGTCGAGAGCTGACCATGAACAGCTTTCGAAATGAACCGAGAATCCCCTCCGAAAAGTGTTGGTCGCCCTCTCTTGTTTACCGACGTGAAAACGAAGACGTTCAGTGGCGGGGTTTTTATTTCCTCACAAAAACCATGAATTTGCAGATAAAATCAAGGCCAACGAGAAATTATATAGTATAATATGGTATTATCTAGTATAATATCCGACTATATAGTGGATTTCCTCTTCCAAGCTGGGTCTTTGACAGCTGTGAGGTTGGATTATTAGATCTAAAGAACATGAGCCAAGAGAAAACCGGTCTCTGCTCGCTTGGGATCGCCCTCAGAAATCCAATTTTTTTTGACAAATTCCCCGCGTCTTAACGTGTTTAATCGCTTAATTCACTCAAATTCGCTGAGGCGCAACACGGAATCAAATTACATCCAATTAGTTTTAGCGATGACTCAAAGGTCTTGAACCTTTTCCTGGAGCCCCACTTCCATTCCCTGAGGCTCTTACGTCATCCTGTTGCGCAAGCTGACGGGCGAGGAAAGCCTTGGTGGGTGGAGAACTGGGACAGTCTGAAGATGTTCCCCTTTCTGCCGTTCTTGTCCATTCCTGATGCCAAAGGTCGAAGGCGGAGGAGGAACCGATTTCGGCACAACTCTTTGGCCACAGTCTGGTTGAATACGGGCTCTGATGTTAGAGTTGAGTATCTCCTTCAGGTTCATCCCGCAAGTGCATCGGTTACGGCAGCTTCGAGTACATTAGATGTCCATGAAATCGAAAGACCAGACTCGGCGCCTCTTGAACACGAGGTTGTCAATGAACAACCACCTCCAAAGAAGATGTCTTTACAGACATCTCGGCCTCCGACTCCTAATTCCAGGGCCTCTCCAAGATCGGCCTCAGCCAGCAATTCTCGACCTAGTTCACGGTAAGTTCACTTAAATTTTATTTATATTTTTGAATTTAGACCCAGTTCAACTCAACCTCCACCTCAACCAAGAGTTCGCCCGAACAGAAATCGTATGTTTGAGACATCCTCGGCAATGAGAGAGCTCTTCGGAGGCGCTTCAACATCTCCTCGACCAACGAGAAAAGCCGATACTTCACCCCGACCGGTCCAACAAGAATCTACTCAACCTTCCAGATCATCTACCAAAGACTTCAGTAGATCAAATGATAGTGTGAATGATGAACAATCTCTGCGAAGCGCTGTCACCAGTGATTCGGGTATAGCCTCTTGCTTTCAACGTATTCCTAGTCCGCCTCCAACTGCCTCAGGGCCTTCAGAAGTGGCTCGGACCAACATCCTTCAGACTGAGGGAGTCCAGCCAGGCCAATGGGAAGACATCCCAAGTACCTCTCAAAGTACGACGATCTCTTTTCACAACGTTCCCAATCATGACATAGCATACGAAAATGCTAGACGAAGGGCGATTGGAAGGCCCCCACCTTCTTCATCTTTCAATATTATTACCCATCAGCCGGTTGGATCTAGTCGAATATCCCAGCCTGGTCCGGAAATTCCAAAAGAGCCAGGCAGAGTGCTGGGATCAAGTCCAATATCAAATAGTCCACGGAGGAGGTAAGCACATAATTTTTACTATCACCTGCAATTGCATAATATTTACTTTTGGGACCGTAAGCATCCATTTCCAATTGTTCTCTTACTTTGGTGTTGCTAATTTATAACGTTATTTCACCTTAATGGGAGTTTTATTTCCATTTTATCACCCGAACGGTCGTAAACTCCTTTTCCCCGGCGATTAATCGCCGAGCCCCGTAAATGTCCCCTCCCTTTGACCTCCACTTTCACTTTCTTTTTCAGGAATGACCAAATCGAGGTGGGGGCACCGGGCCCGGAAATGGCCACGGATACGGAGGAAAGTGCGTCACCCGAGACTGAGTCCGTCGCAGAAGAGACCTTGAACCTCATGAACACACGAACAGCTGACGACGAACGAGAGTGCCCAGGGAAAGGAGATGGTGCAGAGAGAGAAGCCTCGACCAGTCGAAGAGAGAGTGCGGCCAGAGATTATTCGAATCGAAAAGAGAGCGTGGACAGAGGGGAGTGTTCGAGACGAGAGAGTATGGAACGAAGGGAGGGTGCGAGAAGAGAGAACGGAGACAATGGAGAGGGTGCAGACAGACGTAGGGTCGAGAACGGAGAACGCGCACTCCCGACCGGCACCGGAGACTCGGCCCCGCCCCCGATTCAGCCGTCATCGCGCTTCGACCAGCAGGCCCACAAACCACTGGGAGGCGGGTTCGGAGCGGCCGGAGGTCTTCTGGTGAACGACGAGAATCGCGCACCCCCAACCTCGGCGCAGATTCTGCATCAGTTGCGGCGCTTCCTTCTGTCCACATCCGAAGACGGCAGTGGGATGGCGGCTTCGGCTTCATCGGGCTCGGGTGGCGCTGGCGCCAATCCCTTGGTCATAAAGGGCGGCCAAATCGTCAACGATGATTCCATTTTTGCGGCTGACATCTATATTGAGGATGGCGTAATCAAGTAAGTTGGCTGGGGACTTGGGGCGTTTTTTGAGGGGAAAGAACTTTAATTTAATTTTTTGGAACGAAGTCTGTATTGATACTGTATTTTGAGTAAAGACAATATTTTGATACTGTGTTTTGACTAGAAACAGAATATTCATGTTAATTCCTTTGCATATTAATTTATTTCCAGGCAAATCCTCCCAAATCTGGAAGTCCCTGAGCAAGCAGAGATAATAGAAGCCTCAGGCAAATGGATCCTCCCCGCAGGCATTGATGTCCACACTGAATTCTCTGCCGGAATTGCGCCAGATGAATTTTTAGTCAACTCGAAAGCGGCTTTAATTGGTGGAACCACCACTGTAATTGATGTTGTTTTACCAGGAATTAATGAGAGATTATCTGAGGCTGTAGAAAGAGTGAAAAGATTGGCTGATCAGAAGGCTCTGGTAAACGTTGGACTGAGTTTATCCTTACAAAAATGGAATGATGACATCAAAAAAGAGGTGGATCAATTGGTCAGGGAGAAGAAAATTAACAGTTTCATCTTGGAAATGCAAAGTGATTCGGAGGTTTTTGAGGCCCTAGGCCATCTGAAATCGATTGGAGCTTTGGCCAGGATATATCCAGAGAATAAGGATATCATTGGATTGTTGGAGAGACAAAACTCGAATCAGAATCCGGCCGAGAATTACGTGAATTCGAGACCTGTTCAGGCAAGTCATCATAAAGATAAACTTATGTATTTTTTTTCAATTTCAGCTCGAAGCCGAGCGAATTCACAAGCTCTGCGTCCTCAGTCAACTCACAAATTCTCCGATTTCGATTCTTTCTACCAGCTCTTCAGATGCTTGTAAATCAGTAGTAAGTGGGAAAAGAGATGGAGCTTCGGTGTTTGCGGAGATCCCCGTCTCGACATTGGCTGCTGATTTGAACATCCCCATTCCTAGCCAAGGCCGGATTCCCATCCGAAAAGGCGAAGAGCATGCTAGGGAGGCCTTGGAGTTGTTGGCCAAGTAAGTTTTTAAATTTTGTCACATTACGGGTTACATTTTCAGCAAGCTTTTGATTGGAGAGACATTTTAAGAAAGTTACTCATATCTAAAGCCTGTATTGTCCGATTTCTGATTTCATCCCTAATAATTGGCATAATTTTTAGCGGACAACTCGCCGTTTGTGTCTCCGGTCACCGAACTCCCCGTCAATCCGGCAATCGACCACCTTATGGAGTGATCTCAGTCGGAGAACGACTTCCAGCTTTATGGGAGAGAGGTGTTGCCTCAGGAAAACTAGATCTCATGAGATTTGTCGCCGTCACCAGTTCTAATGCAGCCAAAGTTTTCAACTTGTATCCACGGAAAGGTCGAATTGCCGTAGGCGCTGATGCTGACATAGCCATCTGGAATGCGCAGACCACCAAAAGTCTTGGCTGTCGAGAATCTACATCCACTGATAAGAGTCCTTTTGATGGATTTACAGTTCATTCGACCCCTGAAGTCACCGTTTGTAATGGCCAGGTTTTGTATAAAAATGGAAGAATCGAAGCCGAAAGACCATCCTCTCCAAGGTTTATTCCCCTTCCTTCAGATTCTCCATACATCTTCAGCGTTGTGAAACTGAGAGAAAAGGCAAGTTTTGGTTCTGATTACTGTAATTTTCAATTTTAGACATTCTCCTTGGCATCTCCGGAGGAGAAAAAAGAGATTAAGAATGGACAAGGACCTTCGATGTTTGAAAATCATCTCTCAAATCAAAGTGAGGATTTTTTTTGATCTTAAAATTAGCATAGTACGTAAAAGATAGTGTTACAACAAAAAATCCATTTTCTTTATGACGCATTTTTCATTCGCATTACATACGATGACAACTTTATTTCATATTCGAGGCAAAAAACATAGAAAACAGACGGAAATTTTTTCGTGGCGCCATTAACCTCGTGTTCCGAGTGCAGATGACCTCAGAACCAAGTATAAATAAAATGAAACTTTCATAATCAGGTGTAATATCGCTGTTTTCAGTCCCGGAAAAGAAACGCTCCACAACCAAAGTGATCCAACCCCCTGGAGGAAGATCAAGCATCTTCTAGGCCACGTGATCTTCAGTGTGGCCAGGAAATTTCCAGAAATCAGCGCCAATCAGCCCCGCCCCTCTCTTAATGAATGCCTTGGCAGTTGGCTTTTCGTCTCTTATAAAGGATCCGATCCTCTTTTATTTTTTTTTATCTCGATTCGTCCTTTCGGGTGCATTCTCAGGACTTTTTGAGTATTCCCAATGCCGTCATAGTACGAATTACAGTACTATAATTATGATAGTATTGGTTTTGTACATTCTACAGCTTATCATTCCAAATTTCACTCATTTTATTTATTTCTGCTTAATTTCGAGCTTTTCGAAATCTACTTATACAGCAATTGAATAATAAACAGTGCCTACTTAAGGTTGATGATTCAAGCGCGGTGTAAAATGTTGCCGGCCATAAAATGCAAGCACAACGTTTGCGGGCAGTAATTTAAAAGTCTGAAGGACTGTTGTCGCCTGAGATTTATCGTTCGGAAAAACTTTTGATGACTGTAAGAGTGCAATTTCTATTCAAGATTCGTATTCTTTTGCTTTGTCTTCTTTATGTTCAAATTGGCAGCTCCGGGTTCAAACAGGCAGGTTCGATTCCATTCAGTCTGAGCTTCTGCAGTCGAAGGGTTTTTTAAAGCCCTTCGGCGTCATCTTTTTTAACCTGCAAAATAAGATAGAACTAATCTAAGGGGATCATGGCTTACTGTATCAATTCCAATTTTTTGAGGTTGGCATTGGGCCTCACAAAATACTGAGCCTGCACAGTGGAGCACTTATTAAAATAAAAAACGCAGTAGACAGAATTGAGAAATCACATTGCAGAATCCACCTTAACAATAAACCTTTCGCTAGGGGCTCAAGGAAGTCCCAGTTTGTGCTAGAAAATATCTTGATTCACCTCTTCTGGGCATGGCCCAAAATTTCATTGAGAACACGACTGGAGCCAAGTTACAACCTGTAGTCTACGCTTTCCTCGTTTTTTTATGAAGAAAAACGTCTGAAAAAAGAGAGCAATCCTAGCCTCACACTGGGGGATATCATTACCGTCACCAAAATTTAATAATAAGGAGGTTTCCAGATCGTTTCTTTCTGATGATTTTTTTAAAACTAGTCTATTCTTTTTATTCTATACTTTATTTTACACTTTGTGAGGGATGACCATGTTTTCACGGAAGTGTTTTCCCACGGCCGAATTCTGAGAAGGTACTTACTGTCTGTTTTGATGAATTTTGAAACCTTGATCTGCACGTTGCGCCCAGCGTCTACTTCCAAGTAAACGTTGTCTTATTTACTGTTATTAGATTTGCTCAAATTGCAGAACACTTTAATTTCCCGAACTCGGTGCCGATCAGCCCCGCCCCACTTCTAATAAATTCCTTGGCAGATGACATTATAACAGATCCGGCCCTGTTTTTTGCTTGGATCCTTCCCTCTGAACTGTTTAGGATTTCCAAATATAAGTACTGTTAAGTGTTTATTTTTTACCAGTTTAATTCCGGGCTTGTATTCCTGTCTACGTATACAGTAATTGAATAATAAACAGTCCCTGCTTATTGATTGTAATTATAGTAAAGGATGTCAATCTTGATCAAAAATGGACTTGTGGTCAATGAGGACTCTATTCAGAGAGCTGATGTGCTAGTTCAGGATGGAATTATTAAGTATGGCACCTACAAAAGAAACAAATACGAAATTTTAAACATAAACGAGAACATTTTGACTAAAAGCAGTTAAAGATAAGGCAGTACCCATTCTATTTACAGAGCGGTAGATTCATCACTTGAGCCCATCGATGAGTCCACAGAGATCATCAATGCCGACGGCAACTACGTCATGCCCGGAGGCATTGATCCCCACACTCACATGCAATTGCCATTTATGGGGCAGGTCTCTATTGATGACTTTTATACTGGAACGAGAGCTGCCTTGGCTGGTGGGACTACCATGGTATGTTCAAACAAACATTAGTTAGGTATAAAAATAACTTGATGTCATATTATTTTAGATAATTGACTTTGTAATCCCGGACAAGCAGACCACTCCCTTACAAGCCTACAAGCAATGGAGAAAGTGGGCCGACGAGAAAGTTTGTTGCGATTACTCTTTATCCATAGCCATTACTTCTTGGAACGATCAAGTCAAGCATGAAATGGAAGTCCTCACTACTCCTGAATACGGCAAGTATCAGTCTGTCGGAAAAATAACGGCGGATCGTCGCATCAAAATGTCTCGCCTCGCCGCTGTCGCGCATCAAATCCCAATCCGCGGCTTGCAGTCGCAAAGCGATGATGGGCGATTCCGAGGCGCGACGATCCGCCGTTTTTTTCCCGACAGACCGATAATGTCATTAATGACATCAACCTTCAGGTATCAACTCATTCAAGTTCTTTTTGGCCTACAAGGGAGTCTTTATGGTGGAGGACCACGAGTTTTTCCAAGGCCTCAAACAATGTGCCAAAGTCGGAGCTTTAGCCAGAGTTCATGCAGAAAATGGCCCAGTAATTGCTGAGAAGCAAAAAGAACTTCTCGAACTTGGGGTAACAGGCCCTGAAGGTCACACCCAGTCCAGACCAGAAGAACTCGAAGCCGAAGCCACACAACGGGCTTGTATTTTAGCTGCTGAAGCCAATTGCCCTTTGTATGTGGTGCACGTTATGTCAAAGGGAGCTGCCCGAGCTATCGCTCAAGCTCGGCAGAAGGGCAATGTCGTATTTGGAGAGCCGATTGCGGCTGGTTTGGCGTGCGATGGATCACATTACTATGATAAGAACTGGGAACACGCCGCTCAATTTGTTTTGTCACCTCCATTAAGCCGGGACAAGGGAACGCCCGAGGCATTGATGGATTTGTTAGCTTGGTAAGGAAATTCTTACTTATTCAAAATAAAATGCATCCGATAAAATTAATAATATTGATATTTTTAGCGGACAGCTCCACTTAACAGCCACTGACAATTGCACTTTTTCTTGCAGTCAAAAGAGAATGGGACTCCAAGATTTTACCAAGATTCCAAACGGTGTAAACGGAGTAGAAGATCGGATGGGAGTGGTCTGGGAGAAGGGTGTAAACACCGGAAAGATCGACCCCATGAGATTCGTGTCCATCACCAGTGCTACTGCTGCCAAGATCTTCAATTGCTATCCCAAGAAAGGACGAATCCAAGCAGGGTCGGATGCTGATATTGTCATCTGGAATAAGGATGCTGTAAAGACAATCTCTGCAGCAAATCATCATCAAGCTGTGGATTACAACATCTTTGAGGGTATCAAAATTCGTGGAGTCGCCGAGATTACAATCAGCCGAGGAAAGGTCGTCTGGAGAAATGGGGAATTGTTCACAGATCCTGGGGCTGGAAAGTTCGTACCGTTGAAACCTTGGTGTAACCATGTGTTTGGAACAATTGAGGCCAGAAAAGAGGTGAGTACTCTCCGGAAGATTTGCAAACATGTTCAGCTTTTTTAAATTAATTCCAAGTTTATTTTTATCTTGTTTATCCACTTTTTCCTGAGATAATTATAACAGATACTCGTATCTGCACCTTCTTTGCATCCTCCTCCTCATGATCGCCCTTTGCTCCTTATGGTGGACCTTATCCTTTGGTTTCGTCAATCGCTTTCCTTTATGATCTCAAAGACTCCAAAAATTCCGTTCCTCCTTTTCTTTGCTTTTCAGTTCCATTTTCACGTTTCCTCAAGAGCTCTTTGAACGTACTCCTGTTCTAATTGTTGTCCTTAGATTGCAGATCAATCTGTATTCTCTATCTATTTTTGCAGCGTCGAAAGCCTCGCCTTGTCCTCCGTGAAACAGACGTCCAAAACAATAACCTGACAGGCGGTAAGGGTGATAAATCAAGATAATCCTATGTGTTTCCAGCCGTTCGAGTTGAATGAATAAGGTGATTACGAGTTGTTGACAGATATTTTACACGGTTTTGGAAAGATGCCCTCAAGACTATTTTGTACTATTTCTATCTATTTCTGACTTGTGATCAATGTACTATAATGTTGAAGGATATTTGTGAAAAAATAAACAAAAAATACAAAGGATAGATCATTCGTTCGCAAAAAGATCAAAAGAAACTACAGTAATCTTACAAATTTCAGACTCAAGATTCTTCGTATAAGATGTCCTCGCGGCAACTAGCGCCCTATTTTTCATAAAAATAAATATTTTTTGGACTCTCGAGAGTCGATACAAGTTCCGTTGATTGAAAAGGCGTCCCGATTTAGTAAACGATCCATTTGTTTACGTTTTCTTCGTAGATTCGGTTAACATTGTTTTAGGCAAAAAAAGAATGGCTGAGGAACTCGCGATTCAACGTTTCCAGCAATATCTGCAGATTAATACCGAGCAACCGACTCCGGATTATGGTAAGAGATCTTATACTGATCTATGGTTTTTATAGAGAAATGCACCAAGTTTTTGTTGGGGTATGCCAAAGAGTTGGGATTGGAGACTTGGACGTATGAGGTAGGTTAAATATTTCAATCTGTTTTTGCTAATTGTAAGGGGTAAGGATTGGAACTTGACTTGTTGACCAATTTGACCGGTCAAGCGAGCAAGGTGATATTTTACATATTACGTTTTGGGTTACGTAGAGCATGGAACTCAAAAAAATGTATAGATGCCTAGCTATTCCTATTTATCTCTGATTTTAGTGCGTGAAAGGAAAGCCCTTTGTGGGGATGATCTTGAAGGGAACTGATCCCTCGCTCCCTACACTCATGCTCTACTCTCACACTGATGTTGTCCCCACGTTCCCTGGGTTCTGGAAGTACGATCCCTACTCTGCCCATCGCGATGAGAAGGGGGATATCTATGCCCGAGGAGCTCAAGATATGAAATGCGTTGGTGTACAATACATGGAGGCGTTACGAAAATTGCTGAAGGATGGGAAGAAGTTTAAGAGGACCATCCATATACTCTGGGGACCAGGTATGTTTTTAGGAGTTGCAGGGTTTTAATTTCGGGGGATTTTTTTTTTTGATTTTATCAAGCTTTATTACTCTTTGTAGAGGAAGAAGTTTGTGGAGCGGATGGAATGGCGCTGTTTTCAAAAACCGACAAGCTGAAGGAATTGAATATTGGATTTGTCTTGGATGAGGGACTGGCAACGGAAGATGATCGATATAAGGTGTATTACGCTGAGCGGTGTCCCTGGTGTGAGTTAGATTATCCTTTATCTTTAAACTTTTTTTTTATTTGTACCATCTCAAATTTAATTTTAGGGCTAAAGATCACTTGTCCCGGCTCCCCTGGACACGGCTCCAAGTTCATTGAGAACACGGCTGGAGCCAAATTACAGTCCGTAATCAATTCTTTCCTTGCTTTTCGGGAAGAAGAACGTCTGAAATTGGAGAAAGATCCTAACCTCAAACTCGGAGATGTGACTACCGTTAATCTCACCAAAATTGAAGGAGGTGTCCAACTAAATGTTCTTCCTTCTGAATTTGTGGTTTGTAAGTTGCATCATGTTTTATTGCGGCATATTTTTTATTACACTTCATGATGGATGACTTTTGCAGACTTTGATGTGCGAGTTACACCCACCGTCGACTTTGAGGTGAGTACTGTCTCCTTTTTATTGTTATTTATTTTTGAACGAGCCCGTCGGAAGATTACTTGTAGAGTTTTCATCGGATTTTCTCGCGCGATAATCGCATTTTTGTACTTTTGTCAGCAAAAAAGTCACAACACTACAATTATTTTTAGGAATTCGAAGCTCGTATTAAGGGATGGTGTGAGAAAGCGGGTCCTGGAGTCACAATTGAGTTCTTGCAGGTAACTGGGTCTATGTTTGCATTATTGTTTTAGAAATGTATGGTTAAACAGATTACACCCACCACAAAAGAAGATCCTTGGTGGAGTGCATTCAGCTCAGCACTCGAAGAATTGGACTGTAAGATTTCCAAGGAGATATTTGTTGGAGCCACAGACTCCAGATATTTGCGAGAGGTGAGCTTTTTTTATTGTACTGGGTTGTATTAACAATACAATAGCCCGGTTTTAACAAAAATTTTCATGTTGAAGCTTTTTTTTTCTTTTTTTAAAAACCGTTTTTCTATTGCATACCCTAGAAGTAATTCTAATAATTTCAGCAAGGCTACAAGTCGATCGGCTTCAGTCCCATGATCAATACGCCCCAACTTCTCCATGATCACAATGAATACCTCAATGATAAGGTCTTCCTCCGAGGTGTTCAGATCTACGAACGACTCATCGAACGTTTGGCCAACGTATAAGAGTCCACTCAATTGTCAGTTAACATCCGCTTATATTACTTTAGGCCCTGTGATATTAATTAATTAATTGGAATAAATATAAAGCCTATTTCCGGTTCTGATTTCATTCAGTGTAACTCTACGCCTTTGATCAGAGCAAATATTTGGCCTTCTACTTCACCATTCTTCGCGTAATCAAAGGGGTATCATCTCACGGGACCCGACAATGGCTTTTAGCACCAAATTATGAAAGGTTTATAGTTTAGGAAGGGCGAAGGACTACTCTAAATTGTTTCTCGTACTCTCTTAATACTTTTTGAGCTCTTGGGTAAAGAGAAAACTCGGGAAGAATTATTATTTTCGAGATCTTCTTTGGCGAAAGGTTGGAAGTCAAGGTGCAGAAAATGATGATGTTTGTGGAGGGAATATTCACATGAAACCAAACAAAAAACCGAAGCAACCTTGTAACTCTTACAATACACCTTTCACTTCTGATCCTCTTATTCAAATAAACTTGGTCAAGGGCGAATCCTCTGGCTTTTTCGTATTTTTTACGTGAAAAGCCCACCTTTTTGGTGGGGGAATATCCCGCCTAACTTCATTTGGTCGGCAATACCTGCGGGTTCAATAGTTTTTGCTCGGAACTCGGGGTTGCGCAACCCTCTGGCCCCTTATTATTCAATATTATTCTGATTGGTCCCCCGATTTCCCCGGAAGTGTATTTTTTGCACGCGCGAGATTATATGGAGAAGACGAGCGGACCGGATTTGAGCGCGAAAATTCATACAAAAAATATTTTACCCCGCCCGCCCTCCCCCCTTCCTTCGTCGCCCGGGCCGCGTCAAAATTCGACGTTGGGCCGAATCGCGCGGCTTATCACTGGGCTGCTTACTGTACTTGTTTAGTGACTCACACACTTGAATCATCATTAAACTTTATTATTTTGCGATCAGTCTTTCTGTCAGGTGCCATTTCAGTGCCATAACTAAACGCTACTACTCATCAGTAAAACATCTCGACATGGAGTTGTAAACGCGTTGTTTATGGTATGATCATGTCTAATAGAAGATGAGACATCGACTCTGCGGGTCGGCTGGCCTAATTTTAATCATCTACAGTATTCTCATGAACTCAGGTAAGATGACTTTTATATTATGCTTATGTTAGCAAATCGTTAATTTTTTTGAAAAAATGGCATTTATTTTTTTATGATGATTAATATTTCGGTATAAAGTGAGTGTTGAAACTTTTATGCTTGTTATGTGTAGTACTATCGTCGTATTTTAGTTTTTTCTTCCCAACCCTATTTAACCGACGAAGATTTCCAAAGAAGCATCGGTAAGTCCAATATCCTCACACAAAACTTTCTCACAGATTTCACACCCTCGAAAGTTGATTTAATTTCAGATGATGACATAACATTTTTATCCGATGCAGATTTCAAAAACGCCGAGAAATACGACCAGTTGTTGGGTAAGCTCTTTTTCCTGATCACGTAATGCTCTATTTATAGTCGATAAACATTCGAACCGCGGTTATTTGCTCTCTCACCAAAAGTTTTACCATGGAGATATTCGAGGGAAAGCACAGTGGATCTCGGTAAAAACCTACTTTCACTCTTCTGCCAGTAAAATCTATACAAATCGCTTTACTTTAGTTGTAGAATAGACCACTATAGCGGCTTTAACTTGGTTTATTACCAACAAAACATGAGATGTTTCCAGAAAATGACACAAAATGGCAAGAAACGGAACGGAGTTACAAACTTTATAAAGAAATGGCCAGACGGAAGGATACCCTACGTTCTGTCAACACAATACAACGACAGAGAAAGGGCCGTCTTGGCCAAGGCATTCAATCAATATCACAAACAAACGTGTGTAAGGTTCACACCGAAGGAGCCTTACGATCGGGATTACCTTTACATCGGGAAAATCGATGGGTAAGATAAATTTGTCGCCAAAAACTTAATATCTTTCTAATTTTTTTAAACACCAACATCAACTTCAGATGTTATTCCGATGTGGGAAAGGCTGGAGGCAGACAAGAACTCTCATTAGACGATGGTTGTATGCAATATGACACAATTATTCATGAATTAATGCACTCGGTCGGCTTTTATCATGAACACGAGAGATGGGATCGGGACCATTTTATCTCCATACTCTGGCAAAACATCGATAAAGGTAGTACCACCCACTAACAATAATGCCAAAAAATCATCTATTTATTATGCACTGAGCAATTCTAGGTGCATACGATCAGTTTGGTCGGGTAGATCTAACCGAAAGTTCGTATTACGGCCAAGTTTACGATTACCGATCCATAATGCACTATGACAGCATGGCCTTTACAAAGAATGGAAAAGAAACTTTAGTTGCCAAGCAGCCAGGAATGACCAAGGTAATCGGCATTGCTCAGGATTTCAGTCCCACGGATCTCCTCAAAATCAAGAAGATGTATATGTGTGGGAACACGGTTCCGGTAAGTGTTCTTTCTCATCATTATTATCATTCTAGAGTCACACTTACAAGTATGTCAATACATTCTCTCAAAAGCCTCGTCCTACTTGGCCAGTGTCTCCACTGGCAGTCGCAAATGAAGTTAGTTACAGTATGTCTCCAACCACGTCATCTTTGGTCCCTTTGCCAACAAGTCGGAATGTGATGGAGCCTGACGTCCAGCCACGTAAGTATTAGGCATTTCCTGTAACCTTTATCATCCATAATCACCTTTCAGAATGTGGAGATCGGAGTACTTTATGTTGGAGATGGCTGGAACGATGTAGATCGCCATTTTTCGAGAAAATTATGAAGGAATTTTGTGCCCAATCCTGTGGCTATTGCATTCCTCCAGCTCGCCCTTCCTGGCGTTTCTCCGAGGGTCATATCACGCCTATTGACCGAGGGTACAGTGCTTACAATAACAACGATTACTACACTCAACCGCAAACACAACTGCCATGGTATCAGGTGGTTGGATGAACAAGATTTATTGATAATCTGAAGACAATAAATAGACTTAGGATTGTATTTACGGGTCAAACAAGAAATCATAATGTAATAAACAACAAAAACAAGCGTGATAATGAGCTGTTATATTCCCAATTACTTCTTTTTCTGGGCTTTCTTAGCTTCCACTTCGATTGGAGCTTCTTTCACGAATGGGATTTTGTTCTTGTAGGGTTCGGGCATGAAGTCCTTGAGAACATCGGGGATCCTGATTCCATCTTCTTCTTGATAATTCTCCAAAACGGCGCAGATCACTCGGGTGGTAGCACACATGGTGGCGTTCAACATGTGGACGTAGTTGACCTCTCCATCCATCGCCTTCTGGCCGAACCTGACCTTCAGGCGCCTGGCTTGATAATCAGTGCAGTTGGAACAAGAGACCAGTTCTCTGAAGGCATTGCTGCCGGGGAACCATCCTTCCAGATCAAACTTCTTGGCCGCAGCATTGTTCAACTCTCCAGAGACGATGTTAACAATATGATACGGAATTCCGAGCGCTTGATAATACTTCTCAGCATTGCCAATCATCTGAAAAAAAAATAAAATAGAAGTGAAACCAAGGATGACAAAAAATACAGTTCACCCGCTGATTAATCGTTCATACTTCATCGAAATGTGTCCAGGAGATGTCATCATGGGGAGAACATATGACAAACTGTTCAATCTTCTCGAACTGATGGACTCGGAAGATTCCTCGAGTGTCACGCCCATGAGAACCGACTTCTTGTCTAAAGCAGGTGGAGAGCCCTGCGTATTTTATCGGCAGTTCTTGAGGATTCAGCCATTCACCTCTGTGGAAGGCAGCAATTGGTTGCTCAGAAGTTGCGATCAAATACTTCTCATCGACACTATCGTCTCCAACAACTTCAGATCCTTTGGAACTGACCTAAAAGTTAAATTATAAAAACGTAAAATATCGCCTTTTACCTTATAAAGTTCATCATCAAACTGGCTCAGTTGGGCAACTTCTTGCATGACTTCCTTCCTCATGAAGAAAGGAGTATACAAAGGTGTATATCCATTCTCATTCAAAATCCTCAAAGCCAAATTGATCAACGCTTGCTCCAAAAAGACCAAAGGACCTTTTAAGAAATATCCTCGACCTCCAGCAACAGTTGTTCCGCGCTCCCCATCGAATCCATCAACCATAACAACTAAATCCACATGGGAATACTTCTTCTTCGTGAATCCATCCGCTCCTTCAAACTTCTTTTCGACTTTGTTGTTAGCTTCATCATCGCTAACAGGAACACTGGAATGTAGGATGTTGCCAATTTGGCCAAGGAAGCCGTCTCTTTCGGTCTCAAGCCTTGTCATTTCATCCTTGGCTTTTACCATCTGCTCCTCAACTAATTCCTTTAATTTTTTGATCTGTACTACAGTCAGCTTCTAAAAATCAGAATAAAAGGATTAAAAAGAAACTTACAGAGACATCCTCCAGCTTCAAGTCCTCTAACCGAGAAACTAGATCGTCGGGAACCGTTGGGTCATTTCCTTGTGGTTCCTTTTTCTATAATCTCAAAGAATTCATCATAAAGGAAACAACTCACCTTCATTTTTTCTCCCACAGCCTTGCTCGTTACATTCTTCAATCGATTTAAGTTGTCCAAAGTAAATCTGACTGAAAAACTAATTTTTACTCAACCGAAAAGCAATACATAATCAAAAACAACATGAACACTTACCTTTAACCCAAGTCTCGTCGGTTTCAATGACTTTATCCACTAGGGTCACATCTTTATACCTGTCTTTCTGGGATTTCCGGATTACATCGGGTTCTCCTCCCTTCTTCACACGGAAAAGGTCAATATCCAAAACCATTTTGGGATAACCTTAAATGCAAATCTGTTATTTTCAGCCTTTACAAGCACAAACGTAAAACACAAAACCTGACAGTTGAAACTGCAAATGATGTAATTTCGTCGAAATTGAAAATTTTCTAGGATTTTTACTTGAAACACAATGCCACACATTTTAATGCTTTCGAACCGAAAACATTCCCGCAAAAAAAATATTTGAATTTACTGAAATCGTTCTGTCTTTTCGGCTCCTTCGTTCGCTCGAGAATTGACCAATATCCTTTCATCTGTGGTTTACTGATCAGGACTGATGTTCAGGAAGGAGACGGGGTTAAGGGCTCCATCTGCGGTAATATATTAGTGTTTTTTTTTATTCTGTTGGTTTAGGGGGCATTAAGAACAAGGAGTTCGAGCACTTCTAACTTGACAAGACCGACAGCTTCATCCTTGAACAGAACAGCCGGAATATCAGTAAGAAATACGAGTGTCCCTCCAAATGGGGCCAAGGGAAATATTGCGAAACCGGTTATCGTGCGTCCAGTGACTCGAGCTTTCTCAAAATCTCAGTCTAATGTCAATGCCCCTCCTTTAAAGCCTTCCTCAACGCTTGGTCGTGGTCAACGGTATGTTTTTTATCTATAATTTTTATTTTTGTGCTTTAGTTTTCACTCAACTTCGGCACTCTCCAAAAAACCCGTTTCTGCAGCAGATTCAGTGAAGAATAATAGCCAATCAGCCAAAGAGAACCTTCCTGTCCGGCCTTCGACTGCTTCTTCAACTGCAGTCTCATCGATACCTCCACCAAGAATGACTTCAGATAATGAATTCGGAGAATTTAAGCCTCTTTCATCCGTTGATCTCGATTCCCTTTGTAGAAATAATCAGAATGTAAGTGTTCTTTGTCTAAGCTTTCTATAGCATTTTTAGGGAATAACTCGAATGACCATCTTGTCCACCAACTTCTTGGATCCAGTACAAAGAAAAGCGTTTCTGGAAATGAAGCGGAAGGTGCAGCAGAGGATGAGCGTGGATTACACTCGGAATCTGGTTGCGAATAATCCCGGTCTGTTGGGAAGTGAAGCCGTGAGGTCAGTGCTGAGAGAAGAGAATCAGAAGAATTTGATGAGACATGAGGAGACTCGGAATGTAAAGTTTGCTGACACTTCAGAAGTACGGAGAATACCGGAGGTAAGATTTTTTTAGATTTTCCGCTTAATTAAATTTTCTTTATAAGGGAATTACTCCAGGTGCGACACTAAGATTTTGATGAAATTTGGCAAAAATTTAGATTAATTTTTGTTTTCAAGGAAAGTATTTTTATGTTGCTATCTGTTGCTATGTGCCTATCTGGCAAAGATGCGACTAAAAATTGTTTTTATTTCTGGCGGCGCTCCGCGTTTTGCGTACTCTGTCGGCAACAACGATCATTAAATATCTCGGCTGCGCCGCAAAATGCGGGGTAAAACTTTCAGCCATTGATATATGACCCAACCGAGGCGTGCGCAAAATTTAAAGGAGATCTGAGCGTCGCACTTGGAAGCCTTCCCTTGTTAATTTTAATTTGCGAAATAACGAATTTACAGGAGGGCCAGACAACCCCGACTTCCCGACAATTCCTCGAAAGGGTCAAGAATGCACCCGTCATCCTCCAAACTCCTCAAAATGCAGCTCGGAAGTCGATTTACACAACACCCAAGCGAGTTGAACCATTCAAATATGAGAATAGGCTAAGTGAGGGTGTAGAGGATGAGTTGGAAGAATCCCCGCCAGAGCCGACGCCTTCGAAGGTGAAAAAAATGGGAAAGGTAGAACCAGAAGAACAGAAGGTGGAAATGGATGAACAGAAGGTTGAAGCAGCACTAAAAGAAGATGCCAAGACAAAAATCAAACGACTTCTTACTGAGTTCTCCGACACGTTTAACAACCTTACATTCGCGGAGATTCAATCCCTGAAGGCCGAATTGGAGTCATCGACCATCGTCGACTCGGTCAAGGCTTGTCTGAAGATCCTCTCGGACTGATTCTAAATCTTAAATTTCATTGATTCACCAGCAATATTCTCGTTATAGACTGCTTAGCCCATCAATTGATATGTTGTAGATTTGATTATGCATCCAATGCGACTTGTACATTAAAAATTCACATCAACCCCCAAAGTTTCACGATGATTTTTTATTTTTCTCGTGCTCTTTTAAAGGCTAAATATCCACACATATTGATCTAGTTACATCTCTGTACAATGAAAACAACGGTTAATAATAGTAAGTAATGAAAATGGGAAGGAATGCGACTGTTATATAGACTAAGGACAATCATATCTCTAGAGGGTGATAAAGCAGAAAGAAACGCGAACTTCTTCGCGCTACTGTACCCATTATTTAAACTTTTTGATTTCGAAGATGGCTCAGCAAAAAAGACCGTTTCTAGCAAAAAAAACAAATTCTAAAGATATTGAATAAGAGTTGTTAGGTTAATACTCAAAAATATACAACTATGAAATTGTAAAAACATAGCTAATTAATAATAAATGGGAACCAGACGCCGTTTAGAAGTCGGCATCCCAGCCAGTCTCATCTTCACCCGTGGAAAAGTTGTCGGTCGAGGGATATCGGTCGAAATTCTGTGTATCTGTTGAACTTCGGATCTGGAAATAAAGGAGAATTAGTAAATATGGCATAAATATTCAGTCAATTTTATTCTAACATCAATATAAATTCAAAATATTGATCAGGATCTTACCTTTGGCCTGATTGGAGGTCTCATTGTGTGATTCCTGAAGGCGACAAAGTCAAATCCCTGGAACCAGACGTCTTTCCTCGCGTCTTCGATTCTCCCGTAACCCAATCGTTGAGCAGGATCTTTTCGGCAGAATTTGCAGATCAAACTCTTAGCCTGATCGCTGATATACCTGGGCCATGCCAACGAATTCACACCCTTGAGGATAGAGTTGTAAGTATGCATGGGATCAGTGCTGGCAAAGGGTGGAGTGCCGGAGATCAATTCATACATGAATATTCCCAGACTCCAGATGTCGACAGCTGTGTCTTGACCCTTGTTGAGGATGATTTCCGGGGCCACATACTCGGCAGTGCCACAGAATGTCCAGGTCTTGGCATTCTCGGACTTTAGACGTTTCGCGAACCCAAAGTCGGCTAATTTGGGGATTCCGTTCTTGTCCAATAACATGTTTTCGGGCTTGAGATCACGATAAATGATGCAGCGACGATGTAAATAATCGAATGCCTCCAGGGCAGCGGCACAGTAAAATCGGGCAGTCAATTCGTCGAAGCGGCCCCAATTCCTGAGCATGGTCCAGACCTCGCCTCCAGGGCAGTATTCTAACAGCATGTAGAGACGTTCCGCATCTCGGAAAGTCTTATAAAGACGGACAATGAAGTCGCAACGACATGAGATGAGGATATTTCTCTCATTGAGGACGTGTTCTTGTTGGTTCATCTCTTTCACATGAGCCTTGTTCATGATTTTGAGAGCGTAGACCTTCTCAGTGTCAAAGTGTTTGACCAGATTCACCCGACCGAAGCCACCAATACCCAGTGTGGCGACGGTCTTGAGATCAGCGAGTTCCACATCGTCAATGTCAGCGGTGCTGAAAAGAAAAGGCTGTAAATCAAATGTTTTTGTTTCTTTCCCCCACTGGACACTTTTTAATGATGAGAAACGTAACAATTGCTACTTGCTTGAGCCCGGCTCAAATCTGGAAAGCGTGCCACTCTTCTCACGTAAATCACTGTATTGACGCAGCTGTGACTTTGGTTAAATAATGCCCTCAATTATTCATCTGTTCGCATTCTTTTCCGCGTCAGGTGTTTTGAGGTCCGGAGGGTTTGGAAAGGGACCGAAAACGACCCCAGGACAGCGGGTGTCACTTTAAATAACCGAGGTATTTTTTCCTGTGACGACTATGAGGGGGAAGATAATTGTTTATCTTGGGATAGACACATATAGCCGAGGTATTCGAATACCTGGTTTGAAGAGGGAGAAAACTCTCGATTCATGAGCACTCGAGAGTCCGCTTGGCCAAAGGTTGGGCCGAAACGATACGATATTGGTCAAGGCAAGCATCAGAGAGCAATGAAGCACAAAAATGTCATCATTTTTGGAATAAACAGACAATTTTAGACTACTTATGCAATTAGGGGAACAAACTATAATGAAAAAGTAAATGCTCTTGCTCCCTCGACATTCACATGACGTCCGAAAAACTTCAAAACGATTTCAAAGGGCTCGGATCGAAAGGATCGAACCGAGGGTTCTCGCCGGAAATACAGTAATCCACTTATTAACGCTTTTTTTTATGCATTTGCCGAAACAAGTTTTCCGTGCCGAAAATAACTAAATCTTAAGGAAGGGGATGAGTGAACGGCGGTTCTGGAACAATCAGTCTCCTCCAAACGTGCTAATTTGATTGTTACCAGAGGCGCGGGAACAGAAAATCTGATTAAAATCAGAAATAGGACCACGAAAACCAGTGATTTGTTTGTTAAAGACCTCTGATTCAGCTGGGAAGGGGAGGGGATGAGGTATTCGAATGCAACCGGTTTATGCCTTTCGGGTAAATATTTGTCAGGGATTACTCCGGTTACAGCATCCCGTTGCAAGGAAATCCCTCAGGATGCAAAACTGTGATCTCCAAACGTTTGAGAGCCGGATATTTTGCGTTAGATAAGAGACATCAGGAATTTGTAAAAAGCAGAACAAAAATACTCGATTATGGAGAACACCTCGCTAGAAGCTGTAAATAATTTTTACATTTGCGAGAAAGTTACTCGGGATGACTTAAGGGTCTCAAAAGCGCAAGTCATGACCATCCACCGACACTTACCTTGGTTTCTCAAAGGAAATCTCGAGGGACGCTTGAGCCTGCGAAAGGGCCAACTTCTGGGCCGAATTCGGGATCCCGAAGCATCCGAATAAACCCATCTCGCATAAATGGGAAGGAGAAATACGTGGAACAAAGGGTTTGGGAGACCAAGAAAGTGTTTTGTCTGACCTGGCCTCCGTCTACCTTCAACCCTTATCTTCCACAGGAGGATCCTCAAGCCTTCCAAATTGGTGAAGGTGAAAAGGCGATGATCAAAAAAATGGAAGACGAAGGGGAAGGGCCCGGTTGATCGCCGGGCGGGGAGCTTGAGGGAAGGAGTGCGCGACCTCTGTGCGACGTCTTCAGAACATGGAGTCACGCCTTTTCCAGTAGTCGAGCAACAGCGGCGAGCAGCTCCAGCTTGCTCTGCGCTGGTTTGTGCGGAAAACCGAGATCTACAAGTAGAAGGAGAAGATGCTCGCGGAATAAAGGAAAGCCCAGAAAACGAGGGCGGGGCCCTGGGACTTGAAGACAAACTCGCGCACTGGGCTTCAAGCCCTCGAACACTGGACATGGGAAGGAAGGAAAGAGAATGGAGATCACCCCAAATGAACCATGAATGAAAAACGACTCCATAAGAGTTTATGGGGTTTTAAACTCCGGCATACAGACAGAATGCACTCCTTGCACTTCCACGTGAAGCAAAGGCCTAGAGTTCAATGGAATATAATAAATCTATTCGAACTTGACACGAGAGGAGAAAACGGAGGACTGATAATGAGACATGACTAATTCAATTTCACCATCAGAATCACAAATGAAAGCGCGAAATGTTTGTACAACAAGGCCGGAGGACACGATTTTTGAGACGTTTATGCGACCCAATCTAATTGATAGGCCAATAAACAAAAACAAAGACCACAAGTAAATATTTAGTCTCGAATTGACACACAAAAAACGACAACCCTAGTGAGGACCTGGAAAAGTTACCGTATGCGGGCTATAAATAAAATGCGGATGCGTATCAAGTGCTCTAGTGGCCTTTGATAAGAAAAATAAGCGTTTGGCGATAAGGCACAAAGTATAAATTAGGCCTTGGCCTGACAAAAGTTATTTATCGCCCCGAGAGGGGGGATATCGAGTGACTGCTGGCAGATCAGAGAATGGAATGAATGGGATGATAACAAGGAAGTCCACAGAAAAGATCGACCTTTTGACGTTTAACCACAATGGAACGAGGAAAAAGAACAACCGAATCTGAGGGCAATGCGGCTACTAATCAAACGAAGGGCTTTCGATTGGATTGAAGTCTTGTCCAAGTGCTCTCCGTCGAATAATCTTGTTGTAATTGGGTTGTCGAGTCTATTTTTGTATGCAAATGGTTCCAAATCCGAGGGTTCTTACACCTCTGGTTAGTCATTTCCAATATTCTCCTTGTTCGATTATTGTATAATATAATCTCCAATTCGATTACCGAACATTGGAGTTTTGTCACTTTTCAGGTGTCACAAAAGCGCAGACTCCGCAATTTATCCGAGCATTCAGGAAACATGGGATAATTGCTGGGAAAGGCAAAAGGTCGCAGGTATTGGCGGGTAATGTAATCGACAGAGCTCAAGGGAACACATCCTGCGACTAACAATTCAATCTACACGCTGGGAATACGCTTTGTTTTTTAGAATCTTTTTTATCCTAATAGTGTCATAAACGTGTGAAAAAAAAGATGTTTTTCGGGAAGACGTTGGGCCGAAAATGTTTTCTATTGTAATCCAGTTACTTTAAAGCAATTTCCGCATATCGTTTGCAGTACTGTAATTTTGGACAACTATGGCTCGCAGTAATTTTTCCCATGGGAATTGCAAACATATGCCGATTTTAAAACAAATTCCCATTCCTTTGCAAGATGTCATAAACAAGCTCCCATTACAGTCATTTCCCATCCTATGATCTTTATTTGGAAACCGCTGCATTCCAATTTAGGTAATAAAAAAAACTATTTCTATCTTCAAAAGTTACTTTAAACCCCCCAATATAAATATAAATTTAAATAAACATACCTTTTCTGTGAGACCGACGGCTCGTCTATTAATGAGGTATTATCCAAAGTGCGACAAATTTGTTCGACCAGCATGACGATCAGACGGGCACCTTCAACGGAGTCAACGAAGTAACGTTCTCCAACGTTGTTGTTTCTGAAAACACAAATATTTTGCAAGGGGATTACTCGTATCATCGGTATCACAACATAAATTCAAAATCACGTGTTTTTTTGCGAGGGAACCAAAGTTTTCTGCAAGACTATCAAAGTACCAGACATTGCCTCAAAAAGGCAAAAGAAAAGCGAGAAAATGAAAAACTCAAAGAGTTCGAGGCATCCAGAGACATGAGACTCGACGGTTACCTCAAATAAAGACCCGCTGATAATACTGATAACAGGCCTTTGCCGTTTCGTCAATTAGCTCGAGAGACTGTAAAAGGAATCATTTATACGGAAAATAAACTTGTTATGAAAGTGTCAGGTTCTGCTCTGCGGGGGAGCCTAATGAACTCTGAATGGCGAAGATGATGCTCATGTATACGCCTGCAGGAAACGATAAAAAACGTCAAAAGTCTTGCAAAGAATGACAAGTTGTTTATCAAACTCATTAGGCTACAGTAAGATCTGAATGATCTCAAGGTTGACCATTAAAAGTTACTGTAAAAGGAGTCATCAAGAAAGGTTTACTTTTTGCGATGGAAGATAACACCTGTCCAGAGGTTCATTAGATCGCAAACATTCATTCTCAGTGTAAATACAGTATAATAACCGAAGGATTAGTATACGTACAGAGAGATAGCAACACAAAAATACAAGATGGGGCACGACGGGTAATAAATGACAAAATGAATAAGCTCTGACTTTAAATACGATTGCTTGTAGACGTAAGTGCACACCAATCGCGTGTTAGTCTTTGAAAGATCTCATTACTCGCAGAAACCGAAAGATCATAGATAAACAAGGTGATGACTCATTGCAGATCAACTGCTCACTTATTATCAATTACTACGCTCATAATGAAGATCGTAACCGGCGTGTGATCGATTAAGCGCAGTTTTTGGAGCTGCATGAGTAAAAACTTGTTGAGACCAACGCAAAAGGAAAGTCATCACCAAAGCAGACGAGGGCCCACTCCGAAACATATGAAGCCACCCATAACGGCGTGCTTAACCGGCGTAGGAGACAGGTATTGGAATGATCGCACATTGACATAGATGGAGAGGACAGTAGATGGGGCGGGGTCAGATCAAAGAATAACTTCAACGCCATAAAGGGTTCGAAGGTGCAAGGTTCTCAAAAATTCAACTGAAGAGAAGAATTGAAAGTGAAGTGATAATTAAATGGAGGAGACACCAAACACGATGAAAAACGAGATACTGTATCCCGAAAAATCAATGATAAGTTGAGAAAACATTTATTACAACCACAAGGTTAAGTGGCTGTCATTAATCCGGCCTCGTAACGAATGGGAGGACACGGAAGGAAGGGAAAAAGAACACGTACGCAACTCAATAAGAGGGATTAGGAGCAGAGTACAACTTTAATACTCTAACTATAAAGAAAATATAAGAAATTATCAAATGGAATTTGAAATTAAATTGTGATCTGCAAGAAATGAGAAAAAATACTCGCCAAATTGATGGCGGCCTGTCAATGAAATCGTTGACGTGATTCAGGTGTTAAAAGTCGCCTCAGGCATGCAGCACGTGCTTTCCCTCTTCCTAGCCGTCCTTCAGCAGACCGATGATAAGACACGAGTGTTAAGAGAAAGCGACGTCATAAGATCACCGAAACCAAAGTTTAGTTCCCATGTACTGGAAACGCACTCAGCTCGGGCCTAGACACATATTATAATACCTAGAAGATATGATGGGAAGCAGTCGGTCGATCGATAGCTGTAAAGTCATTATAAACGAAAGGGAGTAAAGATCTTCGGGTGAGAAAAATATTGATAAAGAACCCGTTTCTCCAAAAAAAAATTTCGAAATACAAGAATCTTTAAAAATTGGACTATCCAAAGTTATAATGCCTACCAAAACAAGCGGACAGCAGTGTAAAAGCAAATTAAAAATAGATTCTCAAAAGAAAACAACTTAAAAACACTACATACGGGATAATTACACATTCCACAGTAATCGATTACAGTAATCCTTACCTCGAAGTCGGGCGTTGAGCTGCGGCAGCGCCTCGGATCTGCGAATGGAGTGCTGGATTGGCGGGGAGAGTGCTCAATGCCAGTGAAAGACCGTAAAAGTCACCCAGAATATCGCCGGCGGTCAGAGTCTTAAGTTCGGGTGCCGTACCGTAAGACGAGTTACGGCGTTGGGTTATCTGAAATCATATGTCCATATTAATCAAAAAGCAGAGTAATTTGTCTCGGCAAAAGTCTTTATAATAAAAAATACACTCGACAATAACAAACGTATGGCCATTCTTTAAATGGAGGCAAAAAACAAATAAATAATCCGGAACTGCCCATCAATGTCAATCCAAAAGCTACAATTCATTATTACCAGCACAAATTCAACTGTTGTCTGGTCTCACCTTCTCGATCAGACGATAATAGAAATAATACAGTTCAAATATCCTTTTGGTATCCTAACAATAACTTGAAAAAACACCCTAAATGTAAACACACGTATGTTTACAAAATAGGGTTGTCAATTCAAGACGGATCAGACCGAGTCCAACCTCGACATCAAAAGTCCACCCTTACCGTACCCTTATTCCAAAATAATGATGAGAAATTTTAAGGAAATAAATTCTTGTCATATCAGTTTTCGTATACGAAATGGGTAATTGGACCCTCGAGGGTAACCTTCTCTTCTTGCTGAAATGATTTATTACTATTTATGAGTCTGCTCATTGGGAAGGAGACTTTTGTAAACTAATATTATATTTTCTCTTATCGATTTTCTTCCCAACACCGATCGGCTTTTCTCATGGTTAATGGAACGATTCTCTCATTTCGAGAACGTTAGGAAGAGAGCCTGCATGTCAACGAAATCCATCGACCGGCACTGCAGCAGCGAAAACACAACACTTCTCTTTACACTCTCATATGACCCATTAAACGAACAAGTACGCAATCGAGCGATGTAACCGAGAAAGGCGTTGAGAAAACATTTGATGATGGGAAGACAGTGTTACGTGACTTGGGCTAGGTGGACAACGCAAAAACGTGGAACAGAATTGATAAGGAAGCGTCGAGAAACGTGTGCTTGGGCGCGAAGGACCAAAACAACAACATAATCCAAGCGATGGTGTCCTTTCAGGAAACGAAATAAATCGGCTTCGAGTACGAGTCACCTCTATTTCTTTCATGGATTCGTGTTGCATACCGAAGAGGAGACAGAAGACCATCTAATCACGACAGAGTTCAATTGAGATCAGCCAGAACTGGTCTCAAGACGCCGATCGGCGGTCCAAGTATTCAATTACTCCAATCTCGAACCCTTATGACCAAAAGTGACGAACTCGGACCGCAAAAAAGATAATTTAGTAAAACGACTAACAAAAAGGCGTCAACGAAACTTTAAAATAACTCTGACAAGATGGTTTAACCACCAAGAATATAAATCATGCTTGCAATCAGAAACTGCACTCTAATATAGGAAAAAATAGATGAAATTCGATCCGAGGAGAACAAAGTTTACAAAATACGCAAAGGAAGCATGACATGGGCAAAGTTGGCGACATTTTTTGCACAAAAGTCCTTGTTTTAATTAACATCCGCAGAATAAACGAGCTTCGTGCAAAAGTATCAAATAATAATGTCATAAGAAGAAGGGTACACATGAAAACACTCCAACAAGACCGTAAATCATGTCCCAAAAATAGAATAAAGGGTCGGCCCGATAGGAAGACGGGATCAAAGTATACTAAAGGAGCGAGAGAGTCATGTGAGGGACAAATCTATACTAATATTGAAGGGGAGGAGGGAAGAGAAAGACCACTGGAACTTGCTGGTCAGCTGTCCCCCACCCAATATATACTAGAAGAAGCGAAAAGAGCTCTCGTCGGCTTAGCGGACCCCAGCATTTCGTTTGATTCGTACTATGCTCTTGTTGTTTCCTCCCTCACGTCGGTTTTTTATTCGCGTTTGTCCGAGTGACCAGTGCAGAGAGCGTCATAAACAAATATTTATTGCGACATCCTGTATTGCGAAACCTTTTCTCGCACGGGCATTGCGAAACAGAATGGTCAGATGAACGGATGAACAAAAGAATAAAGATTACCGAGGGCTCCAGAACTCCCGAGAAACAGGACAGTCCGCCGGAACTACGTGGACGGATGATCCGTTTGACTTCAAGCTGTTATAATATTATCTGCATTAAGCCCAAATTAATCCCGTAACAACTGAAGAAACCTCAAGTGAAACCAAACGCATCTCCAACATTGACAAGACCAAAACATTTTGTTCGAATTGCGTGTTACATAACAGCTCCAAACAAAAGTAACACTACTTTTGTTTGGACCCCCTCCCCCCTTCTTTTTCACCTGTCGTTCGAATAATAAATGAGGCATAACTATTCCTAAAGACACATTACGAAAAGTTTCACCAAACATGCATGGAGGCAGAGTTATGTTCCACTTTCCATCCGAAGAGCTTCCTCATTGATTAAACGAACTTTACCAAACATCAATATTACACTGGAGAAGCACAAAGTATGCTTATATACTACTGTAGGACCGTGACTTCCTTTTAAAAGTGATTGGTGTAACATCCGATTCAGTAGAAATCACAAATCTAAATGCTGGTACCGAGAATGACCGTGAGTCTGACCATTAACAGATCATCTTTTAAAATGAGATTCCTGGAACAACACAGACAAAAATTGTATATAATCGTCGATCTGCATTCGACAGAACACCTTTTAACAAGGAAATAAAAATCAAAAGTTCCCACATGACATAGTACCATCGATTTAACCATTAACGGGCCTCATTACCATTCCGCTCAATCCCGCTTCCTGAATCAACCCACTTTCACATGAAACCCCCGTACATAATCCGGAGAGAGTTCTCAAAGACCGGGGATTCAAAATAGCCCAAAGGGAACATGTGAAGAGCATCTGAAGAACGGCGAACGTTCGGCTAATTCCGTCTTGACGTTTTGTAAACACACAGCTGTCACTAAAGAAAGTCTTTTTTTCAAACATTTCCCTGAATTGTTCTCTCAACTCGAAATGCACCTTTCTCGACCCGAATCTCATCTAATTACATTCGCTTAAATGAAATTGTAAAACGCTACATCAATAATTAATGTCGCTACTTATCACCGGAATTCTGGCGGCATTAGAGCGCGTTGGGTGTAACTGGAGCGTTACGGTAGAATGTTTGAAAATTACAATTCGACGTCGGAACACATCACATTCGGGCGGAAATTGAGAAAATCAATCTTTCCCAGCCATCCATCTTCTTTTCCTTTTTCCCAACCCTAATTCTCTCGTGTTTTTCCCAACCCTAATTCTCTTGTGAGCGCCACTGTTTATATAGCGCAGTGGTAGTGAGTTTGTTCGCTAAACCGAAGGAGGAGAGTTCGATTCTCGATCCGAACGAATCCCAAAAAACGTCCAAAATAACTAGAATAAAGCTGATAAATACGCGATTGAACGCCCTAAAGCCCCAATCGTCTACCATGCCAGCTTAGAGTGTCGAATCCGCGAGAATAAGCCGGCAAACTCACTCGCTGCGTTTGACGGACGGACAAGTCGGAGACATCCCCTTTTTGGTTCACTCTCATCTATCTGCACATCAACCATACTTTTTGATACAAGAATATGGCCAGACAGTGGAACGAAACTCGTGAGTCACGTCAGCAGCTGTTTAGAGTACACATTCCAGACAAAAAAACCAATGGTCTGAGCTACTTTTGATGTTTATAAGAATGTCTGGAAAATGTGACCACCATAAAAACCGTTACGATATGCAAGATAAGGCTATAAAATGTATATGCGTTTATATATTCGTATATTCCTAGGGGAGCCGCCGTTTTTTATAGAACGAGGAACTTCAAAATAAGACCAAACTCTATAGCCCTTTACTCAAATTCCATACCAATTATTCGGCTTCCCGAAATTTCCAAAACCAAAAACTACGTATATGAATGACGAATAACATCAAAACAATATCTGTTATCACCGCAAAAACAACGAACTCACCTGTCCTGATACAACCAAGTATAATTTCCCTTCCAAATGAGACTGATCCACTTCGGCTCGAAACCCCCATTCCTCATCTTTCACAGAGTCCGCGAGCAGATCGATCTGTTCCTCGGAGAACATCTTCTGCAGCTTCGATTTGGTCATCAATGCGACCATCTCGTCATGCTTGGACTTTGCCGTGTTAACCATGACGGCATGAAAGATTCGCCTCTCCAACGCCCAGACCCGACAGTTGCATAAGGCTGCAAATGACACAATTTGGCAGATACATCATTATATTAGGCAATTCTAGGAGTGAAAGCATCATTTTGAAATAATAACAAAAACAAATTAGTCAAAGGAGTATGCAAGGTTGCAGGTGGCCCAATAAATTGGCAAATTTTGCAAAATTTTCCAAAAATAAAATAATTTTAAAATATAGGCAAAATGTCAAAAATTGATTATGTTGCGAAGTGTCAGAAAATTTTACAATTTTTTCCAAAACCAAAAGATAAACCCTTACACTTGATGGATGCCGTTCGTTCACAATGATACAATATAGCGAGTTCTCCGAAGACGCACGGTGCTTCCATAACTCTCAGGAATCGACTGTCTTTTGTCACTTGAACTCTTCCTTCTACAACATGATTCGTGATTGATTAATCTGATGTTCCATACCTTCCAAGACATACAGTTTACTCCCAAACTCTCCTTGTCTGATGATCCACTGATCTGGAGCAAACATCATTGGTTGCATTGCATTTATCATCTCATCGATTTGGAATTGCTCCAACTGACAAAGGAATTCATTTGCCAATAAAGCGGACTCAATTATGTCAAAAGTGCTGAAAACAAACTCCATTGGACCAGGAAAAAACAAATTGAATATTGAATAAGGGGAGACCAGATACTCGGCGATAACAAAGAACAAAATACCTTGGAAATGGGGTAAGACTTAAAATTTTTGATTTCATCATTGGTAGCATTTGTTTGGATATGGGTTCAAGCAACTTTACTGAACTCACCGACGGTCTTTTTGATGTTCCAGTCCATTTGAGTCACCTTCCGTTGATGCAACTTCGGCCGAAACTGCAATTTTCCGACCGTGAAAGAAGCTTCTGTATCCCGCCAATTCTCTGGTCAGCTCCTCTATCTGTCGCTCCTTCAATTCCAATTCGAATATCAACTCTTCTCGAGTCATCTCCATACCTGACATCGCACTACTACTCTACTTCTACTTTCAGGTTCAACGTTTTGTTTTGCCACGCCCAAAAATAGAATGTTTAGTTCTCACCGAAATTGGCCTGATGGAACGGGCATGACCGCAGGGATTAGGGCATTTGGGGTTATATATGGCTTAACGCAAGAATAAAGAGGGGAAGACGGCGTCTAATTTGTGGGCGAGGAAAAGATATCACTGGTAATTAGACGTGCCCATCCCTATGCCGGGGGTAATTAAGTTCGTTGCAACGGAAAACGGCCTCAGTTATTTATGGGGATTGCCAGGAACGGTGGATGGAGTTACATATTTCATGCTGATTTATACATCCGTACATAAATGTTTGTAAATAGATCAGAAAACAAAAATAGATTTAAAAATAAAACGCTCAGAGGGTAATGGACCCAACATGGTACACACGCGTATCAACGTTCAGAATCGACGAAACGTGAGCCTTATATTTACACAAACTTCTCATCCAGTGTAACAACACGAAGTAAAACCGGGCAGAAGGGACGATCACGTTCGAGTATGTTTCCGGCTGTGTACAAACGTCGTCGAGAACGGCATCATGCGGCGAGATCGTCAAGGAACAATAGAACAAAGGGAACTTGGCCAAAAAGTGTTTCCCTTCTTCCTGCCCTTTTGAAGTTAAATCGGAAGAAGTGGAGCCGAAGTAAACCCTCCTCACTTACGTGTTCCACCTTCCTCACTCTCCGCGCCCTGCCCTCCAAACCCCCTATGATAGATCACCCGACCGGACGGACGGAAATGAAATCCTAGCCGCGCCTCCTTGGCCGGTCTTCCAGGTTCCTCTGACCGCCGCTTATCGCTGGATTCCAGAAAGAATTACCCGGCTCTCGGCTTCTCTTTTGCTTTTTCGGGCGTCCGAATCCCTGGAGACTGGATGTTGAAGTCTTTTGCGGCGATCCCTGGAGTAAAAATAAATAAAAATGAGTCGAGACTGACAAGACCTAAAGCCCTATCGTCCGTCAGTTCTCGATATTTTGATGTAAATACCATCAGTCAGCTAATTAAACGGCCCCCGAGGTCTGATTCGGTTAAGCCACCCGTCTAAATCTTCTTGACATCTCAACGAATACTGTGGAAAAAGTTTAGAATCTTCTTGAAGAAGATTACAACAAGAAATTGTAGGTGAGACCACCAATTCCGAGATGTTCGAAAAATGAAAGGAAGGCATAAACAATGTTCATGGCATCCATTTCTTGTAAATTGTTACGTGCTTGAGTCATTCGCACATATTTCATATTTTTATGTTGTTCTACAGGGCCAGAGAGCGTATAAGAATGGCATTGAGACACTCTGTTTCCGTGCTGTCAAAACATTATTTATGGTTCTCGTGGTTATAACTGATTTATATAGCATTCATACGGAAAAAAATGAGAGTAATAATGTCCTTTTGAGGTTTTCAGTACATTGATGGGAGATCATTATTTAGAGAAAATCAAAAAAAGTTTATTTGGCAACTTCAACGTTTTATTAACTACCGTAACACGCTCTGCTGATCTTCAAATTCTTCAAAATCCGCAATTTTTCTGGGTTCTGGCATTCCGCACGACTTGAAACGGAATGCCAAAAAGATTCTCGTGAAATTCAGGCTCTTTCGCTAGATGATAAAGACAAAAATATTCTCGGTTTTTTTTCTGACTCGATTTCTCGAAATACTGGTCGAAAATGGGTGACGGATTGGCAGAAATTGGAATTTTGGTAAGTCTTAAATTTATTTGTGTGGTTATTGAGATTATTCTTTAGGATACTCCAAAGAGGGAGAAATCCCCAGCTGTGAATATTTCCAAGGATGCCATGGAAGTAGATCTTGCTATCAATGAAACCGATGACTACCTGAAGTTCAAGAAACTCGAGAAGCAGCTTGAACATTTGGATGTTATGGAAGAGTATATAAAGTTGGAGACTAGGAATTTGGAGAAAGAGTTGCTTCACGCTCAAGAAGAGGTAATTATTTTTCTGGCGATGAATTTCATTACTTTATTGTGCTTTCTAACTGTTTTAATTTCAGGTAAAGCGAATTCAATCGGTCCCTTTGGTGATCGGCCAATTCTTAGAGGCCGTCGATCAAGATCATGCTATTGTTGGGTCAACGACTGGTAAGTAAAAGATTTTAGGTATTTGATGTTGATGTTTAGGTTCCAACTACTATGTCCGAGTCTTGTCCATCTTGGATAGAGAATTGCTAAAGCCAGGATGCTCTGTTGCGCTTCATAAATATTCAAATGCCTTGGTTGATATCCTTCCTCCTGAGGCCGATTCAAGTATCCAAATGTTGAGACCCGATGAGAAGCCTGAAGTCAGTTACGCCGATATTGGAGGTCTTGACATGCAGAAACAAGAAGTCAGAGAGGCTGTGGAACTTCCTTTGACTCATGGTGAACTCTACCAACAGGTAATTTAGATACATTGCTTTATTTGATCAAACGATTCTACGAGTGTAATTACAGATTGGTATTGATCCTCCTCGGGGTGTATTGATGTATGGTCCTCCTGGATGCGGTAAGACCATGTTAGCCAAGGCTGTTGCCGCACACACTACTGCTTCATTTATTCGAGTCGTCGGATCGGAGTTTGTACAGAAATACCTTGGAGAAGGCCCAAGAATGGTCAGAGATGTCTTCCGATTGGCCAAAGAGAACAGTCCATCAATTATTTTTATCGATGAAATTGATGCCATCGCCACGAAACGTTTCGATGCTCAGACTGGAGCTGACAGAGAAGTCCAACGTATTCTTCTGGAACTTTTGAATCAAATGGATGGGTTCGATCAGACAACCAATGTGAAGGTCATCATGGCCACCAACAGACAAGACACCCTCGATCCTGCGCTTCTCCGCCCTGGTCGTCTGGATAGAAAGATTGAGTTCCCTACTCCAGATCGTCGTCAGAAGCGTCTCATCTTCAGTGCCATCACGGCCAAGATGAACCTGAGTGATGATGTAGATGTGGAGGACTTTGTGGCCAGACCCGACAAGATCTCCGGCGCCGATATCAACTCGATCTGCCAAGAAGCTGGTATGCACGCTGTTAGAGAGAACCGATATGTTGTCTTGACTAAGGACTTTGATAAGGCCTACAAATCCGTCGTCAAGAAGGATTTGAATGACTTTGAATTCTACAAATAAGCTAATCCTATTTATTGTGACTTGATGTATGATGTAAAATAAATCGGTTTCCTTGATATCGCCGTGTAGAACGACTTTGAACAACTGGCAATGAGCAGTTGCAAATATTTACCTACCCGCTAATCGCAAGATAACTGAGCGCCTCCAGGGTCATGGGACCCGCTAGAACTGTTTATAAACGGGTTACTTGGGGCTCTAATTGGCTGTTCGGGTGTCTATTTGTCAATCTGCAATTCTTTTGTGTATTTTGATTCCTCTTGCCGAGGATTCTCTTTCCTCGGTTCGTCGCGCTAATTTTCTCGGCTTTGAATTCACAAACAATTGCGCAATTGGGGCCAAAAGCTCTGTCAAAAGTTTTTTTAGGAAGATTTCTTCCAGTATTCTTTACATTTCCTCTTACTTTTGTTATAAAAGAATCGGAGGAATGAATATTTATGTGGAAAAAATTCTGAATCAGAAGCGTGTTGGGTCGGCCCTTGGCCTGACCTTTTGCAATTCCCGTCTGGAACAATCCTTGAGTTGCAAGACGTTTCCAGCAGTAAGGAATGGGAGATCTGAGGATTAGTCATAACTGATGTTACGGGAATGTAGACGTCGTATAAGATTTCAAATTTTTTAGCTATATTTGGAGAAAATCATGTCATGGCTTTATGCCCTTAGGCCATGTCAAGTCTAAGTACATCTCCTTCCTCATAATATTGTCAATGTCCAGGCGATAATAACCGGCTTTCCTCTGAGTATTACTTACCTTTCCAGTCCATATTTTTACTTTTCTATTTCCCCGGAGGGCTTTGAAGAAAGCGGTGTTCCGTGTGGTGCTATCGCCCGGGCAACGTTTTACATCCTTGCTTGGTATTTTATCCGTTTAATCAGAGGTGTTTTTTCGGGGAACGTCATCAATTCTCATTTGGAAGGCTACAAATTTATGCAAGAGCAAAGACTCGGTTTAAAGCCGGTTTGTATTTATGGTGGGGGGTATTTCAGTGGATAATTAGGAGCCTGCATGTTGAACATCACACATTATACTTGTTTTAAATTTAGAAACAGGTTGAATAGAGGTCTTTTAGTACTCTAAGACACATCTAATCTGCTTAGCGTTTATATTAGAGTTTTGAAAATTGGTATCAGTCTGTCGGGAAAATAATGGCGGGTCGTCGCAGCAAATTGTCGAAAAAGGGTGCAGTCTCCAGCCGCGGCCAGCCGTCACGAAGCGTTGATTGGCGGTTCCAAAGAGAACCCCTCGTTATTTTCCCGACAGACTGATATTTTCGGTCCACTCTCGCCAAAGCATCATCAAACTTCCCCTGACTTTGTCTCAGATCCCCTGTTTCTTCAAATTAAAATTCCCTTGCTCGTTGACGATGACGTGTGACCGCCATTTTTAATCACCTCGATTCACATGTATTATTCAACTGGTAATGCGACGCTTATCAGATTCGATGTTTGGAAAGAAGCCGAATTCTTGTTTTCCTTTCTGACCTGAGGCATTGCACAAGTTTCAGGGCTCTATTCCCACGGATAATTATTACCTTGACCCGTTGGCCTGAATCTCGGCATTTCATTGCGTTTCGAATAATTCTCATTCTCGGGAAGCGGGGGAGGCAGGGTTTAGGGTGTGGTGTTGCTTTGATTAGAAATGTTCGCCATTTGTTTGTTTGTAACTTTCTTCTTATTATTCTTTATTAATTCTTTACAAATTCAAATAGCTTTGTTACTGACCATAATGAACTTATATTTTTCCGCTTGTAGTTTTAATCTTTAATTATAATTTCACTGCCTTGTAGTTGTCATCAAACAAAATTTTGACCAAACGACCGGCATACCAAGCCCTAATCCCAATACAAGGCGTTACTTTCGTTGACGTCCAATCAGATAATTAGTCATTTTACAAGGAAAGTACTTCTATGGGGTGTGGAATTACCGGTCGAGATATATATCAAAAAATTCCCAAAAATTTTCTGATTCAGAATATATATAAATTAGCTGCCTAATTTTGGTTTAATGACATGTTTTTGTCCTCAGAAGTTTTCTCGCGACACCATGCAAGTGTCTTTTTGACCGTGTTTTTACCAATAAAAAAATTTTGTTTTGTGCTAAACTAAATTCTGAAGCCTTGACAAGCCTTAAAATATCAAATTGGATTACAACTACACCTCAAAAGTAGTTCCAACGTAAAAAATGGGTTCTAATGTGGCAAAAAGAACCGAACCCGTTTCCCTCGGATTTCCAACCCAGCGCTCTAACCACTCGGCCACACCGCTCTCTTCCGAAGGAAGAGACCGAGCGCGCTTTTGTTGCCGCAGACTTTTTTCCTCGAGAAAAAGACTTATTGAAAAAACTCGCTCATAGACCAAAATTAGGCAGCTAATTTATATATGTTCTGAATCAGAAAATTTTTGCGAATTTTTTGATATATATCTCGACCGGTAATTCCACACCCCATAGAAGTACTTTCCTTGTTAAAACTATTATTTAAGACGAAATGCCCATCATTTAAATTATGATCACATTCCTGGCCTTAAGTATTATACTTTTTCCCGGATTACGATTATGCGCCCCAGAGATGTTGTTATCGTATGTTAATGTCATCTTCCGATTATGATCACTATTCGTTATCATATTTAATTATTCAATATTGATGCATTTCAATTTGGGAACGAGCGTCTGTTCTATCAAAATGGCTACTTTCGCTTCTAAAGGATTGTAATTTCGATTTCAGATGAGTCTAGAGATTGTAAAACGTCGATTATGCTGTTGTTTATACAAGGGTCGACAGAGTAAATACACGGACTCGGTGCAGTACAACGCCGATGAGCATAATACAGTGGTTGTTACACAGCCAACAACCAAAACAAATGGATTCCACGAGATAGCGGAGCCCCCGAGGATTAATGGGACCACGAATTCGGGATTCGAGGATGATGCCCAAGACTTTGATGAGGTGAATCTGGATGAATATGAAGTTCCGGAGAGATATAAGAAGTCCGAAAACACAGATGCCAAGAAGAATGGTGATAAAGAACAGAAAGAAGTGATCCAAGTGACCGGTCTAATGCTGGATGATCTGTATGAGAAGAATGAAGGGTCAATGGAGAGCGAAGAATACAGAGAACCAGACGCAAATGTGATTACATCGGCCAGTGATGAGGATGTGAAGTTATCTCAGACCGCCGGAATTCATCGATTACAAATTGTGGAGAAAGGAGATGAGATTAAACAGGATTCAAGGACATCAACTGAGAGTTCAAGTAAACCGAGGAGTGAGAGCAATGAAGATACGTCGTATTCGGAGGCCATAACCACCAATATAAAGACAACAAATCAAACAGTAACTACGGTAGTCAAGACTGGAGAGATCAAGACGGAGGCAGCAGATCCTGATGTTGTTCTACAAAGGGCCGCTTACTTCAACAAACTCCCAGATTTAGAAGATTCCGAACAAATAATAGTGACTGCCACTGAAGTAAGAACAACAAAATCTGAGGTGAAGTCTCCGGATGATGGAAAATATGTTGTCACAGACCATGAAGCCATCCCAAATTCTTCATTGAATTCTCCAGATGGCTTAAAACTGGATGACATTCAAGAAGAAGATCGAGACAGCAGCGATAAAGATACCTCCACGAATACTTCCAACAGAACAACTGACCGAAGTCGGCCAAATGTATCAATGTACGGAGAATTAAACGAAGAGAGCAGTGTGTCATCGACCAGTCGATCGGATCCACAGCCAGATACGAAGGGATCAGGATTATTTTGAGGATGACTTTAATATGTGTATATAATTGAATAAAATAATAGAAAGTGCATACGAGGTCATGTTTCGTTGCTTTAAAGCCAACAAAATGCTAGAATAAACAAAATTAGTGACCACTAAAGTCTGAAAAAATAACGTCCATTTATTTTTTTACAAAACTTTTTCTGTGTAGAATAATAATCCTTGGACAGGACATAAACAAGCGTACTATATAACGTTGAAAAATAACAAATGACTAGTCAGTTTTTGCTGCCGCTGGTCACTCCTCTTTGAACTTTGTCGCGCTCTGTTTACTCGGATCAACAGTTGCGCAACCTCTCGGAAAAACAGTCAAATCTCTTGCGTGATGTATCCGCGTGATGTTGTCAGCTTCTCGGAAAGATCCCGAGTTTATCCGGTCGAATATTCGTTGCCACCGCAGAAGCAGCAACGACGGAGTTGCGGGGAATTCTTCAAAAAATACTTCCTTCAAGGTAGGTCATGTTGAACTTGGGTTTGATATCAGCTTGAAAAAGAAGGAATCTGGAACGTTTTTATTTTTGTCATCCGTGATCTTCCTGGGCATGCCCAAACCTTACGATACTTAATTTCAGGACAAGAATTAGATCCAGATCTTCAAAAGAAGATAGTCGAAGTCGGCGGAATCCAGAACCTCCCATTCTACGAAAGATACCGTAAATATCTGGCGCTATTATACCCGTTTATGTTCTTCCAAGTATGTTGGTGGTCCTTGGCGATCAAACATGACATCTTTTCCCTTTATCCAACAAGATACGAGATGGCATTGACGATGATTGTGGGTTCCTTTGCTTCGGGTAAGAGCTTTCCTATTAGTAATACGGGTTGATAAGTAATCTAGATGTAAGTATTGATTTCAGGAGCCACATCTGAAGGCGGCGGAGCAATCGCTTTTCCGGTCATGACCTTACTTCTCCACCTTGATCCTACAGTAGCCAGGGACTTTTCTTTAATGATTCAAAGTTGTGGAATGACAGCATCAGCTTTTACGATTATGTTTATGCAAGTAAAGGTGGAATGGCATTCTCTGATCTACACGAGTATGGGTTCTTTCATCTCCATTATCCTCACTTTACAATATCTGGATGATCTCATTGATGGTAATAACCCCTCTTCGTTCAAGACATATTTTTCTTCCAGAAGCGCAGAAGAAGATGACATTTGTTGCTGTTTGGTTTGCTTTTGCGATCTCTTTGTTTATCTTGAACACTCAAAAGAAACGTCAAACATACGATACAATAGTTGATTTTGGATTTTGGAATGGAGTAATCCTCTTCATAACTGGTCTCTTTGGCGGCTCTCTGAGCGCATGGACTGGCTCTGGAGTCGACATTTGTTCGTTCTCAATGCTGACTCTGTTTTTCCGGGTCAGCGAGAAGGTGGCTACTCCAACATCAGTAGTGTTGATGTGTGTAAACACACTGACCGGCTTCTATTGGCGTCATCTAATTCAAGATGAGATCTCTGATCTGGCATGGGAATACTTTGCAGTCTCCGTTCCGGTGGCTGTAACCACTTCCCCATTGGGCGCTCTGTTGTCGTCCCATCTCCATCGGCAAGTGTTGGCGTTCTTCATCTATATTCTGGAGACCTTGTCCGTGATCGGATGGCTTATCACTCGTCCAAGTGTGATGTTGATTGGCGTGGGATCATTCATTGTTGTGTTTGCGTAAGATTCCTGTCAGTTGTGACAATCTAAGCTTCTTTTAGGGTTATTTTTTTCACTTTGATCAGCAAATCAGGTCAACATCGAGCCAACGAGATCGTAAAAAGCAAAAGTAATGAATCATTACCCAATTACTATGTGTAAACAGCCAAAAACAGATGTACAGTAGCTGCCAAAAAACTGTCAATTTTTTTGTTTTTTGTGTAACTCTGCTCAACGTGGACGGATTTCAACGAGACAAATACCATTCTGTAGAGAATTACTGCTGTTATCTAATGGTGTAGCGGTTTTAGCGATTTTACATCTTAGTGTGTAACAACTGTCGATGTAAAATTTTTGGAAGGACAAAGAACTGTCAATTTTTCCAAAAAAATTTTACCGCTTGCATACGTCGCGGCAAATCATGGGCTTATACATTCCGATTTTTAAATAAAGTCCCACTGTACATAATTAACCATCAAAGGGAGCCAAGAAAGTTAATTTAGTAGACCTTTTGGTGGTCCCAAGTTCGATACCCCAAAACATGACGTTTAAGAAAAAATCGATTTTTTTCTTTGACTTAGCATTAACGCAATGCCTTGCAGTAGAAGCTAGACAACCTACAATTAAAATAGAACAATGATTGGGAGCCTAAATGTAAGTCTACGGACTCCACTTGACATTCAAGTTTTTCTGGCAGTAGATGTACCGTGGAACTTCAGCCCGGGTGCTTCCGCAGACACCTCTAATCGTAGTTCCAAAGCGACAGAAGGCACCCATGTTAACAGTGAACAGTTTAGAACCGCTACCGCGCCAGGCCCGTACTTTGCGCGTAAAATATACTGCACGTCAAAAGTTTGGAACAGGCCAGATCTTCTTTGCGGCTTGAGATGGGAGTTTCATTTCTTTTTTATTAGAAGCTCCATGTATTAAGAACCTCAATGAATACATAGCCATGGAAATCAGAAAGCTCGTTGGAGTTTAAAAAAAAATTTTTTAAAATAAGTGCGTCAAAAGTTTGGAACAGCTTTTGGAAGGTGATTATAAACTTCGGGATGGAGGCAGGTATCCTCGAATTTAGTGTTTCTGGATGATGTATGGAATCGGCATGCCAATGGCATACTGATTTTCATCGATAAACCCAAAATGAAAAAAAATGCTTATTGAGCCAAAAACTACGGTCAAATTTGCGAAAAAATGAATTTTTTGGTTTGGGTTCTCTATGTTATCGGTGTGTAAGCGTTCTAAAATATTTAATGTGGTCGCACAATTGTACAAGGGCACTCAGATCTTCGCATAGAAACTATATCCGCACAGCATAATTTATGAAAATTTTGAGTTTTGCTATGAATCTTTATTTAATGTATTTTATATTTTTTATAGAGCGGCTTGGAGGCTAATTGGCTTTAACACCGTTATCGTTGAATAAAAAGGTGTCTTCAAGAAACAAAAACCCACGCTACTTGCAGCATCCAAGGTCACATCTTTCAGATATTAAAAAAAATTTTTGTCCCCAAAATCAATATTCATATCTGACCCGGATTTGTGGCGCGATAATTCGGAGAGTTGGTTTATAATACTGTATCGGTGTGATAACGAAAAAGGCACTTAGTTTTGAGCCATGCAGCGGCTTCAAATCCAAGATAAAAAATATGGGAATATTAACATTTCATATACCCGCTATTTTTAAAGATGTGGCCTTGATGTTGCAAATAGTGGCCAGGTTCTGCTTCTTAAAGACACCTTTTTATTCAACGATAACGGTGTTAAAGCCAATTAGCCTTCAAGCCGCTCTATAAAAAATATAAAATACATTAAATAAAGATTCATAGCAAAACTCAAAATTTTCATAAATTATGCTGTGCGGATATAGTTTCTATGCGAAGATCTGAGTGCCCTTGTACAATTGTGCGACCACATTAAATATTTTAGAACGCTTACACACCGATAACATAGAGAACCCAAACCAAAAAATTCATTTTTTCGCAAATTTGACCGTAGTTTTTGGCTCAATAAGCATTTTTTTCATTTTGGGTTTATCGATGAAAATCAGTATGCCATTGGCATGCCGATTCCATACATCATCCAGAAACACTAAATTCGAGGATACCTGCCTCCATCCCGAAGTTTATAATCACCTTCCAAAAGCTGTTCCAAACTTTTGACGCACTTATTTTTAAAATTTTTTTTTTAAACTCCAACGAGCTTTCTGATTTCCATGGCTATGTATTCATTGAGGTTCTTAATACATGGAGCTTCTAATAAAAAAGAAATGAAACTCCCATCTCAAGCCGCAAAGAAGATCTGGCCTGTTCCAAACTTTTGACGTGCAGTATAACAAGCTCCTAAATGGAATTTTTGAAGAAAAATTGTTGTCTCGATTTTCACTCTCCATAGGATGGAAATAACCCAGCGTAAGGACAAGTAAGATGTTGTCCCATACATTTACAGCCATTCCTGACATTTCTAACGTAATTTCACTCCCTCTAACGTGTTTCTAAAGTCTTAAGCTGACTTGCAAGTTTCCACAAAAAATTTTTTTTGTTAATGACAACATAACCCTCCGTAATTCTTGTGTGACTTGCATCGCCGTCCTACAAATGCCCATAAAATGCTTCTAGAACATCTGTGATCATGTATTGATAAATCATTAGCAAGTTGTTACAAAGGCGGGGGCAACAAGGCCAAGTCTCTACAGAAACTCGATTACCGGAGAAACTTGAATGTCAAGTGGAGTCCGTAGACTTACATTTAGGCTCCCAATCATTGTTATATTTTAATTGTAGGTTGTCTAACTTCTACTGCAAGGCATTGCATTAATGCTAAGTCAAAGAAAAAAATCGATTTTTTCTTAAACGTCATGTTTTGGGGTATCGAACTTGGGACCACCAAAAGGTCTACTAAATTAACTTTCTTGGCTCCCTTTGATAGTTAATTATGTACAGTGGGACTTTATTTAAAAATCGGAATGTATAAGCCCATGATTTGCCGCGACGTATGCAAGCGGTAAAAATTTTTTGGAAAAATTGACAGTTTTTTGTCCTTCCAAAAATTTTACATCGACAGTTGTTACACACTAAGATGTAAAATCGCTCCAACCGCTACACCATTAGATAACAGCAGTAACTCTCTACAGAATGGTATTTGTTTCGTTGAAATCCGTCCACGTTGAGCAGAGTTACACAAAAAACAAAAAAATTGACAGTTTTTTGGCAGCTACTGTATGTAACTTTCAAATTGCAATTATAATTTATTACTTTGACTTATCCGAACTTGTATTATATATAAATTATATTTATAAAAACATAACAAGAACCGTTACAATATAACAGATGCTGAGGTTAGGAGTCGTGCTTATTCGGCCGTATCCATGGGTTCGGCATTTGAAAGATTCTGGGATTTGTGTTTCTTTGATTTGGACTTTGGTTTTTCTGGGATATCAACGGGGTCTGAGGTTAACATATCTGGGTAGATTTGAGGATTCACTTGTTCTTCTTGCTGTTGTTCTTTCTCGCGTTCTTTCTGTTCATCAAAATCTGGAGGCAGAAGGGCATTCAGGTAGGGCCGATCATCATCAAACGGAAGCAGAACTAAAACAAATTTATATTAGATTCTGCAGCAAAACTTCTCGAAACGATCGGTTAACTACCACTTACTTTGATATGCCGGCCGAAGTCTTTGTCTGATCAATGAGTTTTCTGTCACTTGTACTTCGGTCAACTCTTCCAGCTCAATCTCCTTTTCAATCGCTTCTCTTTGTGCCAGATCATCGTTACCGACTCCATTAGCCACCGCTGGATCGTCCTCTTCCAAAAAATCCTCTGGCAATGTCGTTCCATTCGTCGGCATTTCGGATAAATCTTTTTCTAATCGTTTCCTTCTAGCCGCCAATATTCTTGCTTCTATCCTTTCTTTCCGCCGCTCTTCCCGACGTCTCAACTATAAAAAATAAATATAAGACAACAACCAAACATTACCTCTTCTTTTACTTCCGCTCGGACCTCTTCTTCGTACTTTCTGAATAAGGATATCGTTGGATGCTTGGTTGTAAAGTAAGTAATCAACGTGTAATCCGTATCCCGTTTATTTTTGGCGCATAGCTCTCGATGACGGACATAACTCACGTCTGGTTCAATGTTTATCTAAAAATAAAGCCGGTGAATAAAAACAAACTATAAAATTACAGGTGTTCTAATATAAGTGTGTGGATCAGGGAATGGAGGAAGAAAGGGCAAGACGTGGGATGGTCTCGGAGCTGGTTCTCCAATGTGCATGGGAGCTTCTTGCGGTTTACGCGACACTGTCCTAGCTAAAATCGCATATTAATTTAAAAGTAATAAATCTTACGTTCCGGAAGATAAGGGTAATTCGGGTCAATTAAAAACCTCTGAATATAATCGCATAAATCCCCAATGCTAATCTCTAAATCGCGACAAGCGAATTCGATATCATGTGCCGTAACTTTGGATCGTCCTGAGTTCTCCACCAGCAATCTTGTCCTTCGGCAGATCTCATTCATGTCTAAACAAAAAATATAAATAAAAACCAAAAACATACGCATCGCAGCCAAATTTCCTAGAATATCCAATGCCGACATCGTTGCTCCTTCGATTTTGTTCTGCAGCAAGATTGCGGCAACTGCTTGACGCATTATCCGGACAAACGCATGGTCAATAGACATTGCGCTAACACTGGCTCCTCGATCCTGACGTCTTTCCAAAGGTGTCCCGTTTCCAGTCGCCCTGGAAGACGCCCTCATCTTGATCGAAATTTCCCCAAACTTTCGCAGATACAATCAAAATTTTCCTGGAAAAAAATTTATTTTACGAAACGGGACAAGTGCAGGGGTGGTCAGCAGACCCTATTTTTCCGATTTTCGGCCCGCGGCCCGGCCCGTCTAATCACCGGCCCGGCCCGGCCCGTCTAGTCTTTTTCCAGGCCCGGCCCGGCCCGGCCCGTGACGGGCCTGGCCCGGCCCGGCCCGGCCCGTCCAGGCCCGTCTATAGAGGGTTCTGCGAACTGCGCCCAGGCTCGGGATCTAAACTGAGGCAAAAAAGGCGTTGATCTAGCTAGTAAAGGATCAATGTGATAGTTTTGTGGTTCTATAATGGAACTATAGACTTGTAAACGTGTTAGAACTTGAGAAACAGCAACTATAACAACATCAATTAATTTTCCCGGCGCGAAAACAATGAATGCCAACGGTTTGGCATTGTATTTTAGACGGGCCGGGCCGGGCCGGAAAAAACCCCAGGCCCGCGGCCCGGCCCGGCCCGGCCCGTGACGGGCCCGGCCCGTTTGTCAATTTCCATTTTTGAGGCCGGCCGGCCCGTTTGGGCCGGGCCGGGCCGGCCCGGGCCGGGCCGGCCCGGCCCGCCGACCACCCCTGGACAAGTGTTTTGGGGGAAATGTTGACCCAAAATGGGAAGAAGACATGACCCGGTTTGCACGCGTGTCAAGTTTCTCTTTATAAAAAACCATCCCAAGAAAATAATTTTTGCATCATTGCCTCCTTCGTCGACGTTGACGGCCATGACGATCATCGATCAGATCAAGGACAAGAAGGAAGAGCCCATTAGTGTTCTAATTATAGCCGACACGTTTAGTCCAAGGTTAACTCCAATAGTTCATGAGAAACCTTTAGTAAGTTGCTATTTTTTATACCTATTTTCAATTTGTTTAGGCTTTATTCGATGTTGGAGGTCAACGTTTACTCGATCTAGTCTTAGAATGGGTGTCTCGATTATATGCCAATGTTTTTGTTGCATCATCCACCCTTGATAAGGAAACTGCTCAAGGGATTCAAAAGTAAGTTCAACATTTCATTCAGACCTAGTTTTGTCTTTAGGAAGTGGAAGACACGGACTAATTTAGAGATGATCTTATGCGAAGGATGTAACAGTACGGGGGATATTATGAGAGAAGTCGACAAGCGACGACTAATTACGAAAGAATTTATACTGATCGATCAGATCCCAACCTTTTGCTCATCAAAGTTGACAAAGAACATTGCTAAGTTTAGGTAAGTTGTTTTATTCCTTATTTTACTTTTGCCTTTAGAGCACTCCGAAAGAAGAATCGAAACAATGTGATGCAAATCTTGGTAAAAGAGTCAAAGAAAGAGTTTGGACCCTATGTGATTGATAAAGAGACGCACGAACTTTTGGTATTCAACTCTCCGGATGAAGGAGTCGAACTAAAGTTGAATAAAAGGAACTTTTCTGCCGAACATAAGATCAGATGTGACTTGAAACCATGTGGAATTTACATCTGTGGACCTGAAATCATTGCCCAGTTCAGTGACAACTTTGATTTTCTTAGCTTGGATAATCTAATTCGTGGGATTTTAATTCATGAAGAGATCATGTGTCAAAACATCTTCTTGGACATCCTGGATGAAGATGTGTTTGCTCAGAATGCAATGTAAGATTGCTTTGTGTTATACTTACTTTTTAGTGATTATGACTCGCTCTTGGAATGTCTTTGGGCTTTTCAACACGGGAAGTTTCATCCTACTTCCTTGCTGAACCTCCATCCAAATCATTGCACCTTGAAGACTTACTCTTCGTTCCAAGCAAGGGAGAATAATGTTTATGTGGTGCCAAAGGCAAGGATTCCTGTCAATTCATGGAGTTGTGTGTTTGGAGGGAAATTTGATGTCCATCCAGATGCAAAAACAAATGGATCTTTTTTCGGGGACAATCTTGTTATTGGTATGTTTATTTTTGATCTTTTTATTTGTTATTTTAGGAGCTAAAGCAAGGTTGTCTGAAGTCGTGGCCGGTAAGAATTTTAAAGTTGGAGACGGCGTTGTCGTCAAAAGGGCCATTATCGGGGACAATGTTACACTGGGAGCTAATGTTACAATCAAGGAGAATGTGATCATTGGGAATAATGTTACTATTCCGCCAAAAGTTATCATCTCCAGACATTCCGTTATTATGGTTTCTGATGCTCCTCCTCATCCGGATTATAAAACTGTCAAGAAACAAGGTGAGTAATTTCGAAATATTTTATTTTTTTTCCTTTAGATCTCTACTTCTGGACGTTCGAGGATGACGGAGACAACTTCTTCTGGGAACTGAAATCTCATCCCCAACCTAAACGGCTATCTGCAGTCTGGTCGAATCAACGTCAAAGTCGGTCTTCAGAATCCCTCAGACAACGGAGAATTTCTTTCCATGATGCCAATGACTCTTCTCCTGAGAATTACACCGTTTGGCCACACACTGACCCTTCGAAGTCACAGACATCGGTTAATGGCCCGAAATCGCCGTTAACGAAAAGAAAAAAACACAATTCTGGGTCTACTGCCACCGGAGCTACGACAAAGTCAGCGCAAATAATTGATGTTCTCTACGAAACAAGTGGCGCCGCTTTGGAGAGATTTGATGCTGAAGTGAAGGACTCGATGAAGTCGGCATTAGAAGCCGAGGAGCCGGATTCAGAGGCACAACAGAGAAAGGTGATTTTGGAGATTAACAGCTCGAAACTTGCCTATAATATTGGAATGGATGATGTGGCGAAACACGTGTTTTTGGCGTTTATGAGCATGCCCAACTTTGGCCCCACCTTGAAAGATATGAAGGACGCGTTCAGCGCTTGGACCGTCATCTGGGCCAATTATTATCGACCTCAAGCATCGAAGGTTCAACTTCTTCATGCCATTGAAGACCATTGTGCTCTCAACCCAGAATGGATCAAATATCTACCAAACTTTATCCTCTTCCTGTTTAATGATGCCGAGTTGTTACCTGATGACATGATAACTACTTGGTACGAACAACTTCCAGCCGACTCACCTTTAAAAACGGAGAAAATGGGCGAGTTGGTTGAATGGCTAAACCAAGAAGATGATGACGAGGACGATGATGAGGATGAAGATGAAGATTAAGCGGAGAAAACAAATTTACGGGTCTTTAAACTGTGCCTTGAAATTGATTTATGTTGTTTCTTTTTTATCTTGTTGTTTTTGTATTATTAATTAAATGAAGAGGCTTTGATAGAAAATAATTGTAGAGTTAACGGCGTTGAGACGCTGAGATATCTGCATTTTTGGATGTTGAGACATTTATTTCATTTTTAGGTGATATAATGACCACCCAAAAGCCAGTCTGTACCGACAAGGATCGTGTTCTCCTCCTGTGTTCTCGCGGAGTCATGACCAGAACTCGCCATTTGATGAAAGACTTCAGAAAACTTCTCCCTCATGTCAGAAAAGAATCAAAATTCGAGAAGAAGAGCAAGTTGTCGGATCTGAACGAGATGGCCGAGCTGGATTCATGCACAAGATGCATGTATTTTGAGAACAGAAAGAAGAGAGATGCTTATCTCTGGCTGAGCGATGTGAATGGAGGAGCATCGTGCAAGTTCTTGTTGAGGAATATCCACACTATGCATGAGATGAAAATGTCTGGAAATTGCCTGAAGGGATCGAGGCCAATCCTCTCTTTCGACCCCAAGTTCGACTCAGAACCTCATCTTCAGTTGATCAAGGAACTGTTCAAACATGTAAAAACAACCTAAACAGTATCATTATTTGTTTTAGACATTCAAAACGCCCCAATACCTTCCAAAGAGCAAGCCTTTCATAGATCATGTCTTCAACTTCAGTATCTCAAAAGATGGCCATATTTGGTTCAGAAACTTCCAGATTGTTGGAAAAGGAGAAGAACTTCAAGAAATTGGTAGGACTCGATGGTGTTGATGGTTTATTTATTTTTCAGGCCCAAGAATGACTCTTGAAGTGATCAAGATCTTCGGAGGTTCCTTTGAAGGTCCGGTTCTCTATGAGAACACTGAATATGTCAGCCCTAATCTAATCCGCAGAAGACTACGTCTACAGAGCACCCAAAAGGCTGCTATCAGAGCAAGCAAGAAGAAGCAGAACGATGAGGAAGCAAGGGATCTGGAGGAAATGGAAGAGGACAGCTCTTAGTTCCATTGAATTGTTGGTTGATTGTTATTTGTTGTTTTTACGTTTTTATAAATAAAAAATGAATACTGTTTGTCGAACTAGTCGTTATAGTTATTTTTAAAAGTGAATTTTGCAATGCAAAATGACTAAAACAGTCTCAGAATCGATCGTCTGTTTTTGTCCTCAAATGACTTCAGTTTGTGCAATTTTGTCTTCACTGACCTGACCTTGCTTCGAACCGACAAGGGCTAGAACAAAATGCCAACGCTTTACCAACTGCGCTATGTTGACACACTGTCTCGAGCGCTTTCTTTTTCGTTTTATTTTGTTCCTTACAGCAAATTTTTATTTGAAGGATTGAATAGGCATCTTTTTTATAAAATATTTACTATACGATCACAAATATAATCAAACTATTTCTTTGGTATTATAATTGCAATTACACCGGTACAACTTCAGCTCCACTTGGAGTTGTTCTGCATTCGAAAGTGAATTTCCCGATCTCGACTTGTCTTCCCATGGGAATAAAGTCATCTCCATTTCTGAAGCAACCAGTGAATTCGGTCTTTCCATTGACACACCTCTTGAGGAAGTTGCCCGACCTCCATTCCTGTTCATCATCATGACCTTCGCATGCGGCGGAAGGTCTTCTCGAGATCTTATCTTCAACCGGTTGAATCTTGATTCCTTGTCCGTTGGGTTGACATTGGAAGGTAAAGCCGTCAACTTCTTGTTGTTGGTTCAATGGAATGAAGATTTTATTCTTGAAACAACCGATCCATTTGGTCTCGCCTCCGAGGCATTGAGCTTTGAATGATCCGACAGTCCACTCTTCGCCTGCAATAATCGTAAATGACTATTCATGTTATCATTACCTTCTTCATGCCCTCTACATTTCTTCAATGTCCCTGAATTTTTGTTGGCCTCTCCTGTATGAAGGAAGGCTTCGAAGCCGGGTGGAGCCACACCGGGGGGTCCGATGGTCTTCTTTTGTTCGAGGCTTCCTTGTCTCTCCAGAGGATAGATCCGAACTCCAGATTCATTGGCTTCGCATTTGAAAGTGAATTTGTTCATGGTTCCAGTTGATCCAGCCGGGATATACGTGCGATCCGAAGTGTAACAGCCAACGAATCTGATGTTGTTGTTGAAACAAGCAAGACGGAAGGTGCCTTCATCCCATTCAACACCTGAATCAATGTTTTAAATCATTTAAAGATACAGTAATCCCACAAAATATTTATCTCTTACCTTCGCTTCTTCCTTCGCATTGTGCATTGGAAGCTCTCTTTGCTCTGATGACTCTTTCATTGGGTCTTTCTGGACCTTCTGGCCCTTGATTTTGCCATTCTTTGATGTTTTCGAGTTGAGCGGTTCCTCTTCCATCATCAAAAACTTCGCATTTCTGTCCATCAACCATGGCGCCAAGCGGATGACGTTCTCCGGCCTTGTTTAGACATCCAATTGTCTTCACAGTCCAACCAAGGTCTGCCTTATGTTCACATTTTTGGACAAATTGGACGTATTTTCCTTTGCTGATCTAAATTCAATCTGGTTATAATGCAAATCACATTTTATGACATTAACCGTGGCGTAAGTGACTTACAAATTCCTCCCCATCGCTTCGTTTGACCCCGTTAACATCACATCCATATACAGTGCCGACCAGTAAAACTAGCAGTAAAAACATGTTCATCTTTTAAATTTGGAACAGCGTCGAAAAGCCGATCTTACAGATGACCTCTAAACTAACCGGAAGGCGCTTTTAAACTGGTTTTGCAGAGGGCCTAGGTGTAAAGTTGTAAGCGGAACGCCCAAAGTTTCCTTTTGTAAAAGTAGTGCAAATCTGTTTTCTTTTGATTCATCGCTTACAATTATGAAATTTCAAACGCAAAGGCCATTTCAGAGTAACAAGGAAATCAAATAAAGGAATTTTGTAAATATTTACTCGAATATCTTCCATTTACAATACAATACGTGCAAGTAGATATTGACCTGCAAATGAAATTGTAATGTTTTTGTAAACATGTCATCACTTTTGATTTCCTCTTTCTCCGAATGCCAAGAATCTAACGTTTCCAGGAGAAGACGCCAATTTAGATGTCTTTATTTGTTAACAAACATGCGATAACATTACAGATTCCATAACCAATGGTGTTAGAGGTCTTTGAACGAGAGTTACAACGGAGATCACTCGCAAAAGAGCTCGTTAACGGATAGTCAGAGAGTCGAAGCGGTTCCCTAATCGAGATTTTCGAATCCTCCGACTGCATGTTTAGCCCATTTGAATACCAATCCAAGAGTTTGGCTAGCCACTGAGAGGATGGGTAAGAAAATTGCAAGCCGTAAATCGGACCTGTCCAAAAATGCCGCGGTTACTCTGAATATTTACATGCATCATCATCATGATCTGTTACAACATTCCCTGCCCCTCCACATCGCCTGTCTGGTTACCAGCCCCTTCGTGCGCGATATTCTCCCACATCAACGTCCAGTGGAAGAACACGTACCGGATCCCTTGCTTTGCTTGCGGCGCTGAGCAAACACGTGTAAATAATATTGTTTGCAAACACATTAAAGTAGCCGCAAACAACCGCAACGAAGGCAACGGAAATATTATGTAATACGCGCGGTGAGGTCGCGAGGACAAATAAACGCCTCAGGGCCCACGTTGATCGGCGGCCGACAGTTCAGTCCGGCTGGTTGTTGAGTCAGGGCCGGCTATTGTCTTGCCTGAGGGGATTGTTTCCGGTGAAGTTAAAAATAGGTGGGTAAGGGGTTCAGGAGTTCTGGCGGGAACAATAACCAGGTTATTTGAGGAGAAGAAGCGGTTCCGGGGGATTCTGGGGTTGGGTTGGGCTAGAACTGATTGTTATTGGAGGGGGCACACAGAGATGAATGTTGGACAATTAGCTGGCAAGAGTCGTGTTTTTTGTGTTACTGTATAGAGGCGATTTTGGGGAAAAACTTATTTCTCGATTATTTCTTAAAGCTTCGACGACTTTAAGGGTTTTGTTTTGGTCTCCGACATGGTTGGACTATAGTCATGGTCATTCCCGCCCTTGTGTTTTCATCGTTTTGCCACTCGCATGCACTCATCCTCGTTATCTTCCCATATCATCTTCCTCATTAATTATGGATTCCTTTCTCTAAATAACTTCTTCAATTCATTTCTCACTTCATGAATACTCAACCATCTTTTTTGGACAAAAAACAAGTTACTTTCCGCCTTTTTTATGACAGTCGAAAGTCATTGGATGTCAGAGAAATCGCGGGGCTGTCAGTCCCCAAATTGAGGGTTACTTTTTGGGTATGGTTGGCGGTGATTAAGGTCCTTTCACATTTCCGTATTCAGGATGGGGGTTTCTTGCAAAAAAGGATGTCGAGACTCGTATGGATGTAACCATTGAATATGAAAGAGGTCATGCTTGGAAAGGAAGGGGGAGTTTGGTTAATGGTCAGGTTCAGGAGAACAAAGAAGGAGGATGGGGTAATTTGGATATGATACTTTGCAATGAAACACTGTAACGTGCATATTTCCTTCATTAATGTAACCCTTCCTGGTGTTAATTTAATTGGAAGTCTAAATTTCAATTTAGGTTTAATCAGTGCACTTCTTTCAATTCCAATATTACTTTTGCCAAGGCTGCGCGTTTTATTCAAATTCAAACATTTGGCCGGCACATAATTATTCCGGCAACAGCCGTGCTCACTTATCAACTGAATTTATTACTGCGTTTCCTCTGTTTACCCATACCATTATTCTTTTTTCCATTTCTCGGACAAAATCGAAAAAGACTGGCTGAGGGGCGAGCGGGGAGATGGAAATGTCGGCATTGGCCGAAACGATCCGCCGACACGAATGGTCGCGCAGATATCGGATAAACAGCCGGTTCTTGTTTTTGCAGCGCCGCCTTCCTGACTCATCCCCAAAGGACACAGATTTCGGAATTTAAATTCTAAAAATTGGACCTGCAGACCATATTATGCCGGAAAGGGGCCTTTTTCTTATCCTTTCCGATCTCAGATTTAAAAATTTTATCTTGTCAAAGAAGTGCGACTAATATAAAAAACAATATTATATTTTTGGCATAGGTACTTGATTTTTATTAGTAACTGTTACCGTTTTTATCGAGAGTTCTGCAAACCATGACCTTGTGTATGGGCCTGCCTACATTGCCATATAAGGGAAAGAAAGGTGAAAAAAAGGAAATGATGAAGAATTCTGTTTTTAATAGCTTTCGGGGGGGGGGTGATGACAAAGAAGTAATGACATTACTTATCTTCTAATGTCATCGCGGGAGGTCAAAAGGAAAAAAATTAAATTTAGAAAGTCTTAGAAGTAAATACTGTAAAACTTGAAAAAGAACTTTAATTACAGGCTAATATGTTCCTTTGAAAAGCAAAATTACTTTTTTAAATCTAGTTAAAGCATTGTAAAAAGAATACTGTGTGAGATACACGTTTTCCTGTCCTTTACACTACTCGTTTCCAGGGAACCAGGTTCAAAACGATCACTTTTAACTTGACAAAATTATTAAACTCCGTTCGCCCACCCTCCTTCCGATGATTTGCTGTTCTTTTCCCCTCCTTTTACAGGTTCTTTTGTCGTATCTCCGGACTCAATTACATGGCCTTTAAACCCATTGCTGCTATTTAAATTGCCCGCTTCCGTTCCCCAAATTGTGGAACCTGCTAGCCTTTTCTTGACTCGCTAAAACTGGAACTCTTATCATTCGCCATCTTTTTCGGTGATCTTTACACATCTTTATTGCTTGTTATAATTCGGTTCACTTAAAAAAGGGGATTTTTTGTCACTTGAAATGGAGTATTTGGGAGAACAAACATAAGTGGTTGCAGGGCAAATATTTTTTTGAGATTTGACAAGAGTGTTTGCAGGTTTGTCAAGATATATTCGGAGCGCAGGATGGTCCACTAATTACATGATTGATAATCTTCGTGTAATCGGTAACAGTTTCAAACTTAATTGTCATCAAAAAGCTTTTCCCTTTACTTTTCTTTCCAAATTCTACACTTCTAGTATACTTTACTTCCATTTATCCCCAAACATCTGGCTTTTCTCCGTTTCGAAATTAAAATCCATTAGAGAGCCATTTACAAATAGTTTTATTACTCGGTGAGCAATTTAATCCTTCGGATTACCCGTTCTCTCACCTCTCAACTAGTTTTTATCGCGCAACCAGATAAAAACTAGACACTACAATAGTCAGTTAGAGCTTATAGTTTTGATTAATCCTACTGGTAATGTCTTTGACTATGTGAATCAAGAAAAAGTCAGTAACTTTGAATTTGAATTTTCAAGTTTTCGCATTTTTTGATGCAATATTAAACTGAATTTAGTGGTTATTTTGATGATCTCATAGCTCTTTCATCCCGGGGATCAGATAAGATGATTTTGAGCCGCAATCGAAAGCAGTAATGAGTCAGTTATTTGCACAAACAAAGTCCTGTCATATCCCTCCGTAACTTTGTAATGGAGCCTTCGCTTTACTTTGTGTAAGTCTCTTAAAGTCTTGGCCAAATCGGCTTCTGGTGGGCGAATTAATAAACGCTAATGTGTCCCATAGAAGTTGAGGGGGCCTTATAATTGGCCAAGCCTTCGAGCATTCGTTGGTTGGGTTGATGCTACGTGGTGTTCAAAGTATTATACTTCCTCTCTTCTTATTCATAATCCTGACATGTTCGATTATTCGCCCTGAGGGCTTATTAGAGACGACTCTGGATTCTGGTACAGTTGAACTTCTCAGAGAGTCACAGCAAGGAATGACATCGTATTATAATGTTTACTTTCTGCAACATGAACAAGGTCTCCAGCTGTGTGATGGTTATGTTGGATGTTTGACTTCCTTTCCGACTTTGCAAAGGCTTTAGAAGTATTTGTATGAGGGCAGAAAACTACTGGTATTTCCATTTTACTTCTTTCTGCACGTTATCCCTCCATTCCAGACATAATACTATTTTTTGTAATCATCACGCACTTTTTTTATTTATTGTAATAACGGACAAAACAGAAGAAAAAGTATCCCCAAACAATCTACAGCCCTCTTTTTTACCGACACTGCCCGAGGGGATTACCCGGATAGATTGGCTTAGGCATGGCGTGATTACTTTCGGATTATGTCACCGTTGTGCCTGTTCCCTTCCAAAAAACAGTTGCTCACGGAATTAACACTACTATTCAAATACTATTCGTGTTATTCCTCGCTTTTTATGTTCAAGTTTCTCGTTAATGAGCGCAGTTTCAGCCGAACTCAGTTAGTTTCCCTTCGCTTTCGCCCACAGAATGCAGACCTCCGTTTTTGTTGTTCTGGCCTTGGCTTTGGCCGTCAGCGTCTATGCTCAGGAAACCACCACCGTGGCCCCAGCTGGTAAGAGCTCTGATTTACACATTGTAGAACGTCGGGACAGTAATCACAATTGTTTTCTTGGATAAACCTTGAATAACAGTAAATGTCGTTTTAGAACCCGCAACAGAAGAGAACAAGATCGTCCCAGCCCTCACTCAAGAAGCCGTCGATGCTGCCTCAGCTGCCCCATCCAACCAGAAGAGTGACCAGGCCACTCTTGACGCTGTAAAAGAAGCTGCCGGAAATGCCGCTGATGCCGCCGCAAACGCTGCTTCGGATGCCCGAGATGCCGTGGTTGATGCTGCCTCCGCTGCTGGGGAACACGCCCAAAATGCTGGTGAAGCTGTTGCTGATGCCGCTTCGAACGCTGCTGGTAAGTAGCCCAACAAGTTAAAGTGGTCGATTAATATTTCTAATAGGGCCCTATATGGTAATACTAGTCCTTCCGGAAAGTCGCCGGACGGAAATCAGCGACATGCACTGTGAGAAAAAACTCAGGGTGCAAGCGACAGCTCGAAAAAGCCTATTGCACAGTGCAAAAAGCCAAAAATTGCACGGTGCAAAGTGAAATTTCGTTTTCGCGGAGTGCATGTCGCCGATTTCAGTCCGGCGACTTTCCGGAAGGACTAGTATTTTTTGAGCGCATTAGACGTCAAAAGGGAATTTGGTGATTATTCATTTTTTGCATAAATGGAAGATAATATTTTACTGACCAAACTAACGTTATATAAAGCTAAGACATCTGTTTTCCAGACTCTGCAAAGAGCGCAGCTGAGAAAGCCGCCGACGCCGTCCAAAACGCAGCCACGACCTTCTACTTGAGCTCCGCTTTGTTCGTCTTCGCCGCCTCCATCATGGCCTTCTAGAGCTTTTACAAAGCATCCCCTCTCGATTGATATATTTATATCACGGTGATTGTCGTATTCCGACCGGCTCAGTTTTGTAATTCTAATATGCTATCTATACATATTAATAACCATGTGTAATTATTAGCCCTTTCTACTTTGTTTTTGTAGCCTTAGGCTATTATCCGCTTCGCAAATACATGGTAGCTGTCATGTACAATTCTATAGAGACAGGTATTTCGGGCCTGTGAATGTTGTGTGTTCGTGTTTGTCTCTGTTTTGTAGATATATTTTTTTTGGAAATAAAGATGTGATTGTGGATGGAAAAGATAAGATGAGGAATTTATTCAATAATGTTAATGTACAAAGAAGCCAGTCTAGTTCAACAGAATGTAACCGTATTAGTGTAATCTTGGTTTTAGTATCTAAAGATGGGCTCGTCTCGCGTTGACTGGTCGGGCTCTCATTCTCCACAAGTGCTGAAAATTTTTGAAAGTTATATATTTACATAGAACTTCGCTCGAAAAAAAAATATTTTGAAAACACAGCTGCCTGCAAGAAAAAAATGATGTAGTATTCAACTTACAGCCCAATCCCTCGCCAATGGGATCCCAATCTTCTTGTACCTTCCATTAAACATCTCTACAACTTCATCTGCAACTGCCGTTCGATAAGTTCCCGAGACATCAATATATCTGCATTCATCAGCATTCGCATAATGACAGGAGATGGTCTTCCTGAATCCATCTGAGAGATTGGGACCAGCCCCATGAATCAGATTGGGATGGAAGAATACAGTATCCCCGGGTTCCACCTCCACATCAATCGAGGGGAGCTTGTCCAAATCAACAGTTAGAATTTGCTGGAAGACTTTGTTCACTCCATTCTCCCAATTTGGATATCCATGGGGCTGATTGTGAAGTTTGTGGGTACCCGGGTAGACAAAGAGAGTCCCGTTCTCTTTGGTGCAACGGTCAATGGCTGTCCAGGCGCAAGTTATGTAATCGGAGGGGCTGGAAAGATATATCAAAAGTCTCATCATTAACAATAAGCCTTCAAAAGTTGAGTTAAACGCTTACCCAAATGGGAAAAAGTATTCATCTTGATGTGGAGCATGTCTGGAGGACAAGGTCTTCTCGACATCTGGAGGTTTATTGATCAGCATGGTGTGCATTGCCATTAAATTCGATTTTTCACCTTTTCCGATGAGGTCTTGGACAATATCGAGGATCTGGAAAAAAGAAATTACAAATCGAACCTGAAAGGCCATTAACTCAAGTTAAAATTCTCACCACTGGATGCTGGCAATACTGGAAGAAAACTGGGTCATTGTTGAAATCCTGAAGTCTCAGGATTGTATTTTCATTGCGCTCTCTCGTTTTCTTGGCCGTACAAACATCGTTCATAAGCAATGTTTCGATTGGAAGGATCTTCGGGTCTTGACAGACATTTTGAAAATGTCTACGATACTTGTCAAGTTCAGATCGACTTAGGCAGTTCTTGATGATCAGGAACCCATTATCAGCGTAGAATTGCTTTTGTTCTGGAGTAAGAACCTTTCCCTTTGGATAAAAGGCATTTTGAGCCTAAAAAGAAACATTTAATAGATGTAAATAATTATAGTCAGCATAAAAGATGATAAATATCTTACTTGTTCAGTATAAGGCGACTCCATATTGCATCTTCTGGTCTCCCCCGTACTTTGAGCAGTTTGCAAAGACATGTTCGGTAATTACACTTGACCTATCTCTGGTAGACTTCTTTGGGTTTCAGAGTTATTTATACTGGGTTCAAAACAAGCAATTTAAAGTGTAAAAAGTCGACAAACAGAAGTTGCGTAACCATCAAAATCACGGTATCATCCGGGGCGGGCCTTTCCTCGGAATATTGATGAATCCAATTGATTGGGTTTTTTGAGAAAAGGGGGATTCAATTAAATTTCTGATTCAATAAGAGTTTTACACGGAAGAAACGCGCGCAACATTTAGTTTGCGGATTACCAGACCGTGTTCGATAATTTAAAACTGTTAAAGTAGCGTTTAAGCGTGTCAAATAATTAAAAAAGAAACATTTGTATTCCAAGTCCCTGAAATTGTCTTAATACAAACTCAGAACGTTCTGTGATGTGTCTATGATTGTGTGAATTGTGACGAAAGAGGTGCAACAAGACTGTCTGCCGAATGCTACGGTAAGTCAAAAACAACTCGGGCAACCAAAAAAGAAACAATTTTTCGACGTTAACAAATTTACAATTTCATCTTGCTTAATTAGTTGTTTTTCAAGTTTGTTGCACTTTGAATACGCGTTTCATTTTGAGCTGATCGAATTTCTGTTTGCAAACTACCAAATGGCTGGCCCAAAAGGGATGGATAAATAGCAGATCATCTGTATGACGTCGGGAAAATAATGAACGCCTTGACGCTTAAAAGTCATTGTCTTTGTTTTACCACCGAAAGGAGTGATGCAGTCGTAAGATTTCAGAAAAAATTTGGTGTGATCTACATAGTCCACATTCCTTTTTTTTTCAAAATGTCAGCTCCAAATTTACAGGTTTGTTCTCAATTCCGCGAGCCGCTATTCGAATCTCTTATGGTGTTGCTCTCTTTCTGCAAATTTTGATGTTTTAAAAAATAAGTCTGATCACAACAGACAATAAATCTATTCCGTCGGGAAAGCGCTCACCTTCACTTCAAAATAAATCATTTTTAGAATGGTTTTGGGTGTTTGTGTTGTAACCATAAGAAAGCCATCGATTTTGTTCTCCAATAATACTGTAGACACAGTTGGAACATCTTATCAGAACACGTTTGATTAAAGCCAATTTTGGGATTCAAACGGGGTACCTTAGTAAGTTTCGTATCATTTTATTTTGTAATTTGCTGTCCGCTCGAAAGACAAGAAAGGATCTTTGCAACTCTTTCCATAGTTCTGTATCAATCTGTCGAGAAAATAACGGCGACTCGTCGCAGCAAAATGTTTTGCCTCGTTGAAAAAAGCGTACAGTCGGGCACCGAATCTCCAGCTTCGGCAACCGTCGCAAAGCGATGATAAGTGTTTCCGGCGCGACGATCCACCGTTTTTTTCCCGACAAACTGATAAGTACTCATTTTGATTAAACATTTCATTTTTTCCATTTACAGTTTTAATATTATTCTGAATCAAAACTTTTCAAAAACAAGTCTGTTCCGATTGATGCGGTAAGATACCAGTGTAATTCCCTTCACTTTGACGAATTTCAAATCTGAACTTGGAAATGTAATGTAATGCACCAAGAAGTGCCATTCTGCCAGTCTTCGTTGCCCCTGCAAGTCTGTATATACGACCTTTTTTCCAACAAAAAGTCGTATTGTGTTACAGCATCTTAACTGCACCTAGCCATAGCCCTTTAATACGATTATAATAAATTATCATCAAACTATATACTAAGAACACGTTTTTGTCATCATTTTCCGTTCTTCAAATCTCTTGACATCTCTGATCTGATGACCGTATCCAAAGAGCAGTTCGATGAACTAAGCACCAATTCACTGGCCGACGTTAACGGTTGTGGGCAAGTTGCAAGTCAGTCGCCGCTTCCTCGTCAACACATAATTCGATAATACAAAGGCAGAATCATTGTACCACCGAACGCAACATTACGTGAGTCGCTTGTAAGGAAATGTGACCAACAAAGAATGGCGGCAGCAAAGACAGCTAATAGTGCAAACTTATCAAATTTAGAGAGTAAACAGTTCTCAGTCAACAGTAGTCTCTCTCTTCCATCAAAAATAATAACTGTAGACGGCCTGATCGTTGATTAATCGGAATTTTGATTCGACATGAAACTTTTCAGACCTCTCAAGTCGAATAAAGTTAGTTGAAGACAAATTCGAAACCAAAAAAATTCGTTAATTTGAAAGGCATAGGCACCATGTTGCGTGGTAAAATTCTAGAAAATGGAAGCCATGTGTAATATGATAACACAGCTTGTAATCAATGAATATATGGAACAGTGATTGTAAAACGAATAGCGATAGCATGAACAAAGAACGACAACTTTACACTCAACATCAAAAGTGCAACATCAAACCAAAGGGCATAACTATTGTAGTCAAAGTTGCCTGTCTCCTGTGTTTACATGAGTCTACTAAAAAAGATACAGTAGACTTAAAACGTGTCTGGAATTGACATTCAAACCGTTTGCCATACAGTAATTCGCAGAGTAAAAGAAACAATTACCCATGTTTTGCAGCTTGCAGAAGCTCGGTCGCAGTTTGCCGGGTAAGATTTACACTGTAAGCTGAGAATTTGAAGTCGATTTTCTCGGAAGACGAAGCGAGATTACGACCTAATCCATTTTTTGTAAGCGGTCTCTGTTAGTTTCGAAAAAATTTCGAAAGTTGAATACTTTGGATGAACGAGACTACTGTGTTTTTGAGTTTCCAAAATCTTCAGGACGTAATTTCGTTAGCGTTTGATGCTTTGGACTATTTATTGAAATTGGCGTTTAATAATAATTTTTGTATTTTTTAGATATTATTGATGAAAGATGGCCGCCGAAAAGCGGAAGTTGATGGTGGAGATAGACAAATGCTTCAAAAAGGTGCGCTCCTGATTGTATTACCCAGATTGATCATGGACATCATAAAATAATTGATTTGCATATTCGTTTAATCGTTTTAGATTGATGAAGGTCTGGAGTTATTCGAAGACATGATCAAGAAGCTCAACGAAGCGACGGCAGACAACATGAAGGACAAATGCCAAGAGGATCTTAAGAAGGAGATCAAGAAGCTTCAAAGGCTCAGGGACCAAGTGAAGAATTGGCAAGGATCGCCTGAGATTAAGGTAAATAAATTAAATTATCATCCAAAGAATTGTAAATTTTCGTTATTTTAGGACAAGGAGAAGCTCAACACTTATCGAAGGTTGATTGAAACGAAGATGGAATTGTTCAAAGACATTGAGAGGGAAAACAAAACAAAACCTCATAGCAAAATTGGGCTGTCGATCGAGGAGAAGGTAGATCCGAAAGAGAAAGAAAAGGCGGAAGTTATTGAATGGTTGAAGGTGAGCCATGTTTTTTATTATCTAAATTGCGTTTCAGGCCAAGATTAGATGTATCCAAGATGAAATTGACCGAACAGAGTCCAAGTTGGAGGTTTTATCAGGCGAGAATGGTGGAGAGAAGAAGAAAAAGAATAAGAAAGGTGGAAGGAAAAACGGATCGGACGATGAGGTAAGATTGCACATGTTTTTATACAAGGGAGACACTTGACATTTTTTTGAAAATTACATCTTATTACAAAACCCAGACGGCTTAACTACGGATGACATTAAGTTTGATGCATCTGGTAAGACCTAGTCTGTTAATCTCGGTAGCTTGACGGGACTCGGCGGAGACTTTTTCTCCGCCGAGGCAGGAAATTTTTTTAACATACTCTAAAACGAATTTTAAAATCATTGAAACTGTTTGGAAGGCTGCAAAGGCACAAAGATATTCGCAGATTTTTTTATATTCCTTAAAAAACCCTGTAGAAGTCGGCAACTATTCACGAAAAATAATCGTATGTTATTTCAGACAGATGTTCTGAAGAAACATTTGGAAAGAGTCAATTTCCACATGGATAACCTCGAAGTTTGTATGAGATTGCTATTGAACGAGAAGTTACAGTATGAAGATGTACAGGAAAAGTTAATGGAAGCCTTGGACATGTATGTCGAAGCGTTGGATCCCGAAAATGACGATGATCCCCTGGACCTGGAGCCAGATGATATTTATGAAGAGCTTGGATTGAACGAATACATTGATCAGCTTGGGAAGGTGAATCTTCCACCAATCGATGAGGAGAAAAGTAAGATTAATGGATAATTGAAACTTTTGCGAAGTTATTGCAGTGGAGAAAACGAAACCCAAGGATATTCAGAAGCCAACATCGGCCTCAAAGTCTACGGGATCAATGCCTCATATTTCCAGCACCCCTAAATCTTCATTTGGGTCGCATCAGTATGTTATCTACGATTGTTTAGTTTTCTGTTCAGTTCTATATTGGGGCCAACTCCCCCAAAACCTGCCGGGTCTTCTCTTCCATCCACAACATCGGAAATGAAGTACAGTGCTGTTATCAAGGTTGCCAATGCTGCTGCAGGCTCTGACAGGTATTAAATTTATGTTTTTTTTTGGTACTGTTTTAGTTCTCAAAACAAGAAACCGGAGAAATTATCCGAACCGGTCCGACCACAGCCGACCCTTTGTCGATCTGACAACCCCGGTTTATCGAATTCAAGTATGTTTTCGGATTCAAATAGGACTGTTGTGAATAATGATTCCATCGAAACGAACACTCCTATCGTCGAAATGAAGGAGAATATTGAGCCGATGGAAGAAGAAAAGCCAGAATTGAATGATTTCCCACGCGCTGAGGACTTCTTTAGCGCGTATATGACACCAACGGGTATGGTTTATGCGATCTCCAATTATATATTCCTAGATCAAGTCTTCCAACAATTACCACCTCCAGTCGGACAACCACAGCCATCCGATTATTTTACTCGAAACACAATTCATTTACCTCAGAGTGTCGTTCAACAGCCTAGAACGGTAAATATTTGTGGATTTATGATTGGACAGATTTTTTTTCATTATTGATTGTATTGTTTTAGGTAAAGATTAATCCATTCTCGGCATATGGTGTGACAACAAATACGGCGATGTCAGCGTTACAGAGGAAGGCCACAAAGTGTATTGAGCAGGCCGCCAAGCATATCCCAATCCCGGCAGATCACTTGAGAGTTAGAAGTTATTTCCCCCATCACAAATCGAATGATTGCTCTCCTTTGTGGATGATGAGACCTTTGGAAAAGATGGATACAATCGAATTCTACACGAGGCTAGAGAAGGAGACATTATTCTTTATCTTTTATTATATGGAGGTATGTTGTTTAGATGTTTTTTCACATCGATTAAATTGATGTATGATAATTATTCAATGTCAGGGCACGTACGCTCAAACCCTTGCCTCGAAAGCTTTGAAGTACCAATCTTGGAGGTATCACAAGAAATTTTTGATGTGGTTTCAAAGAAAAAGTGATCCTCGGGTGATGACTGCTGATTATGAAAGTGTAAGTAATTTGATAAATATTAACTTTTAATTTAGGGAAGTTATTTCTTCTTTGATTACGAGAAGTGGACCATCAGGACTCGGGACAACTTTATCTTCGAGTACAAGTACCTCGAGCAGAATCCCTACATCAATTGATCTGGTCTCTGTTTTATTGTTTTGTTAGCTGTTTTTGAATGCATATCCGAACCCGATCTCTGTGTAAATTCCCGATCTTCATTTGAATTTCTTATGGGAATTATGTTTTTGAGAATAAATGGTGATCAATCTAAATAGATTAGTATGTTGTAGCTGATTCTTGTTACAGTTGTCTTTCCAGTTTTGATTACTTTTCAAGAATATAGTTAAATATCTGTGAGGTTAAAATACGTAGTTTTGATATTTTCCGCATGTCTTCGATTGTTTGTGGCCTAAACCATTGAATCAGGATTTCAAATTTGGAAAGGCCATTCGATTTTCAAAAGTCATTCTAATGTTTGGCCAGGCCCTTCAATTTGCGTGGTTTAGAGAGCACTTTTCCGGGAGTCGAAGGCGTTTAAATTGTTATTAACAGAACTAAACAGAGCGAGCAGGAAAGAGCTATTGTAAGGTTTTTTGTTGGCTGAGATTACTAGAAATCGTTTATGTGCCGAGCTCCTTCGATGGGAAAAATCGAACATTTCCTGTTTGTCACCTCATTTTTTGCTCTTTAAAAATCATTCTAAATATTGCATCGGAATCAATCATTTCTTTGTTTAGATTGCACTGATAATTGTGGGGTATCGCTTCGCTTACGATTTGTTTGCACTCGTTGTGTCTGTTATGACATTGTCTATCGGATATACTTTGTTCAAGGATCAACGCGATATCATTTTAAATCAAAGTTATTTTAGGTATTGAGACTGACCTGATGTTCGAATTATCTAAGGACGTCTGTGTCTGTTGTAATAAAGGGGTAAATAGACCGTGATCGTTCAGTTTTTCGACTTTTAAAAGTCATCGAAATTTATGACCTTATCAGGCTCTAATTTTTTTTCCGGCAGCGTCGAGATTTTCAAAAGATGATTCAGACTTTAATAAGTCTTGTTTATGCTCCTTCGCGATCTATAAGTGATGAAATTTATTGTTTTCATTTTTCTCGGTAGATTGCCAAGCTGCTTGTTGTTAGTTATCGGTATCTAAAACCACCATTTCTGATAATCTGGGAGTCACAAGTCTTATTTCTTTCGATTGCTCGATTAGAACATGAAATTCTATCCAATTCGCATCAAGTCTGAGGCAATTGACCTCAAAAAAATTTTAATGCAAATATTCAACTCAAATACAAATGCTTACGCGGATGAAATGCATGTGGAGAGATTGATGGATTACTGTATTGTAAATTAAAACAGCAAATAGACGAACGTTTTCTGAGTGTAATATTAGAGACGAAGGGTAATGTTACGTAATGGCTGTCGAGTCAGACGGAATTGCAAAGTTTGAGGGGGATTTAGAACAATAAAAGGATCGCCTGTCGTCTACGCTGGAGGGGGATAAAAGGTTCGGTGCAGACGTTTTAGGTGTTTTATATCGGAATTTGGTGAAGTTTAGGCGTTTTTTGACCGCTTTAATATTTCAGACGTGTATTGTAGTTGATGTTCTTATTTGTGACCATCTGGGTTACTGTAGATGTAGGGCTTCACTTGAAATCGTTTTCTTTTTGATTACTAATTTTTTGTCTCTTCGGACCTGATTTAGTCATGCATAAGGTATTCCGTCTACGGGTTTGCCCTCCTAACGTTCTTCAAATAACTTTTCAATGTATTCTCAGATTATCATATCAGAGATTACGGGGGCCATTATTGTGCTTCTTTAATTCTGAGCATAAGATTTTTTGTGTCTCACAATAAAACAAAAAGTTTGGTTAATGGATGCGTAAGAAGATTATAAACGAACCTTCTGATTAGCGACTGATTAGAGATTCTGGCAATAAAAAAAGGTATGGAAAACAGAAGTTCCCCAGGGGCTGTTCGTTCTTATTGCACTTGGTTATGATAACCAAGTGCAAGTCCTTCTTCTGGTACCTTTTGATTCCAATTTCACGGTGATTACGGTAGTTTGTATGAAGATTGTGATTTGATAACTTAAATCAACATCGAAAAGCTTTCTCGTACGATTTCTTTGTGAATTTTTGGAATTCCTGATTAGATATTCGTCTCTTCTGGACTGCATATCAATTCCCAGCTGTCTTATATAACGCTCCTCGCTTATTGATATTCTTTTGACTCCTCCTTCAAGTTTAGAGAGGCTCTGATGTAGGGGCTGATATCAGAATGGTTCTGGAGCTCTTTTCTTATGATTGATAAGGTTTTTGATTTTAATTGGAACATGTATCTTCGGAATTTGTGGTTTAATATTGGCATTGTTTTCTACATATAATGCCAATATTATTTAGCACACTCTGCGGTCATGGTGCATACTTTTATCGGTAACAGTGCTCTGAAATCAGAAGCAGATAATTCTTCGTTGCTGATAAGCAGCAGATCTTTTGCTGAGAGGCGGGTCATCAATCTAAAGCACGGGGCGCCATTAACTTCAAACCTTATCTTTTATTAAATGTTTTTCGTATAAATTGACCACTTTCCCCGCGAAATCAGCAATTGTTTTATGGGTTACGGTAGAATTCTGGGGGATTTGAGTGGTAAGAAGATACATTTAAATTGAGATGACAGATGATCTTGGTTCTTTATGGTTTAGTGATAAAAATCAGAAATTCCGTGGGATGGGAACCTCCATTTCCATCAGCACATTTATTTTACATCGGTTGACGGATCACCCAATAAACTGAACCGTCATTTGCAATGTTTGTAGATTTATCTGGCGAACTCTTTAAAGATTCAACTTTGCATTGATGTGTTGTATTGTGTGGAATTTAAAATTTTATTTTCCTTTGCGAAATTCTATTAAAAATTAATTTTTATGACTCTACGAATTTCAGACCTACTGACGGATAATTAACTAACATCATGTCTCCCGACGTTCGGAAAAGTGGACCACCAGAGAGTCTGAGCTCGGCTTCCTCGGACAACAACATCTCCACATTACCACCTCCAAAACTTCCAGCCCTTTTCAAATTGGCTGACAAATTCAATATCCAAAGGCATCTGGTGGCTTGTGTGATGTGCGAATTCTTCTGTAGCTTCTTTCTTATGGTGAGTTACTGTACTTGGCATATGCTAAAATATATATTGATACCTTTTCGTGTCTTACGAATGTACTTATAGTGTAATTTCAGTACGGTGGCTCAGCGATCAGTCTAGTCCAAACTATCCAAAGCCGAACCTCTGGAGAAAACAATCATCCCTACGGGATAGCCGTTGGATGGGGATTGTGGCTTCTGCTCGCCAATTACATTGGCTCTCAGATCTCTGGACCCCACATGAATCCGGCCTTTTCTTTGTTGTTCTACTGGGTCGGGCAGATTGAATTCAAAAGGGTCATCTACTATTCGATCGCCCAATTCTTCGGATTTTTTGCTGGATCACTCCTATGTTTCTTGGTCTACTTTGGTAAGCTTTTTAAAAATTGATTTTCAAATTTATATATCTTTTATGGGGTTACCGTAACTATTTTTAATTTTACTAATATTGGCTTAGGAATCGACCTTTAAGTCGAACCGTGAAATTCACGTGTTTTGAGGGTACGGTTGACCTTCTGTTCCCAATTCTCTCTTCACCGGGCTAGTCTTAACAGATCCCAGATCAGTTCAAGCCTCGAGTGCACTCCAATATTTTGTGAACTGTTTTCGAATGTAAAATCCCCTCAAAAGCCCTAAAGAACTGTTTGATACAGGTCAGGCGGAGAGCTTGTTTACATAACCATTGTCAAGTACAAGTTAAACTCACTGAAGGTACAGTTAATACTTTGCAAAAGGTAGAAGGGAACACGTGATTCGGGGGGAGAATGGAGTGCATACGCACCAAGTCGACAGTGTAATGGTATCACAATAAAGTTTAAAAGTTATTTATGATCCTTTGCAACATATAAAATAAATTGTTATCTTGAGTATAACAGTTTCATTTTCAGATGCCATTTCTGATTACGATGGAGGGATCCGGCAAGTGGATGGCCCGAATGGAACTGCTGGGGCCTTTGCCACCTATCCCCGACCTTATCTCTCAATTATCGGAGCGTTTATGGATCAATTATTGACCACGGGAATGCTTGCTTTGATTGTTTTGGCTGTTTCTGATGATCGAAACAAGGTTCCAAAAGGAGCTAGACCAGCGATTGTAGGCATTGGGCTGTGGTGTATTGTGTCGATGTGGTCTCACAATTGTGGAGCTGCTCTGAATCCAGCACGTGACTTTGGGCCTCGTTTTATGACGTTGGTCGTTGGATATGGATGGGGCGTTATCAGGTAAAATTACATTTTGATTTATGAGGGGTTTTCTGACGATTTAAAATTATTTCCAATAGTTGATAAGTTCAAGTGACGAAATTTCAATGTTGTTTTTTGGTCCGGGAATTCCTCGGGGGATTATGAAATTAATTATAAATAAAAAATAACCGGAAATTCTATGATAACAATGCTGGGTCAACATGAGTAAACTCACTTGCAAAATGTTGCATCCGGTTTGAGAGCCTGACGATTATCTTGTTTATTACTTGGGATACGGTAGTTCTAAAATAAGGAGATTACGGTAAGGAGATTAAAAAAGCGATTGGAACAAGAGAATTTTGAGTTAAGGAGCACTGAGACTATATAATCTCTTGTCTAGACTACGTTCTAACGGATTCAGGCGGAAGGGTTTTAGTATTTTGCCTCTTTTTGATTAGTCACAGAAAACCAAAAATTGATTTTCTCCGTGTATACTTTTCTGTTGATAACGTGGAATTTTTGACGGTGTAGAAAATAAAAAATGGACAAAACCTTCTCTTTGCTGCTCGAAAAAGGAATTGATAATCGAGGGAAATCGTAAATTCTCACTTATGGGGGCTCCTACTTTTTGACGGGACATATCTCAAAAAATCAGAAAAAATGTGCTGATCAAGGATATATAAATCTTAGCTGCCCATTTTAGGTTTTTAGGGGTGAAAACTCAATCGGAAGTTGACTTAAAGTCCTATATGAACCCCTTTTCGCTTAATTTTTCACAGGTTTACAATTTTCATTTTGGCTTAAAATGATGTTTATTGAGTTTCTAAGACTTAAAAAATCAGTCTTGGCACAAAAATTTATTTTTCCGACCTTCAACTTCAAAAAAAGTTGATTCGGCCCAAAAGGGAAATCGAACCCGTGCGGCCTTCCCGCTTTGGATTCCCAGACTACGGCACTAGCCACTCGGCCACCCCGCTCTCTTCCGAAGGAAGAGACCGACTGCGCTTTTTATCGTTTCGAATGCCTGCGCCATTTGTAGGAAAATTAAGCCAGTTTTTGGGCATTTTCACCCCTAAAAGCCTAAAATGGGCAGCTAAGATTTATATATTCTTGATCAGCACATTTTTTCTGATTTTTTGAGATATGTCCCGTCAAAAAGTAGGAGCCCCCATAAAAGTACTTTCCTTGTCAAACAAGCATGGCTTTGAAAGAAATCAACAAAAGACCATAAAGAATATAAACTTTTGGAAATTAACCAATATTGAATATAAAAATTGGGAAGACCGTAAATGAACAGTAAAATCCGTCCTTAAGGCAGTATTTTTTTCAGCTACAACAACTACACCTGGTTCTGGATCCCCATCGTGGCTCCGATGTTTGGCTCCATCCTCGGCTATTATGTTTACAACTTTTTCCTGGGAGAAATGTTGATGGTCAATGATCTGCCACCAGTAAAATCCGAGCGACAACTTGCTGGAGTTTCTTCTTCAACCGATCTTCGAATGACTTCGTCGGATTCCGTCAGAAAACCTTACGTCCCGGCCTAAATCGGCATGGGTAAGGTCGGCAAAGGGAAGATACATGGAGCTCCCAACTGTAGATACCACTGTTTACGGCAGTGTCATGTATATTATATAAGTTTTGAAAGTTTTCCAATCAATTTACTAGTCTAGTTCAATTGTTTTTCTGCTAAAAATTAATGCTAGCAAGTGCCTTTAAGTGTTATGTGGTTATTATTTTGATGTCAAATATCTCAGTAGTGTCATAAATTCTGTCTTCAACCATCTTCATACTTTTATTATGTCACAAACATATCATGCTTATATTCTGATATTCTCGCAGGTTTCTAGATCACCGAACTAACAAATCCGTCTAGTCAGGTCCAAATCTCGGTTGTATTTTCGTCTTGAAATGGTACTTCAAGGAGATTAAATTATGTTGCAAAGAAGTTGAGAGTATTTTAGGGATTGAAAGAGCTATCTTTTGAGTTATGTTATATTGAGGATTTCGAATTTTTTATTAGATAAGTGTCTAACGGCAGTACCCGTATGTATTCTATCATGTTCTACATGATTGCGTCACTAATTACCAAAATTTTTGGTCTTTTCTGAAATCACCGGGATTTCTGGGACAATCGCGGCCGAACTCCAGGCGGCCAACATGTTTTTGTGTTTTGTCTTTTCCAGTTTTCGCAGGAAAATCATGAGTGGAGCGAAGGCAAAGTTCACCATACCCAAAAAGAAGAGCATTCTGCAAAAATTATATCGCACGTAATATTAATAAAGTTTAAGGTAATTAATGGCTAGTATTACGTAATGTAACGGTTTGCACAGTAGACTTACGTGGTGAATCCTAGATATCTGACCGCCGGACCACCCGCAATTGGACCGGAGACAAAGGCCAGAGAGCAGGAAACGTCGGAAATTGCATAAACCGAGCCATAAATTTGAGTGTGCCGGAGGTCTGCTATATGACCCATCAAGGGGAACATATTTAAACCAACAAGACCAAAACCCATGCCCAGGAATGCTGAGACAACCAGAAGGGAACAAAGATTGGGAGAGAATGGGAGCTGAAATTTCGCCAAGGATAATATAAAATATGTGGTGTAGAAATTCATGATGATACAGGGTGTACCAAAAAAATGGAAACTTTTTTTTCATTTGTCCTGACGCGAAAATGGTTAGGTGTAGCCAAAGAAGTTTATTACTACAAAATTCTCTGTGTTTTTCTGTCCTAGTGTTTTGATTTTTACGCCCATATCGATTAATCGAGGTCTTTTTTGAACTTCAAACAAAGGGACCTCGATTTTGGACTTGTTTTTGGAGCTGTTCGAAAAGTTAATTTGCTCGGTATAGAAAGAACGTTGTGTCGAAAGTAATCACGAGGCCCAAGGAGCTTGATACGGATAGTAAGCGCCCAGGAAGTGAAAGAAAACGCACCGCCAGCGCTTCTTTCAACCGAAAGATCCCCCACAGCAAAATCCGCGATTTTCAAGAAAAACTAGCCCTTGAGACTGACATCAGCGACCTATCGCTCGGCCGAATAGTCAAAGGCGAGCTCAACCTCATGTCATACAAGCTCTAAAAAATTCAGATCTTTAAAGTCGAGTGAAAGTGCATACAGCGCAAAAATGTCGGAAAGTGAAACGGGTGGGCCGCAGCTCCGAGACGTGAGCGCATTCAGTTCGCGGTTTAATATTTAGCGGATACACAACCACCAGAACGATAGAATCTGCTTCAGTGAGGCTCCTAGCTTGTTGGCCATCGTCAAATACCACCAAAATCCGGGTCGTCATTGCTTAAGGCGGAATTTGTGCCAGCGGCAAGAATTCCAGGGTTTTCGTGAATAAATGGGACAAAATACTAGCGCCGCGTTAATTTCTATTTTGTCGTGCTTCCGTGAGCTCAGCAGAACCTTGGCAATGCAAACTTGGGGTTTCAACAGGACTCAGCGCCGGCTCACAAGGCAAAATCGACTCAGGACCCGAAATGGGACCGATTTTCCCGATTTTGTCCCGCCTGCGAAATGGCCGCCTGCTCGCCAGATCTGAATCCAATGGACTACATATTTTTTTAAATAGAAGGGCAGCACCTGTACTATGCTCCACAAAAGTTTGGAGCCGCAAAGTAAATGATGCGCCAAGAACGGGACCGATTTCCCCCTTAAAAAGCTGCGGCCCGGACCCCAAAATTTTACGTCACGTTTGGAGCTCTATATCGCCACTAAAGGCAGCCACTGTGAAACAGATTGAACATGTTATAAACAATGCTCTATGTTACCAATCATGACCGTTACTTTTGCTAAATTTTGATTCCCCGAAAAAATATAGCTATAAAAACAAGTTTCCATTTTTTTGGTACACCCTGTAAACTTACCACAATGAGACAAACTCCCAGTACAACGAATCCAAGCAATGCACATTTCCATTGCCCCATAAATTTGACGACGTGTTTGTTACAGTAAGTCCAGATGATATAGGAAACGGAGCTGGGAAAGAAAGCCAATCCCTGATCCACTGAGGAGGATCCCCATACTTCCAACATCCATAATGGCATTGTTGGCTCGAGAGCAGAGAAAGAAAAGTTGTTCATGAAGATTGCGGTGGCTGTCAACATCAGATAGGGGTCGCTCAACAGATCCCAATAATTGGTGTGCTCTGGTCTGACTTTGCTGACTTTAGGTGGCAAAACGACCAATTGAACTAGTCCAACAAAGAATGAGACTCCAGCCAGCAGAGTGAATGGCAGAACGATCCCACCGTAACGATAAAGGATCCCTCCGAGGACTGGGCCAAGCAAAGTGCCGATTGCAATCCCGCTAAAAACAATGGCCATGGCTCGGGTTCTCTTCTTATAGTCGGGGAAGGCGTTGGCCAACATTCCTAATCCAGCTGTAGCTCCAAATCCACAGCCAATTCCACTGAGAGACCGGGCAATCAGTAGCATATTGTAGGTCTCACTGTAAGCAAAAAGAAGCGAGGAGATGGTGAAGATGACAAATCCAACAAACAAGGGAATGTCATAGCCAATTCTTAAGATATTTAGTGTAATTATTGTTATGGAAACTTACCGATAAGTAATCCATGAAACGATGACGCTTGTTGGAATCTGAGCTATCGCCTTTGAGCTCATCAGAACTGCCAAAGGGATGTTATTGGAGGCAAAGGCTTCATGGTAGTCTTCATAATCAAATGTAGATTCGTTATCTCGATGCAATGAGGCTTGGAGATATTCAGTTTCGTTGTTAAGTAGCAATAAATGGTTTGGCAAAATTGGGACTAAAGTTATGACATGGATAATAAAAAAATAATCGAGTTATGAAGATTAAGGTAAATGACTCACCAACTACCGTAAGTAAAAAGAAATTCAAGAGCATCGAGATGTACACCGTGAAGATGACAACATTCTGTTGATTCTTTTCACTGCGGATTCTCTCCAGGAAAGTCATGCCTTGTATAATATAAAAATACAAATCTTTTTTTTTTGCAATCCCGATCTCTCTTCTTCAAGATCTTTATTCAGATTACTTTTAGATTGTTTTTACAACATACGAAAGTTCTGTGCCCCTTTTCCTCCCAATTGCTGATATTATCCATGAGAGATTCGATATTTGAATAGTCTAAAGGTCGCGGGGTTAATAATTGTAAATCCATGTCAGCCAGTATCAGGCGGGGTTTTGGACGACTGACTCCTTCCAAAGTGAGGCCAAAAAGCAATTGAAATGTAGATCTAAAGTGGTCGATTATGTAGTTTTGTGATTCCTTCCGGAAAATCCAAAAGCCCTTAGGCTATTTACCAAGTCAACTCGTTTATTTTCGATTCAAAGTCTTTTCCGTCTGTAGATTGTCAAGATATCCATCCAGATGCGTAATTTAATTGACGTTGCACTTAATTTTTATTTGAATATTCCCTTATTAGGAGTGTAAATTCTTTGGTCTGGTCTTAAGAATTAGCTTGATGTCAGTCGGAAGTTTTGATTGCTCGGAGTTTGCATAATTAGGCATGTTGTGAATGAAATCGCTGAATAATCAGCAGACTAAACTTCAATTACCATGTTTGGAAGAAGCCAGTTCGGTTTTTGAGAGGTAAAGGGACCGATTTAAACCTTATAAAATCATCAAAAAATATTGCAAAATTGCGCTATATAGAAGTCTCATCGTCTAATTTTTTATTAACAAGGTTCAGATTTGTGACTAAACTGGAGAAAGAACGCTTTGAAAAAGATACGATAAACAAATGTAGTAGTCAGCATTATGGACAAAAGTGATTAGAGATGCGATGAGAAGGGAGCTGCGAGTCGAAACAGAATGAGAACATCAGATTAGAGAGAGGGGAAAACATTATTTTGGCATCAAGAAAAGAAGAACAAACGGATGCTTGAAATGAACTCGACAAAAGGATTGGCATGATTTCAGATGTGGATGGGGTAAGGGGGGATCTCTCTCCTCGTCCTCTCTCCGTCTCATCGTTCGAAGCCCGCACAACAATAGGTCCGAAGGTAGGAGAGGGAGCAGCGGTTCTGACAGCATTGAGTGGCCACCCCCGACCGTTTTTGGTGACTCTTCCGCTTGTATCCCATGATTCGAAACCGGAAGAAAGGGTTGTTGTAATCGCTCAGCGCTCCTGCAATGAATTTGCGGATAAAGAATGTTGAATTTCTTTTTGTTAAATTATGTTATTTTTGCTATTTGGAGATCAAGAATAAAGTGCGTGATTCTGGAATGTCTTTGGTTTTAATCGAAATTTAATACGGAACGGGAAAACATGACTCAGAGGGTCCAAAACTGGCGGAAATCGGTCAAGCGAGAGAGGGAGAAAGGTCATGTGTAATATAAAGAAAAAAGATTGTTGCAAAATCTTGCATAACCTTCTGCGGAGGAGGCCGGAAACACAAAGATACTAGTGCAATATTTTCTGGATACTAACAGCACTTTCTTGATTTTAAAGCACAAAAAAGTTCTTCTTTAATCTAGGATAGTGCAGCCTCATTAAGACGCGCCAAACTGAGACCAACGACGATGAAGACCTACGTTTCTGCGTTTGGACTTGATATCCTCCGCAGACCTGATGTTTGCAGACGTGTTGCAGCGTGGTGGTCAGCTTGAATCCGCAGAGTCGAAAGTTGGCGTCGGCATAACGAAAAAGAAGGAGCTGAACCAGTATTAGAACGGGGAACAGGGGTTTCATGTGTGTGGTCATCTGCAAGTGCACTGCTTTATATAATCATCCCTCGACTTTGCTCGAATTTCAATCCTATTCAAAGGCCAAAACGTCATCTTTATATTGATGATTATTATTGGATAAATTTGGAGCCGTTAATTGAGAACAGCTTCGTTGCAACAGAGCCCAAAGGGTGATGGACAATGCCCTTTTATTTAGGAGTATAAATATGAGGCAATAATTTAGTATAATATAAATTTACTTAATTTTTATTTTAGGTTTCAAGAACAAGAAATCCCCTAATTCTGAGGTTGAAAATAGAAATTATTTTTCTGCAGCCAAGAAAATTGATAAACTGTCCTTATTGATCAAGAAACCACCCATATTTTTCTTTAAAATTGGCCAAACTTACAAAATTAGATAATCCATAAAAGGGGCGGCAATTGTGAATCCACTTTGGAATCAATTCATTAACAGACGACCAGCCACAGAGGTGTTGTTGGTCGAGTCTAGTACGGCCGATTCATGAAGACGGCGGGGCCCAAATGGCGGACGATTTGCTGAAAAAATCGCCCTGATCGATTTCAATTACAATATCGGATATGAAGGATAAGATTGGATTAAGAAGGAGATCTCGCCCGCCTATTGAAAGCCATGATTGGACAGGGTTTATTGACAAACATCCACTTGTTGACTGTTAATCAATTACTTTCAACAATCCCACACGCAATGTTATTCTTTATGTTATATATTTTAGAGGTTACGCAACGAGAAAAATTGGGAAAAGTATTCGGAAATGATTACAGGAAAAGCAAGCATTCGAAATAGACGACTATCAGGCTATGGCCGGAGGGCATATCGAATATGAAAACGGAGAGAATGGGTGGGCCGACCGGTAATTAAGAGAGTCGCACGGTGCTTGTCTCTAATTACAGTGTCTAAGGTTGACGTTCCACCACTTGACTCGTCATCTCACGATCCGTCGTGGTGTCGAACAACATGATGCATCATCATCAATTTGTAAATGCCAAAATTGGAAACTTCAACTCAACTTTTTTTGACAATTTTTGATAACAATTTCCAAAAACAGTATAGTAATCCCTCTAAAATATTATAAATAATGTTGTTTGTTTAGGTATCACGTAAGCCATGAAATCGAACACTACAACCAGACCAAGTACGTTTTACAAACCCCTGAAATAGAGGCTACACCCGTCAAAATGAGAACCCCAAACCGATATTCAATATCCCGGCTGAAACTTTTCCTCCCCCACGTGCTTCCGACATCTTATTTCCCCCTCAAATGCATCCGGCTGGACAATAAGACCGTGAAAATGGGACCGAGCTCGAGTCCAGGTCATTCCAGGAACAAAACGAGAGGAAATTGTTAAAAACAGAAGAAAGGGATACTGTAGATGTGGAAATCCTTATATCCGAGGGGAGATTACAGGTCAAAGAACTAAGAAAAGTTTTTGGTTTAGTATGTTCTTTGAACACAATTCTAGAAAATACATTATACATACTAGACTGAGGCATGTTTATTTTTGACAAATAAACGTAATTTATTGAACGATTACGGTACGAGTTATTTATGTACGTGTGTATATAAATAAATCTGCTGTCAAAAAAAATGTTTTTATAACTACTCGGTATCAAAAAAGTGATATTTTAACCGGAAACTTGACTAAAGTTTGCCAACTTTTATCCCAATGTCCAGAATTAACGAAGCCATCATCAGATTTCACACTGAGCATCCTAAAATAACCCAACTTTAGTCGTTCTTTTATAATTAACCCATCACAAATCTCCAATATCTCCTACAAATGGAAACTTGGCATTAAAGCGCATCACTCTTATTTATATCCGATTTCAACGTACAAATACCAGAAATTTTAAATTAAAAAATCATACTTTGATCCACAAAAAAAGTATTTGCAGAGGGCATTGCACGAGTAGTAAACGAAGAACCGGGTTCTTTGAGACTTACGTTAAAATCAGAGACCTAAAACAACATAAGGACCTTCCTTTTAATTTGGTTATCGTCTTCCGGAAGCCTGAAACCCCGCGGAAACTCCAAAAACCTCCAGCTAATTGGCTTCCGAAGGCTCAACGAAGGGGGTCGACTTTAATAAGACCTCTGTTTTATGTATAACGTCAGAATGGGCTTAAGTGTAAATTGTGTTGTACAGTACTCCCGTTTCTCTTTGCACTTCTTCCCACCTGCCCCTTACTCCAAATTGATGGCTTTATCACCGCTAATTACGAGGACTAAACGAAATTACAGCTTTAATTCATTTTTATTACTAATAAAAAATAAAAATTTGAATGCCGATTCGAGAATTGGCCGTAGCCATGGGCCCAGATTTGAAGCGGGCTAACCCCTTCGGTTAGTCCGCTTCGGGTCGCGATTTTGGCCGAAGAGTCCTACCTAGGCGAAGCAGCGAAGACGGCGTCAGTATGAATATTGCGTGACAAGTGACCCACTCGATCAGCCGATGACGTTCAAAAACTTATCTTTGTAATCGAAAAGGTAGTATTGCGTAAACTTACAACAGTTGTACAATATCTCCCTTTACAATCTCATTAAGGAAAATCCAGCCAATTTTATTATACAGGGTGTTCCAAGAATTATGGAAAAAACTATTCGTTAATAACTTTGTGCTCGGTGGTCCAATCCGAAAAAAAAATTTGCATTTTGCAGAAAATGGAGTTTTTAGAATCAAAAAAGATTTTTTCGTTTTATCGGCGGAGACTTCCGTAATCCGCCTTGAATTCGGCGGAGTGCTTTTTTCACAAACAAGGCTGTAAAATGGGTTCATTTTTTTCTCCGCCGAATTGCCTTTTTTTCTTCTCTTATTGTTAGTAAGCCGAAGACGTAATAAGTCGTATTTAGGCGCCATGCCACCAGGAATACCATACGTTTTGGTTTTAGCCAATTTTGACTCTCAAAAGTCGAAGAAAAATCGTCCGCCGAGGTTAAAAAATGTCTCCGCCGAATGAAAAAAATTTGAAACAAATGTCATATTGTATCTATTGAATCCTCTCCCGCCCATTTACTTCACACATACAACAATTTGCAGCCTCGTTTGTGAAAAAAGCACTCCGCCGAATTCAAGGAGGATTACCGGAGTCTCCGCCGATCAATGAAAAATAAAAGGTTCCCATTCCACTGCTTTTTCCGGTGTACTAAACAAACGTCTTCGATCCGAACTGCTGCAGCGTAAACTGTCACTCATTCCATTTTCGGGGTAAGCGCGAAGTTGCAGCTGTAACTTTGGGTTTATTAAAATAAAAAACCGTATCGATTCGAAGATATAATAATCATTATAACATTATATCTAGATATTATAACATTCAATTTACAACATCGAGTTCGGACGCATGATGCACGACGGATTAGAGACAAGTAAACAAAGCAATAAAAACGGGAGGAGACAGACAAATAGGGGCGGTCGGAGGACATAAACATGCCAACTTATAAGAGAACACGTTTATTGAGCACTCAGATCCTGTCGCTTAATCAGATTATAATACCTTCCTTTCTGTTGCATCAACTGTAGATGAGAGCCGGCTTCCCGGATTCTGCCTGACTCCAAATACACGATCACATCTGAATTCTGAATCGACGATAATCGATGTGCTATTGTAACACAAGTTCGGCCTAGTCGGGCACGATCCAAGGCTTCCTGAACTGCCGCTTCTGAAGCCGAATCCAACGCAGAAGTGGCTTCATCCAACAACAAGATCTTTGGCTGTCTTATGATCGCCCTGGCGATGGCAATTCTTTGTTTCTGACCTCCAGAAAGTTGAGCTCCTCTCTCTCCGACCAACGTGTCGTATCCATCTGGCAGTTGACTGATAAATCCATCAGCATTTGCAATTCTCGCAGCTTCCATAATCTCATCGACAGTTACTTTTGAGGAATCGAGGCCATAACATATATTATCCTTGATGGACCCACTGAAGAGACGGGGTTGTTGTTCAACCAAAGCCATTTGCTCACGGACAGTCTTCAGGTTCAAAGTTCGGAGATCCTTGCCGTCCAGTTTCTGTAATTATTACGCAATAATATCGCAAAATATTTTTAAAATCATCTAAAAATTAAAATAATAATACCAAAATCTTACTAAAACTCCAGCCAACGGGTCATAAAATCGTTCGAGCATTGAGATTACTGTACTTTTACCCGAGCCAGAAGGCCCAACAAGCGCCACAGTCTTTCCAGGTTCCGCCCTTATATTAGCCCCACGTAAAACAATGTTCTTAGGAGAGTTTGGATAGGCAAAGTAGACGTCATCAAGATTAATATCGCCGACCAGACGCTAAAATCAGCAAGTAAGTAAGTTTCACATCATAACTTAACTTACAATCTTCTCTCCTTGGTTAATATCTCCAGTTTTCGGTGTTCTGTTGATGATGTTAAACATAAGAGCAGCTGATAATCGAGATTTAACAAACTCAGGGAAAAATTCTGACGCTTGTAGGACGGATATACTGCCAAAATAGAGAGTTTGGACCACTCTAAAATTTGAATTACAAATAAACAATAGGCATACTCACTGGAAAACTTCAATTTTGGCGGTCCATCCAGCAATCACAAAAAGGAATCCACAAGTATAACAAAAAGCAAGGTTGAAGTGCTGGAGTCCATGGGTGGAGGCAAAGTTCATAGCCTACAATAAGAATAAATTAGTCTTTAAACCATACGCAACATCATGCAATGGCAATTCTTACATTCCATGGAGCAATAAACATTTCCGATTTCAATTGACGTTCAGACAGTTTACTGAACTGTTGGTAGATCTCCGTTTCTCCAGTCAGCAACTGGATGGTCCGAACATTCTCGATGGCTTCAATCGCGAATTTCCCGGCTTCATCGAACTTGGCAGCTTTGACTCTGAGATGGTGAACTCTTCTGGCCAAGAAGAATTGGAATAATCCCAACAAAACAAACATGATCGAGCAAACCACGGTCAAGTAGAAGTTCAAAAACAACGCAATGATGATGGCACTGAACAAGGAGAAGATGCCGAGAAGAACACGCCCTAATCGAGTATCCATCGCCGCCTTCACATTGGGGGCATCGGTAGCCAAGCGGGTAATCAGTTTCCCTGGAGTATGGCGGGGATCGTCAAAGTAAGAAGCGTCCTGGAGAAGAATATTCTGGAAGGCGCAGACGCGGAGGTGCTTCGTGAGACGTTCTCCAACTTTGCCAAACATATAAGTCTAAAATCTCATTGACTATTCACAGCGGACCCAAATTGACTTATAAAGACATATAACGACTTATATGAACAGATAATGACTTATAAGTCAAAATAACGTCAAAAGAGGAGGGGCTTATTTCTCTTTACTTATAAAAACAAATAAGAACTTATAATAACAAATAAGTTCTTTGCAAAGAAAACTTTTGAGCGCCAAATACGCTTTTTGCTTTGTGCACGCGTGAGCTGGACTTGTGAAATTCTAAGTTTTTGGAACGTCGCGACGTATTTCTACCTTGGATCGATCAAAGTAAGATGCTTTTAATCAGCCTTTTTTTGTTTTGCAAGAGTTTAGAGTGTTTAGATGAAAAGTCCCGAACGTAATAGCCTTCCCGTGCAGGGAGCATGCCAGCCTCAAGAAGATCCATCCCCAGAAGATGTATAAACATGCACGATCAACCAACGGATTGCTAAAGGATCCATTTGCTCAATTTTGGTAGGTGTTTTTTTTAACTGTTTTCCACATTTCAGAGGTCTCGAAAAAACTTCAAGACAAAGTTTTGTTATATTGTACTAGGTCCAGGTGAACCCGTTGGGTTTTAGATAACTGCAAAAATGGTCATGGAGGAATCCAATGGACAATGTATACACGATGAATAGAAAGATGACATCCGGTAGCTTCAGGTATGGTTGATAACATTCACCTGGACCTAGTACAATATCGCAAATTTTATGTCTAAAAATTTTTCCGCCAGAAACCTTTTAGGCAGTTCAAATTCATCTGTTTTACTGTTAGTATGTAACGCATAAAAAAATTGAGTTTAAGCCGAACTCATATTATAGTTTCCCGAAAAAAACTTTTCTAATATCTCCAAATATTTTCAGTGAAACCAGAAGCATTAGAAGCAATAATATACATCTACGGCCGCCTACAGAAGCGACGAACGCCCCATCAAAAAATCTCAGGTCCTTCGTGCATTGAAGTCTTATTCTACTTGTGCCACTTAATTGTTTGAGTTATTGATTGAAATAAATGTTCATTTTTTTGCACGGTGCGGTTATAAATAAAATGACTTATAAAAACATATATGAAATTATAAGTCAATTCAACAAAAGCGCACAGAGAACCCTTATAAAATCATATATGAACATATAAGTCATTTAAAATGACTTATAAGAACAGATAATGACTTATAAAAAAATCATTTCATTATAAGTCATTATATGTTTTTATAAGTCAATTTGGGTCCGCTGTGTTTTATATCAATAAACAAAAAATCAACATAGACAATATAAACTCACGGTAAACCAAGCTGCAAAAAACGAAATGAAGGCCAAAACCAGGAACATGAGGAAGAACAGAAATGCCGGCCATAATTTATCTTCTCGATTTCTATCATCAAAGAGAGCAAAGGCCAATCCGTATAATAAAGCGTTGACGGGTAAGGATATCGAGTTAAAAATACAACATCCAACAGCAATTCCCAACGTTCCCCATAAGAATCTGGCCTCGCGGAACAGTTGAGTCATCGAGAAGTGCATGGCACCTTCTTTCGTAACTTCAATCTAAATGTGACAGAAAAATTTTTATAATTTAGGTTGCCTTACCTCCAAAGCTTCCGTTTCCGCATCTCCCAAATGTTGACTTTCCATAAAATCTCGTTTAAACGACATCCTAATACTCTCCCTCAAATCTTCGGCACTCGCTCCTGTAAGAGGCTGTTTGTGATCGACATCCTCTGCTTCATAACCATCATCTTCTACTTCATCTTCAGCAGGAATCATATCGATTTGCTGAGCTCTCACCAATCTCGCATACGCTCCTTTTCTCTCCAGGAGTTCGTTATGAGTACCAGCTTCGATGAAACGGCCTTTGTCCATGACAATGATACGATCAGCATCCTGAAAACGACTATCAAAGCAGTGGATAGTCGACAAACCTTGACAGTTGATAATCGATGAGCAATCACAATGGTAGTTCTTCCTTTGCTAGCATTATTCAGAGCTTCTTGGACAATGGCCTCGGAATTGGCATCTAAGGCGGAAGTGGCTTCATCTAGCAGTAGAATCTTAGGGTCTCTGGCCAAAGTTCTGGCAATGGCGATTCTTTGTTTCTGTCCTCCACTCAATTGAACTCCACCTTCTCCAATCTTTGTCAAGTAACTCTCAGGCAAATTCTCGATGAATTCATGGGCATTTGCCAGCTGACAAGCTCGGACCATGTCGTGTTCGGTTAGATCTGGATTTCCCATTTTCAGGTTTTCTTCAACAGTCGCATTGAAAATAATCGGTTCTTGTTGGACTGTGCCGATGGTCTGACGAAGCCATTTTATGTTCAGGTCTCTTACATCATGGCCATCGATGGTCACAGAACCGGATTCGTATTCATAGAGACGGTTAAGGATCCCAACAACAGTTGATTTCCCTGAACCAGAATGACCAACAAGCGCGATGGTCTGGCCAGGTTGGACGGTAAAGGAGAGACTCTTCAAAACCTGAAATGAAATGTTTAGTACTCAACTTTAATTTATACAACAATAAACTGTCGATCTAGATCTAAAATCTTTTTTAGAGAATCCCGAACTTTTCCAATGGATCTTGTGGCAATTCGTGCTACAAATTATTGATTGATTTTTTTCGAAAGCTTTGGTCAGAAATATTTGTGATCCACATTGCATGTGTTTTTCCTATTTTCTACACCTTGCCCACTTACTTTGACATCCTTTCTCGATGGATATCTGAATGCCACATTTTTGAAGACGATTTTTCCTTTCAGATCGTACAGTTTTCGTCCTTTTACGGAATAGGCGTCGATGTCCGGAGTTCTGGCAATCGTCTTATAGATCGTAGCAGCGGAGACTCGAGCGGTTAAGAGGACCATCAAATGAGGAGATGCATTTCCAAGATGATAGGCACCAGATAACAGTGCAGTGAGGACAACAAAGATATCACCGGGAGTGTCGAGGATCCCAATCTGATACAAGAAGGTACCATAAAGGATGGCTATACCCATGTAAACAACAGTGATCATGGTCATGAATCCAGAGAGGACTCCACTATGATTTCCCTTCCTCAGACCAGCACGAACTCCTTTCTCGAGCTCTTCTGAGTATCTCTCGACTTCTTGTTCTTGCCCATTGAAAGCGGCGACGGTGCGGACTCCGGAGATGGCTTCCTCGGCGATTTGGCCGGCTTTTCCATAAATGGCCATCTCTTCCCTGGAGGCGTTTCCGATTTTCTGGAAAAAATCGTTTAAGTTTTAAAAAAATCCTAATGTTATACTAGAGGGGTGAAGTCGAAGATAAAATTATACCTTGGCAGATAAGGACATAGCCACGGCAATTAGAGGAGAGACGAGGCACAAGGGTAGTGTCATTTGCCAGGACCACACCAAAGCCACAATCGTGCCGGCGGAATATTGAACGGCCGTTCTGATCAGAAGTCCCAATTTATCTCCGATTCCTTCGCAAATTCTTTCGATGTTGCTGAAATATTGCAATTACTCGATAACCACTGAAATTACGGTATTAATTAATGAATCAATCTCTTACTCATTAAGCCTGGTATTCAGCATTCCACTGTGATTTTTCTCGAACCATCCAGCATTTTGTCGGAGGATTGACTTGAGATATTCGACTCGAATTCGACGGACAATCCTTATACAAGCAATGTTAAAACAACAGAACTGAAAGAAAAATCAATTTCAGCGTAATAAAGAAGATAATGCTATAATTACAGATTTCGCATCAGGACATTTCCGGAATTTGGACACTTCCGGAATGGCGGAATAGTGACACTTCCGGAATGACGGAACAGTGACACTTCCGGAACCGGGGAAAAATCAAAGAAGAGGCTTAGACCTGCCATCTGAACCATCTGACTGGATTTATTGTTATTAATCTCAAAAATTTTGTTATTTTTTTCTGATTGTTACTTTTTTCTTAAGTAGTAGTGTTAAAAAGTAATTTTTCGATTTTTTTCTAAAAATACTCGATTTAGGGGTTTTCAAGGTTGCTGATTTCGAATATCGGGTTCATTTTTTCTGAACTCTACTAGTTTTCCTTAAGCAGTAGTGTTATAAAGTAATTTTTTGGAATTTTTCCAAAAATACTGGATTTAGGGGTTTTCGAGGGTGCTGATTGCGAAAATCATGTTAGCTTTCCTCTTTATAGTACTATCTGGTACTATACAGTACGAGGTGAAAATATGGCTTTTGGCGTTAATGGTGTTGTTTTGATGCTTAGTACTCCTCAAAAACACGTTTTAAATAACTGGTACTGTTTAGTACTGTCTGGTACTATGTAGTACATGGTGAAAATAGGAGTACTAAGCAACAGAACAACACCACTAACGCCTAAAGGCCAAATTTTTACCTTGTACTACATAGTACCAGACAGTACTAAACAGTAACAATTATTTAAAACGTGTTTTTGAGGAGTACCAAGCATCAAAACAACACCATTAACGCCAAAAGCCACATTTTCACCTCGTACTGTATAGTACCAGATAGTACTATAAAGAGAAAAGCTAACATGATTTTCGAAATCAGCACCTTCGAAAACCCCTAAATCGAGTATCTTTAGAAAATTTTCAAAAAATTACTTTATAACACTACTGCTTAAGGAAAACTAGTATAGTTCAGAAAAAATGAACCCGATATTCGAAATCAGCAACCTTGAAAACCCCTAAATCGAGTATTTTTAGAAAAAAATCGAAAAATTACTTTTTAACACTACTACTTAAGAAAAAAGTAACAATCAGAAAAAAATAACAAAATTTTTGAGATTAATAACAATAAATCCAGTCAGATGGTTCAGATGGCAGGTCTAAGCCTCTTCTTTGATTTTTCCCCGGTTCCGGAAGTGTCACTGTTCCGCCATTCCGGAAGTGTCACTATTCCGCCATTCCGGAAGTGTCCAAATTCCGGAAATGTCGTGGTGCCACAGATTTAACTTACCTGAATGAAAGCAACAACAACAAGGAAACAACCAACAATAAGGAAGGCCCCGACGGCCTTCATTCCTTCGTGTCTAAAACGTTCGTCCTGTACATCCAACAACAACAAGGTATTGGCCAACATTCCAGCGATAATGGCGAAGAATGGCTGGCAGAATCCGCATAAGAAGGCCATGATCATGCCGCAAACAACCAGGACATCGTCTAATCGGTTACCATATTTGAACTGAAAAAGAGAGATGATGTGATTAACTACGGTAAGTCGTTAAAAAGGGTCGAAATTACTTTACTGCCAGTTTGAATTCCAAATCTCGTATAACAAACGTTTTGAATATAAATTTGAAATACTTTCATATTACACTTACCAATTCCTTTAAAGACACTGGTTTCTCTGTCAACTTCTTTTCTGCGAGGTCCTTCCTGCATAGCATTAGATTCAAGAACTTTTCCATTTTGCTTTTCTCATACAAGGCCTCTTTCGCTTCACTCTCCGAACTTTCTGAAGGTGGATCTTCCTCATCTTCTTCCTACAAAAATATTATGTTATCACAATTACGGTGCTCTTACCAGCTCAAATTTAGCTCTCTTTAGGTCGACTGAGACCATCCTTGCGGGTTCTTTCTTGTCCTCTTCATCAAAGGGGTTCAATGATGGGGTCTGAATAATGTTTTGTCCGTATTGGGAAGTGTCGATGTTATCAGTACTATTGGGCTTACTAACCCCACTGGCTGGACTGGGAGGGGGTTCGGGAGGGCCGGGATCGACCTCCAAATGGACTGGGGGCTTCTCTTCCACTGGCTTTATTTTGTCTGACATTGTTGATTGGGATTCGCTATCTGGAAGATGTTTTGGATTACGGTAGTTTTGATTAAATTTTATATTATTACCTGACAGATTTACAAATCGAAGTCAGAAAAAACGACAGCTCATTGAGTGCAAAAATAAAAAGTAAAATTTTGATATAGAATATTAGAACTTACTTATCACGTTACGCACGAGTTTGATAACAATATGTAAATTTATTTGAGGAACCAAAAAACAATGATTCAAAAACCTTGATTATGAGATAAAAAGGAGCGACTTAAAAAATTTTTTTTGCACGGCTAAATTGAATAGACAATTTGTAAAATCATAAAATTTTTACATGGTCCAATATAATTTATTACACAATTTTAGATTATTATTTTGATAACAGAACATAACGTACCTGACTTTCAGACACACGCTTCCACAACGGTTACACAGCGCCGGGCTTTGGAGAGGTTTTATTCCTTTCCCGACCTCCAGAAGAGCATCCCAGATTTGAATAAATTTAATTTTCGTCCCAAAATTTCGCCGATCCGGTTCTCTCACAGACTACAGATCAGTGATTATGAATACTGGTAATGGGAGTACCAGTAAGTGAAAAAAGAAATGGAAATCAAATGAACTCGAGTTATGAGAGTAATTACGGTAATTAACAGAGTCATGAAACAAAATTTGAGAAAGTAACGGAGAAAAATGAAAGCGGGGCTGATCTCAGGGACCTTATTTCAGTTCAAGAACATTTGAAAGGGAAATTTAAAAAATTCTAATAGAAAATATAATACATAGGTCAAAAATTGAAATAACATAATTGATTTGTGACAGTTTACCAACCGTAATTAATTGTAAATGTCAAATTTAATTTCAAGGCTATGATCGGTCATGTTGCAAAATGGTTTTATTTTGTCAAGAAACTGCTCCTTACGATCTTCATAGTGTGATTTATTGCATAATTTCTCTTTGTTACTACAAACTCCAGCCCTACAGCTAGCTTTTTCTGTTTTTGACTTGCAGCGAGATGAAGTCTCAACTATGCAAATCATCGCCTTTCAATATGAAACCACAAGGCAAAGGGACGGAAAGTGAAGGCAACGTTGTTTTGTGCTTCCAAACATTTTTTGGGCATCTTTTATCACCGTTTTATGTTATGTAAGCGTTATTGTGACTAGTATATAGCGGAACCAACTGTTATGTGGAAGCATAAATAAGCGTTGTAGACTCACGGCTGTTACGAATAAGGCAAATAACTGTGTTCACATCAATTCATTGCAAATGCCGTAGAGCAAAGGCTCTTGTAATTCTTGTTTTCAAAGAGTAAAAACTTTATTTAGTTACTTATAAAGACTCATACCGAATAAAATTACAATAAAACCGAAGGAGAGAGATTGTAAATGATCGCTTAATAGTAGCCGGTTGGTTGGCCGTAGGACGGTGGTGGGGGAGGGGCGTAGACCTTGCGTTTGGGGGCACAGCAGATACATTTGTTGTCGCCTCCGGACCCATAGCTTCCGTATCCGCCGTCTGGAGATCCTCCATAGGCTGGTGGCGGGGCTTGAGTGACTCCAACGTACGTTGGGATCGGGGATTCTCCTCCAAAGTCGAGCTGGTTGAAGTCCAGAAGGAAGCCGATAATGTCGCTCTGGAATAAATATGGTATTACGACAGTTGTCATGTACAAACTAAAATTTTTTTGAAGACAGAATGTGTTGAAAGAATATGACAAAGAAGCAAACGTACCTTTGGGATGCTCTGATCCTTGCGGGCAGCGATCTGGCAACATTTCTGGCAGTCTCTCAACGAGGTGAAGGCAATGGCCGAGCATCGGAGACGGTCGGCCTTGGGCTCGCTGAGCTTGGGTGGAGGGCCATAGATTGGGGGGACATATCCACCCTGAGGGGGTTGGCCGTAAGCTGGTGGTTGTGGAGGGCCATAGTTTGATGGAGGTGGAGCTCCTTGGCCATAGGTTGGAGGGGGCTGCTGCCCATAGGCTGGAGGTTGAGGGGGTTGCTGGCCATAAGTTGGTGGGGGACTTTGACCGTAGCCTGAGGAAGGTGGGGGAGCTGGATATTGGGTTTGTCTCTTGGATCGGGGATATCCAGGCTGGCCATATCCTCCTTGTGTTGGTGGTGGGCCTTGACCATAAGATTGAGGTGGAGGAGGCTGGCCGTAGACTGGAGGTGGTTGGGGTGGGGTTTGGCCGTATCCACCTTGAGGGGGAGGTGGGTTGTACCCATTGTTGTCTCCGGGCTTGGTGGTGATCACCAAGATAGAGGCATCAATGTCACAAACGTAGTCTGGAAATAATAAAATTAATGTTAAAAAATAAAACGACTTGAGAGATAAGGTTAAGAGACGAACCGTCGATGAGGACTGGTTTGCGTGGTCGTTTGTATGGAGGTGGGGGAGGGTAATAGTGCTGTTGAGGGGGATAGTAATGACCGCCGGCTTTCCCATCCTTCACGTCTGTCTCTTCCTGAAATATTAAAGGGTCGAAAATGGTTTTATCACAATGTAAATTTATTTACGAGTTTCTTAATTCAAAAATCAAAACAAATGCAAAAAACAAAAGTAAGTAAGCCCAAAAGTTGAAACAAAATTAGATTAACCTCCCAAATCCCCCCAAACTCACCGATTTGTCTTCGGCATGGACCAGGACGTAGGCCAGTCCAATTATGGCTAGCCACTTGAGCATCTTTGGGGCCGATCTGAATCCGTGGAATCGGCTTGAATACGCCATTTCCCAGCCCAAGGCGACGGTTTTAAAGGATTTCCATTTCTCTGGGTGGGGCGTCTGATCCCATCCCCTGGGGGCATTCCTTTGTAAACCGTTCGGAAATGCATAAAAAACGCGTGGGACGGGAAGTGATGAAATTTGGATAATCGAAGGAAAGGGTTACTGTAATATTGCGGAAAAGTTTTAAAAATTGTGTAATTATAGACTCAAAATAGTAAAAGCATTACAAAAAATACAAAACAATGGCATTTGAGCTGTAGTCTTAGCACCGAAGCAGCAAAAATAAAAGTTTAGATGATAATTAACAGTTTAATTTTACAAAATTTTGGTCTTATAAAGTGCGACACTATGTAGAGTCCAACTTACGCTCATAAAAAAATATTCAGGTATAAATTTATGCAAATTTATGCCTTTTCATAGCCATTGATAATTCACAAAATCTATAAAGATTTGCCAGTGACCAGTGTAAAAAAAATGACAAAGGTTTCTTGGAGAATTGTATATATTTCATACCTCTTATTGTCATCGCTTTGACATTTCATATTTAATATCTCAATCACAAATTACAGTACTCCCTCCCACGTATTCCATGGCTGTCTTTGGATGATTAATCTCGGATTCCCAACGCCTTCAGAAGGGGCGGCTTCCGTTGGGCGAATGTGCAACAGACCCCCGATAAAGGCGTCCCCAATATCCCCGGATCAAATCGTTCTCATTTAAGGATCGAGAACGGAGTCGGTCTCGATATTCAGACCATGTCTTCCCGTCTGGCCATCTGTTTGTTGGCCATCTCCGCCGCTTCCATGGTGGCGGCCGAAGAGCCGACGAATGCAACCAAAGAGGGGGCTGGAGAAGGGCATTATTATGGGATCAGCAATGCCTACTACCCTCCTTATGGACCTCCTCAGTACAACTATGAGCCTGTCTTCGAGCACAAGCCTCTGTATGACAGTAAGTTTGTCTTTTGTAATTAATTTAAATTTTATTTTATTTATTAATTAATTATCCATTTTTAGCCCATTACTGCTCAGTCCATGGATCTTTTGCCTTGACTTTCTCCGATTTGGGTGAGTTACAGTAATCCCAACGATCTACATATTGTTATATTAATCTCACTTTGCTATAATCGTTCTTTTTTTAGCCCCAGGAAGCTACAATGTAAACCAAGGTGGATATGGAGCCCCTCCAGCAAAGAGAAACCGCAAATACATCCGGGAATACTGCAGATTCTCGGCCTCCAGATCTGACATCGCCTGTCATTTCTGTTGCCAAGTGGTCGCCCGATCAGCCTACACCAACAAGGTGAATGAGCTGACATTTATTTTTACTTTATAGAAAAATAATTTTAAGACTTTGATTTTAATCATCCGTATTTTAGGATGACATCATCTCGGCAATCTTTGCTTTTGACCCAGCCAACCCAACCAGTGGCGGAGCTGGATATCCAGACCCAGAACAACCAGACTACAATGGCTACGGACCTCCACCTCCAGCTTACGGAGCTCCTCCACCAGCCTATGGCCAGCCTCCCCCAACTCCATCGTATGGCCAAGGGGCCCCACCTCCACAATACGGACAACAACCATACCGGCAGAAGAGGGTAAGTTGGATTGCGAGGGTTGTTGTAGAGGAGAATAGGACCTGCTTTCCAAATATAGAGAGTCAAAGGGACCAAATGCAGGGAATTGCTGATGGGTTGATTGTTAGAGGAAATTGATTTCTTTACATAATTTTTAATAGAGCTTCCTTTAACCAAATTTAAAACCATTCAATTGGATTTCGGTTTATGAATGTTTTGGGATCTAAACTTTCGATTAGCAACGCTCATCAACCAAAAATAAGATGTGAAAGTTTTCATTTTGTTGCCAAATCTTTTTTGATGACTTTTATTTTACTTTTTTCCAGCAATCGGACGGTTCCCCTCCAGCCCCACCCCCAGGCGAGACCTACCCCGTCGACTCGAACCCCCCTATCGCTCCCCCAACCCCAAGCCCATACAAACCCATCAACCAATGCGTCTGTTGTGCTCCCAAACACAAGTAAACTCATGGTTTTCATCTCTGATCCCCCTTTTCTGTATCCCACAGTTTTTTCTAAATAAATTTTATTGTAAGTGTTTGAAATCTTGCAATAGGCAATGTTGCGTGCTTTATCAATATTGGTTTTCAAATTATATTAGACTTTTGATACAAAAATTGGAGGCTTAGCCGTATTATGCATTTATATTATTATTATGTAGATGGTCCATATTACCCTTTGTCAGAAATACACCTGACTTCGTATTTTATTTCCCGTTTTGGCGTCGAAGTGGGTTAAAATAACCGTCTTTACGTAACTATTCGAAGGGATTCGACCAATGAAAGATTCTAAAAAAAAATTGGAAAGGATTGATAAAAAGGAGCGACGGATGTCTCGATTAAGAAGTAAATACAAATAAGGAGACGCGCAGATTAATATTACTATCAGAACATTTGACCGAACTGTCTCATTGATAAACCATAATGCCCGAGGGAACATGTTGAGGAGAACACAGGACATGATCAGGGTGTTCTGGATCAGGATACGATATTCCAGACGTTTCGGGAGATTCCTGGCTTGTCCGGTGCAGCGCTGCAAAGGTGGTTCGCAAAATTTTTTTTGGTTTGTGGTTTTGAGCGACATGCCGAAAAAGTACATTGCACAGTGAAAAGCCAAAAAAAATTTTTTGGAAAGATTTATGACTAGCACAGAATGCATGCAAAATTTTGCGCAAATAGGGTTCCCTTTCCTGGCAATCACTCTCAACTTACCCTGTAATGGATAATGCCAAAAATTAAAATTGTCCCAATCACTCCAAAAATGGATACGGTTAAATTGATAACGTCAAAACAGAGATTTACAATCGGATTTAATTCTGTTTCAGTCCTCGGATTCCATCGCATTTCATTTTTATCGAAGTAAACGTAAGCCCCGAAGATATGCCAGACAGTTGTTTGTGTAAATCCAGCCACCCAAACTAATATTATTGTGGGCTAAATTGCAACTAAAGGCATGGAAGGTAAACTTACATCAATTTTCCATTTTCTTCCTAGAATATTTGTCTTTGAAGTTACCCTAATTACTGCGATTAGTCGATCGGCCACTAGCAATACGTGATTGAATACCATGGTGCACCAGAATCCGTTGTTAATCACGCTGAAGACGATTAGCATTGTGTGATTGGGCTCGTAGTGGATGAGTAATCGGAACGCAGCAATCACACTGTTAATGAGTTGACCTAGTTCAACTAATGACAAGGATAACATAACTCGCAAGGCTGGTCGATGTTTGAGAGTCGGGAGTTTAAAAATTGCCTGGAATGGAAAAATGGAAATATTTTTTGTAACAAGTTTTGTGATTTCTGAGAATGGCAACCGGGGCTCATTTTTATTTCATTTTTGTATACAAAACACAAGGGTACATATAGGTATAAATACATATTAATTAATGAAATTTTACGTTCCCGATTTGCAGAGAAATTTAACGGCCAAACGAGATACTATTGAAAATAAGGAGGGACAGGCACAGGGAAGGATCAAAACAAAAATTGTTAACTTACATAATTAACAAGGATATTGATGGGAGTTGTGATGATGACACAAATCAAAAACCATAATCCCCAAGCAAAAATATTCACGTCCATCCTGAAAACAGCCATCTTAAACACAAAACAAAAGAAGTTTTACAGACACAATACAAAATTTGCATCAAGACCTGACCGTTGGCCAAGGAAAATAAATGCATATGGGTATCTTAACACTCGAAAACAACTCGTCACAAATATAGAAACTAACCTGATTACTCAGTTAAAGTCAAAACAAGTGACTCCGAGTGAGGAACTTCTGCTTTCCCTGGATTTACTCAGTAAACCACACTATGCTTGTACCTTTTAATAGAATAAAAGCTGATTAGGCCTTGTGCTCGGGACTTGTAGGCTTTGGGGTTGGAGACATGAACGTGTACCAAAGAAATTTATAAACCTCCGTCTGCGTTTACAACCTGTGACATCTCCAAGGGAGGCACTTGTTAAGCTACATTAATTTCAACGTAAAACGGGTCAAATTGTATTCGAAAATGTCGTTTGCCAATGAATTTCACCTTCACATATTTTTTCGAGCTTAGAAGATCAAATCATACGGTACAGTTTTGGGTTTTTAAAGCTTTATTTTTGATAAAAATTTTAAGAGAAGTAAAGCTCTGCATAGAATAAGGTATCCTTCTTATTTTCCATAACGAGTGTGGACGATTGGAGCCGTATATGGAGCGGTGTAAGGAGCGGCGTAGGGAAGGGGCGCTGGGACCAGGTACTCCTTTGCGGGCGGGACGTAGACTTCCTTGGGGGCGTAGTAAGGACGGGCGTAAGGGCGACGGTAGTAGTACCTGCAAATCATATTTATTTATTATACAGCAGTCGAATTAACAGATGTTCTAGACCCGGGGTTGCTCTGGGATTACTGTACTTTTTACGGGATAACCAAGAAATTTCGAAGACTTCTTGGATTGAATCTGGGTACCCTTAGTTCCGGGTAATCCTCGTAATCAGACGGCCGGATATTCACAAACCGTGGAGGAGCGCTTTTGTAGCTGCCATCATCGATTACTCTGACTCGCGGTCGATCCACAATGTATCGATATTCGGGTTGAGGCGGAGGAGGAGGACGGAGGATGAAGGAAGGCTGTGGAGGCGGAGAGACAAATGGAGGTGGTCGCTCCGCATACGAAGGGACTTCTGGTCGTTGGACTAGGACCACTTGACGCTCCGGCTCTCTCGATTCTCTTATTCTCTCGCCGACTTCATCTACTAACACCAGCTTTGGCTCTTCTTTCTGAACATCGCCCATACTCGAGGCGTCATCTGCCTGATGGGATGATTTGGCGGATGAATCTGGAGTCGAATTCTGATTCTCTTCGGCTTCGATGAATCTTCGACGCACCGCCAAACTCATGGGCTCGTCTCGGGCAGGTCGAGGCCGCCTGATATTTCAAGATAGACTAGCCGGAAACAATGACATCTAGATCATTCTCCGGATGTCATATTTTGATTCCTAAAGGGATTAAAGGACCCAGAGAACACCCAGCTAATGGGCCGAGGGTATGGACTCAAGCAGTTCCAAATTTGTAAGCCTACGGTTACTACAATATAATCCTTACCAGTCATCGTCGTAGGAATCAAAGTATCGCCGGGCTTCGGCAGTCACTCCAAAGACGGCCAAGGCGCCGATCAAGGCCAACAGAACTTTCAGACTGAACATTTGGATGTGAATCGAATTGATTGATGGTTACAACCTTCCTTAACTCGGCTTATATAGTCTTGCCTGACCTTTCAATGCCCCGCCTTTTTCACTTTTACTTGTAAATTCGGACTTTTTTATCTCGAATTTTGTAAAAGACGCAAAGAAAGTTGCATTACGTAAATTTTACGAAAGAGCAGACATAATGGGGCGCTTCCTTTTACTCAATTACTCGGCTTTTTCGTTTTTTATTCAAAAAATATTTGGAAACTTTAATTTGTCGACTACTGGAAGGGGGAAATAATTGAGGTGCTTGACCTTCAGATGGAGGAATTGTTGCGTAATTCTAATAGTTAGCATTTAGTAAACAGTAAATAGTAATCAAACTCTTCAAGGGACTTACTGTACAAAGTAAAATTTGACAAGAAACAGACTGTGCTTGTGGGGCCAATTTTAGCGAAATTTAAAATGGAAAATTTTTATACCACATTTCTGTAGTGCTAAGCCTGTCGCCCTTTACAGCAAAAAAAAATCACATTTGGCACACTTGGCTGGGCTGGATCTCGAATATTTTGGAGGATTAACGAACCAACAACGCCGGCAGCGAACTGGCCAAAATTGCTAGAAACGAGTTGGAATGGTGGCTGAAGACGCGATAAAGTCCTTAAGGTGTCCGGCTATTATTCCAAATCTTGGCTCGCTTTATAAGTCGGTTTGCGATAATCCATACTGATCGGCGGTAAATCAAGAAGTTTTAGCGGTCGTAATAAGCCTTAACACATCCGGAAATCACTGTTTGCAACGAATTTAGTAGCAACGTAACACATCTTTCACCAGGTCTTATCCTTTGTTAACGGCATGAGGCGATTGTCAAAGCATCCTCTCATTGACTTGCCTAGCCATTCCAAACTTGGCTACTGCCTGCATTGACTGTAATTCGGTCTGCTCCAAATTCGGGAAGCCGGGAAATCTGTTATCGACAACAAAAATTCCTGAAGCCAAAAATAATTTTTTGTAAAGTTACATTTCAGCAACCATTCCCAAGACCAAAGTTAAATTGTAATTTCGACAACGTGTTACAGTACCCTAATTACTTCCTTCATCTTCTCTTGATCGGTCAAATTTTTTTTTACCACAACAAAAAATTGGTCAGCCTGTAATAAGGAGGACCTTCCAAATTAGCCCAAAAACTTTTATTTCCTCAGAGAAAACAAGGGTTAATTTATAAATTACAAATTTACAACTTAATGGAATCTTCGGGAACATCGACCGAAACTTTTTACACAAATAAACAGTGATCACAAGTAAATAAGTATAAAAATCTATAATATATCTATATATAGGATCAAAATCACAGTACGTTTATTGTCGAACATTGGAGCCGCATCTGAATATGAGGATCGAGGTGCCTCCATACCTCATCAAAATGAAATTCCCGGGCTCAAAACTGACTCTAGATCCGAAACTTTTCCCAACAACACAGTGCCAAGTGGGGCCAAATCGACTTTCTAAGGTGTCCTTCAAATAAGCTGCCACGTCCTGAAGATATGTTACATAATATTGCAAACTTTTATAAGACTTGATTACGTAAAACTTTAAAAAATTTTTTGAAACAACCTCAGTTTTTTGATGTTACTAGCAGCTAATTAATCGTGAAAGACAACAAACTGTTTATTAATGACCTTAACAACGTGACTCTTGTGTTTAGACCTTGTAGTTTACAATCTCACCTTGTCCGGACCACATCTGAGGGCATCGATTGTTAAATCCACGCAAAAGTTCTCAAGTTGGTGGGGCATATCTGTCTCCAAGACTTCGATTTTGAAACTCATGCTCACTTATGGAATCTAAAATAAGCAAAAATTATCTTTAAAATAGCAAAGAGTAATTAGAATCGGCAAAATTTTGGAATTGGCGGCTTTAATCTACAGTAATCCAAGAAACCTTGAAATTGTTTGGTCTTTAGAGCTTTAGGGTCAATATTGTTCAAACTTTGAAACTGTGACCTCAATTTCACCTTGTCCTCATAGAATAGACCCTCCGGGCCGTCAACCCATTTAAATTTCCGATTCAAAATCCGAGCGTTCCCTCCCTCAACGTGCCACAAACTAACAATAAAGTCCAAGATCCCTTCGAATACAATGTAAACAATAGAAGAAAGTAGGACCACTGAACCGAGAGAAAGGAATACCTGCCAACCAAAGGAGAGTTTTCGAAATATGCCCTGAGGGGAAATAAGTACATTTGGAAGAAAATCGGATCAAGAGAAGGAACACGATTTGGCCGAGGGCTATTTAAAAGTTGGGTCAAAAAATAGAAAGAAAAATAAGATTTGGAGTAATGAAACGTTAAGTGCTGATAAGGAAAAAGTGTAAAACGTAAAGGGAATTGTCAGCTGAGTTATGATTAATATTGGTTGTTAGTTATCAGGGGGTTTACTACAGTAAAAAGAGTAAATCATTGCAAGTCATTACTGTCTTGCAAGACATTAAATTTTTTCGCCTCCGTTTTTAAGTTATAAAAAACTGGTTAACACAGAATTTCTGTTACTAATTGTAAAATACGGGAATATTGTCATTTTGTAGATATTTCATCAAAAACCAGAGAAAGGACGCGTGAATAAGATAACATGTGGTCTGTTCGCTCTCGCCCAAGTCTGCTTTTTTATACGCCTGAGGTCATTAACCGCCGGGCAACACCACATTTCAAAAATCGTTGGTTTTCTGACCTTTACCTTGCAAAATGATTACCAACACCACAGCTGTTGTTCCTGTCCTGAGGGCTTTTCACGTTTTTCAGGCGTTTTTTGTCCCTCGTCGCCCCTGGCTACAGTTGTGAAACATAGAATCAAGAGTAATTCTTGACTTTTCGTCTTTCTAACTTCTCACTTCTTTGTTCAACATTTATTTATTTAAATTTTTTATCAAAATCCAAAACGGGAAAAGTTGAGGACCCCGCCGAAAGTGGAGACCAGGGACTTCCAATCAGCACTGCTCACCTTCTTCTTGATGGCTTTGAACACATTTTTGATATTGGGTTTGGTGATTATCTGGAAAAAGATATTGGATATCGGGAAAGGGGCATCTTTATGCATGAGTCACCCTCTTCTTCTTCTTCTTCCGTATCACTTACCTTGCTCGACAATTTGTTGTCAAATTGGGACGGGGTCTTAATGTTCAGCTTCTTGACCTATAAGAAATGATCAGTGTTTCCGGAAATGGTTCTTACAACGTGAAATACGAAAAAAGATTTCAGAGAAATTAAAAAAAAAGAAGCGTTTTCCATGCGTTAATAATATTATGTTGTCATAAAGGCGACAAAAAATAAGATTGCATGTTGAAAATAATACAATCGAGTGATTTAACGACCTTTTTTAGGACAAGCCGTCTTAGCGGTCAATTTTAGTCAGTCTTAAACCTCCACTCATTGGGCTGAATCTCAAATTGGATCGCCAGCCAAACGGCGCAACAGTAGCCAACTGACTGGACCGCTCCTCAAAGCATGCAGCCTTGCACCTTATTTGAAATAAAATCGAAGTTCTCTCTGATTAGTCATAATCCGACTCTTACCGTAATAAAGAAACCTTTCCATTGAGATTCCAACGCTACAACGACCTCGTCGACAAAGGCGGTTGTGTTATGCAACTTTGTACTCAGCGACATGGCTGGCCCAATAAACTGCGACTGGCTGAGTAGTTTGCTTTTACAATTGGCAATTATATCTATAACGTTCAGTTTAAAATTTGTCCTTTCAACAAATTTAATTCTTCAAGCTGTACTCCTTACCGTCAGTTGCGTTTTTAAAGCTGCGTTTTCCCTTCACTGCTAGGTAGAATCGATCAAATCCACAATTTAAAATGTCTTCAGTCAACGCGGAGCTCACTAATTTCCCCATTTTGGCCACAGATTTGGGATAATTGGTAGCAGCTTGGCTGACAGTTAATAAAACGCAAGCTGATACCACTTTCAGCCACATATTTGTAGAGTAAAGTGGAGGGGAAGGAAGGGTGCCTTTTATGTCTGATGGAGATTATCTCATGTTACAAAGAATCCAGCATCCAATTATAACCGTTGTTATAACCGTGAGAGAGGTGAAGTTGAAAAGAATATTATAACCCACAATAAAGGTCGAGTTCAAATTTTTATCCATTCGATTGAGGTTTCGAGGATTACAGTATCATTTTGGAATGAAATCGGTTAGCTTCCGGCGTTTGTGTTTGATTTTTCAAATTGAAAAGAGATATGGACTTCATGCTTCACGCAGTTTTTTAATTACATAATCACCTTTCCTGGCACTTTTTTAAAAAGCGAATCTGCTGTTCGTCGAGAACTTTCTCTCGCATTAATGAGAGAGAGAGACTGTCTGACCGTTCATTTCAACTACAACCTTGACTTTTCAAATAACAATACTTTTTATTAGACCTAACGACGAGTAAGTGAAACAAACAATGAAAAAAAATAATACGCTCTTTTCTCTTCTTGTATATCCGAATACAAATAGAACATCTGGGGTGGGTGTGTGGGGGATTATGAGGTATAGTTAAGGCCACGATAACAAGTCTTGTACATGATTAGTGAAACATTATGTCCTGGTTAGTGGAAGGTCATGTTGTCGGTGGATTTGAAGGTGGTCGGCGATGCCGGCGCGACTCGTGTCTGTCCACCTGCTCGAAGTTGACTAAGCCCTGCAAATGGGAGTTACAGGAGGAGGAGAGTTAAGAGGGAAGAGTAAGTAGTAGTCGGAGTTGTAAGTCGAAAAGTAAAGGGAGTTTAGTGGAAAGGGAGTTAAAAGGGAAGTTATTAGTGGAAAGATTATTTGTAAAGGAAACGGACAACATCCAAAGCTTGTTACACATCTAAACTTACAGTAAGATTGGAGTCACGTTATACGAAAGATTGTAAATTAATGAAAAATCGTCAATGATGGTATCAAAAGTATAACATGCCCACGCTGAAGCCATTAAAAGCCTCAAAACAAGTGCCACCTCCTCCAATATCCATTATACGACGAAAGCATATGAAAAACACATTCGAAAAACAAGCACAACATCGATGGTTAATCGTAGGAAACAGCGTGTTATAACAGTTTTGTTTATTACATCAAAATCAAGCGACACAAAACGATTCGAATAGATAGGATAATATGCAAGATTTATACAAATAATAGAATTTGGCCCCATTGGAGGAGAGAAAAGTGACGGATAACAGAAGTCCAAAATGTCTCCTAAATTGAGGAAACTTTTTGTGAAACCAATGTTACACCAAGAAATCACTTTTGACTTGAGAATAATAGCATTTAATACAAGTTCTAAGCAGGGATATTAACCGAAAAAAGTAAACCCGATATCCGAAAAGTTCTCGAAAAGTGAATCTGTGATAGGATAAGACACTCCATGAAAGACGAACAATTAACTTTACTCACAAAGAAACAGTAAAAACATTGACATAACAAAGCAAAACTTGAAAATGCTTGGAAGCCCTGAGGATCGACATTGCAGATGGAAAAAAGAATACTATTATTAGTAATACAGAAAGTACAGAAGGATTAGTGAATGTCGAGCCTCAGAAGCCGGAAAACGATTTAAACAGTGTAAGCACTCAGGGGAATAGAAATACGAAAAGCGACAAAAACAGAGACCAAGAACCGGTCCAGAACGTTGATTGGAAATGCGAAAAGTGGACGCAGAAAAGGCACAAAAACTCGGAAAAACGGCACAGAACGGAGGTTGTAAAAGGAGCGGAAAAAGTAATTACTGACTTTCCAATTCCCGTTCCTTGGCGATCCTCAGACGACGGTAGGACTGACGGAATCTGTCGCCCGCATCCAGGGTCAGTGATGAGGGATGGGAGGTGTTGACGCCCGATTGGAAGGCGCGGACAACGCGAATCTAAAACCGAATAGAGAAATACTCAACCGGCAAAAATTGCATTTATCAAGACGGGACTCTAAAGTCATGGTGAATATAAAACAAACATCTACAACAATGTTAATTTCGGAAGGTTTAGTGTTAGATACTCGACAGAATACAGAGATATCAACAGTTTTACGACTATTCAGTTACAGAAAACAAAACAGGAATTGTTCCTCTAACCACCAAAGGATTGCTGTGCAAAAAATAATGGCCTAACCGAGTCTAACAAAGTACTCTAACTGTACTAAAACCATGTTTATAAAACCGATAACAACGTCTAGCATATAAAAATTGAATAACTGGTAACATTGGGCTAATAAAAATGATTAAAAATAACTTTCTTTTGGTCCTAGACATTAGTTCTTTACAACTAAAGAGATCATCACTTACCTGAGTTTGCAATCTCGTCAACCCAAGCAGCCAAAGGATCTGCCCTGGCCTTCCATTCTGTTGGCTTGGAGTGACTGATCCCAATTCTTTGCCTGCGGCTGTTCTAACTTCAGGGATATCATATTCTCCAGTAACCAGAATCGAGGTCGGTTGGACTTCGCCACGGCCAAGGGAGAAGAATTTGGGAAGAACATTGCCCGGAATCGTTGCTATCACCTGAAACAATATAAAATATAATAATTACACAACAAATGCATTCCATTTCTTCCAAACTCCACTTACTTGACCCCAGATGAACTCTCCTACTCCCAATGCAACTGAAATGCCCCATTGAGTCAGAGTTAAAGGCGCCGTCCAAAACCATTTCCCTCCATATTCAACAATTAACACTTGTAGAATAAGAGTGCTCAGCCAGATGATGCAGAAGATTGGGTTGGAGAAGACCCCCTTGAACACATTTCTTTCTCCATGGATCTTTCGACAATTAATCTCATTACAAAGGGTCATCAGGACGAACACATTGAAGATGAAAGTGAAATGACGGGAAGGAGGGGACCCCAAAGGAGCCCATCTTCCACTCGGCAAATCTGGGACAATCTTGTCCCCAAAGAAGAGAATTCCGAACAAGATGATTAGTTGATAGAGGGCATGTCCCACAATGTTCTTGACCATGGTCCTCGAGATCAGGCTCTTCGTCCTTCCATAAGGCTTCCTCTCCAAGAGTTCTTCGGTTGGCATTTCTGTGGCCAAAGCCAAACTGGCCAACGTGTCCATGATCAGGTTGACCCAGAGCATTTGCACGGCTCTCAATGGAGAATCGTTGATGGCACAGGCTCCGATAAAGGCGATCGTAACAGCGACCACGTTGACAGTCAGTTGAAATTGGAGGAACTTGGCGATGGAATCGTAAACATTCCTTCCCCACATAACGGCCTTGACAATGGAAGTAAAGTTATCATCGGTTAAGATAATATCCGACGCCTCCTTGGCCACATCTGTTCCGGCAATACCCATGGCAAATCCAACATCCGCTTTCTTTAAGGCTGGGGCGTCATTCGTTCCGTCTCCGGTTACAGCAACAACCTCACTAAAAAGATAACATTATTGTAAAGAAAAGAAAACAAGACAAACATCAATTCTATCATTTCTTACCGGTTCTTGGTAGCCTTGGAGTCGATTATACCCTTGACAAGGACATATTTGTCTGTTGGCTGAGCTCTGGCCAACACACGGAGGGTGGGCCAGATAAGGTCGAGTTTCTGCTGACTGACTTGGCCATTGGAATCCCGAATTCTGAAATCAAATTATCAACATCAGCCACATAAAATACTAAATCCACAACAAATCAATTTGCTTACCTAGCATTGAATTCTTTTCCCTCCAGAGCCAAGAAATCGGCTCCAGGCTTCAAGATTCCACAAGCAGTAGCGATGGAGCGAGCAGTGTTGATGTTATCTCCAGTCACCATGCGGACGGTGATCCCGGCGCGTTGGCATTTCTCGATGGAATCTCGGACTTCGGGACGGACCGGATCTTGGATTCCGACAATGGCAATGGCAGTCATCCCTTCCCGGACCGCTTCTTCATCGTCAAGGTTCAAGTTCTCATCGAATTGGTACTATAAAAATACATTTAAATGTTAAGAGCCGTCATGAAAAATCTATACAGTATGCGTCATAATTATAACCGCACTTTAAAAATGAGTGTAACTTTTGTGATTGTGAATAGAAATGTGTCATATTTGGCACCAATGTGCATCAGTGTACTAGAAATGATGTCCCAAAAAATTTTTTTGAAAGCTTTCCGTATTTTAGAAAAAAGCTGCAAAAACCAAAATTTTGGTACTTTTCGGTGCGTCAAAATTATAACCGCACTTGCGAATTTTGGCTATTAGTCTAACGAAAACACAGAATATCAATAACTGATGTTTAGTTAAGCTCCCTGAGGCCTCAATAACGCCCATCACACGACTCAGAACCCTCTAGGCAAATTTTTTTGGCGCATCTTGCCCCGTCTTGTGCCTGAATCGGAAAACGGCAGATTTTCGCTCAGTTACGGTAGAATACCGCTGGTTGTAGCGATGCAATTAACGGGGGAGGAGGCCCCACAAGTTTCCTATCGGATTTAAACCCAGGGAATATGCGAGCGAGTCTATGGTGGCAAATGCCTTGCTCTCAAAGGAACTGGTATGTCGACCAGCTATGGTGGACGTGGGCATTCTCCTACAAAAGTATAGCCAGATTGCCAGTACGGTACCAGATGTTCGCCTAAGACTTCGTAGTACTCAAGGCCTTTCATTTGAGTCGCCGTGGCCGTCAACGGAAGGCCTCCGGCTTTTTTGAAGGCGCCCCAAATCATCAGCCGGCGGTCTCTATAATTACGGCATAATAAGTAACGCGATACGTTTTTAATCTCATGCCATTGGTATGTAAGACCGTCAAGGCTGTCACGCTACTACCCAATCTACAAGGAATATGGTACTGCAACGGTCAAACGTCGATTTCAGCGATCTGTCACTAGTCAACCTCTGTTGTGAATGTATCCTTGGCAAATTTCGGCCGCAGGTTGCCGTAAACTGCGGTCAGCTGGGGTCACAACGTCACATGGTGCCATGTGATGACGTCGCTGTGTTTTCCGACCCTCAGCACGGTGCTCCCGTTGCTACTGGAGCTCAGAGCTTGATTTAAGTGAACCACAGAGATGGCAGAGTTAGAAGCCCGGCGGATTATTTCTTTTCAACCGGAAGCAGTGGTAAACTTTTGTCTGCCATAACATTTAGAATTGTTAAAACCTTCCGAGGCGACCAGAAAGTTCCTCACAACTTGGGCCGAACGGTCTTACTGCGCGAAAATCTGCCGTTTTCCGATTCAGGCACAAGATGGGGCAAGATGCGCCACAAAAATTTGCCCAGAGGGTTCTGAGTCGTGTGATGGGCGTTATTGAGGCCTCAGGGAGCTTAACTAAACATCAGTTATTGATATTCTGTGTTTTCGTTAGACTAATAGCCAAAATTCGCAAGTGCGGTTATAATTTTGACGCACCGAAAAGTACCAAAATTTTGGTTTTTACAGCTTTTTTCTAAAATACGGAAAGCTTTCAAAACAATTTTTTGGGACATCATTTCTAGTACACTGATTCACATTGGTGCCAAATATGACACATTTCTATTCACAATCACAAAAGTTACACTCATTTTTAAAGTGCGGTTATAATTATGACGCATACTGTAGTATGATTTACTTATCAAATAAAACCGATGCATTACCTCGTTTGGCCCAGGAGTTCCCGGGACATAATCCTTGAATGCCAATCCCATCGTTCTGAGTCCGTCAGAAGCCATGGGTTCGATGACAGATCGGTTGATTTCGGCGAATTGCTGTTCTCCGAATGCCTTGACTTGGCCTCCAGCGCCAAGCATGAATTTGCATCTTGACATAATGATCTCAGAAGCTCCCTTGGCATAGACTCTGTAGCCTCCTCCTTCTCTTTTAATCACCGTCATCATCGATTTTCTCTGCGAGTTGAATGTGAAAACTTTGACCAGCGATTCCTCGGGATGAGCTCGACGAACAGCTCGGTAATCTTGGCCCAGATCCAACATGAAGCCGAGCATGGCACATTCGGATTTGTTACCAACCTAAAACAAATTTAACATTATTACTTCAACAAAGAGGGACTGATTCACACATCTCAAAAAAATAAGATTTTATTATTCGAATACTGCAGCTATCCAAATATATGCAGACAGCTGAGGTTCCCTCAAAAATTAGACGCAAAAAATCCCTGGCCTGACAAACAATAACATAGCCATCAAAAAGAAAGGGATATGGTTCTCCGAAGTTCCCTTCTAATTCTCTTATTATCTACTGCCTATTGCAACTTGCTGAGTGGTCTAAACAAGAGACAAATTAATGTTCCATTTGCCCGGTATATATGCGGAGTGGCGCCTTATCGATTTACAAGTGAAGTTCGTAAGTTTTGCAGATAATATCGTTCAAAATTATCCGCTTTTAGCCTGTAATTCATATGCAATCTGTATAAATGGGGGTTTTATGATGAGCGTTGGTTGTGAGAACAATCAAACATGTCAATTATACGACCCCACCTCTTCATGTATCGGCAGATGTTGTTGCCAAGCGCCGAGACTAGAGAACGCAAACTTGGATCAGAATCCAATCCCAGATTACACCCGACCTTTCCGAGATGATAACAGAACTCCTAACTCAAGCTCCCTATCCCTCCATCCCAGTTATTATTTAATTCCCCTTTCAATATCCGTATCCTACTGTATTTTTCACTAATATGGCTGTATAAACTGAATTAAACGAAACTAATTTACCTGGCTTGGAAGTTGACCTTGAACATCTGACGGCTCCACATTTGAGTTGTACCCGGAGTTGATGGAGATGCCTTCCAACAATAATTCTCTCGTTTTCTCGTCCAATTCGGACCAGGTTGGTGGGACTTCTCGATAGAAACGGTCTAAAATTAATTCGAATATATTAAACCCCATGTTTGCGTACCATTGATATAACTCTGAACGACCGTCATTCTGTTGGTGGTCAAGGTTCCAGTCTTATCGGAACAAATGCTAGTTGCATTTCCCATAGTCTCACAAGCATCCAAATGTCGGACAAGATTGTTGTCTTTCATCATCTAGAATACAATCATAAGCTCTGGTATCCAATTATAACACCAAAGACAACCAAACAACTAACCTTTTTGACAGAATATGTCAAAGCCAAAGTGATTGCCAATGGGAGACCTTCCGGTACAGCAATTACAAGGACAGTTACACCAACAATGATAAAGTTGACAAAGTAAGAGATGTCGGACATTGTGAAAGGTTCCTTCTTTACTGCGTAATGAGTGATGCAATGCCTCACAATCAAGATGATTACGGTAGCGGCCGCCACAACAGACCCTAAAAATAAATTTCTTCTTAATCATTAAAGAAATAAACATGCTTTAGCGATGAAATAAACTTACCGATATAGCCAATTTGGATGGCCAAATTTGAAAGTTTTCCTTGAAGAACCGACTTTGTCTTAGTCGGTTCTTCTTCGATCGGATGTTCTCGTGCTGCTGGCTTCCCATTTGGCGCAGATTCAAGTCCGTTGGCACTCAGGGCTAAAAAAGAAAACATATCAATCAATACGACAAACCCAAACACTTACTTCTATTTTGTGGAGACTTGGGTGGGGTTTTATCTTCTTTTCCCTCAGCTTTTGTAGCACCCAATAAGGCCATGATGATACCAGTTTGGGAGTGAATTCCGACGGCTGTGACCAGCATCTTGCCACTTCCCTCCATGATATGAGTACCCGAAAGAAGGACTGGGTCGTGTTCTGGACTCTTCTTGATCAGATCCGACTCTCCAGTCAGTGACGATTCATCGATTTTGAGGTCATTGGATTGGATTATGATACCATCAGCGGGAAGGAGATCACCTGAAAACGGTAATATAATTCATGCCCAACATAACTTTTAATTCTAAATAATTTACTTACCGTATTTTACATTGGCGATATCTCCGACCACGAGTTCATTGACCACAATCTCGACCGCATGGCCACCGCGGACCACCGAGAATTTGTGTTCGGTCTCGATTTTGGCCTGAAGGCCGCGAAATTGTTTCTCCTTGGTCCAGTCATTCAAGGCGGTTACTAATACAACTACAACTACTGATATAAGAATGGCACATCCTTCAATCCAATTGGCACTGTTTTCTGATTCATCGTGACCCGCAGCCGCTGAAATTCAATGAAAATAAACTTTTACTTCGAAGGCAATACAAAAAATCTTAATCTCCCCCTACCTTCTCCTCCTTTTGGGCCATACATGGCCCATAAGGCCAAACCCAACGAAACCAAGGAGCAGACCAGCAAGATGATCAGGGTTACATCCTGAATGGCCTCCCATACTAGTCTGATGAAGCTTTTGGAGGGGGTCGGAGGGATCTCGTTCGATCCGAATACCTGTTTCCTTCGCTTTATTTCTTCTGCATCTCCGGGAAGGCCATTTGCCGGATCTGTACTCAACTTCTGACATAATCCTGTGGTCCCTCCGTAGTCTGATTCGATGCGTTCTTTGGCCTCGACTCCTCTGCATTCCATCAACGCCTTTAGCTCGTCCACCGTGACCCCGTACGCCATTTTGATGGACGGAAATGTGTTGGAAGGGGGTCAACTTGGATATGGAGAAGATGCCAATGTTACAGGGAAGGGCAAATCAGTAAGTTCTTGTCTGATCCAGCTGTTACTGTGTAATGAATAAAGTCAGTCGATTAATCAGTCGATTTCACTCTCATCAGGGGAATTCCGGGGGTGTTCCCGCTTTTCCCAGCTCTTCAAGGCACCCGTTAACCGCCTTTACGGACTGAAAATAACAGATCAAACAGTTAGTGTACTAGATAATGCCCGAAATTATAAAGACCCGCGAAATATTAATATTATCCTTGATAAAAAATTTAGTTAATAAAAATGCAACGATAAATGCATATAAAAAATATATATTTTATACAATGAATCAGTTTGGAATCGACCCAGTACATTAAAAATCAAGTCAGAAGATGCTAAACATCTCCCCCAAGCAATTAAAAAAATAAAAAAGGTCAAATTCAGAATGAAAACAAATTTCATGGCCATGGAGGTATAATTTACAAGCCAAATCTCTGTTTATTCGCAGCCGCACTATAAGAGAGGCCTTAAAAGGGCCGCGTACAATAAGCCATGGCCTAAATGTAGTCGGTAAGTGGGATGCTATTGAGGGAGGGAGTTCAAGGACATAGCCCATGAAAAAACGATATAAAAGAAGGGTCATTGCATGGGTAGACAGAGCAGAAAACATTGATTTAGAAAAAGGAATCTAAAGATTAGGCTGCAACTCATTGACAAACGTTAACCTCATGAATAATATTATTTTATGAATAAGAATATCAGATATTCAAAATATCAATGAAACCGAACGTCGGATGGCTTCATTCATTCATCTCATCACATCATCTTATACAACGAGCATTCTCTACAGAATATTCATAAACCAAACCCAGGCCCCCGGATTCCCACAATTTATCCATCAATTAATCTAACCAAAAAGAAAATAAAAGTCCCATATAAAATATTCACCGGGGTTCCCGTTCCTTTCCCTTCTCTCTCCCTAACAACTCTCTTCCTCGCTTAGTAAATCGTCGCTTGATTGGCTTCAAAATAAAATAATATTATGGAAGGCTTACCTTGGAAGCCGTAATTTCACTCCGAAAACACATTCTCCCCCATGCTCCCAAGTCTTGAAACGGCAAAAGAAGAACGAGTTGAAAGTTCAGGAATGGTTCGGGTTGTCCGTGCCTCTGGCTCCAACATGATATGAGCTGTTTTCGGGATAAGAAATCAAATTTCCGCGAAAGAAAACAAATTTCGTGGGGGATTCCCATTTTCTTGGCGTGATAAAGAACGTCTCGACAATAAATTCCGAGCCAAAAGTACATCTGTCAAACAATTTTTTGGACCCAGTGGTACCTAAAACCTTTATATCCAAAATAATTACCATTCCCAGAATTTTTGTGATATTACTTTAGATTTAAATCAGAAGAAATTGATAATAAAAGGCATAGAGGTGACATAAAACTTTAGCTACAAATTGTTCATAAAACTCCAAGCCGGCTGATTGATAAATTTCTGAAACCGTCGACCGAAATCCGCAAATCCTAAAACGGAAAGCCAAGGAAATGCCAAAGACCCGCGAAAATTTAGCTTACAAATTTTAAACGAAAAAACGGTAATCCGTATAACACTAACCCCTCTTCGAGTTGTCTGATGCGTTCTAAACTTGAAAACTTTCTTCTCTACAAGCTCGAGTAATTATCGAATCTTCGGGAATTAAAAAAGAAACCCCAACTAATAAATGACAAAGTGAAAATCTCCGTCCATTCGATTCGTCGATGTGTTAGAAAGGTCAGGAAAATAAAAAGTAAGCGGTTTTCTTTGGTTTACTTGTCAGATGTAAGGGGAAGAAGTCGCTTATCGTAGGGGAGCATCTATAAACGGATCAAAAATACCTTATTTTACCTTTTAAAAGATGGACTGTTGTGAGGGTGGGGTCATGGACAATTTGAGCGGGGTTTTCTAGACTTCGAGTGCTCAAACGAACGGGTTTCCACTCCTTTTGTAACCAAATAACAACGTTATTTACAAAATTAGTAACTATTTTCATAAACAAGAACAAATCGAAGGGAGTTAAACCATTTAGACCTTTAAAGAAATTAATTTCTACGATTAACAATCCAAATTTACCTAAAAAGGAGAAAGAATACCATGGTAATCGGGCAAATGGTGGTATCTCGAAGGGAGATTATTCGAATTATTTCTTCGGGAAATCAAAATCGGATTAACTCCCAAAAAAGAGGACCTGCAAAGATAACCTGGCACCGAATACGTTAAATTCGACTATACAACGACAGTTTGGATGCAAGGATGAAGGCTGTAATTCCATTTAGATTGGGTTGTCCACAGATTTAATTATCAAATTAGATTGAAAACACCTTTAAGAATAGCGTGACCCAGCTACAAATCCTCCAAATTCCCCAAAATTATTAATAAAAGACTGGGAAAATATAATACTTCTGGAACGTGCTAATAATATCTGTCTAACGTGTTTATTTTCCCTGTATTACACTTTCTCAGACTGGTTTGAAAATAAAAGAATTCAAACTTCGTTATTCAATTTTAATTGTGATAACCGTAGGAGTCCAAATATCTTAAACAGTCTTAAGCTAATCCCCTAAAATATATGAGGAAACTGAAGGAAGAGTAGGCCATAATCATTAGATTGGGTGGCAAGGGAGGGGAGGAAGGAGGAGATGCGAATCTGGAGGTAAATAAAAGACGGATAATACACTCGAATGTTGATGTTCATTTAAATCTGGTGTTCGAGGTAACGCGTAACAAAAAATTCTAAATTTTGAAGGAAAAAAGTTTTGGATTACATCTAAATTTACGGAAATGTACGTGAATTGCTGTATGTCTCATAATTTATTTGTTTGTAGTTGTATTCAAAATGTAATGGGAAAAATGTATTTCTCCACAACTTAGATTACAAAATACAGTAAAAAAAAATCTCCCAAAAAACGTTGATAAAGACAATTTCGACTTCCGGAAATCTCCAACCAGCCCCCCAACTACTAAAAGAATGTAGGATTTTGAGAGTTGAACTCTAATTGCGCGTATATTTTGACGCGTTTGTCAACGCTCCAAACCCCACAATTACTTTTTATTCGGTTTGAGGAAGTCAAGTTTAATATAAACAGACGGATTAAGGGCTGGAAACAAACTGTCCACTATGGAAATGAGGAGTTAAGATGCTGGTTTCCATTCCCAGCCACTTGAATTTATTCAGAATACTCGTTTATATCCGTTTTCTGTAAAAAAACTCGTATTTTCCGTGGCCCTGATAGTTGTAAAAGGCCACCATGGCAACCAAAAAAAAAAAATCTTCTCAAATTTAAAGATTCCCTGTGCGGCAAAATCTTCTTCAATTTAATTAAAAAGAGGTTATTGGAACGGATGAGTTACGCAATAATGTTTAGGTCTAATCAGCGTCTGAGATATAAATATAAACAATACTTTTAAGAGTCAAAACTCAAGAAATATAACATTCTGACCAAACCTTATGTAGATTAAATAAGAACGATGAGCTCCCCGGAAACAGCAACCCCGAAAAAGATGTGAATCGCAAATGATGACGCTCTAACTGACTAACTACCATAATATAACGCGTCCAAAAGATGTCTTCAGCGGATGACTCAACCCTAAAACCGCCTCTATTTGATTTGAAAGAAGTTATAAAACCATTTTTCGACTATAACAACAATCGAGATAAGCGCTTAGTGCTTCATCATGTTTTGTGAGGACCTCCATGTGACTAATAACAGTATCAGAGACATGATTTCATTCCTGAGAGGAAGCCGCGGTAACGATAGGATTGTTTACTGGCCATCTGAGCTATTAAAAATGATGATTTCCTTATTAGTTTCTGCAGAATTTTAAGTTCGGGTCAAAAAAGTCCTCAAAATTTAGACAAAAACAAAAAACCGGAAGTGAAAAAACGATGTTCTTTGTAAAATACAAGGTTAAAAGTTTAACTAATACTCTTAAGGCCAAATGGGACGAAAAACTTGAACGAATCTAGTAAATGAATTATAATCCATATGATTTTAATCAAATAAAGTGCTTACAATTAAGAAGATTTGCCTTAAAGGAGTTTAGACACATACCTAACAAGATTCAATGTGTTGAAATAAAAGTTTTGTTTACAATATAGACATCTAAAATACATTCTAGTACCATATCCATATCCTGTACATAGAGATTCCCCAAAAGCCCATTTTTCCTTCCCCAAATTGCCCCTTTCCTTTTTGAAATGTAATAGAGACATAACAAGTGTATAATGGACGCCATTGTATCTGATATAAACCGGATGAGTATCCGAAATCGATTTGGGAGCGGGAAGTAAAACCCGGAGGGCGTGTGGAAGGGAGGCATGATGGGGCCAGAAACAGGTAAAATTATACGAACTGGATCTTCCGGTCCCCAAAAAGTCATCGGAGAGGTCGTTGAGAACGTCAAGTTAGTAAGGAAAATGCCCGAGATGGGGTACCTAGATTTACTTATGTATATAAAAGGTTACAATAGTGGTTTACGTAACCTATGTTTTATTTCTTATCAACTAGTTGAAATTTTACCTCGCCAGTCGAGATTTTCAACGATCTTTTGTCATAGTTTTTCTCAAGTTCCAACAAAATCTTTGCGTCAGATCTCAGAGCTTCTGAATCGTCATAAATGACAATCTAATAATACTATAGAGCCCCAAAAGATTATGTGGCCAAATTTTTGCCATACAATACAATATCCCACGGCCGTTCCCAAGGCCTTTATACAAACCTACAAGTTTCCTCCCTTTCCCATGGTTTCTAGACACGATCAGAGTATCCTCAAGATTACTACTTTCTTTACGAGTAATGTTAATCACCCAGAACGTTTCCCCTCCATTCATCCCCTTTATCCCATCTCCAAATTCTTTGAGTACGAACCATCGAAATAGACGAACAGAGTCATAAAAATAGATCCCTCCAGCAATTTGTCACCAATAAAAGTTTGTG